TATTACAGAATTTTCAATGGTACGAAAAATAGTTGTACGAAATACAGCAGTACAAATAGAGATAGTACAAAATGATAGTACATAAGTTAACATCCGATTGGTAACATTATGACGGTACAAATAGTGTATTTTAAAATAAAATATAAATTATTTAATTATTCAAAATTAAAATAATGTCTAAAAATATAACACAACTTTTATTTTGTTATAACATTACCAACACCTTCACTTAGTAAAAAAAATATTACATATAAACTACAAATTCTTTAAATACATAATATTTTAAATGTACAAAAAATTGATAATTAATATTGTTTGAAACCATCACATATTAATAGTGTTCATTGTTTTTTTTTCTTCTTATTGTGTAATTACAATTACTCATAGTTTATTTAAATGTCTAAAAATCCTAAATTAGACCTACATAATAGTATTTTAAATGTTTATATTGAAATTAAAAAAATATTAAATTAAATGTTGTTATATGATGTGTGGATATATTTGATGTTAACAAATTCAATATTCAACAATTATCATTAGTTCGCCCATTATTTAAATAATTAATACATATTATTAACAACTTCAGCTCTAAAATATTGTCACTTTACCATTAAAATTAACCAATCTCAAAGGAAATTAAAATAGAATACAAATTAATGATCAATTAGACATTGGCTTTGATTGGTAACCATAAATGAAGATAGATAAATTATAATGCTTGATGTGTTACCAATCAAATGAGTATTACATATGTGATAGTACAAAAACATGTTACAAAAAAAGTAGCATTACAACAAAATAGTGATGTTACAAAGGTAAAACAATGGTACAATTGTAAAGCTACTTTTAGTGGTATTACAGAAAAAATAAGAGTGGTACAAAACATTGTTTTTTTTTACTAAAGTTTATCATGATGTGATGTGGTTTTTTATGCATTAATATGACTTTGTTAACTTAAATTTAATGAAATTCTCCACACTTGGACCAATGAATACTTCAGAATAATTTTACATAAACTATTGTAATACTAATTTTAGTAGTCCTATAAAATCTAACATACTTACAAAATAGAAAATGTTTTATTGAATCTCAATAACAAATCTCATAGTTTATAAACAAATAATTGGAAGAAAAAAACTTTGGATATAATAATTCATTTATCTCTTGACAAGTAATTAAGAAGGTAAAAAAATTCAAACAATACAAATTATCACATTTTTCTTGAAATATAAAATAACTTTTCTTCAAAAAAAGTTTGTAACTATTATTTACTATTTTTTACTAAGTAAATGTGTTGGTAAACAAAAAATGTAAAATACTTTATATTATATTTTTAGACTATATATGAATTTCAGTATTTAAGTTATTTTTTATTTTTAGTCATTTAACATATGTTTATAAATTGATTTCTATTTTTTATAATAAAATACTCTATTCATAATGTTACAATGTTACCAATCGGAATTTAGTTACGTACTATTATTTTGTACTATCTCTATTTATACTGCTATATTTCGTACCACTGTTTTTCGTACCACTATCTTTCGTACCACTGAAAATTCTGTAACACACCACTATTCACAACGTCACCAATCGGACTCAATAAATAAAGTCAAAATAAAAGTAGTGGTACATGATGGATGTTTTGTAACGTTGCTTCTTGGTGGTAAAAACTAATACCATTGTTATACACATTGTACTATCTATTTAAGTAGTATAAACACTGTTCGGTGATGTTTTGTTTGTAATGCTATTTTACATAATGTTTCTCCAACTACTCTAGTGATTGGTTACAACACATGTGTTACAACTTGTACCACTATGTTTATCAGTCACCAATCAGAGCCAATACCATTTGCATAATTTACGTTTTACAAAACCGTGTGAATCACATCAACCGACTATTAGTCTCAGAACAACTGATTTTTAAACACCAAGGTGTGTATACTACTATACTAAATATACAGGGAGAAATTAATCGTGAAAAAACAAAGAAAGAAGGTTCAATAAAGATATGTTTGTGAAAAAAGGATACCACACGATCTAAAAAACTTCCAAACTCTCGAAAGACTAAACTCAGTTATCCGACAAACTTCCGTCTGAACTGTTAGCAAATTTAGAGTCAACACAGACAAAACCTTTTTATCCTTAACTAAATCACTTTATAATGTCCAGCTATCCTAAACTATGCCGTAGAAATACAATAGTAGTTTCGACATTTGCTTCAAGACAGATTGATTTCTTTAATATTTTTGTCTGTGTTGGATATTCATGGAGACGGTTGAATAACACTACGCGACAAAATATTTAATTATATAAGCTAGATGGTCAATCATATCCTTATAAAATACTCTCTCCATTTTTTTTTTTTAATGAATTTTCTAGCTATTGGGGGTGATTGGTTGTTGCTCTAGCTTATTTTTTTTTGCTGTAGAGTTTTTGCTTTATGTTGAGTTTTTGCTTTATGTTTTATGGCTGTGGCTGTAAAATTGTTGCTTTAGGATATTGATTGCAGGATTTTAGTAAAAAAGGAAATAGGTAAATATGGAAAATAATAATAAGAAAAAAAAGTAAAGAAAACAATAATATATTTGGAAAGAATGAAAGAGAGAGAAAAAATAAATTCAGAGCCTTTAAAATTATGCTCTAGACATTTTGCTCTGCAAAACTAAAAAAGGAAGAAAAAATGAAAGAAATGAAAGAAGGCTGTAGGTTTTAAAGAAAAAGTATAGAGCATGATTGGTGATCTATTTGGCTTTAGAATTTATTTTTGCTCTCTACAGCTTCTACAGCCACAACCAATCACCCCCATTATGTGTTGTTTCACAAAGATAAAAATTTTATCTTTTTGATATACATTTTCAGTTTTCAAAAGACAATGATTATATTTGTTAGATTTTTATTGGTTTAAAATTATAAAAAATTGTTTTATTGCAGAAATTTATACACTAAAAATTAACTTTTTCTTAATCTGTATGAAAAATTAGAAAATTTATCTTAAAAAACGGAGGGAATATGATATATGAGTTAACGGGAACAAGCGTCACTTGCAAACCGCGTTGACGTCAGCCCCGTGGTATCATGGCACCCTCTTTTTCAATTTTTTAGAAAAGTTGTCAACAATCTCTTATAAAACGAATCCTGCAGTTTTCTTTTGATAAAATAGTACTACTCTGCAGTTTTGTCCAGATACTTTCAAAGCCAATCTTACAGTATATATTTTCAGTTTTTAACTATACTCATTTCAAATATCATAAAAGTACAACAAATCGTAAGCTCTTGAAACACAAATAAGTTAATCAGTTTTCTTTTAATTACCTCTCATTAAAAAAAACTCAGTCATAAAGAACAGGAGGGAAAACAATACCCAAGTTGCAAAAAAAAAAAATTAACTAAAGACAGTGCAATTTTTTTCTTAGATAGAAGACAAAAAAAGATTCCTGTTTCCTTTATTTTGAAATATTATAATTTAGCTTTAACAAGTTTGTTTATGTTATTTTTCTAAAGGTTCCCCTTAAAACTAGTCCTATAAAACAGTGGGACGACCGGTCTATAAGAAAACTACAAGATTATAGATAGAGTTTGATATTCCATGCTTTAATTTGAGCGTTTGCGTATGTATACGAAAGAAAATTTAAAATTTTTACATTTTGAGTTAAGAAACACTTTTTAGTATTGCGGAAATTATATTTTTTTAAAAATTATAAATGTAAACGTCATCAAACGCAAAAAAAAAAAAAGAAGTTTGTTTCAAGGCCATAGTTTTCGTTTGAGACGTGAGATTCAAATATTACCAGAAATACATACGGTTACTATAACAATGGTATAGTAAGAGTTTCAACGCAAAAAAAAAAATGCATATTTTCTAGAGTAAAAATGTAAAATATTAGTACTCAAAACAATGTGATTTATTGAATTTCACTAAACCAATGTGTCATGTTAAAGAGTGGACGTCTCGAATTGTTGTTAGTCAGATGCATATATTATATATATTGACCATTTAAACGATCTTGAATAGCTAATTCTCTGTGTTGTGTTTCCAGGGAAGTTGTGAGTAGATACAGCAGAGAAGTAAGAGAAGTGGGATTTAGAGTAGAGGAATTGATATCAGAGAGCTTAGGCTTAGATAAAGATCACATGAAGAACGTTCTTGGTGAACAAGGACAACACATGGCAGTCAATTATTACCCTCCATGTCCTGAGCCTGAGCTCACTTTTGGTTTACCTGCTCATACCGACCCCAACGCCCTCACCATTCTTCTCCAAGACACTACCGTTTGTGGTCTCCAGATCTTGATCGACGGTCACTGGTTCGCCGTTAATCCACGTCCTGATGCTTTTGTCATCAACATTGGTGATCAGCTACAGGTTATAAACTATATTTTTATAAATATACGAAAAAGACACAAATTTTTTGAACATTTTGGATCGACATTGCTTAAGTATGTGTTTCAGGCATTGAGCAACGGAGTATACAAAAGTGTTTGGCATCGAGCTATAACTAACACTGAAAAACCAAGACTATCGATCGCTTCATTTCTGTGCCCATCTGACTGTGCTGTCATGAGCCCGGCAAAGCCCTTGTGGGAAGCGGAGGAGGGCGAGACGAAACCAATCTACAGAGACTTCACTTACGCAGAGTACTACAAGAAGTTTTGGAGTAGGAATCTGGATCAAGAACATTGCCTCGAGAACTTTCTAAACCACTAAATCTTATGACATATATGTATGTGTCGTCTTTGTGTTTGTGTAAGTAGGCATATATATACATACTCCTAGTCTCTTACGTACCCATGTTTCATTTAAGACTTATGATTTCAAGAATAATAATGATTTATCAAAATAAAATAAATTACATATCGTTGCGTAGCACACAAGTTAAAACCAAAATGGACGTTTTTGCCGCTTTTTCAGGTGAGCGAGAGGCGTTAATAGATAGCCTCTTAAGACGCATCATTATCGCCGTTTACATTTTGACCTAACCAATTTTTGCAATTACAATGGAGATAAATTTTCTTGATTTACCGGAAGAATGCATCGCCACCGTGATTTCTTTCACAAGCGCTCGCGACGCCTGCCGTATCTCCACCGTCTCCAAATCACTTCACTCCACCGCTGATTCCGACGCCGTTTGGGAGAAGTTTCTTCCCGCGGAATCTCGTTCGTTGATCGATCATTCTTTGTCTAGGTTATCCAACAAGCAGCTTTTCCTCCGTTTATGCGAATCCCCTCTTCTCATCGACGATGGCAGAACAGTAATTTTACACAAACACAACACCAACTTTTTTTTTTTTTTTTCATGTATTGGAATCTTGAAATTGAATGATTGAGAGGGATACGATTTTTAGAGCTTTTGGATGGAAAAGAGAAGCGGCAAGAAATGTCGGATGTTATCTGCGAGGAAGCTAGAGATCGTTTGGGTTGATATTCCTGAATATTGGTCATGGATTTCGGTTCAGGAGTCAAGGTTGGTTCATTGATATTTCATCTCCATTTTTCTTGCTTTCTAGTGTTTGATTTCGATTAGTCTAATAAACAGGTTCAAGGAAGTTGCAGAGCTTCGAATGGTATGTTGGTTTGAGATCCGAGGCAAAATAAGCGCATCACTTCTCTCCAAAGACACCATTTATGGAGCTTACCTTGTTTTCATGGAAGCAAACAAATGGGGAGCATTTGGATTTGACTCTCTGCCTTTGGAGACGAGTATTCGTTCCACAAGAACCGAAATTTGTAATGATGGAAGAGTGTTTCTTGAGTCGGGAACGAGAGAGCCTAGAGAAGATGGGTGGTTGGAGATTGAGCTTGGTGAGTGTTATGTCGGTTTTGATGAGGAGGAGATCGAAATGAGTGTTATGGAGACAAAAGAAGGTGGCTGGAAAGGTGGAATCATCGTTCAAGGGATCGAGATTAGGCCAAAACAAAATGTTGCGTTTTGAAGTAACTTCACTCACAAGCAAATTCTAGTTTGTTTTTTTTTTTGTGTGTAGTAAAAATAATTAATCCTTTCTTATCATATCATTGTGTAGTCATGGAAGATTCATGATCTTGGTTTGTAACTTTCCCGCATGATATGTTGATCTCGCTATTATTTGTTTTTATTTGTTCCTATCAGTTAAGTAAATATAACAGTGGTTTTGTGCTCGGAGAGCAGCTTGAAGCAATATCGTAAACTCGGATAGTTTATTTTTGAAAAACTGATTTAACTTAAAAATGTCAACTTAACTTGCCAAGGCAAAGAAAGTTAACAATTTTAGGTTCTTCAATCTTCACTCTAAATTGACTTTTTATTTTTGCAGTTCGTAGCACAAATCTTCTCTTTGTCTCTATCTACGTCTGAATCATTTGTTTTTAAATGAACTCTCATGTGATTCAGTCCCCTACCCATTTCATTTTCCACAAAATACAAAAGCCCATATTTTTTTTGGTTTTAATGTGAAGATTTATTACCAAAAGTGAACAATACATACTACTACTACCGGAACTACAAAAGGGAAACACTTACCCTGTACAACTTACCCAAGGAACGCCGCCAAAACTATAACGGATACTGAATACAACTAAAATAAGATTCTAGGAGAGAGGAGGAGCTATCCGTCGACGGGAAGGAGAGGAGGCGGTCACGGATTGAACGGTCCGCCGCACATTTGATTGCCACAGCCGGTGTAGTTATCGTTGAGAAGATCCTTGCATTTCTTTCACGCCAAATCGCATACACAATTATTTGGAAGAGAAGCTTTAGTATGACCTGATTCTGCCTCGTGATGGTATCAGGAGGATGGGTCACAAATTCCGAAACATCCTCAAGGCTATGTGGTGAGCCGAGAAGCGAATGAAAGCCAAATTTCTTTGGAGAAGGTACACGAGAAAAACAGGTGCTGGTGAGATTCCTGCTCCAAATCGCAGAGGGGACAAGTTGGTGAGACCGTCATGCCCCATCTGAGTAATCTATCCTTGGTTGGTAATCGGCCAAGAAGGACCATCCACAGGATAAAAGAAGCTCTAGGGATTGCCTCTCGAAACCAGACTATCTTTGACCAACTCACCTGAGGTGAAGAGATCCTGAGTTGCTCCCATGTTCCCTTGGGAGAGAAGAGAAGACACGTTGGTGTAAATGCCTGAGGGTAAACGCCACATGAAGATGTCTTTCCCTCCATCCGCATCCGGTGGAGTAATAGTTGTGAGAAGAATCTGAAGCTCCTCACTTCTCTCTGATCTTGCACTCGGGAGATTCCAATTACCATTACTCACCGCGTCAGACACTTTCGCATCTCGGCTTAGTCTAAACAGACGCGGACCTGCCTCACCAATAAAATCGATGAGAGGACCCAACTCTGTCCAGAAAGAAGCCAACTTCCCATTCTTCAGTTGACACTTTAGAAAAGTAGAGAGCAGCGGTTTGAGCTGCAGCATGCTTCGAATGGCTTTGGAGAAACGAACCGCATCATTTGTCACCCAATAACTCTTCCTCGCAAAGATGTGATTTCTTACCCAAGCAATCCACAGAGAATCCTCCTTTGTAAACAGATTCCACACCTGTTTTAATCTGAAAACCACCTCGAAATCGCTGAGTAATCTGATCCCTAAACCACCTTCAGATTTCGGCTTGCAAACATCTTTCCACGCTACTCTTGCTCCAGCTGCAGACTGAGTGCTATTTCTCCACAGAAAAGCAGAGCATAACGAGTCCACTTTAGCATAAAACTCTTTCGGCAGTATGTACACCTGGCTCCAGAAATTAACCATTCCATAGATAACCGAGGAGACAAGCCTTATCTTCCCTGCAAAAGAAAGAAATCTGGCCGTGAAAGAGTGAAGCTTCTTTGTTATCTTTTCCAGGAAAGGCTCCAGAACCGCAAGAGAGAGCCTCTGAGAGTTTAGAGGGAGCCCCAGGTATCTTGTTGGAAAGCTTCCAATTTTGATATCCATTATTGTACTCAAAGCCTCCGTCTCCACATCAGTATATCCGCTGAAGAAAACCTCTGACTTGGCTGCGTTCATGTCCAGACCCAAAGCCCATATTTTTATATAAAAAAATGCTATATAAACAAATTCGCAATAATATCCCTTTTAATTAAAAAAAAAAAAAACAGAATTGGGGGGGGGGGGGGGGGGCATCTTTATATTAATTCATTATCAATAAGATCCAAGACATTATTTTCTTTTAGTTTGGTCTCCGTTAGCCAATCTCTCATATAAATGGTGACAGTGTGACGCACGTTCAATGCAACACTTATCTAAAAATGCTAGCACTTATGAACTTATCCAAAACCCATAACTAACTGGATTTTATATCTACTAAATATACTACCATTTTATTATACTCCTTTTGAATATATCTTCATTCTTATCCATAATGTTCTTTCGTTACTTGTCAGTGATAGGATCTTTGAACTCTCTAATTAAGAAAATAAAAACGCCATAAAGAAATTTAAATTTATATGTTTCCCATAATTCAATATTCAGTTATTACTGTAGAAAAATATCATCTCGAAAAATAAATAAAAGAATAGAAAATTCAATTTGATAACACAAGCATGATAGTCAAGAAGAAGGACATTCGAAAACATCTTCGTCTATACGAAAAAAAAAGAACTCAGAAATTCAAGAGAAAAGCGGCGTAGTTCGGAGCGCATGACGATGGTGATATGTCGTTACGAGGCAAGGGAGAATCAGCTCGGCCGCTGCTAGTCGGAGCTCGGACGCGTCGACGGGGACTTGTATGTAGTGGAGGGAGGAGGGTAGCGGTGATACGAGCGAGCGCCACCGTGTATTCTTCAAGCAACTCGGCGGCGATGGATACTGTTATCATGATGGTTTGAATATGCTCTGATGATGATTTGCTTTGATGTCTTGTTACAACCTCCGATAACTTATATATATTGTAATTTGCAAGATATGACAATGTGGTTACCTTTAATGTAACGTTGTCGTACTTATAGAGTATGGGATCTGAAGCTAATGGCCATAAATTCTGGTAGGTTATTGTCATAAATTATTGTAGCCGTCAGATCTACCAACTTTATTGAATTTAATAAACTCTTTGGGGAGTTTGGTTTCGTTAAAAAAGAAATCTTACAAATACTGTATTTTTGGGAATATTAGCTAACGTTGATGGGTTTCTAAAACTGTTAAAACAAAAAAATAGCATTAAAGAGTAAACAATTAATTGAATAATATATTTGTATATATATATATATAAATGTTAGCTAACAACTGGTCCAACTAGCTACTTGTATGATTGTAGACGGTAGACCCTAGGGAAATCAAAGACATCATGCCGTGATATAACTTGATTGGTCATGAGTCATGATATTATTTGTTTTGTTTTAATGAAAATAACCGATCTTCTTTAATTGTTTTATTATTTACTCTTTTGAGTAAAGCAAAAATGTACCTTTCATGTTTAGATAACAAGTAGAGTGAAAAAGAGTCCAATCTGAAATTTTAATATCGTTGCCGTAAGTTGAGAAATGAGTTTTTATCAAGTTTTTATAGAAAGACTTCAGCTCTAATTCTTGGCAAAGAAGCCGATTGGCACAAGCAACATCAACTATTCCGACTATGAACCAATAGTCTAGAACTTCCTAGTTAACCAAAACAAAATAAAAACCAACTAGAAATTATCCGTTAACTTATAGTTTACTTAAAATATTTGTTACTTAAAATAATAAACGCCATAAAGAAATTTAAATTTATATGTTTCCCATAATTCAATATTCAGTTATTACTGTAGAAAAATATCATCTCGAAAAATAAATAAAAGAATAGAAAATTCAATTTGATAACACAAGCATGATAGTCAAGAAGAAGGACATTCGAAAACATCTTCGTCTATACGAAAAAAAAAGAACTCAGAAATTCAAGAGAAAAGCGGCGTAGTTCGGAGCGCATGACGATGGTGATATGTCGTTACGAGGCAAGGGAGAATCAGCTCGGCCGCTGCTAGTCGGAGCTCGGACGCGTCGACGGGGACTTGTATGTAGTGGAGGGAGGAGGGTAGCGGTGATACGAGCGAGCGCCACCGTGTATTCTTCAAGCAACTCGGCGGCGATGGATACTGTTATCATGATGGTTTGAATATGCTCTGATGATGATTTGCTTTGATGTCTTGTTACAACCTCCGATAACTTATATATATTGTAATTTGCAAGATATGACAATGTGGTTACCTTTAATGTAACGTTGTCGTACTTATAGAGTATGGGATCTGAAGCTAATGGCCATAAATTCTGGTAGGTTATTGTCATAAATTATTGTAGCCGTCAGATCTACCAACTTTATTGAATTTAATAAACTCTTTGGGGAGTTTGGTTTCGTTAAAAAAGAAATCTTACAAATACTGTATTTTTGGGAATATTAGCTAACGTTGATGGGTTTCTAAAACTGTTAAAACAAAAAAATAGCATTAAAGAGTAAACAATTAATTGAATAATATATTTGTATATATATATATATAAATGTTAGCTAACAACTGGTCCAACTAGCTACTTGTATGATTGTAGACGGTAGACCCTAGGGAAATCAAAGACATCATGCCGTGATATAACTTGATTGGTCATGAGTCATGATATTATTTGTTTTGTTTTAATGAAAATAACCGATCTTCTTTAATTGTTTTATTATTTACTCTTTTGAGTAAAGCAAAAATGTACCTTTCATGTTTAGATAACAAGTAGAGTGAAAAAGAGTCCAATCTGAAATTTTAATATCGTTGCCGTAAGTTGAGAAATGAGTTTTTATCAAGTTTTTATAGAAAGACTTCAGCTCTAATTCTTGGCAAAGAAGCCGATTGGCACAAGCAACATCAACTATTCCGACTATGAACCAATAGTCTAGAACTTCCTAGTTAACCAAAACAAAATAAAAACCAACTAGAAATTATCCGTTAACTTATAGTTTACTTAAAATACTTGTTATTCGTTTAGAGTTGTTATCAGCAGATTATTTGTATTTTTCTTCTACTTCGGTTTGACATATATTCTATTTGAAAATGATGTGTTTCCGAGTTGTTGGGAGACCAATGAACATAATTTTGGGGCCCAAGTTGATTTTTGTCTTTCTGGAACACATTTGATATTCTTATAATGTTTGTGTTGATGGATACTGGATAGATAAGGCCATTGGCTTAAGTAAGCCTCTTATGCAATCCATTGGTTTCAACTTAAAGTTTTTTAGAGTTCTAAGTGATGACAAAATAATCGTCGATGATTTCTTTTAGCCAATTCTAGATTACAAAGCTTAAATCTATGGTGTATATAAGATTCCCCTATAAGTTTCTAAGAAATTATAGATATCAATGACTAAAAGTACAATTATAAAATTTTCTTTTATAAAAAAGAAGTAACAAGAATAACATGCAAGGTTTGTGGAGTTATCAGACACAGCTGTAACACATTGAATATGTTCCTAAAAATGATCAAACAATCTGAATACATCTCCCATTTCTTTGTTTTTCAACCCCAAACTGAAATAACAAACAATATTGCAGGTTATATTTGTTCCAACGCCTTACTAGGTGACAAACACTTTATTGATTTTAAATAGACTTCAATGCGTCATTACGACGATGCCCCTATAAACTTGTGATCTTTCACTTTGCCAGGCTCTTAGTCACCAAGATGGATCTATTACTAGCCCACTTACGTTAAAGTTCTCATGTGTAGGCTCAAGAACATTTCCTCTCCATGGAAATATATAATCCAGATCATGTAACTTAGGTTCTGATGCCAGTTGATGAAACTAGATAACGGTTTCAACATTCGATACTTACACGAAATCATGAAGAATGAAATGACGATAATTTTACGACTTTATCATAATCATAATGCGTAGTCTTTCACATTTAAACCAACAAATTAATTATGCGTAATCTTAAGTACACTGACGAGACTCGTTCTTGCATCTCTCAAAGTTAAAGAGGATATTGCGACTCTGTGTTTTATTTTCTGAATCAGTGGCAAAGGTTTATACAAATTACTTAACTCTCTCATGGGCTTGTGATCCACAGGCCCAGCTCATCTAACCATCACTTCACTCGATTCGCTGTTCCGGTTAACGATTAATTAAATTATAGTATCTATATCTTATTATATAAAGCTGGATGCATGCATTCTGGTTGCGACACGTAGAATTTTTATAAAATTTAGGATTGCGACATGTGTCACTTTTAATGTTATATCCGTTAAGATCGTGACATGTGTTTTAGAAAAAAAGTAAAAAAAAATAATAATTAAAAAAAATTAGATAAAGGAAAAAAAAAACGAAATTTTAATATTTTATAGTTAAAAGAAAAAAAAATTTATATTATCCAAATTTCCTAATAGAAAAAGGTTTCTTATTCATCAAATTTATATTATTACTGTAGAAAAATATCCAAAAACGCCATAAAGAAATTTAAATTTATATGTTTCCCATAATTCAATATTCAGTTATTACTGTAGAAAAATATCATCTCGAAAAATAAATAAAAGAATAGAAAATTCAATTTGATAACACAAGCATGATAGTCAAGAAGAAGGACATTCGAAAACATCTTCGTCTATACGAAAAAAAAAGAACTCAGAAATTCAAGAGAAAAGCGGCGTAGTTCGGAGCGCATGACGATGGTGATATGTCGTTACGAGGCAAGGGAGAATCAGCTCGGCCGCTGCTAGTCGGAGCTCGGACGCGTCGACGGGGACTTGTATGTAGTGGAGGGAGGAGGGTAGCGGTGATACGAGCGAGCGCCACCGTGTATTCTTCAAGCAACTCGGCGGCGATGGATACTGTTATCATGATGGTTTGAATATGCTCTGATGATGATTTGCTTTGATGTCTTGTTACAACCTCCGATAACTTATATATATTGTAATTTGCAAGATATGACAATGTGGTTACCTTTAATGTAACGTTGTCGTACTTATAGAGTATGGGATCTGAAGCTAATGGCCATAAATTCTGGTAGGTTATTGTCATAAATTATTGTAGCCGTCAGATCTACCAACTTTATTGAATTTAATAAACTCTTTGGGGAGTTTGGTTTCGTTAAAAAAGAAATCTTACAAATACTGTATTTTTGGGAATATTAGCTAACGTTGATGGGTTTCTAAAACTGTTAAAACAAAAAAATAGCATTAAAGAGTAAACAATTAATTGAATAATATATTTGTATATATATATATATAAATGTTAGCTAACAACTGGTCCAACTAGCTACTTGTATGATTGTAGACGGTAGACCCTAGGGAAATCAAAGACATCATGCCGTGATATAACTTGATTGGTCATGAGTCATGATATTATTTGTTTTGTTTTAATGAAAATAACCGATCTTCTTTAATTGTTTTATTATTTACTCTTTTGAGTAAAGCAAAAATGTACCTTTCATGTTTAGATAACAAGTAGAGTGAAAAAGAGTCCAATCTGAAATTTTAATATCGTTGCCGTAAGTTGAGAAATGAGTTTTTATCAAGTTTTTATAGAAAGACTTCAGCTCTAATTCTTGGCAAAGAAGCCGATTGGCACAAGCAACATCAACTATTCCGACTATGAACCAATAGTCTAGAACTTCCTAGTTAACCAAAACAAAATAAAAACCAACTAGAAATTATCCGTTAACTTATAGTTTACTTAAAATACTTGTTATTCGTTTAGAGTTGTTATCAGCAGATTATTTGTATTTTTCTTCTACTTCGGTTTGACATATATTCTATTTGAAAATGATGTGTTTCCGAGTTGTTGGGAGACCAATGAACATAATTTTGGGGCCCAAGTTGATTTTTGTCTTTCTGGAACACATTTGATATTCTTATAATGTTTGTGTTGATGGATACTGGATAGATAAGGCCATTGGCTTAAGTAAGCCTCTTATGCAATCCATTGGTTTCAACTTAAAGTTTTTTAGAGTTCTAAGTGATGACAAAATAATCGTCGATGATTTCTTTTAGCCAATTCTAGATTACAAAGCTTAAATCTATGGTGTATATAAGATTCCCCTATAAGTTTCTAAGAAATTATAGATATCAATGACTAAAAGTACAATTATAAAATTTTCTTTTATAAAAAAGAAGTAACAAGAATAACATGCAAGGTTTGTGGAGTTATCAGACACAGCTGTAACACATTGAATATGTTCCTAAAAATGATCAAACAATCTGAATACATCTCCCATTTCTTTGTTTTTCAACCCCAAACTGAAATAACAAACAATATTGCAGGTTATATTTGTTCCAACGCCTTACTAGGTGACAAACACTTTATTGATTTTAAATAGACTTCAATGCGTCATTACGACGATGCCCCTATAAACTTGTGATCTTTCACTTTGCCAGGCTCTTAGTCACCAAGATGGATCTATTACTAGCCCACTTACGTTAAAGTTCTCATGTGTAGGCTCAAGAACATTTCCTCTCCATGGAAATATATAATCCAGATCATGTAACTTAGGTTCTGATGCCAGTTGATGAAACTAGATAACGGTTTCAACATTCGATACTTACACGAAATCATGAAGAATGAAATGACGATAATTTTACGACTTTATCATAATCATAATGCGTAGTCTTTCACATTTAAACCAACAAATTAATTATGCGTAATCTTAAGTACACTGACGAGACTCGTTCTTGCATCTCTCAAAGTTAAAGAGGATATTGCGACTCTGTGTTTTATTTTCTGAATCAGTGGCAAAGGTTTATACAAATTACTTAACTCTCTCATGGGCTTGTGATCCACAGGCCCAGCTCATCTAACCATCACTTCACTCGATTCGCTGTTCCGGTTAACGATTAATTAAATTATAGTATCTATATCTTATTATATAAAGCTGGATGCATGTTGCGACACGTAGATTTTTATAAAATTTAGGATTGCGACATGTGTCACTTTTAATGTTATGTCCGTTAAGATCGTGACATGTGTCTTAGAAAAAAAGAAAAAAAAATAATAATTAAAAAAAATTAGATAAAGGAAAAAAAAACGAAATTTTAATCTTTTATAGTTAAAAGAAAAAAAAATTATATTTGTCATATCCTAATAGAAAAAGGTTTCTCATTCATCAAATTTATATTATCCAAACACATATAAGATTCAAATTAATGAAATAAATAAAATCCTATTAGTACATGAAATAGGTTAGGTTTAGTTAATCTTTTATAGTTAAAAGAAAAAAAAATTATATTTGTCATATCCTAATAGAAAAAGGTTTCTCATTCATCAAATTTATATTATCCAAACACATATAAGATTCAAATTAATGAAATAAATAAAATCCTATTAGTACATGAAATAGGTTAGGTAAACTAAATTTCCTATAACTGCATGGAATAAGTTACATGAACCCCTATAAAAAGAGAGTTAAAGTAGTCTTTTTTTTCTCATTCACAAACTCATCAAAGCAAACAACATGATAGCAATACGTATGATTTTTATAACTCACAAAATTGCGATATGTGTAATAAAATAAATAATAAAAAAAACTAACTAATAATGAAAATGAAAATTTATAATGGTCTGAGTCAAAAACAAAATTGAGAAAGAAACAATATAAATAGAAAACTAACAAATTAATTATCAAGCAACTAACTAATATTAAGAAAATATAATGAACCGATATTCTAATTTTAAATAGTTTAATATATTTTCAATATTGTTAGGTAAAAAATTATTAAATAAAGATTTCATCAATTGAAATCTCTTGAATGGAATAATAAAGTTTTGTTGAATTAATTAATCAGTTGATCATATTTAGACATATATAAGTCTTTCTATATTGGATAAAAATAAAAATAAAACAAATTAATTCATTTTTTATATCATGAATTCAAAAAAAATATCAATTACAATAAAAACGTAAAAAGGTTACCGATCTTATTTTATTTAAATATTTTTATCGGGTTTTTAATATTATTCTGTTTACTTTAAAATGATCAAATTTGGTTTAATACTTTTCCATGATTTTATTATAAAATCTTAAAATAAACCCGCGTATACGCGGGTCTTAATCTAGTATACTATAATCGCTGACAGCAACAACATTAATTTAGCTGTCAATCGCTATCCAAATCTAAAACGTTAAACTCTTCATATTGTTTTTGGTTATTCATCGCTAAAACTTGTCACTTGACTAACCATTATAAAACAAACAAGATTTGGTCGATGTCACTAATCGTTGACAACTACAAAATACATAAAAATGTATTGATGATTAGTGATTACTGTCGTCGACAATTTAACAGACAATGTCTCTATTAATATAACTTTAGAGTACCTTTTTTAGCTCATACTTTATGCAATGAAACATCGCTAAGTTAAGAGAAAATCAACCTTCAAAAATTTGAGAGGTTGAGGAGAAATAGTCAGGCTAGGCTGGAAAAGCAGCCACGTCGGAGAAATGGAGATTGACGTAGCAAAAGAAAAAGGAAGCACACCATGTGCGACCCACACGGATCTCACATTCCCACTAGATTCTCCTGTCTCTCATTATCGACCACATTTTCATCACGAGATCAAAATTTCCCCAAGAATATACAAAACAATTCGAGTCACACTCTCATACACACACATATCTACGTGTATTTACATAAATTTGAATAGATTCAGTATCGATCGTTTTTTTCAGTTGCGATTACGTATATACCAAAGCGTAACGTATCCATCGATAAATAAATATACCAACCACATTATATAAAAAATTATATAGTTTACAACTTTTTTTTTGTTTGTTTGCATCGTTACCTATCTTCCTTCTTTTCTTTTTCTTCATTTTTCTTACGTAATTAATTACCCTAGTTATATAATTTTCGTGGACCATACGAAATTGAATTAAGAAATGCAACAAGCGTTAGGGTTCTCGTCGCTAAAAAGCTGCGGCGGAGGAACCCTTTCGATGACGTATAAAGGCTGGTAATAATACATCATTCTTTTCATCTCTTCTTCTTCCCTCACCGCCATCTCCTCCGTAGCCACCGTCTCTTCTCCTCCGTCGTCCTCTTCCTTCTTTTCTCCCTCATTCTTCTCCTCCACCTTCTCTTCTTCTGTTTCTGCTGGTTTCTCATCGCCTTTACCGCTCTCCTCCTTCTTTTCTTCCTCCGCCACCGGGTTTTCAGGTTCTGGGTCAGGTTGGGGTACGATTCTGGCTTGCTTCTTGGTCCGACGGTAGACGTAGTCCACCAATTTCTGTTCGTCCATCGTCCCGGTAACTATTACTTTTCCGGTGGTGTGCTCCGTCACTGTTGTTTGGACCCCTAAGCAGAAAAAATATTACTCAGTTTAAATGTATTAAGTTGCACCAATCAAATGTCTTCAATAAAATTAAATTTACCCGCTTAAATTTTGCTTGTGCACGCATGAAATAATCGTAGTGCACGTGATACATAACGAGATATCTAATGAATTTAAATGTGAAAAAACATGAACACTTAAGGAACTTTTCTACCACTTTACCTATATGTTTTAGCCGTGTGAAAAATCAGTATAAAAAGACATTTTTGAATAATTATTGCCATTCATTTTCTTAACCAACGAGAGATGTATAAAAGATTACTTTGGTTTTACGTCTTTTACGAGATCCAGTGTATATATATAAAATGTACCTCTCATTTTCAGAATCTTCTTCCTGAGCTGTTCAGCACACGCTTCACAGTGCATGTTGACGTTGAGCTCGACGGTGATGAGGCCGGAGACCTGAGAGGCTATGATCGGCGGCAGAGGCTCTCCCTCGGCGGCCGGAAGCGGCGAGATAACTTTTGCCATTCTTTTAGTCTTCTTCTTGATTTTGTTACACACTGCTTGCGGATCCAACACTCCCTTTATCGTCACTTGGTTCGCATTCATGTCCATCACCACTTCTTCCACACCTACACAATTTTCGTATTCAGTATAACAAATAGAGTAACTATTTATTTCAGCTACCTATGGAGCTTTATAATATTTAGGTACTTTATAGAAAATATACAGTATGTGTGTAGTTGCAAATATAATTAATATAGTAGTTGTGATTCTGAGAATGAATTTATTGTTTTTAAACAATTTTTTTTAAAAAAACTGATGAACAATTGTTCCTTAGCCGAATCTAGTTGTCCCTTCATTTATATTTATTTTTACCTCTAATTTTTAGAATAGATCTTTCAATCTTCCTGGCACATCCTACACAATGCAAGTCAACGTATAGTATGAATGGCGGAGGCGGTGGTGGCGGTTGCGGTTCTTCCTCCACCGTTGGTGTCTCCTCCTCAACTGCCGCTTTCTTCTCCTCCGCAACATCTTTCGTCTTCTCCTCCTCCTTCGCCGTGGCAGGCTCTGGGACGGCCTCTGGTGCAGAGGCAGCATCCTTTACCTCCTAGTAATGAAAACATCAGTCACCAATTAATAGGTATATTTTGTTGCTAATTAAATACTGTACAAACTTTGATTCTTACTGGTTTTACTTCTTCACCCATTTTCTAGATTCTGTTTTGAGGAAAATTATAACTGAAACGAAGAAGGGAGAAATGTTATGAGGGATGAGTAGGGGGAGGGAGTGTTTGTATGAAACACTGCAATATATAAAGACGGAGGAGGAATTTGAATTATAATTATTTTATAATTTAGCAAAAAAATAAAAATTGAATTATTGATGAATAATGAAAGTTAGAGGTAGGAGCTAACAGAACATAAAGCATAAGAGGTTGATTCCATAGCACATGGCAGAGAACTAATCATCCAACATATATGGACACACCCCTTCACCCTTGTATGCATATATAGATTTATTCTTACATTCAATTATGTTTTTTTCTTTCTTACAAACAACCTTTTTTAAAAAAATATATATATTTCTTTCTCGCAATTTAACCATTTCTAGCCATCAACAAATTTACCCTTTTCTTGAGCAATTGCTTTTTTACCATTTCTTCAGAGGGCCGGGAACAAGGTGGCCCGAGGTTAGTACGATATATAGACAGAGAATGTGGGTGTTCTTGATCATTTACCGGTGAAATATAGAGTTGAATGACTTTTTAATGTCGTCATATTAATAATTGAATTATGGCCGGTTTGTTTTTATGTGTGGATGAATGGCCAGTATGGATAAGTTCAATATCAAAATTTGTATCCACATTTTGTTTTGTTTTGTAAAATCAGTTTTTCAGTTAGATTTTGGAATCAGATTTAATCTTATTCAATTTTTAACTGTGATTTTTTTTTTTGTCAATTAACAGTAATAAAAATGAATTGTTGTTGTAAGAAACGATTCTTTGTAAAATTATTCTCCCGATAGGTAAAGAAAACGAATTAAGAAAGTATACAAAATTTCCTCTCCTGATATGAATTTTCTTTTTCATGGGAGAGAAACTAAAGGTGTATTCTTGATAACGAGGAAATTATATATAGATAAATGAATGGAATCATGGGATAATATTTTTTGGCATCGAAAAGGACAATACTTTGCATCATACTCACCGACTTTACTGATTACGTATATTAAATATTCCTCGTTTTATTTTCCTATAGTAAATTTCTTCCAAGCATATTCTAAAGTTTAGCAAGCAATAGTTATAGCCAAATGTTAGTTCGAGAAAAAGATGATTATATGACATATTGACATGTCATCATCAGCTCTACCCACACTACTTTTTGACTAAATTTTATTTATTAAGAATATATTAGGTTATGAAGTTGGAAAGCTTGATGAAAGTACTGTATGCTCCTATACATTACATTTAGTAGAAGCTTCATGAATCGACTCCATTAGCGAGTACTATGTAACTAAGGATATAAGTGTTTAAAACTTATCATATACTCGAACAACATAATTCAATCATTCGAAGGCGCTTGGATTGATCACATGTGGCTCTTATTAGATCTCCTGCATTAATTGGTTTTGGGTGAAATTATACAATCTAATTTACAGCCGTACTGTTGTCTGTTAAGTATTAACTGCTAAGTAAATCAAGAATTCCAGACAAAACCATACACGCTTTCTACTTTTTAAGGTCGGCAATGATAAATTCCATGTACAGCATCCTACGGGGAAAACAGTAAAAGAATGTTTAAGACCATCTAATCTTTTTGTCACAATTTTACCCAAACTATTGAGACGCGTACGTAGGAGAAAAGTTTCAGGTGAATTTAATTTTGTTTTCTTTCTAATTTACACGTCCTTTATTACTACTTTTAGCTTTTCAAAAAAATACATTTTCATTTCAGTAATATGTATAATGTATTCTATTATGCTCAAAGCTATATATACGTTGTTGTTTTAAATATTTAGTCCTTGCTTATTTCAAACACAGTTTTTTTTTCATTCTACGTCCAAATATTTTCGAATGGTTCGAAGTGGTTAGAAAAGACAAGTCGTCAAACTATAGTTGTATTCATTGTATGAAAGTTTATCTTCGTTCGTTAACGCGGATTTGTTGATTTGATCTAGTTCCTTTTAGAAGAAGCATCAAATCCTTTACCCACAAGTTTCGGTTAATTGTATCCTCGATTCTGAGAACAATCTAGTCAGTAGAAAAGTTATTGAACTATGGCTTGGCTGTGACTGGTGGCATATATAGCAGACAAATAGCAAACCCATTTCTTAAAAAGCAAATTTTGGGGATGGATGCAACGTGGGGTGCACAAAAAATTGAAAAATACTGAAAGAACTTTTGGCATGGTGGAAAGTAGAAACCACGTGGGATGCTTTTGATTAATTTTGGACAAATGGGAGACTGATTTATTCTTGTTTGGCTGTTAAGACAACTTAATTTTGTAGACCAATTTTCATATACATCAGGTATTGCATTTTTTTCCAGGATTAAAATTTAAAAGAAAAAGGTATACCACTCGAAATTTCAGCACGTTGATGTTATAGATCAAAGATCACATCCTTCAGGTTAATATCACTATCTCAATTTTCTTAATTACGTCATAGTTTTTTAGGTTTTAAAAACATTTTCACATATACATGATATGCTTTAATTTCTCTGTACGTAACAACTAACTACTAGTCAGATAACTGACGGTGTATGTATCAATACCTATATACAATATGTCATGTTATACAAGGTATCATGTATGTATGTATGCATGCAACTTCATCTAAAAAATTATTTAAAACTTTTTAAAGCATACTTACATGCAAGTCAAATATGAGCATATATATTTGGTGAAACAAATCTTAAAATAAGCAAAATAAATTAAATAATTATTTAAAACAAGATACGCTAAATAGTAAATACAAACAATCTTGTATTCTGTACCGAGCTATGACTAAATACAACAGATGGTACTTAAGAATATTATATTAGATAATCTTCTATGATTTATACCATGTTGATCATATTATAACATAAAGCATGCGTTCAGAAATACTCAGGAGAGATCACAAACTAAAAATGTCTACCACATGACTTTTCGGTATTGATGGAGACATTCGTAAGTTTGCTAAACCACAAAAACATAAAGACTTCGATAGAAATATTCTTCTAAATTTGAATACGCAACGTAGAACGTCGTTGATGAATAGTTGTTTGGAGTTTTCATTGTTCGTACTGAGCTATCTCATCATCTCCAAATCACAAATGTAATTTAGGTGACAAGACTAATTAACATCAATGTATGTTGATCCTTTGTACCCTATTTGATATATAAATTGCAACTCTGACATAATATACATATATAGTATATATAAACAAGTATTAGAGTTATTTAGCATAAGATAGATGCTCATAGTTATAAATTAAGGCTTTTTAGGCATTTTGCGTCTAACCACTAAGATAAAGTGAATGCTAGAAGAAAATGGTCGATGAAAGTGTGCAAGAGAAATTCACTCAGATTCTAACGTATGTAGTTGAGACTTGAGAGGTTTCATTATAATTTAAAAAGGTAAACAGTTCGGGCCCATGTTTACATGTGCCCAAACACCTGGAGCTGACTCAGCTTATACAATGCTGCATGCATACATTTTTGTGCATATCTATGAATGTATATTTTTTCCAAATATATATTATCATCTCCATATTTCTTGTGGGTTTGACAAGAATTCCTAGAAGTGTTTAGAGTGGTGAAAGTTTTGAATGTTTTAAATACTATTTTGTTAATGGTTTTAATAATATACAAATATAAAAGATGATTTTTTAAAACGTTTTGCAGATCGTTCTGGAAATAATATGAAGTTCCTTTTATACCAACGGCAACATGCGGCTTTAGTCTGCATCAAAAGTAAACCCAAAAAGTATAAAAGAAAAAAAGTCATACGTACACTAAGATGATAACTCTAAGCTATGAACCGAACTAGTTTCTGTGGTATGTGGTAGAAAAAACAGACTTTAGTTTGATCTAATGATACTGTTTTCTAGCATCGAGTCATTCATATCCACAATTGTATACTACGCTTTAAAAGTGTGCGTCGTCTTTTCTAGTCACTAGAATCGGATTATTGTTTTAATTCAAATAAAATTATACGTGAATTCTAAAAGTAGTTTGAGATAAAGTTAGTTAGTGTTCAGTGCATTGCATGTGGTGACCTGAGTCCAACTGCAATGGCGTTAAGATTCGAATGTACATATTTTTGTATACATGTTTATACTGCCAAACGCGATTAAGATTCTGATACGAAACTGGGCAAACGCAATCTCATGACGCATGTGGTCAGGAATAAAATTCTTAAAGCTTTAGATTCCCTCTTAACATCTACAACAACATAAAACTGTAAAATTTTGAGCCGTACAAGTTTAAATACTACACTCCTAAACCGGCCTTATAGTTAAACAAGCGACACAACAACAAGCAGAGCAGATGCAGAATCTGCCCAAGCCCCTACTTTATACACACAAAACCGCCCTCTCATCCCGAAAAACCACCTTTCATACTTTTATTCGCATCATACAAACATCACATTCTCACCGGAACTTCGCCGTTAAACTGCAAACTGACATCACAAACACAACCGCCACCACACCCGCCCTGACAAGCCCTCTGTATGAACCTCCCATAGCTGCAATCTTCTCGAATATCAAACCAGTCCTGCTTTTCGATTTGATGAAGTTTCCACATCTCTTCGTTATACTCTCTCTTGCTGTATCCTTGTCCTGTACACATTTAATCACGTCAATAACCAAAGTTTTATAATTATCATGCATTATCTGAAAAAAACAAAACTTCCTTCTCACCTCTTTCTTGATATTTTGTTGTGTATTGTCTGGTTCCGACTTGCCACTGTTAAGGTTAACCTGAAGACGCAGCCTTCTTGAGGCCTCTCCTTGCATTGCAAACTGCTCAGCACAACGCGGCGCTTGTCCCTGCCGTGACCTAACCTTGATTCCCGTTGATGCGTAAGTATTGATCTTGTTGCGTGTGTCGACCAGATTATGCGGCTCATATCGAATCTGCTCCGGCATCGGTTGCGCTACTAACTCTTTCTTCTCCGGAAACTCATAAGGAATCTCAAGAAGCGTATCCAAGAACTCGGACATGTATTCGTCAGCGGCGTTGTTGTTTGTACCGTACTGAGTCTGAACGTTAGCACCATTGTGGTTCCCGAATAGTTCGCTTGGCCCAGACTGAAACTCGTTGAAAGCGGATCCGAGCTCAGATTGCACCTGAGAGTGCAACGGAGAGAACATCTTGAAATCCAGCGACTCGAACTCCAGATACGAGAGCCAATCGAGATCGTCAGGCTGCTGATCAAAAGTAAAGTTTGTTGTAAGTTCACAACGCAAGCAGCTCCTGTCAATGAAAAAGACTGAAATTTTGTTCATTTTCTTTACCTCAGGGGCAGAAACTTCACTGCGACATTCGCTGGAGACTACAAGAGAAGACTCTGCGGCGTCAGGAGAAGGCTTTGCGTCTGGAGATACAACCTCAGACTTCATCCCGTCCACAACAGTAGGAGACGAAACCGCTGGCTCTGCTTCACACGACTTCGACTCTTCTTGCGCAGCTCCATTCACAATATCTTGCTTCTTGAACAACTTACACACGACAAACGGGTTCTGCAAACCAAGAACGAGAATCAGAAACTCTCGAAAACAATAACAGTTTTTTCAAGATCCTGGTTTTAACTACCTGGCCAGGCTTTGTGCCATCAAGATCCTTCTCGGTTGCACGGTACTCATGCATAATCCAACACGTTCTTGTGCCTTTAGGAGCACGTCCTGTGTAGAAGACGAGAGTCCTCTTAACTCCTATAATCTTGGTGTTCCCTGACTTGATCTTCCGGTCTTTCCCCGTCGCCTTCCAGTAGCCAGCCACCGTGGCCCGGTTCATCCTACTCCCGCTCGGATACTTCCGATCCAATGGACAGAAGAAGAGCCACTCTGAGTCTGTCGTCTTCACCACAGAGAAATCTGCAACACAGAATCATCACGACTGCAAAATTAAACTCTTTACTCCTTTATCCAATCGTTTACTGATTCCACTACACAAGATAATTTTGATTCCAGATTCAGAAACTTTTGGGAAATAGCAGAATTCGGAATTGAAAGCCTGAGAGCTACTAAAGAGCTTAAAGATTGAAAATCTCAGAATCCAAGACATGGCACAATGTTACTGATCGCTTTATAGACGACGAACAGATATGAAATTCAAAAAGCCCAAAGTAATCAAAGATCGATCTGACAATCTAAAGGATAGATGAAATCGAATAGAGAGATGAAGAAATGAGCAAGTGAATACCAGGCAAATCCCAGGGCTCCCATTTGCAGATATCGATCTCGCGGATTACTCTGACTTCATCATCACGGCCGTTGATCTTCAGCCGGAGATAGTACCGGACTAACTCCTCGTCCGTCGGGCTAAATCTGAATCCCACCGGTAGTGAGGCCAGCGATAAGACTTCCATGGCTCTTTTTTCGCAGGTGCGATTTTGAAAATTTCGAGCTCACAGGATTTTAATATCCAGGAATTGGATCGGAGATGCGATTCAAAAAGGTATCGAGAAGGAAACGAAAGAGCAGATTCCAGAATTTGAGGGATACGAAAAACCCTAGAATCGATGCGATTTGGTAAAGTGAAGATGAAGAAGAAGAGATGTGACACGAGTTGGTCAGAGGAGAAGAGATAGAATCAAAAAGATGAAAAAGCAGCGCGTGGAAATTTATATATATGGATATTATATAACACGCGCCACTTTCCCAGAAACACCAAAAACCACGTTCGTTACGCGTAAAGGTGAGATTAGTTAAATACCTGCTTTACCCCTGAAGCAGAGTAAGTGAATTAGCACACTACAATGCTACATCCTGGGAAGACAAGGGGTACAGCAGTAAAGATAGGATGTCCGAAAGAGAGCTGTCAGCTAGCGAATCATGTATTGACACGTAGATGGAGTAAAAAGGAAGCTTCGTCGACTTTAATAGTCCAAGTTAGCTCAAAGGAAGTTCTTCAGGAAATGTTGGAAACTTTTACCCAAGTGACCAGCCCATCTTACTAAAAGAATTTGTTGTTTAAGCCCAATAAACGAGAGCCCAATTAGGGGTGTCAAAATAGGTAACCCGATCCAACCCGACCCTAACCCATACGGGTTTGAAGGTTATAGGGTTGGGTTATGACCCGACCCATTTATTTTATGGGTTGTAATTTATAACCCGAACCCAATTATGTTAGTACCCATGGGTTAAATGGGTTTTATGGGTATCCATATATATTAAAAATAAGTAATATTTTTTCGTTTTTACAATAAATGAGTAATATTTTTTTTTAAAATATACTATATATTATTAAAAATTCAACTTAAACTTCCAAATAATAAATTTATAGTAATATTTGTGTATTAAAATAATTGTGTATTAATATTTATAGTAATATTTGTGTATTAAACAAATTAAAATACTCATAATTAGGTAAAATATAAAATAAAATCATAAAATATAACTATAAATTTATAAAAAAAAAAATTTTGAGAAACCCATGGGTAACCCGTAACCCTAATGGGTAAACCCGTTAGACCCATAAATTATTAGGGTCAACCCACAAAAACCCATTTATTTATATGGGTAAAAAATTTCAACCCAAACCCATTAAAATTTTTGACCATTAGGGTCAACCCATGGGTAATGACCCATTTTGACACCCCTAAGCCCAATTGACCCAAAAGATGTCGAAGAAGTGGCTGTGACCGAAGCTAGTGGAGCAGAGAAAACTGAGGTAGTTGCACCAGAAAATGTAGTGGTCACTGAACAAGTAGTGAAAGAGGAGAGTGCTAAAGAAGAGAGCAAAGAGCCTCTTTTCACCGTTTTATATTAAAACATATTCATAATGTTTTGGCATTTTGTTTTAGTTGATTTTGATTTGATTTTTTGCTACTCAGGTGGGAAAAGTAAAATGATATGACCTCTTATTTTATTCATTCACTTAAGTTGTTGGATAACGAAGATAATCTTGGGAATGATAACATTTTATTCACTAAGCAACATCATAACTCGTTGACACGGTTCAACTACCATTGAACCTGAATCAATACAACTTAATAAAAGATTTGCATGTTCCATAATACAAAACTATCCTCAAATCTCTCTCGACTACTTACTCTACACAATTTGAGCTAAGCTTCTAGTCTCAGTCTCCTCCGCGTCCGCGACCGTAACGTTACATTCCATTGAGTCAAAAGTTAAATCAAGGAAGTACAACAAACTAACAAGAACGCAGCACGTTATGAACATCGGGATCGGACCAAAGATCCATAGGAACAAAGGCGATGAGAAGTAGAACGCTCTTAGTCCTAAAGACCAAAAGTAGCTCCCACGGTTAACTGTTGCAGCCACATAGTCTTGGTTTATCATCATAAGACTACCATGACCATGACCACCCGAAGATACAGCCATCAGCTGTTTAAAGGGAACATTGATGAGAATGCTTGCGTGGCTGTAATAACGGATTGACTGGACGTTGAGAAGAAACGCGACTAAGAAGCAAACGAGGATTGAGAAGAACTTGATCGAGAAGGCTCGGTCGCTTTTGTCACCAAACACAAACCAGACAGATCGCTCTCCCGTACCGCTGGTCATTAGTACCGCGATTAGTGAACACAACATTATTGCGGTTGATGCCAATAGAGTTGACGCCATTATGTTGTTCCTTAGCGTTTGTACCGCTAGAACGCCGTTTTTGGATGAGTCCTGTAATTGCATTTGTTGTAAACAGATGTAAAATCAAAGAGAGGAATCATATTGGTGGAAGCTGAACTAAAAAAGTTTCGTTTCCATTTTCAAAAATAAGTACACTAGCATCCATTATTTTTTGCCCAGAAAGGCAAAACATCTTTTCATTAGTATTCACACTTACAGACTCATTTCCAGATTTTCAGAATCTAAAAAGCATCCCCATTGGTTCTATATAAAGAACTTTAACAAAATTAATCAATACTATATATGTAATGTCTTTAACGAAAAAATACAAAAATATAAAAATATAGACATGTATAATATGTTCACATATGAACAACAAAAGAAAGATGATCTCTAAATTAAAGGACGAACAAAGTTTTGGTACTGTTTCAATTTATCTTATTCGTTTGTCAATTGGTGAGGCCCATGCATGATGATATTATACATAGAAACATAGATTATCAGCATCTCATCCTCCAATACTAAAAGAACTGAAACTGGTGTCAGAATTTTCTTTCCCATAAAAATCTCTTTACATGCATACACTCATCATTTATCACATATTATTCAAATTAATGAATAAATATTGTTGAGTACACACTATCTGCATAATGTAATTTATATGTAGATAAACACACACACACACACATCCACACGTGTGCGTGAATATCTCCTTAGGTTTCTCCAACCATAAAAAAATATAACCAATGAGCTCAATGTTCTTCCCAAGAACAATTTTGCATTTTCCAGAAAATGATCACTAGCAGAGATCTACACATACGATACGACCATGCATGAATATAATAAATAAATGGAAAAGGGAAATACCTCCATCATGGCTTGGACCCAGAGGCGGCGGTTGAAGGCGTTGAGGCCGACGACGGTTGAAGATGGACGGTGGATGATGCGGTGGAGAAGCCATAGATGATAAAACACCATCAAACCCATCCCTAATGGCACCAATATGTAATCCAAATACTCACGATCCATTTTTTTCTTTTTTTCTTTTTTTTCACCAGATCGAGATTGATCCAATTCACACAGGAAATTAGAAAGACAAAACAAAAAGCAACGAAGAGATTGAGAGAATCAAAGTGAAGCACGGGTCTTACGTGGACCCTTCCGTATCTAATGCACTCCTCTCTCTCTCTCTAGATAGTTTTCTGCTTCCCGGATTCTCAGGCGTTTCCTCTCACTCTCTCCTATACTCCCTTTTATAGATTTGAATCTTTGTATATAAACGTGTGTATGTTATTATTTTATACATATACAGTCACACCTCCACTTGTAAACAAACGAGCCCTAGCTGTTAATTTTGGACCAGGTTTTGCCAATGTTTAGATACCAAACATACATTTAGAGTATGTTTATTTCAGAAAATATATTGTATCAATCACAGTAATTCACTTCACCTTTCTCTCAACAGAAAATGCTAAAGAATTTGTTAAAATGCATTTTAGGATACTTTCGACATTAAAAGTTTGTTTTTTCCCGATACTATAAGTTTTTTACTACCATAACTATCAACCACAGTGAAGATTCTTCAAAAGTTTCTTGTTCACCATTTGAGATCAAGAGGAGCTTTTAATGAATTAACAAGAAAAAGCATGCAAAAGATATTATTTATTTCGTTTTCCAACAACTACCACCCTAAAGTTTTTCTTCAACAACTCGCAACTCAAAAGCATGCAAAAAGTTTTCTTTAAACTTATCTAAAAAAAAACATGCAAAAGATAATACAGTATAATACTCTCTTTATGTCACTTTAAGCGATGTTTCAAGAAATTTACACACATTTAAATTCAAGAAGTTTTTTATATGCTGAATTCTTTTTTTTTTTTTTTGTGATTGGTAACCATACTAGTGATTCATTGATCGAGATTACCAATCGGTAATCGCACGCTACTGTTACTATAAATCAACATGTTTTATCTTCAAAAACAAGGATGCTGAAAACATTGGTCTATATTTTTATTGTATGGATTCAGAATTAATAATGGACGGTTGTGAATTAGAAAGCAGCTAATTTTAGAGCCATGCAAATCAGAGGATATATAAATGTGGTTTAGTCGAAAATGACGCGTAATCAAACTTTTCAGAACAGCGACGGCCCAATGAAGGCCCACATAACTCCTCTGACGTTTATCTTTGTTTCACGTCTGATTTGGCATCCGTGTATTCCTCGAGGGTTCCCCACCAGAACGATGTTGCCATTGCTGATTGCTCTTATTATAATTAGGAACAACAAGAACTCAATTACAACATTTCTTAATAATTTCATAGGAGTGAATGTAAGAGTTTTCATAGCATTATAAATTTGTTAAGAGTTTGATGTTTTCACAAGCACCATGTTTTCACTACCACCAAAGTCCTAATAAGAGTCGTATGGGGAGGCTTGGGAGCTATTAAGTGTAGCATTTAATTAGAGCGAGTGACATGTTACTGTTACCATTACTAAAGCCTTTCGTTGACTTTTTGTTTTATTACAAAGAATTTAATGTCTGACTATTTTCAACTATTACCGGATCTGTCTCGAACTAGGCAGCCCGTACCTCAACACGTGTGTTTATCTTCGATTAAGTTAACACGTGTCTATATTCAATAGACTGCCAAAATGAGTACAGCTACATGATTTGGATTGTTCCGTATGTTTCATTATTCACACAATCACACCTACATTTTTAAAGGTTCATCAATCATCATTATAAAACTCCAATTGATAAACTTCTAAAAATATCACAAGTGATGAACAGCTTTACCGAGGTAACGTGTAGAGTTGATTAACTAGCTAGAAATGCCAAAAAACAAAAAAGTCTCTCTAACAGTTCTGGGGGTTTTACTTAAAGACTAACACAATACCAAATCATAAAAAACAAAACAAAAAAGCATTAATTTGCAAACAGGAAGTAGCAAGATTATCTAAAGGAAACGAGAGAGACGTAGCCAAACAAATCAAACAGTACTGAGGCAATTAAAGAAACGAATTCTAATAAGAATAAATCATTAATGCATCATGAGGTTCAACCAAGATAAGCAATAACAAAGAAGAATCGTGATACAAGGGGGTCTAGTTAACCAAATTTTTAGAAAAATGAATCCTTAATCTTCGTGGTGGTGCATGGTTTAGCTAAACTAAGTTATACGTGTCGATATTACCTAAATTTCAGTAATATTTTTATACTAAGACTGCAAGACATATTAATTTTTATAGTAACGACTGAATATTTTATCCTTAGATACATACATACACATATTGGAAATAAATCCTTTAGCGCATACTATAACTATGCATTAAAACCATTATATGACATGGAAATGACTTTTGATAAGTGTCATTTGTGTTATCACATTTGTGTTATCACACGACTTTAAACCCATATAATGTACATGTTGATGTTATCCACAAAGTAGTATAACTCCTAGTATAACAGTGTTGACGTCTATGTATCATTTCGAGTTTCCTGGCTATATACAAAGAATTTGACATATTTTTGACTGTTATATAAAATTTAGTTTACAAGAAGAATTTGATCCATGCTGTCCAGTGATAAAATGAAAAAAGATGTGAAGGAGCAAAGAAGACGGGTGAAGTTAGGTGAGCCAAAGTCATCCTCCTTTCACACTATCTTCACGCTCTTCTTACCATTTCTCCTTTTTTTTCGTTTTTCTATTTTTTTTTTGGCAAAAGCTAAAATGTCCATTTTTTACTCTATCTAACATATGGTTATCTCATTACCACAACCATTTTTACCGAGTAAAAAAGGTTCAAACTTCCAATATCGCATAGAGTCAAATAGGTGATTAACACTTGATAGAAAGTTACAACTTGTAAGATGGAAAAAATAGGTGAAAAATAGGTGGAGATTTTTCTTTTCGTTCTTTGTCTTTTTTTTTTTTCCGCGTGGGTGGGGAATTTAAGACATAACCATTGTATGACCGACACGTGATTTTATCCCTGCCTCTTTCGAGATAAGACAAACAAAAAAACGAAATTAAGTAGACGAATTCGTTAATTACATGATATAAAAATCAATAAACAAAGTTTAAAAGAAAATGTAATCAATAAACAAATAATATAAAAGGAAAAAAGGAGGTGGTGGGACCCGTTAATTAACGGAGTTAAAGATCATATCCGTTAAGAGTGAGAGTGAGTCTAATTCTATAAATATCTTCTTCTTCTTGTTCCCACACTTTGTCGAGTTGTTCTTCCCTCTCTGCTTGCTAATCGTTTCTCCCGAGTCAAAATTAGGGCTTCGTTGACGCGTCTCTTCTCTCTCCTGGTATGTCTCTGTCTCTCTCTCTATTCCTCTTTCATGTATCTCCTCTCTCTGTTTGCTTCTGAAATTTTTAATTTCCCTGGAGAAATCTCTTCATCCTTCCCTCCGATCTGGTAGCTTGCTATAATTAGGTCCACCTATTTGATTTTTTTTTTTTGTTTTCTCATTTTCAAATTGGCAAATTGCTCATTTCGTTCATGCCAATCATTTCAATTTTGGATAATTTAATTAAATTCATGTGATATTGAAAGGAGTAATTGCGCCTTGAAAGGGTTGTAATTTGTGAAGTAAAGGAATTGATTTAGCTAAATATGGAGTAAACCACAAGCGTCTCAGATTGCACATTTTGCCTAGCCTTGTGATGAAATCTGATGGTTTCTTCGGCTTTATTGGGTCTCCTGCAGAGTGATAAAGGTTGGTGTGGAGCATTCAGAATCAAAGGAAAAGATGGAGGTATTTGGAAAATCACCCATGGTTAGCTCTGCGAATGTTATTTACTTGTCTGCGATTCTGGGTCGCGAATGCGATGGACCCAACAATCAGTCTCACAAATGTGACTGGAAATGTGAGAATGAGATTGTTTGTGGGAACATGTACCGCTGCAAACTAACTGGCCTGACTCACGTCTGCGACAAGAACTGTGACCAGCGGATTCTCTATGATAACCACAGCTCTCTCTGCCGAGCCAGCGGCCGGATCTTCCCTCTCTCGCCGGCTGAGGATCAGGCGGTTAGAGGTGTCCGGAGGAAGCTTGACGCTGAGAGCCATCCTCCTTCTGAGAGCTGTTCGTTTAAGCGTCGCCGTCGTGATGCTCAGTTCCATGCTTCTCCTTTCGAGAGGTCTTTCTCTGCTGTGAGCCCAATCTGCAGCCCGGCTGGAGATGGAATGGAGCTGAGTTAGATCCTTGTTGATCACTCCTCCATTCCTGAGACTGAGAGAGTCTCTTTTATCTCACGTAGATTTAACTATCTTTTTTTTTCTCCTTTGTTTTGGAAAAACTATGGATGAGAGACATAAGACATTGTGCTATTGCTCTAGCAGAGGGTCTAAGGCATCCTCCTTGCTTGAAAGAGAGCTTTATCTTAGTATATGTTGAACTTTATGTAGTACTTATGTAGGTGAGAGACTTTTATAATTCTACTACTCTATTTCTGGATCTTACTATTGCTTGCTTTCTCATTTAGGTGTGTACTAGAATAACAAACTTGTTTCTTCTTCTTGGTGATGAATGTTTGATATCTCTTCTTGTGTCCCTTTAGTTTTTCCTTATGACTGGACACAACATTTCTGTAAGTTTGGTGATACAGGTTATTATATAACATTGCTAACAGATGGGTTTGATTCTAACATATTTTTTTGTTGTATCCAACTTTTCTTTCCTTTCTTTGACTGATGAGTGCTTGTGGTCCTGAACATGTTTGCTGTTTGTGCAGGTTTTCAAATGTTGCAATTCAGGAGAGTTTTAACTGTGATTCTTATATGTACACTGATTTGATTGTTATGTTTCTGATGCTTTTTCCTAAAATGAGTATGTCTAACTTTTGGGAGTTTATTTATACCTTGCTTTGCAGGTACTCTTGTGTTTGTGCTCAGCAGGCAACACCATGCTTGGTTTCATTCATTGGCAACATAAGTTGATGCTCGCTAAACGTGAGAGAAAGGAGGGCGATGAGTAGGTGTTCAGAAGTAACAGCTATACACAGGTAATTATGTGATATGGTGTTTATTGTAATGTAGAAGTGAAGAGGGGAAATAATTCTTCAAATTGTTTTCTTTGACGTGTAATATTTTTATGCTGACAGAAAGATAGAGGTGTAGGCGTTCTGTGGCGTGATCTGAGAGCTAGATTTCATGGGATCCTGGAAGATTCTGTTCCAAAGAAGGTGGCAAAGTATCAAAAGTTGACTCGACCGCTACGTTAAGATACGGTACGAGAATACTTCTCCCTGTTAGCTAATTCATAGAAACAATCACAATTTTTTTCCTTTTTTCCCCAAATAATTGTACAATCTTGCTTAGACTTATAAACGAAATAATTTTTACTCTTGTTACTGTAGATTCTCTTCACTAATCATGATCTAAGCTTTGGAATTTTTTTTTTCTATCATAAAGTACTTTTGCCAAAGATAATATTAGTTACTTTTCGATTTTGCATAACTTTGTCAACTCTTGTCAAGGAACTCGGATCTTAATTAAGCTTTTTTTATTAATTTATTTTGGTTTGAAATGGAGATTAGTGTAGATTCTCTTGCATCTTTTCCATAAAGGTTTCATTAGTTCTACTATTTTCAGCTATGATAATATAATAATACGTATGAAAAAGAGGTTGGGGAAGTAAGGTAAAGTATTGCCCTGTCGGAGAGGCCAGAGTCTCCTAAGAGTCATGCTAAACCCTGTCTTGCGGCTTGAAGCTTTCTAAAGCAACTTCACCGCTTCAACATTGAATCCTTCTCTTCATCTACATTTTATTTTGGTATAAACCCTGGTCCAGGGACCCCTCTGCCAAATCCATCCATATTTCTGAAATCTTAAACCTTATATGATAATGAGAAGATCACCAATGCTTCCTATGGCTGTTCTTGTTTATGTTTCTTTACTGTTCTCTGTTTCTTACTCAACGTTTGTCATCACAAATAACTGTCCGTTTACTATTTGGCCCGGCACTCTTTCAGGCTCTGGCACCCAGCCACTACCCACCACAGGGTTCAGGCTTGATGTGGGACAGTCTGCTAGGATTCCCTCGGTTCTAGGCTGGTCAGGTCGCATATGGGCTAGAACCGGCTGCAACTTTGATGCTAACGGTGCTGGAAAATGTATGACTGGAGATTGTGGCGGGAAGCTGGAGTGCAACGGTAATGGTGCTGCTCCTCCGACATCACTTTTCGAGATCACGCTTGGTCATGGCTCTGATGACAAAGATTTCTACGATGTCAGTCTCGTCGATGGGTATAACCTTCCCATAGTTGCTCTCCCAACAGGTGGTGGACTGGTGGGAGCTTGTAATGCTACAGGATGTGTTGCTGATATCAACATTAGCTGTCCAAAGGAGCTTCAAGTGATGGGAGAGGAAGAGGAAGAGAGAGGAGGAGTTGTTGCTTGCAAGAGCGCTTGTGAGGCCTTTGGATTGGACCAGTATTGTTGCAGCGGTCAGTTTGCTAACCCAAACACATGTCGACCGTCTTCATACTCTACCATCTTCAAGAGAGCTTGTCCTAGAGCTTACAGCTACGCCTTTGATGATGGAACCAGTACTTTTACTTGCAAGGCTTCTGAATATGCCATTATCTTCTGCCCTGGCAGGTATATCCTATGCTCTCTGCAAACTTTTCAAAACATATTTGCAGATTCTGATTGAACAAACTTGAATATCTTCTTGCACCAGGGTAAAAAGACCGAGCAACCAAAACTTGGATCCTCCGAGCCCGCCCCAGAATCCATACGGGCAACCTATGGCTCCCCCGACTCAGAATCCATACGAGCAACCTATGGCTCCCCCAACCCAGAATCCATATGGTCAACCTATGGCTCCCCCAACCCAGAATCCGTTAGAGCAACCTATGGCTCCACCAACTCAGAATCAGTATGGTCAACCTATGGCTCCTCTGACTCAGAACCCGCCTGGATCAAATCAGAATCAGAACGGGGGATCAGTGACTCCTCCACCTGAGAATCAGGATGGGAATGGGCAGTTCATGTCTCCTCCCACTGTGAATCAAGATCCAAACGACCAGTTTATGAATCCCCCAATTGAGGATGTAATGGGGAGGGTTGCAGAGACTCGATCTTCGTCCCACATTCTTCGACCTTACCCTGTTTTGTTGATTCTTGGCCTCAGTCTAACTGCTTTGAGGCAATCAGGCGCGACATGAACAGTCATCATTCTTCCCTGTGGAAAGAAGCAAACTGACCATGTTTAGCGTCTTCCCAGAGATTCTGAGTTATATTCATCAAAGTCCTTAGATTACCTAGAATTGTTTGAATTGGCCTCATAACTCATACATGTAAATCTGTTTTTTTTTTTTTTATTTCATGTAAATAATGTTGTCTCAACAGAGTAAAGAAAATGACACGTTTGTTTATTAACGGGAGAAATCAAAATCACAACTCATTTCTTGGGTTTAGTTTTCGTAGGAGCAGAATTTCTAGCCTTCTTTGCTGGTGGCTGCTTCTCTTTAGATGGTCTTCCTCTCTTTTTCCCCAAAACCTGCAAATATTCCACATAAGACGAACTATCATTTACTGTAACGGATTTATATCGATTCTATATGAGTAATTATGAGGTTTCCGAACATACGTTTTCGCCTTTTGCTTTGGCTTTGGCTTTGCCATTTGCTTTGGTTACTTCTTCTGTGCCTCCACTTTGATCAGCTGGCTTTGAAGCAGTCTTGGCGTTTTTGTTAGCTTCATCATCTGAATCGAACGAGTATCCCTCCAGAGTGCCTAAATGGGTCATTAAATGTTAGCAAGTAGGCACCTGCGTAAATTCAGTCTACCTAATCCACCTGCGTGATAAACACTTTGAAGCAGTCTTTTCACTCTAAACATAGACAGAGAAAACGAACTGACCTTCCATCATTGTTTCTGCTACAAAGACATTAGATTGTGGTGTTAGTTGTATGAAGTCATTCATTATAGCTTCAATCTGACAAGGAAACGTATATCCAAAAATTAGCATATATTTCAAGTCAAGATCTACGAGCACTCGCATATATATGCGTTGAAACAAGAAAGCGCAAGAGAAATTACTAACCTTTGCCTCTGACTGACTTACGTTAACCTGAAATGCAAGATCTCTGGTATAAATAATCGTATAGTACAAGTGCCCTTAAAAGTTGAAAAGAAGTTACAAGGAAAACGAAAACCGTACTATGCAAAATGTTCTGGATGGCACAATTGTTGATTTATATATGGTTCCTGAAACATGAACTGATTCTATCAGACTCGATACGCATAGCTGGTTTTATTATACGTTTTGCAAAATAGTGATAAAAATAGTGATATGTATATTTGGGGGAACATGCCTTTCAAGTCCAAGTACACGTCCTCGGTTGTGTCTGAAACAACCACGCGTCCAACAGCCCCCATGTCTCCGCTCAAATCTATCGAGTCCCCTTCACATTCAACAAGTACCTGTAAATATAGGTCACTGCTATTCTTAATAACTGTGCCTTAACTACAAAAAAACTCCAAAATGGATGCAGTTTGGCCTTTCCGAAACTTATATCACCAGCCGCCATAACAATGATCTATAAACGTTGAGTGTAAAGCCATGTGCAAAGAAACATATATGCATTACCTTTGTTCGATTCACCTTCTCAGAAAGTACCAAAGGCAATCTTGAACTCGAGCCCTGGAATTTGTAAATCTGGTCATAAGGAAGATCCAGAGAAGAAACAACAACAGTCGTCTTCGCACAAGGTTCTTACCGAAGAAGGCTTGTTACTCTTATCCGTTGTTACTTCCTCGGCTAATACGGCATCTGTATCTTCATCTGCAGGATAGAGGAACCATTACGTTTCTTTAGAAAACTCCCAAATTCACAAAACTTTGATACAATGCATACCTTCAGTTTTCAAAATTTCTTCTGGACTGTTTTCTTTCTTGGGTATCTGACAGCCACTTTTTGGCTTTTTCTTCGGAGATTTTTTCTTTGAAGCCTTCTTAACTGCAGGCTCTCCCTCCTTAGCTTGAATAACGAAATCCTCATCCTTTTCAGGTGACGCAATCACTTGCTGCCTTATCGGACTACCCTGTTCAGAATCAGATGAGAGAAGCCATACAGAATCATCTTCTCCCTGATAAAGAAAGAAAGATACAGTAGTCTGTCAACTCCTTGCCGAACTAAGAATTAGCATTTTTGGATATTATACAGATTCACACAAACAACAAATACTAGAAATAACCAAGATAGGTAGGGAGCAGACGAAAGACTTCTCTAAAGGAGGGTTTATAACTAATATATCACTATTTTTTACAGTATAGTTTATTTATCAAACAGATGCATGGAAGCAAGAAATGCTCGAATCACACTAACTAACCACTAACGCGAGTAGAGACAACAGAAGCACTAACGAGTACACAAAAGACGGGTCAAAACGTTTCTTACTTGAGCCTTCTTATGTTTGCTAGGGACTTCCTCGTCTACAACTTTTTTTCCATTCTTCTTCTCTGCAAATTGTTCCCCAGTCAAAAACATGCCTTTTAAGAGCTCAAAAGTTGAACATTACTCCCCCCAAAATCAGGAATTTATAGTCTCTCCATCGCTCCCTCAAGAAAGAAATGATCCATAGTGAGCAAAAACACAGTTTTGATGCACCAGCAGAAACAAATCTTCCATACCTTCAATGTTGAGACTTGCATCTGCTTTCTTCTTTCTAGAAAACACTTGTTCGATACTCACTTGCTTCGTCACCAACTTCGTTTTTGAATTCTTCCTAGACAGAGACTCCGCGGATTCTTCGTCAGGAATTGCGGTGGCGTCAATTTCATCAGGCACAGGAAGAGACGAAATGGTTTCGGAATCCCTGAAAGGGCTATCCTCTGGAGAGGATAGTGACAACAATGAAGTGGTGGTGGGTACCTGCGCAACAAAAGCTTCCGATTTTCAATCGTGTCTCTGTAAAAAATCAATCCAATTGAGCAATCAGATTAAAATCAACCGGAAACCTCGTAAGATCGAAGCCAATCGGGAGATCCCTCTCTGGAGCTGCTCATATTTCACTTCTTCAGAGCTCAAAAACAACAATCCAAGCTTCTTCCGGCTTCAATTTCCACTCAATTAAAACTAAATCAGCTCGGCGATAGTTGCATTACTTCGCAGATTAAAACCCTAATAGAGACCTTGAAAAACCATAGATCCGATCGAAAATCCCATGAAAATCGAAGCTCACCTGAAGAAGACGACGAAATTGAGCGAATAGCGAACCAATAGAGTATAAATTCCGTCAACGAGATCTCGAAAAGGAATCTGAATGGACTGAGGGAAGAAGCAAGCTTCCGCCGCCGGCGAGATTGGGAAGTGTGTGAAAGACGCGGGAATACTGGCGCAAACTGTCACTTCCGGTTTCCTCGTGTTTGGTTGCAAGTGCAATACTATCCCCACATGGAGGAAAACATGAATAAAGCCCAAAATCGATCTTATGGGCCCAATTAAAGCCCAATAACAGAGATTTACAGAAACGGAGACGGCACTGGGAAAGGAGGAGGGAGAGATAAGAGAGGGAGGACGAAGAGAACAAGAAAAGTGTGAGAGAAGAAAAATGGGGAAAGACGGAGGAGAGAAGAAGCGTGGAGATGGAGAAACAATGGCGGTGATGAGCTTAATGAAGGATCAGCAGAATCCAATCCAGCAATTCCAGGTCAAATTCAAGGAGGTGGAGACTGGTTTCAAGTCGTGGCTGTCGAAGCAGAAGCTGCCGGTGGAAGCCGCCATTGTCACCGCCATGGGCGGTGTTCAGGGAGCTTTCATCGGAGGTCTCATGGGGACCCTATCCCCTGAAATGCCTCAAACCGGCGTCGACCCTCAAGCCATGGCGTCGTTGAAGCAAACTCAGGTATCAATTTCAACCTCCATAAACCCTAGTTCTGCTGTCATCTTCTCCATTTATTGATAATTTTTCGAAGCTGTGATTGATGGAAGAGAGATGTGGGAATCTTGTTTGTAGGCTCTTGTGGGGGGGCCATTGGTCCAAGCTCGGAACTTTGCTGCTATAACTGGTGTTAATGCTGGTATAGCTTGCATCATGAAACGGATTAGAGGCAAAGAAGATCTAGAATCTGCGTAAGTTTCAATTTTATGTTTCTGAAAATTGCAGCTGAATCTGAATCTAATTGCAACTGTAGCTCCTATAGTAAAGCTTGTATCAAGTGTGACTTGTTTGCTTACTGAAGCTTAAAATTTTGATCAATGGTTTAGGACTTAATCAATCCTAAAAATTCAACTCTTGAGCTGATGTTTAATGCACTTGTCACTTGTCTATCGCTGTCACAAAGTTACAGGTCTTAATCAGCTTCGCTGTCAGAGGATTGAACAGTTTTTACATCATTTATTGCTTCACAGAGAATTAGAATCTCTCTTTCTCTCTCTGGAACAGCTTGTTATGGTCATTCTGATGCTTGAAAATGAGTGACTGCTTCTATATGGCTTACTTGTTTCTTTTGTAATTGGTTACTTACACTTGATGGTTATGATATTTTTTTTTGTTAACTGTGCAGTGTGGTTGCGGCGTTAGGATCTGGAGTGGCGTATTCTCTGGTGAGCGCAGGATTACAAGGACAGCCTGGGAATGCAATCACCACTGCTGCTGGTTTCGCTCTTTTTCAGGGAGTCTTTTTCAAGGTGAGTGATCGATCATATATAGGAGACTTAAGACTGTTCTTGAAACTAGGCATTAAACATCTGTTTCTCTTCTTCTTCTTTTTCCGGTCTTGTTCAGTTGGGGGAAAGGTTCTCCAAACCAAGCGTTGAAGATCCATATTACACCCGGGCGAGATCTATGCTGTTGAAACTGGGGCTAGAGAAGTATGAGAAGAACTTCAAGAAGGGTTTTTTAGCTGATCCCACTTTGCCATTGCTCACTGACAGGTACCTACATGATCGCTTTTGACGTTTCGTTTCTGCATCAACTAAAACTGTCTTTTGTTGAAATCTTATGCCACTCTAAACTCTGTGTGTGTCTGTGTGTGGCCAGTGCGCTAAGAGATGTGAGCATCCCGCCTGGACCAAGGCTACTGATACTAGATCACATCCAGAGGTTTGAATCTAGCTTAGCTTCTCGCTTTATTTTCAGAGACATGAATTTTTTGTGAAATCATTAAATTGTGGTGTGTTGTTGTTAGGGATCCTGAGCTGAAGGGAAAACGGGGAAGTCGTGGTTGAGATTTCGAGAGAGACTCTTTGTGTCTTCGGCAGAATCTTTTGTATGGTGTTATAAGGATCTCAAGCACTATATGTTATTAGCTTATTATTATCACTATTATTTTTGGCTGATGTTGCTAGCAATAAACGTTAATTCCTCCCGTCTTTTTACGAGCTATGCTTGCTTCTATTACAAATATATCAAATGAGATTTTTCGTTAAAAGGTAATTATCTAAAGGAATATGCTCGATAAAATGATTAGTTATGAAAATAATATAGTCAAAATCATGCTCTAGAACCATATGAAGTTGTCATTGTCGGTGGCTCGTGAGTGGAAGCAAAAAAACACATAAGGAATAGCTGTAGTGTTTTGGCATTACTAATTGCAATTGTTTTTCTTTTCTTTATATTTACGAGTAACGTTCTCGTCATAACTCATAAGTATATTTTCAAGAAAAGTAGTGGAAACAAGCCCAAGTTTCGCATATTACAGTTGTTGGAGACATGACCAGTTTCACCTTCTAAATCTTTGGTTGTAGTTAGAAAAAATGGATTGTTAAATGTTAGGTAACACATCGAAATCTTAATATATTTTTTATATGAATAGTTGAATACATATACTCATGAAAATGACTTGAAGGCATGTGGAGTGAGGTATTAATACACTATGATATATGGGATATTTTTGATTTGCTCACCAAGCATATCCTTCTCTTTAGGGTTTAGCTTTCTTATTATTTCTGGTAGAGATCGCAATAGCTCTACCATTCCATAGGTCGCTGAATCTTTTGAATAGCGACACATTCTTTGTATTACGGAAATCCCAAACTGAAGCCTAGATTGGTCAATGAAGCATGTGGAGCGTTATGTATTCTTATCATATAGTAATACAGTTTTGGCTAGAGTGCTTAAGTGCAAATTTTTAAAGTAATATGTAGGTTTTCGTGTATACACCAATGGAGATAATCAGATTTTTGTTACTGATTTTACAAAAGAAAATTTGTAAAGAACAAATAAAAAGATAGATTAGGTAGCTCAATTATCATTATCCCCCCGTTATATTCATTCGATTAAGATGTCGTCTAACCTCTTAAAGTTAAGTTGGGTTATTGGATAATTTTAAACGGAAAGTGTCAATACTTGACGGCCGACAGATTCTAGAAAAATATCCGAAATTTGGTGTAGTTAGGTGGTCCGAAATTTCATCTGAAAATATCTAAACTTTGTGTGTTTTAAATTCCAAATGCAAAACTTTAGGAGAGAGAGAGACTGTAGATCGATAACCATTAGTATGTATCTATAAAAAGTTTGATATTTCGTGTGGTTTTACTATTTGGTTTCTTGCAGTAAACTTCATAAAACTCCACAAAAACCAAAACCGCTGTTGTACTGCCACAGAAGTCAACGATGCAACGGACGGAGGGATGATATAAAATCTGTAATTGTAAATTACTTTGATCAAACTTGTTATTTCAGTCACTCGAGATTAATCTTATACTAATTAATTGGATGGATATTTTAACGCATGAGAAAAATAATAACAAAAATTCGTTTCTTAATTGCTTTCTGAATCCAACTTTACTAACAAAAGAAAATAATTTTGCTTTATGTCCAAAGACTTTCTTATCGGTTTTTGTTTTGTTTACATTACACTAACATTTCCAAGGAGGAAATTTCAAGACCAGACCAAAAGAAAAAGAAGTCTACAGATTGGCATTGATATGAGCCAATATCTGTAAAACTCAGATACATCCGACAATCTAAGAATCTATTCTTTGCAACGTAATATCTATCTATCTATCTACGGCGAGGCCACATCGGAGGAGGAGGAAGAAGAGAGACGAGAGAGCTCGTTCATGAGGAAGACGATGCGAGAGTGGTAGTCACGCGCCTGGTCTAGAGATTCGGCCTCGAGCTCGGCGAGCTGAGAGCAGAGACGCTCCTCTGCCTCCTCGGCCACCTGAGTCCGCCGCCACAGCTGCAACATCTCTTTCCTCATCTCCTCCACCGCTTTCTCCATCTCTCCGTTCTTCCGACGTAGCTCTTCCACCTCCGAAGCCGCCACAGTCACGTAGTTTCCTCCTTTCCCCATTTTTCTTTGTTAAAAGAGTTTTTCTCTTTCTTTTGTTCTAACTCTAATCTCTTTGAGATTATATATTGGCTTTGTGTGTTTGTTCTTGTTCTTGGTTCTTTGGTGCTCCTTATTAATAGGCGCCTTGACGATTTTTTGGTTGGGTGCGTATATGTCTAGGTTCAATGTATCTCTTGTTCTCGTTTTTTTTTTTCTCTTTTTAAATGACTTTATTTCCCTCTAGAACATTTTATTTTATTGTTATTTTCTGATAAACGTTGGATTCCCATTGGCCCCATTAGGCCAGTACTAACCACAAATTTAGTGGTGCGCCATATTATCTTATTGTTTTAACTTTTAAGAAAAAAAAAGTCTAGTACAGAAAACAAAAACAAAATTTCATTAAAAGTAAAACATTCTCATTCCATTTCAAATTACATGTATGTTGACTAAAAAACATCTAAATACATTTAAGCAAATGACAAGGAGTATTGGTTTATTCATGACTATATATAGTGATATTTTCCTTACCAAAAAAAAAATAGTGATATTTTAGTCAGTTGAATAATACATTTGAAAAAACTTATTGTATATACAAGTAATATAATAATATACATAAGGTGCAGAGTCTTTTTCTTCTAATATACTAATATAAATTCATAAGACTATTGTTACTATACAAATACTACGTACGTACTGTATATAATTATTTTGTAGAATTGTTACTTTCTCCAATATTTTTCTTGGCAAAAACGTTGACTGAAACCTAAATAACTACGTGAATTTATTTTCTTAAAAGTCTACGAGTCATGAAATAGAAAATCAAACGATCATCGATGTAGATTTTTTTTCGAAGAAGGAAGATAATGGTCACGTTGTCGAATATAAGGTATAAAATGATACAGAAGAATTCAATTATAATCGTCTCAGTTAGAAATCTACTGTGAAATTTTATTCTGTTTTGTACATATCGTACATTGGTTGTTGCATAGGCCATAGAATAAGGATAAAATATGTTTGCCACTATTTCTATAAATTGGTAAAATGAAAGTGGAAATCATTTTCTCACCTTTATTCTTTCCACTCATATATTTCGTCAGTTATAGCCGTAAATGAATGGTTCGAGCGCAAAGCCTTATCGACGTAATCAAATCCCCACTTCTTCTTTCTCCTAACTGGACGATATCTCCGAAAGTCAATGGCCATCACGATTATACAACTATTCTTGTATAGTTAAAGTTACGGCTCAGATTTTGAATTCTTAAATAACTTATTACCGATTTCTTTATTGGTATTGTGTATGGGAAAACTAAGAAGACTTTAGTTGTGTGTCCTCATGTGAATGAAGGTGTAACTAATTCGTAGTTGTTTAGGCTAGTAATCGGGTGGAGTTCTGTCTAATTTAGATTTAAGTTTACAGAAACAGAATTATGAAATAAACCAGATAGTTGTGAAACATCACAAATCATGGAAACTAATTAAGAAAGAAAAAAAATGATTATGATCGGATTTTGAAATCGAAGTTTTAAATTAATATTGCAAAACACAGTATGGGTTGCCACCTGTTGAAATGTTTAGTTGGAATATGCTCTATATGGATGCTGATTATGATCACTACCTCCTTTTCTAATTAATAAATTATTCATTAATAAAACTACTAAATCACGTCACAAACTATATGTTACGTGATTTTTACCAAAACAAAAAAAAAAACTAATGTTACGTGATATCACCAATCACCATCACTATTATTAAAATAGAAGATAAGTTCTAAATTTATAATATTGCAAGATCAACATAAAAAGGGTGAAAAAAAAAAAATTACCGTGGCATAGTGGTTGATCCTACTCTTCCAAAGACATTTCTATCTTCAGTTTGTAGAACATTATACAAAAATGAAAAGAAAAAAAACATAATCTCAGCAGGTTTATTCCTTATTAAACTTCTTGTAAGAGACAACCAAAGACAAAAGAAAAAAAACTTATTGTAGAAGACCATCATGGCCTTGTAGGATTGGTTTGAATATAACTTTGTAGATTCAAAAGGAATCAAACAGAGGATGGACAGACAACAAGAGGAAACTTGCGGCAAACATCAGCACCAACTGCTTCAGCTAGATCAGGCTTATCATCTCCCATTGTTTCCACATGGACTCTCCACTCGAACCTTTTCACAAGGTTGGCTAATGTAACTCCTACCAAAGCTAATGCAAACCCTATTCCAGGACATCCTCTTCTTCCTGATCCAAATGGAATATAGTTGTAGTTTTGTCCTTGAAAATCCACAAGCAAATCTAAATGCCTCTCTGGCCTAAACTCTTCTGCGTCTGGTCCCCATGTTGCAGTCTCTCGTTGGATCGCCCATACATTGATTAGCACCTGTGTACCAAATTATATATATATATATATATATATATATATATATTTTTTTTTTGTGTTAATCTTAATTAAAGAAACATTTTTCGTCATTTGGATTTGATCTTACAAGAAGTGAAGAAGATGTAATGAAGACCTACTTGTGTTCCTGCCGCTATGTCATATCCATGTAACTCGACATCTTCACTCACTTGTCGGGGAATCATTGGAGCGGGGGGATGCACTCGAAGCACCTCCTTGATCACAAGATTTAAATAATTCATCTTCTCAACTTCTTTCTCCGACACATATGAATTATGAGTTGAAACGGAACGAATCTCATCTTGGAGTTTTTTCATACACTCTGGATGTCTCATAAGCTCTGTCATTGTCCACTCTATTAGAGTGAAAGTCGTTACCGTTCCCGCAAACAACATATCCTGAAAAAAAAAAGAAAAAAAATACAAGAAAACTAAAGATCCCTTCTAGTAACAATTGATTTATATATTTTAGATGATTCATTTGAGAAAACAAAAATAATGAAGGAGAAGACATTGCGTTACCAAAATAATGAGTTTTAAACCGCTTCTGTTAATATCCAATGTTGTTGTCTTATCACTTTGAAGAGATAGCATTAGATATAAAAAATCTGATTTATCTTCATCTGCATGGTCTTCATGTTCTTGCACCGTTCTTTCAAGAAAACAATCAACCTCTTTTAATACATGATCCACTTTACTATCCAAACCTCGGATTCTATCTATCCATGCCAGAACAGGAATGAAATCGCCGATAGGGAAAGCACCTAAGAGCTCCATGAATCTCCTCACTACGTTCTGAGAAATATATCCACCTCCCTCGTGGCTATATTTTCTTCCCAAGACAATTCTAGTCAATACATCGTTTGTAAGAGTCGTGAGGAATTCACTTAGATTCACGGGTGAAGACAAAAAACTTGCTTTCTCAAGCTTCTCCATCATCACATTGATCTCTTCTTCTCTTATATTCTCAAAAGAGCTAACCGTTTTGTTGCTAAGGAGCTTCATAACACAAATACTCTGCTTGCATCCCAAACATTTAAAGATAAATTAGCAACTGTTATCTTCTGGCCTGAAAACAAAACTTTGAGTGAGCATAATTAAAACAAGAATGAAAAAAAATACCTTAACCTTCCTCCAATATTCGCCATAAGGGGAAAAGCCTATCTCTGTCCCCCACTTGAGAAGTTTATCGACCGTTTTAGTTTTGGGGCGATTGGAGAACTTTATGTCGTGTGTTTTCATGACGTCACGAGCTGCGTCAGCAGAAGAGACCACGAGGATAGGGACGGAGCCGAAGTGAAGTAGCATGAGCGGTCCATAACGAAGGCTGAGGGAATGGAGACAGCGGTGAGGGTAAAGGCTCATCTGGTGAAGGTTTCCGATCACCGGAAGTCGCCACGGAGACGGTGGTAGGTTCTTTTTGTTGGTGGTTCGAGTGAAGAGTGGTTTTAGGAAGAGATATGCTAAGAAGGTGGCCATGCAAACATAGATTAGTATCATTTCCATGTCCATCTTACTAATAAAAGTTGACTTAATATAACTTTTAGTTTTAGTGTGAATTATTCAACATCTGATATCTTCCTTTTGTGTTTTCTTATATATACTTAATAGTGTGACTAAGGATCAAGCTGCGACATAGTAATGACGTTGTATAGTAATGGAATCAAAATTCATATACAAATACGTACTTGGCAGGTTCAGAAGCTCCATGAGCATGTGTCCAAAAATTCATAAATGTGACTAGTCACATGCTTCATTTGTGGCCAATACACGTGACGGTATATGGCACAAGAGTTGTTTACCGCATGACATATAGGAAGTTAAGACTTAAGAGACAAAGTGATCATGCACAAGATTTGCTTACGAATGCTTTCAGATTTTGCCGCTCGTGTTTCTTGGCTCTTATCAACATATATACATACAACCTTTCAACGCAATGCAATCTGCAACATCAGGAAATAGAATCATATCTGTCACACGTGTCATCGATAATCGTGAGCAACGTGTGTGAAAGAAATTGTATATAGAATCTTTGGAATTTTACATGCTTCCTTGAACAAATCTGCGAGCCTAGACATTGTCTCTTCCAAATTGGCGACAATGTTGTTGATTCATTAGTCATAAGCCGCACCAAATTGACAAGAACAAAATCTCTTTATTGATCAAATCAGAATGTACAAAGTGCATAAGTTGATTCAGTCTAGTGCCACATTCACTCGCCCTTACATTCGAGTAATCAAACCACTTTCAACATAACTATCTTTTCTGATTCATTCTAGCTTTTTTTTTTTTTTTTCTGACGAATGTAGTTCCTCCATGAATATCATCATCATAACATTTATTTCTTAGTTTACCAAAAAACATTGCATTTCAAATCAAAATCCAAGCAATCTTTTTTACTAACTTATGACCTCGATTAAGGCAATGACGCACTCAAAATGTTTAAACACAAGCGCTCTCTCTCAATCAAATAAATTGTCATTTTTTTCTTTTCGGTTTCAAGCAAATAACGAAAATGTCAGCTTTGTGTCCTGTCTGCACTCTTTCGCTTCCTCTCTCCCAAATCGAAAGGTAACTACAATCAATCCCTAATTTCTTTGTTTCCATCAATCTTCCTCACGATTCTCTCGAGGTCTTTGATGAAACAGCCATGTGAATTGCCACTTCGACGACGATGTAATCGATCCACAACTCGCAACCGATCATTACTTGGCTCTTCAACTAGCCTCTTCTTCCGATCCTTCTCCGTCGACGTCATCATCTGTAAAAGAGCTTTCTCCGAGCTTTAAGTCTCATCTCTCGATTACAGAAAAACCCAATTGACAAAATCGTTCCTTTTCTGCAGAACTCCGACGATTCCTCGAAAGCTCCGACCTTGGCGAGCTCGCAGACCAAGAGCACATTCTACAGTGTAGGAAACGGCGGTTTGATCAGTTTGCTGAAGAATTGTCTGGAATCCGAATCAAAATCGAAATCGAAACCTTCAGATTGCAGCACAACTTTACTATCAGGGTTCGTTGATCATTTCCAATCCTCAAAGGAGGATAAAGGTTGGGGTTGCGGATGGAGGAACATTCAAATGCAATGCTCTCACTTGCTTTCTCATAGAGAAGAAGCTAAAAGAGTTCTCTTTGGTGGCTCTAACTTCGTCCCTGACATTCCCTCGCTTCAGCGGTTTCTAGAGATTGCTTGGAGCAATGGTTTTGATGTCTCTGGAGCTCTCCATTTCAATAGTCAGATCTCTGGTTCCAAGAGATGGATTGGAACCACTGAATGTGCTGCGCTGTTGCGTTCTTTCGGGTTAAAAGCTAGAGTTGTTGATTTTGCTCCAAAGAAGGCTCAGTCAATGTATCTTTCAGTTCCTGGCTCTGCTATTGCTCCCAAGGCAAAGACATATGGTCCCATGGACAGATATGTGGTTAAAAAGGGAGAAAGTGGGAAGGAGAAAACAGTTGATTCTCATGGTTCTGGTTCTAATGCTTCTAAGATCAGCAAAGGAGCGGTTTTGATGGAATGGGTTTGGAATTACTTCTCAGGAAACAGGTTAAACGTTTCCTCTGGTGTTCATATGACGAGCAAAGGGTAAATTTTGTTCTGTTTCAGTTCTTGACCTCGGCAATGTCTTTTATACCTTCAAAACACATGACCTATGGTTGTTGTGATCGTGTAATACTGCAGGCCCTTGTATTTCCAACATGAAGGGCACTCAAGAACTATTGTTGGGATTCAGAGACGGTTGCAAGGAACTACATTTACTCCTCAGTACAGTCTCCTGATTTTGGACCCGAGTGATGTGAGTATATACTGTTTTGGACATGAGCTTTTACTAAAGTTGGATGTGATTAATGATGGTGAGACTTGAATGTGAATGCAGTTTACTAAAGCTATTGAGAAAGCGCTTGTAGAGAAGAGAGGGTGGGAGAAGCATCTGAAAAGAGGAGCTCACACACTGACCTGTCCAGAGTATCAGGTCTCAATCAGTTCTTTGTTATTTTTTGGTATAAATAGTCATGGTTGAGTGATTTGTAATTTGTTGATAATGATAACATATATACATACAGATATTGTACGTTGATGATGGGATTGCTGATGGAGAGGAGTTGGAGCAGCTCAAGACCATTGATAGTCACTTTGTCGAATTCTAATAGCCTCCATAAAAATTGAACAATGGTTCTAGGAGATGCTTAAATTAAATGCAGCTGTATACCCTTTTGTATCATATGTAACATTTTGTGCTCATATAACATTGGCATTTTAAACAGTTTTCAATAATGTGGATTGTTGACATTCCAGAAATTTGTTTATAAAAATTATGTTAGCACTGTACTCTGACTTTCCAAATGAGAGATGATTTATTATGTTTTGGTCTCTTTGGATGATGATAAGTTGAAAAATTACCTAGACACAATTAGGCGCTCTATGCCCTAAATTACCAACTTGGATTGTTGTGAAAAATTACTAAGAACATAAAAGATGTGGCTAATTATTATTAGGAACATTGAGAAGGCAAAAAAAAGGTGAAAATACAGAATGGCAATTTGAGATTTAACCAAGTGTTCTTCAAATAGTATCACCACACCTAAAAAATTGAAATGTCATTTTCCAAAAGCTATAGAGTCTTCTTCAAATTCCCCCAGTTTGGTGGATCCTTCATCTTCCCCTCTGGCAACAAAACTTTTCACACGTGCCTCATATCAAATGAACAACATAACCTCACTGTTGCTCTTCCATGGACACCTAAAACTGCGACATTTTTTAGAGGTTTTGTTGGTTATTCAAGAGGCAGCTGCAGCCACTTTCTTCCGTACAGTCCTCTTTCGCCGAGCCTTTGGAGCTGGAGAATCTGAAACCGAGTCCTCTTGCTTTATACCAAGTAGCCCTGAGACAATCGCATTCTTTGAGATGAACCATTTTGAAGATGGCTTTGCTTCTTCTGAGGGTCGGTTATATGCTTTTGCCAGCAGCTCATCCGACTGAGCCAACGGGTCTGCCTCCACACCTAGCCATACTTGTCTTGACCTTTCCCCTAACTGAACATTCATAATCCTGTGCCACATTCATCCATAAGTCCTAAGACTGAGTTTTGCAATACAAAATCCAAAGTTCCAACGTAATTCTGTGAATATGTATGAGATAGGAGAGTGGGAGGAATAGAGAAATACCTCATGGCTGTGCCAAAGAAGAGTGCTACTCCTATGACATCAAAGTGGCTGCTCATTGTTCTTTCAAATCCACATAACAGCTGATATCTCAAATTCGCATATATTCCAAGGAAGGCGCCATAACCAAGAGCGTTGGTGCTGATTGATGGGACTGTCACAGATACTCTGTCAGAAGAAAGAGACAATAAGTTATAAATTAACCATGAGCTGAAAAAAGAAGATAGATGTTATAAATCCACAAGAAACAGAAGATATGCCTGTTCTTCTTCTTTCCGGCCAGAAAGTTTGACAACGAACCCTGGAGAGCTCCTGTTGCAGTTCCAAGAATGGACAACTCTGCGGCCTTGTAGAAAAGAGAGTGAATCCTCTTTTGCAAGTCGAACTCTCTAAGAGGATAGCTCATTTCAAATATATTGTTTGGTAGCTTTTGCAGTGTATTTTGCAGGTCAAACCGAAATGTGTTTCCATAGGAACGACAAGGAGCTAGCAACCAAACAGCAGCTGCATTGCACGCTGATACAGTAAGCACATTTATAAGTGCAAGATCCCATTCCTCTTTTAACCTGAACACAAAATACCAATTTAGAACAAGAAACCAGAAGCAACAAAACCTTCAAATACGAGAAAGTTAAGGTGCATGGAAAGGAAAATACCTATTCTTACGAGTCTTCACCTCCCACCAAACCGAGCATCCAACCGTCGCAGCTTGCTCCAAAAGTAGTCTATAGAGAAACGCAGGATCCGCCAACATCCTACACAAGCCAGTCACATAGTCAAGACTCAAGACTGCATCTAGTTGAAAATGAAGAAAATCCATGCATATTCCACAGGGGCATCATATGGATCTCAATAAGATAGCCAAAAAAGTTACCTGCCAACAAAGGCCCTCGACAATCCCTGAGGAAGAGCACGGGAGATGAATCTAGTTGTTGTAGGACGAGCATTAATGGCAAGGAATCTAACCATTTGTGCTGAGCTGACCAAACCCTGCATACAAGTTTTCGTGAGTTAGTCCTGCAGGCAAATCCCAAAAACCATAATCAGAAAGCTTTAAGAATATCCTACCATCTCATATGCTTGACGGAGGCCAGCAGGCAAATCCATCATTGTTTTTTGCCATTCGTTCAACACAGCATCAACAAATTTCCTATCAAAAAGCTGGAAGAAAAAGAACATACATGTCGTTATTGGGTGACACCAATGACAATAAAATACATGTAAACACAAAGAGTACAAGATATCTTACCTCTGCGAGGAACATCCTACGCCTAAAGAGTCCACCTTCACTTCCATCATCGTCATCATCAAATTCGTCAAAGTAATTATCATCATCACCATCGTCATCACCTCCATCGCCACCACCGAAATTGATTTTCTTTCCGATGTCTCCGCCACCTCCTCCAGTTGCAAGCTGTAATGAAACACGAATTAGTAATTCACAAAGCAATCTTTTTCTTCTGATCAGTGGAAAATCGATTTCACTTGATGAACAGAGATGATATAGCCAGACAAAAGGCGCAGTCTTTAGGAGTGAATTTCACCAAACTACTCTAAATTCTTGGATTAGGATTGCAAATTCATCAATTCATCAAATTATTGCTCAAAAGAAAGAAGAGAGAGAGAGGGACCTCAGGGCTTGATTCGACTTTCTTCTGGGTCATATCGAGCTTCCCCTTTTCCAAGGTAACAGCTCCTACGGAGCCGAACTTGCCACCTTTCATCACTGGAGACATCCGAGCAGCTACAGAGAAGGAGGCAGAGGAAGATGGGCCTAATTCAACGCCCGACGGCATCATTAAGCAGCGCTCGAGACCTGAAACCGAATCTCCAACGGAATCGATAAGAGAAGAGGACGAAGCCCTGACGGTGAAGCCGCGGCGGAGCTTACAAGGCAGAGTCGCGATTGGGCGAGGGATGGGTAAGCAGGGTTTGAGTGGGGATAAGGGTTTGGGAGCGACGACGCTCTGAAACACCATATGCGACATGGCTTTGAGGATAAACCCAGCCTCTGATTCTGATAAAGATTTACGCTTTTCGGTGATTTACTGAAGAAAAAGGCTCAGAGCCTTTTCTTCTCTCTTAGGGCTGAGAGAGAGGAAGAGAAAGAGAGAGAGAGAGAAATGAGAAGAAGAGGATTTATCGCCAATCAGCTCTACAGAGCACAACAACCCAATCTAGCTTTTTGCACCAACTCGAGCTCAAAACTTCCTGATGACTCAGAGGGTCTCAAGTCGGTCGTAAGGGGCCAAAGTAAGTCTTCCAGGTGTATATATTTTTCACCTAATAATTTTAGCGGCGAAGTTCCATGGTTCCGATATATGTCAAATGGTCGAATGAAAAAAAGTAAAAAACTGAAACAAATTGGGTTTCAACATTATCCGGCAGAGGTTTGGTTATTGAGCTCTATAGAACCTTTGTTCTTCAACAAATTTTGTAACTAATCAAATCTCCTCAATCGGTTTACACGCTTCACAGATACGTACCTCATAGACATTTGTTTGATGATAATAATACAAACCATTTAATGAAATGAAAAATCAGGAAACACAAAAATTGATACAATACAAAATAGAACTAAAATTAATCACGCACATAGACTGATGAATATCATGAACGCATCTTCCTCTTCCTCTAGTCATTTAGCCGCAGAGCTTGATTATGAATTCTAAAAGATATACATTCCGTTGTCTTCATATTGGGATATTCTGTGCAAACTTGCTTAGCCATTCAAGAAATCAAAATCAATTGGTTGGCTTCTTATTGGAGGATAGGTTACTTGTGGCCTCACGGGTGCTGCGTTCTCTGTTGGTTTCACTGTTGTTGTAACAGTTTCAGGCTGCGGTGGCGGTGGCGGCGGCGGCGTTGGCGTTGGCGTTGTTGCTTGGCTATTATCTTCTGTTGCTACAGTTGTTTCTGTGTTTGGAGTTGAAGACGGATCGCTTTTGTCTTCCAAAGATGTTTCCTCCTTCTCTACCGGAGTAGGCTCAGAAACTGTCTCTGTCACTTGTCCATCCACAGTGGTTGGTGTTGGTGTTGACTCAGCAACGGCTGCAGTTTCCGGTGCTGCTGACTCAGCAACGGCTGCAGTTTCAGGTGCTGCTGACTCACCAGCAGCTGCAGTTTCAGGTGCAGCTGACTCAGGAACAGGTGTAGTTTCAGGCGCTGATTCAGTCTGTGTTGGTTCAGAAGATGGAGGAGCTTCGATAGCCAATGGTTTAGCTGCTTCTTCAATAGCCAATGGCTTACCTGGTTCTTGCTGTGGAGTCTTCTGTGTAAGTAGAGGTTTCTTGGGAGCAGCAGTAATGGAAGCAAAGATTGAAGACATTCCGGGAGGAAGAATCTCGATCGGAGGTTTTTTGGATGCATCAGATAAACTCGTGAGCTTTGGATCTTCAAGAGAAGCCAGAAACGCACTTGCAGCATCGGTTTTGGAAGATGGAGCTTGCTCGACTTCCTTCTGAAGCGTTTTATTCCAAGCCTGGACCAGGTTCTTTAGCGTTGGACGACCATTTGCCTGTGTGAATTTTAATATTACAGTAGGCGAAGTTAGTAACAGTACAAGGTTTATAAGAAGCAAACTGCAAAAAAGAAGACAAAAAATATGTAAAATTGGAATCTTACATGGGCATGTAGCACGGCTTCTGCGAGCATTCCTGTGTCTTTCCATGCCTTCTCCATGAGCGCGTTGTCGTTAAGAACTGCAGCAGCAAATGCCGATTCTCGCCCGAGGCCTATGGAGATCAGATTGTTTATCAAACTCTGCAAGAAAATTAAAATAGTATTTCAATTAGGGACCTGTAGATCAAAGAGAAAAATCAAAAGTATATCCATTATTACTCAACCATAAATCTGCAAAAGTATTTTATCTTTCAAAACCACACATTCCGTCTACAGTTAGTTATGTAGTGAACAGCACAAAGGTCTCTTAGATTTCTCTAGGTATCCTATACTACCAAAAAACCAAATTGGAAACCGAGAGAAAGAGAAATTGCAGACTTACACTTAGGCGTGTCAATTCTCCATGATTTGCCAGGCGTAATGCAAGGCCTCGCAGCTCATGACCCTGTAAAGCGCCTTTGACCGAACCTGCAGTGGCCAGTCTTTTGAGAGCTTCACGAGCAATGTCGGCCTGTCCAGTGGCATCTGCAGCATCTATAAGATCAAGAAACTCCTTTGCAAATTTCACTATTCCCTCCACAGCTTCAACAACATCTTCTTTCTTCTCAGCTGCCAAAGAGAGAATGTCACTCAACTCAAGGCCTACACTGTCCTGTCCAATGTCCTTGCTATTACTCATTGTGAGAAGACAATGTAGTGCCCTCTTCAGATCGTTGCTCTGTATCGCTAAATCAAACTCCAGCCTGCGAACACATAAAGCTTAAAGTCTTAAATATTTTTCCTTTTTTCTGTTGCACTGTGAACCCAAGGCAAAGTGAAAATAATGCTGATAGCGTTTTGGTGTGAATTGAAACACTGAAATCTGTTTACTATCGTCTAGCATAAGCAATTGAGAGACTAGAGAATAACTGTAAATAGTATAACCAAATTGGAGGAATAGCTGCAAAAAACAGTCCTGATCGCTTTACTTACCTCTTAGATATTCCAGGCAAATGAAGAGCTTCTGTTGCGTATCCCATCCCTAGCATAAACTGTGCTAGATCGTCATGGTGTTCTCTCCCAAGCCTACTTGCCCTGCACAACAATAAAAAAACGTTTGTACAAAGATTCCAGGCAGTTTTCTACTCGGATAAACAAATTATAATGAGAAACGTATCAATACCATTTAACTGCGCTAACAGCATCTCCGTACGCAGCAAGACAGCGACAGCGGATACCAGGATGGCTCAGTGATATGGCATGGGCACACATGTATCTACCAAGAAAATGGAGGTATCAGATAATAATTTATCTCGTAGTTTAATGTTTTACTTTATATAATCATTCAAGTGACTGAAATGACGGACATGGCAAGATATTGTACTCAACATGTAATTGGTAACTTTGTGACTACGTATATCTGTTGTCTGTGTTATGCAAAAGGTCAGATGTCAATGAGCCTACCTAGTGCGTACTAGAATGAAATAGAGAATTTATTCAATTGAATATACATGTCTCCAACGAAGGTATCATTCAAAAGAGTCAGTCTAGTTTTTAAGGTAAGAACAGGTCGCTTTTCATACCTGTCAATGAGCCAAAGAACTCCATCCCGTACACCAGCAACAACAAGTGGCCCCACGGGTCGCTTTTGTTCCACGGGGAAACGAGTAACAGCCACTGAGACTCCCCCACCACCTACAGCTACCTCATTGGTCCTTCTTTCATCCATGTCATCGCCATCACCTCGAGACTGTCTCGGCAATGATAAAAATGGTGGAACAGATGGAGCATTTTGGAAAGAAGCTAAACGCACCACCTACAGTAAAAGTATAAGCATGAGGACGACTCTTGCATGTTTGAAAAGAAGATATAGATGTCTAAACAAAATGCAGTACAAAAACACAAGCTTAGACCTGAAAAATTAACCCTAAAAAACAGTTACATATATCACGTGTAAAAGCAAGAACTGTCCACCTGCAGCATGGGAGGCCTCAAAGATATCCTTTCTTGGTTGGCATTCTGGGCACCTTCTACTGTTATTAAGGCTAACTCTCCATGCTCTGCAACCGCTCTAGCCTGCGCCTCCTTAAGTTTCATTTCTTCTTTCATTTTCCTAGTCTCTATATCAATTTCAGTAACTCCCGCGTCCACAAAAACACATCTGGAAATCCAGGCATGGAAAAAAGTATTAGCATTCCTCCCAGATATATTGTTCCAGAAAGTAACAGATCAAGGTAACCATGCCCTTAACGAAGTCAGGATCAGGGAAAATACTTTCAAAAAGTTACAATTTTCTGAGAAGTTGGATTATGCACAATTTAGAGAATCAATAACCATTGATACAGATCTGCTGCAAAACAGTTCCTAAATTCAATTTTTAATTTGGTTCATCCAAGTGAAAGTAGCACTCAAGATCTGGTACGGAACAGAAAGCAGTCCTTGTATCATATAACATATATCTTACTCAATTGTGGTTGGTGTGGCCACAAACAGCTGCCTGCGATGCCAAACAGCTCCAGTAGCATGTGAAATAGCAACATCACCAAGATATCTATACTGAGGGCGCAAGGACGATATGACCATGTATTGTTGATAAGCAAAAGCACAATACTCAACTCTTTGGTCCCATGCTGTCCATTCTGGCTGAGGTAGCATACCACCTACTGGCTCAAAATTTTCCCAACTGCAAATTGAAACTTCCATGTAAATTAATATCGAACTGAAATACTTTAACATGACACAATGCCACAAAATTAAATTAGAGCGAACCAAAATGTAACTAAGGGCATCAGTGCAGATTACGAATGAACTAATGCTTATTATTCCATCAAAGAAGAGTAACTATTTCACTAGACATCTCAGAGGGGGTAATGACTCGGATATAGATGACTAAAGAAAACGAGATGTTATCAGAAAAATACCAAACAGCCAACTGCCTGCACACTATCGTAACTAAGAGTGCTAATAGAAATGAACCTTGGATTAAAAATAAGGAGCCACTAATCACCTGTAGAGCTGGTAGTTTAGGGGTGCGGACTCAGCTGTTCTCTGCGAAGAACCATCATCATAGCTAGAAAACGAAGAAACATTGCTGTTTCCAAATCCTGAGAGTGGCATCGACTGAATGGTTGAAATAGCTGTTGCAGCAAGAGGACTAATCCTACGGGATGTGCGATAGCCTATACCAAGAAGAGCACCACCATGCAGACCAATGACCTGCAAGGAGAATTTTTGAAGCATAAGATTGTTGCTTACCTAAGCCTAGAAGTCAAGCATTGACATACTGCTCTTTGATACTTTTTCCAAATTTACAAAATACACCACCACTTGAAGTCAAGAAGAATTCTCAACGATTAAGATTCTCATGTTCAGCAACATTTTCCATTTGGTCAAATGTCAATTAATAAATTACTGGATTCCAAGTTTAACCTTTTTGTTGGTAGAAATCTTCAGTATTTTCAATGCAAATTTCACAAGTCTCAGCTGGAAAGGTGGCTACTGTTTAAGAAACTAAGCCCCAGCTGAGACTTTATGGAATTTAATAACTCAAGTAGAAGACACATACCGGCTCAGAGCGACCTCCTACAGATCTCATGAGTATGTTTGAGGTTCCATCATCTAAGAGAATACGAACTTGGACACTAGCTGATGAAGCTGCATTAGCGGCAGCAGCAGCTTGAGCTGCGGCTGCAGCGGCTTCTTTCGCCTTTCTTGATGAACCACCCTTTGGGATTATAGGCATCCTTTGAGGTAACACAGATTCTAGTATTGCAAATCTATCCCGACATGTATCCCAAGCCAAAAGTCTTGCACTTCCAGAATCAACAATGGACCAGTCACTGACCTTGTAGATAGAGAAGTACAGAACATCAGGCCATACAATTGCCACATACCTACAACCAGAGAAAAAGTTAGTAGGCTAATAAAAGACCAACACTCTACCAATTATTTACATAAATATATTTAGCTGAGGAGTTATCTAAAAACGTTATAATCAGGGAAAGAACTTCTTAAACTAAATGGAAGATACTTGAACCCAATTTTCTCTTCCAAGTCTACCGTAAAACCAACAAGCATGAAAAAAAGATCATTTAAGATACTTGAAGAAATATCAGGTAATCGGTGAGACATAAAATAAGACTCACAAGCAGCATGAAAACAGAAACACAACTTATAGAAACAAACAACATTTTCATGCTCAACATAACTAGTATATAATATTTCAAGATAAAACTTGAAGACTTAAAAAAAAGAACTGAAAACTTACTTCCCTGAACTGCTTACAGAAAGAACCGAGTATGAATCATGCGGAACAGGTGCCACAATCTGCTTTTTGGTCTGCTTTACAGTCATCTGTTCACCTAGGTCTCCCATAGACATCCCTGATTGGGATAAAGCACTATTATTTCCAAGGGATGGGCTGGCTGAGTTGGATATTTGAAAGTTCAAGAGCTTTAGTTCTCTTCCAAGGATATATACAGCTGAATTCTCCCGACTTCCAGACAGTGCTGGTAGAGGAGCTGCAGACGGGATGGCACGAGGATCAAATTCACTAACTATAATACCAACATTAGTGCCAGTTGCAACGAGATGTGGCTGTAGAGGATGTGCAACCATACAATAGACCTGAACAAAAATGAAATTAATAAGTAACTAATGTGGGGTACTACCAATGTCTGAAAGGCACTAAAGAAAAAGAAATACAGAAGCGATGCTATTATAATAAATGATAGATTCCAAGGATATCACCAGCAATGAAAAAAATCAAAAACCACTAGTACAACATTTGCTTTATAAGACTCAAAATAAGCAAGTAGCAAGAGCTAATTACCCTAAGTTTTCTGTGGGTTGCAAGTACTTGAGGGGGAACCAAGGAAGAAAGTTCACACAATGGCCTCGTCAGGGCCGAATAAGTTGGATGCTCAATAGACCTGTGCAAATTCCAGCAGTTAGACACTCATCTAATATACATAAAGATTTTTATCATAGATACTACGAAATGTTAACCAAGGATACCATATATGTGAATCTTTAACGCAAGTCAAAATATCAAGGTTTGGTGCTCGAGGGTGACACCAAGATGCAACACTGTGGCAAGCTAGCTTCGGGACAGGTTTAATTCTCCGCAGCTCCTGTAGAGAAACAGTTGACATGAATGTTGAGAATAGAGATCCGTAAAATATGCAAAGTCCATATATGAGATACAACATTACCTTAAATGTCATCGTGTCCCAAATGGCCAATGTCTTGTCAGCACCAATTGTAATCAATTGTGGAGCACTGCCACTTACCCTTGACAGCTCAACAGCCACCACCCCACCATCATGTGCCTAATCCAGTCAGAACAAAAAAATCAGAAGAGAGTGTGTAAAAGCTTTTACAAAGCCATATCTGGAAGGACAAAACAGTATAACAGAGAGGTGGAGATTATAGACTCAATTAAGCAAAGAAGAGCATGTCACTTAAACCAAAAACAAAAAAACAACAACAGCATTGATATTCCCCTAATCATTACTCAACCTACTGATCACAAAGGGATGAAAGAAAAAATAAAATTACTAATTATCCAACAATAAGAAACAGACAAAAATCAACTCCAGAGGTTCAGTGGAATTAAGAACAAGGATGCTTTGCCCTCGGCTGTAACAAGATCTGGCGACCACAGTCATATCCTTATTGAGTTTCTGCATGAAAGAGTAGGCATGAAAGTACTACCTTTAAGCTAAGCTTGGGTACAAGATCCCTTGAATCAGTAGCATGATCAGCACTCCACAGTACAAGTAAGCCATCACTGCCACCTGAAACAAGGAGTGCCTGCAATTGCGATTGAAATTAGATAGAGAATGGCTGGTATCATGTATGGCAGATGAATAACAGATAGAAAATAGTTGATAAGCGTTCATTCAAATGCGTTAAAGGCCGCTAGTAACCTAATCGGGATATAAAATGAATGTGGGCTATTCAACAAACCAACTAGGAAAAGAGATGCTAAGCTATGCATGAAGGTTAACACAAACATATCATTAAGACAAATGAAACGTCAGGAAAAAGGAAAAAAAATATATGTAAGAAACTTCCAAGATGGCATGCCCAGTATCTCATTTATTTTTAACAAATCAGTCAGCCTTATCAAGTGAACTTGTATGTTATGTTTAAATCACATGACACTTCTATCTGCCAGACGGGAAATTTGAGAGAGTTACTTCGCCAGATGATGCCATGAAATTCATCAAGCAATAAATTGATCCTTTATGGCCACCTGTATATCTACGTGCAAGCTGCAAGGAAGTAAACATGGAGAATCAAAACAGATCAGAATCACCATAAACCCAGCAGAGAAACAAAATAAACATTCAATTATTGGAACAAACAAACCTTCCATGTTATCATTGATAAAACCCTAATAACACCATCAGTTGAACCAAATGCAACTAAAGGGCCATCACCACCAGATGATCTGGTAAGGAACTCCATGCTGCAAAATAGGAAGAAATCTAACAACTTTACGGAGAAGAAGAAATAAAAAAAAGGCACAAAGACTGTTGAGCATCGACTGGAACAATATACATCAATGTGGTCTGGTATACATTACACATAAAAGCACACACACATTAGCTTATGCATAGTCTACATTTGACTCAAAAGATTTCCAGCGTAGTATCTAACGGAGCTCTTTTTCCAGGATTCAAGCGACTCGAAGATTGGCAGTCTAAAGTAATGGAACATCTTTCCCGGGGTTTGAGGTGTCAAGCAAACCCATGCTCTAAAATTAGAGAAAAAGAAAGAAAGAAATGAACTTACCAGAGAAGTGACTTGTTGTCAAGTTCTTGCTTTGGCACATCTCGACCACGCATTGTCACCAAGTCCAAGAAAATGGCTTTATTCTCGCAACAGATGACCAGAAAATGCCGGCCTTTAGTCGATGGAGCAGGAGAAGTGAAACCAGAAGTGAGATGATCGACAGCTGATGGAGATTCAGCAGCTGCAGAGCGATTGCGCCACAGTTGCCAGTAACGCACATCGTCATCATAAAACTTCACCTGCTTGACACTTGTAGGTGGAAAGATGACCAGATAAGTCACTTTTTAGTGAAAAGGGCAACTGAATAGCAGCGAGAAAGATATCCTACCTTCCTCCTCGAATGGCTTCAGTGGGCTTGCCTTTATAGTCTGAGCAAAACATGAATGTCAGTCAGGACAGAAAGCATCTGAAAGGCGTATACTCATTTCACCATAATAGAATGTTAGAAATGGCTCACCGGAATCTCCCTCGGCAAGCTTCTCTAACTTGGCACCAACTAAACGGCGCTCGTCAACACCGCCGGCTTTCAATTCATAAATCACCTAAGGAAAAAAAAATGGCCATATACGTTGAAGATCCTCGATTCGAGATCAGAAGCGAAGCCAAATCAAATCAGAATCTCGAGAAAACGATACCTGACGATGCTCCCAGTTCCAGACGGAGACGTGATCCGTATCATCGGCCGTAACAAGCCATGGATGCGTGGGATGAACCTGTATCTTCACAATCTTCCCGTTGGTCTGCCGAAATGCTCTCGCGCGCAACATTTCGATCTCTCTCACAGTCCTTCGGGATCAACGAAACAGCTCAGAATCAGAGCCCAATTGCATCCGCACAGACGATTCGGATTCACGACAATCCAGCAACACACTCGAAATTCCAGAAAAGGCAAGCAGAGCTACAATCAGATCCAGATCAATTAGATCCACCGGTTAAAGCGCCGATGCACCACTACAATCGCCGAACAGTAACTCCGGTAGTGTCTTCGGACGGGAAATGCGTAAAGCGCGCACTGCGAGAAGGCCAGTGGGTCTGATGAACAAAAAAGGCCCAAAACATTTTAGCCTTTTATTTGAAGGTGTTGTCGCAAATAATATTCCGCTGTTTGTATATTTTAAAAACTTTATATTACTGTTATCACTGACTTTTAAGTTTTAACAATGTATAATTTTAGATATCAAAAACTATAGTCTAAATATCCAAAATTTTAGGAGTGAGGGTATTAGTTTCATGGATTCGATAGTTAAAGTTTAAAACACAGTTTAATACAGGGCTAAAAGATTAGGAATTATAAAGATAATAATTAAACGAATCAAATTTCCAAAGATTAATGAGATGCACACCACCAACTAAAACTTGGTGCATATGTTATCGTCAGTCAAACCAAAATGTTTGCTCATAGATTCTACTTCTCATGTACACACTGCCTAAGAAAAGTCAAGTACTAATTCTGTATTCTATGCACACAAGTGCCTGGTTAAGCAACTTTCCGGTTTAACTGATGTTACTTCGACTTAGAACAAATCGACTGTGCCAGCTCCGGCTTTTCCCAGTTTCAATAGTCGACAACAACACACTCCACAAGTCCTCTGCTTCTTCCTCAGATGGAAGCTCTAAGTTGGTCTGCAGAAGCGGCTGAGCTGAAGGATCGTTCCATCGTTTCCTGGTCGGGCTGCTCTTCGTTTGCTGGTTCTGTCTCCAGTTCCATACACCATCTGAGTTGCTTCCTATGATGCGGACAACTCCGCCTGTACAATCTGTGTGTATCACATTCTCCAAACCGATTTCTCTTTCGATATTCCATACCAAATCTATTGGAACTCCGATAAATCCCGGTTTTCTGAAATCTACCAAGCTGGGGCAGCTTAGAACCAACACCAGTCTCCCTGTGATTACAACGAAAGCTCCTTCTTGCCTTAGGGCTTTGCACTTCACCAGCGTCTCGCCTTTGAACTTCAGGGAGTCTCCTACCTCCATAAGTACTGCTGTCCCGACCGCTTCTTCCCATGAATAAGGCCTGAGAGGTGATTCTCTACTCAGAGGCCTAGGAAGGCGAAGCCTATGCCTTTGGGATCTTATGTTATGAAGCTTACTTCGGTTTCTGATACTCTGTGCGGTTTTTCCAGTTACCTCAAGGATGCTAGCCGTTGGTCTGGCCACAAGTCCAGTAATCCCCAAAGCCACTCCTGAACCATATAGAGCCACCCAAATTAACGTTGCATCAAAATATTTACTGATAAATTTAAGTGATGGTTCTTGCTTATATTACCTGAGATGACGCCTGGAAGACCATGTTTCTCAACTCCGCTTATTGGTGACTGAAGGAGACCAGTGAGTCCCTGCAATGAACATCGTGGTAGACTATCTTTAAGCAAAGCATAAACCAAAGATAATGGCAGAAATTTTCATCTCATCTATAACCAATTTAAGAAAATTGCAATTCCAGGCCATCTCAAGTATACTTAGTTCTTTATGGAAGTTCAAAGGGAAGCATAGTTGATAACTAATCCAACACAACGTGAACGGACATGGCAAAATATTAGTATATAAGACACACTTGCAAAGATAGTGCAGATGATATACCTCAAACACTTCACCTATAACTCCTTTGCTACGGGATCCTTCACCCAATTGCTGCTTTTCCATCCTTGCAACATCATGGTCATTGAATGTAAATGCAACGATACCCTGCAACGAATTGAAAATTCTGTGAATATTTCTTGAAGGTGATGACTGCACCATAGATTTTAAGCAAACAGATGAGGTGTACCTTGTGTGCAGCTTTACTGAATTGGGTGGCAGCATCACTTAAAGCATAAACAGTGCTATTAAAGAGACTTGTGGTTCCATGCGCCATTCCTTGAATAAGTCCTGCTGGGCTCTGTTTAAGTAATTTAGTTTAGCATATAAGCCAAAAGTAACAAAACAAGACCCATTATAGGAAAAAAATTTAGTCATCAGTCATCACCTTTGAGACACTCCTACTGGGAGCTGAAAGAAAATCTTTAATTCCAAGCGCAACATTCCTCGCAAATCCCATGGGATTACCAATAACGCCAGCAGAGCCAAACACCTGTGTGTTAACAATAAGAGAAAACAGGTATTAGATTGGAGATATACGCCCACCAGGTATAACAAATGAATAAAGGAGAACAGCAAGTGAAATATGGTAATATCCCAGTTCTTACCTTGTACATCTCATGAAGAATTTGACGAGTATAGTGCCCAACAAGGATCTCTCGAAATGATTCCCAACTAGTCATGTGATGAGCAATTGTCAATTGCTTGAGATGTATTCGAGCACCCTCGATATCGGCAAGAGCCATAAGACCTCTCTGAAATTGGACCATAATGTATTTTGAGTTTTATATGCCGAGAAAAGAAATGAGGATTATCCACAACCTAACTAACGTCACAAAATCATTTGTGCATTGAATCTAAGCAGTATTAACTTATGCAGTATAACTACAGAATGCTTCATGAAAAGTGAAGGTACATACATGGATAAGGGACTCCCCTGAAGTAAGAACGCCATTCCTAAGCATCCACGGAGCACTGCAGAAGCTGTCGACATTGTGATCCATAAAAGACCCATGTGAATTTACACGTAGATATGATACCAAAAGTATTTACCTAAGCATCCTCAGAGAATAATTTCTAGCTCACCTTAACGTAAACTTAATAGGGGCCAACTCGAAAGTTTCAACATATATCTTCCTGTGTCTTCGAGCCAACAAGTGAATATGCTGCCAAGGAGCTCCTATCGGAACCACAATAGGTAGAGATACAATGCTTCTATGACTTTTGTTAAACACGGGAATGTTTCTTGCATGTGGTCGACCATCTTCCAAACTTATATCCTTGGAACCAGTGTCATAAACTAGAGGATGTAGCGTTGGATCTGAGAGCGGCAGGAGCCTAGCCTGAGAATTAGGAAGCACTGCTTTGACGAACTCCAACAAGGATAATAGTGTTTGTAGCTCGAGCTCAAGTACAAATTCACCAATCCTGCATTTGTTTAAACAGAAACTGAGAGTTGAAAACAAATGTATATAATAATACAGCGAGCTGTGTGGATGCTAAGTAGAATTTTACCAATAATAATACCTTATATTTATGTACTCAAAAGAAACTAGTGAAACATCTTTCTTCCGCCACTTTGCTATGCCAATGTCCACTACAGTATCACGGGTATGACTCCTAACTTGCTCAACAGTTTCACTTAAAGATCTTGTTTTGTTGTCCTTAGTACCCCAATCAGGAGCAATGCCTCTGTGGTCATGACTAAATGACAATATGACAGGATACGAAGAATTGTGAAGTGGGTTGTCTATCTGTAATGAAGAGATCTGAAAGGAAAGCTTCTGCTGATCGACACTCTGACTTAGATCTAATACAACATTTGATGCACAAGCATAAACCAATTCCTGCAAGGAATGTTGATGGAGTGTTAGAAGAATATTGGGATGTAATGTGGAAGTGCATTATATTTTCATGGGATGGTTACCTGTGGATGAGAATTAACCAAAGATATACCAATGCTTGGCAAAATAAGCAAGAACTTTTCTGTGTAACGGATCATATTATCAGTTTGAAACTTTTGCTTTCCCTTCTCATGAGATTTAGAGTCAAACGTTTCCTTTATAGCTTTCATGGTGTGATGACCTGAATCTACAACACTGAAAACCTGGAACGGGAAAGTGAATAAGTTGCATCAGCAATATAGAGAAACACAGTTGTGTCCTCAGATAGTTAGCTAAGTAAAAGACATTGGTATCAGAAAAATTAGTACATACCTTTGTAGCTCCTTCAGCACGGATAGATAGCAATAGTGTCCTTTCGGGTTTCTGAAGCAAGTAAATTGAAAAAATAAGTGAATGAAAGTTGTTGGTCTTATGTATTATATGCTTTTTTAATGTCATTAGCCGCCAGAAAAACAAAGCATGCATTCATATAATCCAGAGCTGCATGCGACTGGATATTATAAAATTTGATCCCATCCACCTCATTATAGCAGGCTCAGAAACCCTATCGTGGGCTATAAAGGAAATTTTGCACTCCACCTCATTTTGCAGAAACCTCTACCTTAGGCTAAAAGTGTCGAAGATCTAACTCCCCCAAATTTTATGCGAATATTTTGACTTATGAGACAGTGGCTACTATTTATTATGTTCACTACCAAGGCTCAAGAAAGCATGCTGCCGATAAATTTTATGTAAGGAACATGAACCAATGTGCCTTTAAAGAGCATTACAAGATATAGACGCGTCTTAGCATGTAGGAACCACTCAGCAAAAGCCATGATAACCACATATACATTAATAAGGAAGTTGATTCTGATATATATACCTCAGATGTGGAGCGCAAGTGCACTGGAATAGGTTGTTTTGTGATCTCAAATGCATAAGAGCCTATAACACGATCTCCAGGCACCTACATTCCTCAGTAAAGAAAAAACAACATGAGAAAAGAAAAAGAAGAGAAACTTCAACAGATCACAAAGGGCTGATTTGTTATGAAGCAGAAAATGTAATCACCGTACCTCAATGGTCAAACGATGCGGATAACAGGGTTCATCCCAAGCATAAGGGCAAGACGTGTAAGGATGAACTATAGTATCAAAAGTTTCACATTTTTGTTGATAAACCCTGAGTCTCTACCATCCACAAGAAAAGAAAGAAAAAAAAGCAATATTCAGTAACCAAGGGTTTCAAAATTAATATGATATCATCAATTATAACATTACTGACCTCATTCGAGAAATTATCAATCCTGTAAGGCATATAGCCCATGTCATCATCTGATAATAGAATGAAGTTTGTCCCGACATTTCCCTGGACACTTCCTACAAGTTTTTCATCTCCGCTTGACATATTTGCATTCTGAACTTCCACCCGCACCATGTTGAAAGCTTTATTAACATAGTTCCAAATCTTCAGTTGAGTATCACCTAAATGATCTGGCAAGAAGCTGCCTGACCATTGCCATCCAGGCTCGTTTAAACGGATTGAAATTAGTAACTCCCTGTTTATATAGAAGAGTAAGTGGTGTACAGGTAGAAAATTGTAAATGTATTTATCAGTACAAAAGTAGGATAAAGGTAGCAACAGTGGTGGTTTTCAAATGAGTTCCAGATTTTGAGGGTGAGAAAATAAATCATTCAACAGAAACAATCAAAGAGAAAAAGAGGGGCAACAGTTTAATCTTCAGACAAATTAAGAGGGACGTAGGCACAAAAACGAAACAGAGAACTATAAACAATATAACAAGAGATCAACAAAAATTCAAGCGTAAACAGCTACATCAATAAGAAGCACAATAGGAGGACTACTTTCATATGAGATGACGATGGAAAATTGAATGCATGGTGATCAAATAAAAAAACACTCCATACGAAGAACGTGTTGTATATAAGACTAAATAAGTAAAGAAAGAACCTCGTAGTATCTGTCCATTGAAGCTGAGCATGCTGTCCAACAGCCAAATGAGAAACTAAACTGGTTCCTTTCTGCTTGTAACATAGGCTTCGGCTGCAAGAATTACAGATGATATATCTGCAACATTGAAAATTATTAGTGGATACATAGGGAAAAGATACATGAGAAAATAGAGATTTGGTGAAACTAACTATCACCTAGGTTGGAAAGCAATTGCTTGCGTTCTCCCTGCTAATGCACCACCAAGAATGGAGCACGTAACAGATAACAAAGATGATTCACCAGGCGACGGTTGTGGGACAACTACATTTGTTGAACCAGTGGGTGGAACAACAGGAAATGGAGTAGACCACAGAGAGTATGGGCTATTTGAATTATCTGACCCTGGCAGGTCCCTTTTGACTCGGATCATGCTGTCACTGGCCCTGGAAATAGGGCAAGGTGAATAAATGCATGCCTTTACTTTGCCAGACTCATTACCTTGGAAGCACACCTCCCTTAAACTTTTTGAAGAAAGACTTCTCTTGCGAACAGTTGCTGAGTCTTTTGGATATGCTAAGGGGACTTGTCGAGTTGATGGAGTCACATGCTTATCCACAAATCTCTCATTACTGAAAGCAGTGTTGCTGCGCTCCGATGAGGAAGGACTAGAAGGGGAATCCGCAATTGGAACTTTATCTAGCAAATCTTTCCCAGAGGTCAAAATGCCAAGACCAACTTTTTGACTTTTAACAAAATGCTGCTCAATCAGGTTGTAGCACGACGGAATTACGCTGTGCACTTTAGCTTCATTGGTGCAGTCCGAAACAATCAGAGGAGTTCCAGTGCAGTTATACAATAGAAATGGGACGAAGATAAATACTTCCCGTGCCCCACATGTTACATCCATTGTTTTCTCACAAGATACATAAACAGAACCTATAAGATAAAAAAATATCGAAATGTCTCAAAATGATTAAGCGAATTAATAAAAAAGAAAATGATAATCCTTACCACCACCGAGGTATGGATCAAAGGAGACGGTTTCAGTCTGAGAGAATTTCCCTCCACTGAACTTAGCCAATGTGCTAAAAGTTTCTGAGCGTGGGAACTTTAAAGATGATGATTTATAGCCATTTAGTTTAAACTCAAGAACCAAGTCATGTGAAGGATCAATATGATGGAATGGAGTCTCCCTCTAAAAAAAGTAAAAAAAAAAATTGTCACATAAGTAATTACCATATTAACCATATAAAAACATGATTATAAAATGTTTCTGAAGGCAATAGTATCGAAATGTATCTCAGACCTCAGAAAGGGATGCAGCCTGGATGATGCCACCACTTTCGATAGAAAGTGATAGTGGTTCTGGAAGACAGTTGCTTACAACAAATGGAGTACTTAAAGTCACTTGATGAATGAATCGTTCATTTGATTGGTCAGGACCGTATGCTGGCAAGCTAGTGCTCTGAACAGATATGCAACACCGAAATGGTTCATGGCTAGGGTGACATGGATAACAAGCAAAAGATCGGCGGAAGCCTATCCTGCTATCTTGAGAAAGAACTTTGGAGATGCTATGAGCTTCACTCCACAAATAAGAATCTCCGAGGGGACGCCATCGTAACCGGCCAGATTTAGCCAAGTGTAGAGGCAGTGGAAATTCTTGACCAGGAAAAATAGGATCTAGGATCTGAAACAGAACGACATAAGAATAATTAACGTTGTAGTGAAGATCAACGGGTTAAGGAAACTAGAAAAGAGGAAAGAAGAAGCAAAGCAACGAATATATAAATATTTTGAGACCAGGAAGCCAGCTAGTCATGGTCCCATATTCGCATTACAAAAACAAACCCTGGTACAGATGGAACAAACTGGCATATTAGAATTTTCTAACCTTCGGGGAGACACCAAATGGAATATCAAAGCGAAGTTCCAAAGGCATGGATGTGGAGTTCAAAATTATCACCTGACAAGGGGAAAGATGATAGGCAGACTCAACATTTGTTATTAATACAAAGCATGTACACTGTAATGAAGTCATACGTACTGTTGAGTATACTCGTATCAACTTGCTCTGCTGCTGCAATGAAACCTCATACACAACAGGAACAACAAAGCTGCTCCCAGAACCAGATTTACTTGCTTCTTCAACATCATTACGGGATTTTGATGTCTTGGAAAAATCAACCTCAAAATAGGAAAGGCCAATTCGATCCATTGAATGAGGAGGAGAAGCAACAGCTGTTCCATCAAGTTGGATCTTCATATAATGATGTGTGGCATCATCAGATTCGCTGCTTAAACAGCCAAAATGACTTCGACGTTTATCAGGAATTAGTAGTGCGCCACTATTATCGAGATTGATGGGAACAGAGGAACCGGGTTGCACAAAGTTCTGAGCCAGCGGAGCTAACATGTTAAGCACATCTGAATCATGTCCTTGGAAAACTTGGTACCCCAACGGGAGAGAAGTTAAATTTTGAAGTACGTATGGAGAATATTGTTCTGTACTGGTACTTCTGGTGCAGTAAGATGGCAATCCCTTGTCCTCAGGAACAACACCTGTTTCCATCAGTTCCAGAGTGCTCGCCATCTCGATTATCCTGAAAATGCACTTCAACAGGGAAAGGGAAAAAGTTAACATATATGGAACTTTTTATAGATAACGCGTCTGCAAGCATTTCCGATGATAATTGATAAGGGTTGGGCTCCCCACAAAAGCTAGCTTAAGGGTACTGGTGCCCTTAGGTTTTCTAGAGCTTGGATTTTTTTCCGTTCCTATCTGAGGTGGGAATTTTTGAATACCAACAATCTTATCAATAATATAAGTAGACAGAAAGTTAGAAACTAATTTGATTATAGGATTTAGCACCAAAACCACATCCAGAATTGGGGGGTCGAGTTATATACCAAGCTGAGTGAAACTAACCATTCCCTACCAATATTAATTACTAAAGAAATTTTTTAACCGGGAAGAAATTATATCACATCTTACCTCAAAAAGAGGTTCTGTTAAGTTCACATTGAGCTGATTTGACGAGGCAACAATTACTTCAGTGAGCCCAGCATTGTTCAGCAAAGCATTTGCCTCAAATTTCCGGGAAAATTTGATATCAAAACTCCAGGGCTCAATAAAAGGCTCCCACAAGACCTTCAACATATATCCACGGGTGGTTATCAGCAACTACCAAAACAAAGATAAAAATGACAGCAGAATTCTGTTTCTGCCTTGTACCTTATGCATATTATTATAATTCACTTCAAGATCACATGAAACCAAACTCTCCACGTTCTTCTCGGTCAGATTAGCTTGCAGCAGAAAGTTTCTCATAAGAACTTCAAGAAGCAGACCGCTACATCCCCACTGCATGATAGTCAAGAGACAAGAGAAGTCAGAAGTAGCTTAAGAATTCAAGCTGAAGTATCCCATATAAATTGCAAAAGCTATAGGTAAGAATATAAAGGACAATCATGGAGCAACACATATTCTAGACACTTAACATCGAACTTAAGAAAAAACCTATTATAGACAATGGACCACATATCAAATTGCAACATTTTTGCCTTTTCTGCCTTGGATATATTGAAACCGACCAAAACTCACACATCAAATTAGTTTTTCAGCAGCGAAGAAAAACTATCTACGAAGATATAGCATCAGATTTCTTAAGCTGACATTAACTGATCACTAAAAACGAACACATACAGTACAAGGCATAGAGAGCCACACTATCTGCAAATGCAGAGTTCATAAAAACATTATATTAGCATGCAGAAATCAGTATATAAAGCACAAGCTTACCCTTCCATCAGATATAAGAAGAGACACATCTCTAATCTGGACTTTGATACTCATGTTTCCTTGCGAATTTTGTGAAGATGGCGTCTCAGGTGCATCAAATGCAACTCCATGCCAGAAAGATAATACTTGATGAGATGCATGCATCTCTACGATGTCAGACAGTATCCCTGTGTCGATGCTCATGATTTTCTTCTGATCCATATGAATACTAGCATCTACAAGTAGTTGTGATACCCCAAATAGTGGGCAAGACCTGACAGTATCAACCCCGGATATTGCAAGAATCCCATTGAGCTTTTCAATCTTATAGCTCAGTTTAACATCTCTCCCAAGAACAGAGAGTTCACCGCTCCTACTAAAAGCTGTAACAGAAACATATTTACAGTATTTCCCTTTAAAAGTTCTTCTTTGTTCTTCCTCGGATCTCTCATGAATATCAGTTGCCATGAACCCTGGAAATTCTGAGTGGCTTATGCAGAGAGGAAAATGGATGGTGACGCCAATAATCTCTGATTTCGCAGCAATTGCAATACCCTCACTAGAATTCTCTGATACCTCGTACTGCTGACCGTTCAAAACGCGATCAGTATTGTCACAGCTATTCCTTACCACTTCAACAGAATCCAGAATATCCAAGTTGGAACCTTCTGACAAAAAAGGGTCTTGACTACTGCCTTCCAGTTTCTCGGCATAAGATTTAAGAAGATCAATAACCTCAATCCAATCAAAAGAGTGTAACCAGATGTCTAGGGATGGGAGAGAAAAACAGACACCGTATCCATTTGCAGCCTGTTCCATAAATCTGACTTTAAGTGCCGAAGGATCCCCATATGCATTGCTCGTGCATCTAGCTAACATGACTGAGCTCAGCAATGAATAAAGCCCAATTTCAAAAATTTGAACATCCAAGCTCATAGGGAAACTATTTCTAAGTTCTCCAGAGCAAACAAATTTCATATTAGCCTGGAGCACTGGTTCAGATAGCAGTGTTTCAGGATCTTTTCTTAACCGATGAAGTTTTGTCGTCAAAAGATTGACAAAAAAATTGAATTTTATAAAGCTAGTGAAAGATTCAAGGGGTGCAACTGCCATCTCTTCCTTTAGGCCCAACTTTGTATGAAGAAACTGAGGAACATCAGACACGAACAATTTGGCTTCCTCACCAACCAAAGAAAACTGATCAATCACATCAACAAATGCTTTAAACCCATCCAAGGCATCTGAATCTGCAAAGAAAAAGAAAACATGTATGCATCACTTGACAATACGTAATATAGAAAGAGGAGACAGGGCGCAAAAGTTAACATGAAGGGCAACACCACCTACCATCCGCAATAATTTCACAAACTTCAACCCTTGACATAATACATGTCAGATCAGATGACGAATCAAGATCACATGGTAATCTAATCCAAGCGTCAGCAATAATGCTAGCAGCCAGCGTGATACTTTTGCAAACAGCGTCCTCCTTAGAAATTAATATGCCATTCTCAGAAAGCAGCAATGATAGCGATAAGCCTTGCCCCAATATGTTTAACCAGTCTGCGTGCCCTGCTACTTGATTATGTGGAATAGCACATTCCTGTGGTACGTGCTGCAACACATTGCTCGAAGCAATATCTTGAATGAAGCTAATATATAACTGCTGAATGTCAGTTTTCAGCTGCCGGTGGTCATCATTTTCCACAGGAAGAATCACACTGGAGTCTAGTATCTCAACTTTATAACTAATGGCAAGCTTAGAGTGAGGCTTCGTAAACTCAGTAGCTTGTGGCAATGTCTGCAGGCCTGGCTTCGAAGTCCAGTCAGGAAGAGAGAAGTATCCAATTATAATGGCCAAATATTCAGGCGGCAAAATACAACATGTGTGTTGAATACCAATACTCACTTCAAGTTCAGAACCAGAAGGCTCCAAATTCCTCTTCCTTACACGTAGGTTCAAGACCGGCGAGATATCTGCTAACGAATGTTTCCAAAGAAACCCACCAGAATAGTTGGTGAACAAAGATGACTCCAGCATCAAGTCTTCAGCAGAGGCAACCAAATCGAGACGATCGTCTGAAATGGTAAGCAAGTATGTGGATACTGGAAGCATAATAGTTCCCAAAACACTTGAAGAATCATGAAAATGCACATTGATGGTGAAGACATTCACATCAACCGTAAAGAGACTGGTCTGACCAACACCTCTGGCGGACGTCGGCTCATTCAGAGGATAATCATGTTTCGGTTGTAAAGTGCAGCTGTTACACTCGCAGTTCGAACCTATTTCTGCCAAGTCCTTTTTATTCCTTAACATAAATAACTTCCTCCAGTCAGAAGTCGAATAGCAACGAGAGCTTTCAAGGCTACCAAGAGAACCAGAATTGTAAATGGTCACAAATGGATATCTGTCAAGAGGAATGCAGCCACAAGATCTACTTTCAATGTAGTTTGAGAATCCAAACCTTTCAAAACCAAACCGAGGAATTTCTGTCAGAGCAACCGTATCTGCAGTAAGGCTTGAAGAATTCGTCTTGGCAGAAGAAATCGTATAGGAGTTTATCTTATCCAAAAAACTGTTCAGCAAACCAAATATGTACGGGTAGCAATGGAGTTCAGCGCCCCTCCAATAGATTGTATACTTGTGAGAAACAATATTGTTACTTCGGGAAACCTTGCAATTTAAGCTGATAACAGCTTCAGGAGTTGTTCCGTTATCTATAATGTTGGTTTGATCGCTATTATGAGCATACATCCCCTGTCCATAGGCAGAGGACGGTTTCAGTAGATTCCCAGATGAACACAAAATATGACTGTCAGCTGCATCTTTAGAGGAGCAAGCTTTTATTTCCAATGCTTTCACACAGACCGACCACTCTTCAACTTTAGTAAGTGAATACCTGAAAATGACGAGTGTGCAAGAGAACTTGTCAGAACCCCAAGTGCTAGAATATGTAACAATCGAGAACCAAGAAAAAAACAATTGGATGAGTGTGATCTTGACTACGGGATCAGTAGATGAGTCAAAGACAGTGATAGTAAGAGCAAATATATGTATGATAAGATGCATGGGAACACATTCAACTGCTTGGCAAAACAGGCAGACATCACGATGGTAGATATAAATGTACAGCAAAAGAAAAACTACATCCATGCTTGAATAATATATGACGGTTAACTTTCCACTGATACTGTAAAAAGTCAAAAATAAGCTCCTTTATCGTTGCAACAATTACGTACCAGAGATCCAGCTGTTCTATAGAAAGAACAAGCACTGTGCTATTTTCTCTTTCATTTTCAAGATTGACGTGCAACCTGAAAAGTGCCAAGTTGGTATCGACAGTGAAACGAAAGATGGGAACGGGGTTTATTGGAGCATTTCGATCTTCATGATCCTGAATATCAATATATTCAATCACAGATATGACTCCTTCATATATCGACGGAGAGAAATGCACATTGATCGTAGACAGAGTAGCTTCAACCTGAGATGAATGGAATGACAAAAAAAAATCAGAGTAGCTTCTACTTTTGACGCCTCTATAAAAGTAGAAGCATTTAGCAACAAGGAACAAGGGAGTTTTTCATTAACTCTCTAACTACACACAGCCACCTCGGAATCTAACTGCTTTCATTAAGATTTTAATACCTCCAACTGCTTTAAAATTGACTCCTCCGGAATTATGCAAGAAGCCAACTTGATAAGTAAAGATGATTTCTCCACAAGGGGAATTTCTTGGAAAGAATGAACCTTCATCAGCCTCATCTGCACAAGATGCAGACGTAAGAACCTATATGATTTCTTAAACAACACCAATAAATAAATAAACTATCTTACCTCAAGGTCACAGATATTGATCTCAAAATGGTCGTAGATATCTTTTACTTGAAAAGCATCTAAGGCTGCAACGGAACTTTGTAAACCATCCACCACATCGGACTGCATTCTTGGACTTGGGCTACTAGATGTGATAGAAAGCGATTCCAATACCAGAACCTGCACACGGGAGCATGGGAAGATAGAAAAAATACTGAGAAGGATACAAATTAAAAAGAACAGGCAATCAAATTTATATAATATAAGAGAAATACCAGATTATAGCTTCCTGATTTAACCAATCGTCCAGGGAAACTTAAGGTAAGGTCTTTTATTTCCAGATCCCATTTCACATTTGTTCGGCTTGATAAGAGGTACCTATGAAACATACCACGACTCGATTAAGCCTCACAATCAATTAAGATATGAATCGACACCTAACGTATGGACAGGAAAAACACTTACTCAGCTTTCGCCGCCAATCGCGTTTCACTTTCGAGGCCATTCAGTGATGATAAAACCTGAGCCACAAAGGCGAATTGTGATCACTACGATACTGGATAAAGGAAACGAACTGGCAATGTTTTGACTTTTAACAATATTTGCTTATACCTTGATTGTCAAAAACTTCATAATAATTTTTTCACAAAAAACATGTACGAGCATGTAGCAAATGTAGTGAAATAAGAGCTTACCCTTTCATGTTGAAGTCTGAAGGATCTTGAAGCCGAGAAAAAATTACTGACAGCTAGAAAGAAGTCCACATCGTATGCGGCTTCAAGTGGTTGAAGGGTGACCTACAAAAACAAGATCGTAAAAACTATAGCAAAGTTAATCCTAACAGTTAGCTACGAACAAAAGACCATGACTCCCAAAAAGGATCAAGCGTTGGGTTTATCCACAAAACGCTGATGCAAGGTGCAGTTAGTTCACCTTTACTGACAATGCAGCATCGTGATCTTGAGATAACTCCAACCTTGCTCCATATGAAGGTTCCATATCTAGTGCATCACTCTGAGAGCAGACATGCATGAAACCATAAGCCTCGTTTTTTTACAGAAAAACAAAAAAAATGAAAAGCGCTCGTAATTTATGTAGCATTACGTTATTAAGTAACATTTCTATAATAATATTTCATGATTTCCGATTTTAGTAATTATTAACAAAATAGCATAGGCGTAACAGCATATCAGGACACATACCCCTTTCATGGTTAGAATTTCTTTCCCATTCTGAGGATAGACCAGCCTTCCAGAAATAACAGAAACAATCATGGCTGTAGATTCTTTCCAAGTCTTGAATTCAACAAACACCCCCAAAATGTCCAACTCTGACATAACTTGAGAGGAACTCCTGTGGAAATAAAAACGATAAAGGACAAATGAAAAGAAGAAACTAGTTTAGGCAGAAACCATGATGAAGTAGCCGAGAAATTTTCAACTTACCCATTTATATGCTGCAAAGTAGCAGAAATTTTGCGTACGTTGAGTCTAATGGAGCACGTACAGATATTGCTAGTTGCACTTAAATTTCTAGGAGATGAAGGACGAGGGTGAAATTGTGTTGCCTCGTGTATATCCTGCAGTAAATTATCAGTTACTAGGATCTCTAGGATAATTTTGAAACACAATGCTATTAATGGTACTAAAAAGACCTGGACAACTTCATCAGAAACAACGCCAGAAAACTGGCTCGAATCCTCTGTGCCTCCGGCACCAAGCATTCCCCGCGATAACCAGTTCAACCACCCACGGGACTTATTCAATGTAGGATCATCACTCTGTTCGTTTTCAGAAGCACTATGTTCATTTACAGAGCCAGTGCCACCACTTGCTCCCATGTTCACAGTCAATTCTGAACCAGCTTCCTACATAATAAGATCCGAAAACAAAGGTAAAAGGCAAAATAAGGAAATGCCAAAGCTAGGACATCAACTTATCTAAACAACCTTTGGTGTGTCTTACAAAATATGAAATGCTACAGAAGCAATCTAATTTGACATACCTGCCTTTCACCTTCCGCTGCAGCCCTATAACTTAAGATATCATCAATATCAGACTTCTTTTCGACTTCTTCCAAACCCAAAAGGACAGACTCATCGATTGCCTGTAGTCAGAGGCATAAAGCACACCCATATTAGTAGAGAAGCAACTTGACTAGGAAAACATTGGTTTTAAAATGCTACAGGAGAAACAGACATTACATCAACTCATCTTCAAGTTAAAAAAGCTACGAATATATTGAACAAATATGTCCATCAAACCATCTTAGCAACAAAAAATTTAGGGAAGAGAACAGGCTAGGTTAGGCAATCTCCTACAGCTAGACAAATAGGAGGACAAGAAGCGACATAATGAACAACCCTAGTTGACCAAAAAATAATAATAATAATAACGAACAAACCAATGAAACATTCTTGCCTGGTCTCTGCCAAGGAAATCTAGCTTTTGCTTGTACAAGTTTATATACCTCCTCCGCATTGTCCTGTAATTTTCCCCGAAACAAAAGTCTGAAAACTAAGCAGAAGACTGCTTGAATATATTACGAGAGTATTTGTCTACTTATGCCATGAAAGAGTAAGCTATTTGCGTGAAAGTAAATTATGAAGAAACTTTAAGAGCATTGGGAAAATTGTAACTGGTAAATAATTAATCATTATCTTAATAAAATAAAATAAAAATAAAAAGATGTCAAGAAAGTAAACTTACATTCGCTGTCCAAGAAATCTCCATGAAGTTTTCCACAGTTTTTTCCGTACATCAGATAAAATTGATTTTTGGGCATAATGCCACCAAAGTTTCTGCCATCCTGGTGGTTTCCTCGATAGGGAAGTGGAGCAGGGACGATACCGCCCATACCTAAACCAATTAATACATTCTTAAATCAAGAGTTCTTCAAAACATTCCGCGTCATATAATAGAGCTAAATCTCAGAATAATAGAAGTTTGAATGGAGGAAAAATTATCCTACCCCTAATGAAAGGCTTACCTCTCACGCAATTGGCTAGTTTGCAAGTAATCTAATAGAATAAGAATCTGCTGCAATTGAAATTCATTCAAACTCATGACCTGAAACGCATAAGTGGAAGTTAGAATGAGTCATGAAATGGTAAATAAAATCTTAGCTCTTAACCTAGTTTAGCAATATTTAGGAACTAACCACATCAGTCAACTCAGCGCTGATAGAATACTGAGGTAGATCGTCATAAAGCTCTCCAGATCGATTGACCTATACAAAGAAGTGCATCAGGCAAAATGAAGAACTTCTATTTACACACAGAACACAAATGCAACCAAGCAATAGCATGTATACACCAATGTTCGTTATGTATAATTGTATCTTAAATCAAATAGCTGCAAACAGCTTCCACTAGAATTGGCAAAAATGCAATGCAAATCATTCATGGTACAGTGATAGATAGGAATGTCATCAAACTATGTGCGTAGTTTTCACGAAAAAGACTTGCTTCTACGACGCCAATTAACTAAATCCTAATTTTTTAGGCCATCAGGTAAATGAAGTAATAGACTCGCTACAGCAGATATAACATACTCATTTTAACATAACCCTAAAGATAGAGCAACCATGCAACAAATCTTTAATGGTAACAGATGTAAAAACACAGCAACAACGCTCCATTACCATTAGTGTTACACAAACATGGACTGGCTTCAATAAATAACCGAATGTATCGCTTTGCAATCTTGATTGGCACCAGTTGTCAAAATCTCCTTTATTATCAACACTTAGAAAGTCCATGTTTCCCTCATACATGTCGCAATAAATTTCCAAAGCTTCAATTTCCACAAGTTTATTCACTTGGCCTCTCGATGACCTGATATTCAACATAGACGCCATGTCAAGGTATCTCAGGGTGCGCACATATAAATCACAGATCTTGGTTTCACCAAAAAAAAATTAGTTCATCGAAGAAACCGGCTTCAAGGAAACTTTATTAGTAAGTAAAAAAGGCAGTTGGGAGTAGTGGGATATGCTCTTTGCTGTCTCGCAAAGTAAATCAAACACAGCATTACCATAGAGTAGAGAAAAGCTACAAGGAAGCAAACACGAAAGTGTAATACTTTCAATTAAGTGCCATTGAAGGTGCATCAGGAGCTTACCCTACTGGATTTTGCTTAGTGACTGTCAAGCTTGAAAACCGCAGTCCTAATACAGCTTGTACCTGCAGACAGCAATTTACAGTCAAACATATGAAAAAGGGAAAGTAGACAATACCAAGAGATGATTCAAATTATAACTCTAGTGAATCGCAAGATAGACTGATAGTAGTTTAGCATCACCCAGCTCATAAACTTGATGCTACCTAAATTTGTATCCTCCATGATAAATACTATGCCCACATAAATGAAACAAGACTAGAATAAGATTATAGATGTATATATAAGTTTCCACCAACTGCTAATGGAGAATACAGAGTTACAAGCCTATATACTAGTTAACTAATTAAACTGAACAAGCAGGAGACTTACCGATTCAGGTTGTGCATCAGAGTATAAGATGTGGAAGTTTTTGATGGACAGTTGAATGCTGTCAAGAATCTACGCCAATAGAGAAGGAAAGTTAACATAGTATAAAGAAGCGAAGACATAATAAAGATAATAACCTCATCCACAAGCAGGAAGATTTAAACTTGCTCAAAAATCAAAATACAGCACCAGACCAAAAATAATGTAAAAGATGTAAGATACTTAACTGATGTCACCTTGGCTGCAATATATGACATAAAACGATTCCCTGCTCCTGGACTGTCTGGAAAAAAACAAAAACAAAATTTGAAGGGGTTGACAGATGAATTAATTAGTGCAATGTAGCAGAAACCAAGACTTGACAGTGTAGGAAAGGAAAATATATTGCTCACCAAAGACACGCCTGGACAATTTCGCCAGTTCTGCAGCGGCAAGCTTAGCCATCTTACCAGCAAACTCTCTTTTCTCAACCACATCTGAGCTCCACTGCAATGGCCATGGAGTTAAGTACATTATAAAGGCTTGTCATGTACAAAAAAAGGGGTTAATAGACAGGGAAAATCACCTCTTGATCATTACGTTGTGATGCACATATAAAGACATCTTCAAGCGTAATGATGATGGGATCCCAACCAAGCTTCTTCCATGGAATTTTAATGCTCAATTTCCCAATACGTCCTATAAGAACAACAACGGATTTGATCCAAAGTAGAGAGAAGAGAAAAAAAAAAAAAAAAAAAAAAAAACGGCTTGAATCCATTGAATCACCTTGCTTGAGAGCGAATGGAAGCTGCAAATACTCGAAAGCCTCAAGATTGAGTTCCACGTTCTCCAATAGGACTTCCTCTGCAGTGAGGAGCACAAATTGGTGTTCGTTGAACAGAAAAAAAATAGAGAGGGGGAGAGAAAACGGAAGGAGGAGTGAATTACCATTCCAAACAGTGATCTTGAGCTTGTGTTTCTGAAAGTCTTTGATGTAGCGACCTAGGTACCCGGACAAGAGCTTTTGCACACCCCATTCAAGCACCACCATGATATTCAAAACCTGATAGTGAATTTCTCTCCGTCGGGAGATAACAAAAAGGAAAAAAAAAAAAAAGGAGACGGTGGTCGGAGGAATGCAAAGGAGTCGAGGAAATCGTAGGGTTTTTCCCTCTGCGTCGAAACAGAGCTACGGAGGGGAGAGTCGGAGACTCTGTCTTCTTCACAAGGTGAATTTTTCAGTCGGTTTCGTTCCCTCCATACCGGACCGGAACAGACCAATCCTGACCGGCTAGTATGTAAATTGGTTTTGTTTTATGTCCCTTTTTGGGCCCTTTAACAGATTTTATTCTTTTTTGCTTCGAGTTGAACTTGAATATGATAATTTTGTGGTAAATCTCCAATTAATTAACTAGAATATAATTTTTTCTTTAACATTCAAATTTTCACTCTAAAACTGTATTTTGTTTAGATGGAAAACATTTAGATAACAACTTGAGGTCGAAATATTTAGTTCTAGCTAGAGGAGGAGCACAAAGAGTAGACACTTTATGATTGTCATTTGTCAACAATCAGTATGAATTTCTAGAGCACCATCGCAATCAGTAGGCTCATCCAAGTATTAGGCTGCTGCCTGAAGCTTCACACACCTCTTCTCTAAGCACCCTCACAGCTTCTGAGACTCCATCCTGACATTATTGTTATTGGAAAATGAAATTGCCAGAAATTTACTCAAACTATGAAACATAAGACTACACTACATCGAAAATTTTCCTTGTCGAAGAACGGATACCTCTAGAGATAATATTTTAGCGATTTCGATGGCACGTGTCCTAGTTTTTGTAGAAAGTGCATCGTATATGGCTTTTGCTACCACTTGTGCAGCTTCCATGATGTTCTCATCATTTGCTTCCTCCTCCGGAAGCAAGTGGTTTCTTTTCAGTGGTTGAGGAGCAACACCAAGCCAACACATCTTCTCTGCCCAATAGAACTGATCCATCATAAATGGGCATATGACCTGTTGAAAGACAATATATAAACACATTATGTGGTCCGTTTTTTGGTATTGCAACTTGAGATTCATTCAGATGAACACCAAAACTAGATACAAGATAAAGCTTCAAGAAAAAAAGAGAGAGAGCAAAAACGTTAATCATCATTTGTAACCAACAGTACACAAGAACTTTGGTTTACGAAAGACTAGTAACGTTTGCTGCAGCCTAACTAAAGAACAAGCACCATGGTACGTTCTTCTTATCTAATGACACATAATTCATCAACCGTACCAGTAACTCTACAACAACAACAAAAATCTACTAGTCCTTGTTGACTAACAATTAGTTTTACCATTTTATGTCAAGTCACATACAAAGACACGACCAAAGATTATATAAGAATGTGGAACTAAAACAAACCTGTGGGATTCCAGCATGTAATGCTGCAGATGTAGAACCACTATCTCCACAGGGAGACATTTTCATATAAAGACGCAACAAAAATCAGTTCTTGTGTATATTTCTATGTCCTAGATCATTATTAGGAAAGGGGATCCAGCTGAAAATGTCACCTGCCACCATGGTGAATTGCAGCAGCACATCTTGGAAACAGCCAATTGTATGGCACCATACTAACTCAGATAGACAAATAGTTAGATTTGTTATAGGGCCACGTGAAAATTGAGGTGTTGCCATGTCCAATATAATGATCAGCAATAGAATAGTCGGCAATTACAAGTTGTGCAAAGTTTTACTCACCCAGAAAAGCAGAAAAGCTTGCCGTTGAAGATAGAGATTCCTACATCCAAAGGTCGGTTCGCACTTGAAGGTGATTCCTTAGCAATGGTGCAAATTGCTGCATCTAAAGGTTCATAACACGCTGTGAAAATGATAAATCTATAGCCTGTAATCTGGATAACAGACTGGAGAACACGAAGAAAGGCTAGAGGATTCTTCACAAAACCCATGCTGCACAGCAAAGAGAAACATTATTGCCGTATTTCACAGTGAAATGGAATCTATATCTGACATGATAACATATCAGTGTTCTTCTGAGAAAAAATATCGAAAACGTAGAAGTCAGAAATGATTTAGGGGGATCAACTTAAATTTAGACCTTCCAACAGAACTCAACCCTACAAAGATAGGCAGGTTTGGCTCTAAAGACGATACAAAAGTATAGAGCTCAGTGTGGTTTGAGCATGTAGGGGAATTGTCTGTACCCAAGCGCCCTGCAGAAGGATTGTCTCCACACTTGTTGCATGAATACTGCCACTCGTTTGGCAGAAACCAAAAACCACAGACTCGAACACTCAATGGCCAATAATCTGTTCATAAGACAAAATGAATGCAGTGAAATGCACAGAACCAAGTTTTGCCAGGTCAATGGAGTGATATTGCTCTCTTTTTTATAAATAAGATGCTAGAAATGCACTGAAAAATAGTTCAATAAAAGTGGCGAACATCCTCCATACCAGGGCATTCGACAATTTCTTTGCTGAAACCATACCTGTCGCAGAGAAATATGTAACAGGTCAGCTACCAATGCAATGTCCTGTGGTTTTTAAATTGATATCGGTATAATATAGCAACTAAATTACTAAAAATTTAAAAGTGCCTAAGTTTAATCAATGATCAGTCAGTGTTGGACTTACAAAATGAGAAAAGTACACTAAATGGGTCGAGTTAGAAGAAAAAAGTTAGTATATGAAGATACGATCTTAGTGGGAAGATAGATTGCAAAATACCAAGAGGATATAAACAGCTCAAAGGACCAGGGGAGGTGGTGGCCGGATATGCCAAATTGGTAGGTCTGTTACTGGATCCTGCACCAAATGAGTACGTCAGATGACAGTTCACACTACCGTCTCTTGCAATAAAATGTATCCTCTAGGTCTCTATGTTTCAAAAAACACCTACTGCAAAAGGGTAACAACTTAGGTTGAGTTCCTCGTATCTCCATGATCCCCATTCTTCAGTAAATAGAGGCCACATCCAATGTGTTACATCACTCCAGCTAACCTGCAAAAACATATAAATTAGAAAAACTCAGGAGAAAATAACACCAACGACATGTTTGTATCACAATCATATGGAATACCTTGCCGATTGGAGCTTCTTTCAAGTACTTGTACAACTCCGGAAGTTCCTTCCTAAACTGTCTTTCAAACCCTGATGGTGGACTGTAAAAAGAAGAAGTGAAAGTATTTATCTTCCATATCCAGGATGTTATGTCACACTCATACTTCCAGGATAAGAAATTACCTATACGGAACAACATAAGGAGCAGCCACCACACAGTGGATCTGAAAAAGTTCTGCAAGGCTACATCCTTCCTAAATGTACAATCAGAACAACCAATTTAAATCTTTCTTATGACACTCATGATGCAAATCTGTTGTCATTGATAGAGATAAATCAGGCATTATACCAATGCAAAGAAATTTATGACAACGAGATCACCCTCCATACAAGGACCCTTTCCAAAAATGGTTCCGAATGCAGAATGACACTCTTGTCTGTGTTCCCTTTTTATCCTTTGTTTCTCATCCAAAAAAAGAGTCCTCTTTGAGTCTGAATGAAAGAAACCCACAAAAGAAAAAAAGAGGAAAGACAACAAAGAAACAAAGATGAATGTTAAGCTAAAGTATGAAGAAAACCAGAATTGGAAGAACAAAAATTAGCATAACAATATTGACCTGTAGCGTCCTGAGTACCCTGAGCTTCACTAGACAGAGCAGGAGGAGAAGTGATCCGAAAATAGGAAACTTTCGCTTTGACCAAGTGGGAGCTTAGATTCTGCAACAAAACGACCTCTTTACCGAAGTTTCTGCAACTCGAGAACTAACAGAGCAGAAGAGGAGAAAAATCGAACCTCATGAGCCAAATGTGACATCAAAACAACAGAGTACAGTTGCTGATCACGAGCGAAAGCTGCGGCAATGGCCTGCAAAAACAAAAAGCTCTTGGATTCGCTTCCTGAGAGAACCCAAAATCCGAATTAGAGAGAGAGAGAGAGAGAGAGAGAGAGATATTACAGCGATTGGGTAGACATCGCCTTTGGTACCAAAAGCCATGAAGAGAGCGATGGGTTTCCTGCTCTCCGACTCCTCCATGGTGCTCAACTGCTCATGCTCCGACGAAACGAAAGAGAGTGACATTAGAGTGTTCACCGCAGCTACCGCGTCTTATATAGCGATTCCCAATTACCAATGAAGCGCGTTCGCAACAGTAACCATTCAAATCGCGTTTTAAAGACGGTCGCATTACAAATTTACAAATTCTGTTGGATTTTCGACCGGAAATGTTATGAGCAACAGAGTCGAACTACTCAAATCGGTAACTTTATTGGCGAATAATGAATAAAAATTCGAACTTTGAAACTTCATAGCTAATTAACACTGATTTCTCTGCATATCATCATCAGCATCATCAACCACGCCAATTTAATGAGGTCTTGAAACCAATCTACTTCCTTTTTCTAGACACTCATTTGATTCATGAGTTTGCTTTCTGATGTGTCAACGATAACTTCACAACGAACCAAATACAAAACTGAGTCTCATATAGCTTTATTGAGCCATCACTTTTGTTTTACATCATAACCAGAGAAATCGATCAATAAGCATTAGAAAGAAAAAAAACAGATTCTTTCTTGAAACTGTACATCATGTGCTTTCCAAGACATTACTTTGGCATGTGAAGAACACAACGCAGACACTTTCCTTCTCTCATAAGCTCAAAGGCTTCGTTGATATCACCAAATGCCAGGTTATGCGTGACAAACTCATCGATCATAATCTCCTACAACACCACAACAGAGGAGTGAACAAAAAAAAAAGTTAAATAAACTGGTACACTTGATCAAAAGCGATTTTGCTTATGTAGTTACCTTGTTCATGTACTTTTCAATAAGTGAAGGAAGGTCAGATTTAGGCTTCCAACCACCAAAAAGAGTCCCTTTTAAAGATTTCCCAGAAAGAAAAAGTCCGTAGTGAGCTGAAACTTCAGGCTTCACTTTCGGTACACCAAGAGTAACGGTCATGCCCCATCCCTGAGATCTCCACATTGAAAGTTAAATGTCATTAGCATATAACTAAGTGCACAAAATACAAAAAAAAAAAGAACAGAAAGCTCACATCAGAGCAAGATTGTAAAGCAGTTGTAGCTATTCCTGTATCACCAACACATTCAAATGAGAAATCTGCACCTCCTCCTGTCATTCTTTTGATCACCTGAAATCCCAACCAATATGGTAACAAAGTTTCAACTCCATCATCAGCCTTTAGTTATGAGCAAGATTAAGAACCGGAGATACTGTAATTACTTGAGGTATAGGTTCTGAGAGGTCATGTGAATTGATGAAATCCGTGACACCAAAAATCTTTGCTGCAACAAATAAGAGACACTCAAAAACATACTAAGCCGTAACATATCTTAAAGCTATTAATATATAGTTATATACCTTGTTCAGCCTTAGCTGGATTTATATCAACTCCAATTATCTGAGCTGCTCCTCTGAGTTTAGCACCTTGAGCAACCTGAAGAGATTGATCCACATTAAACAAAATGTATGCAGAAAGCATCAAAATTTATGTATCTATATACTAAACTTACCGAAAGACCAACAGTACCAAGACCAAATATCACAACACTTGAACCTTTTTGTACATCAGCAACATTCCATGCCGCACCAAGACCTAAACTTACACACTAGATTCTCAGTATTTCACTACAAATAAGATAGCTAACTGAATTTCATCATTTCTTTTTACCTGCAGCTACTCCACAGCTTAGGAGACAGATTTTGTTTAGAGGTGCTAAAGGATGGACTTTGACAGCACAGCCAGAGTGAACCACAGTGTACTCGCTGAAACTAGAAACCGCGCAGTAATGGTAAACAGGTTTGCCTTTGATGGAGAAACGAGTCTTCTGATCACTATGCATCAAACCTTTCCTCTCCATTCCAAGAACCTGACACATGTTACTCTTCCCGGAGAGGCAATGCCTACATGACCCACATTCCCCAGTGAACACAGCAAGCACATGATCTCCTTTCTCAAACTCGGTTACGCCTTCCCCTATGCTCTCCACTATACTGTACAAACATCCATGGACACACACACACAGTTATAAGAACTTGACCGGTGAAAAACTCTTTCTTTATAACAGAGTTGATAACGATAAAAGTCTCTAACTTTCGATTGCAAAAGCTAAAAGTGAGGTTATAGGGAAAATGTAACTTACCCTGCAGCTTCATGGCCAAATATACGGGGAAAAAGAGACTGTAACAACAAAAGGGAGACTTCATCAGAGACTCTTCTTATATGCCAAATTCAAAAGGAGGTTACTTTGTGAAGAAAGAGAAACGAAACCTGAGATTCCCAAGCAGAGAGGTCGCTGCGACAGAGAGATGTACAGACGACTTTGATTCTGATCTCAAGAGGTTGAGGTGGACTCACTTCCACTTCTTCTATCACCAATGGCTCACCAGCACGCCACGCCACCGCCGCTACAGAATTTCTCTTTACCGTTTTATCAAAAATCCCCTGAAAGAACAAAACAAACCCAAAAAAGAAACTGGTTTTACTTACCTTTGCAGGTAATGACTCGGGGTTGTTCGGAGGAGGAGGATGAAGACGACATTGTTATCCCAATTTGCTTGCTTCAACCTTCAAGCACGACAGAAATGAAGAAGCACTAGAGGGAGAAGATGAAGATACAGAGCCTTCACCTAACACCGAATTACCAACCACACCATGAGCCAAGTGATGGATTAAATTGAAAATTTGCTGACTTTACAGCTTTGGAGGGCCCCACATCACACCCACAACTTATTCCCGCCACCAACCCTTTTCGTCAGTTAATCCGAAATGTCAATCTTGCAATGGATTCATATAGTTTTCAATTCGAAACATTGTCTGCAATCGACTCTCAGAAGTCAGTCAGAATCATATCTTGTGCCTTCTGGTTTTAGTTCCTTCTAAATCCTGCAAAATCCGTTTGGGCTGGAGAAAGCAGACAGGGAGAGGAGTATTATTGGGCTTATAGTTCCCTTGATTGGGCTTACCTTATTCCATAATGGGCTTACAAAAACTTCCAAGGATTCATACGTTTTCACACACTTTTATCCAAACTCCATTTTCCGGCTAAACACACTGAACCAAAACACCAACCAAAAAAGTTTATAAGAACAGTATAGCCTAGGCTCAGATATTAGTAAACTAAAAGATAGCACATAGTATACCTTAATAAATTGTATTGTTGTCAAATAATTTTACTATGTCATTGATATGACCATAATTAAGGATTTAAGGTCATCAGGGTAGATGATATGATGGATCATGGAAGACATCATACGCAGAAATTGGACACCGATCAATAAAGTAGAGACAGAATCACATGCAATCATAAAAGATATGTCAAATCGGTGGTCCCGCGGTAGGTTTTATAAATGTCAATAGGAAGGCAAGACTATACCAATACTCGCTTACATGCACGTGTTCTATTTGTATGTGTCTAGGTTCAATGTCACTGGCCATCAGCCCATCACAATTGCTTAATTTACTGATTTGTACTAAACTTTATGATTTGGAATGAAATTCTTTGAATAATAAAATACTGTAACAACACACACAAAATCATTCAATAACCCACATAATTTTGATTCAAATTTTTAATCAGTTAAATACGTACACAAACCAAATAACTTCTACAAATTATAAATTACGTATGAAATGTTGTGTAAGTAAATGTGCATAACGTTTAGTTCTGTCGATTTAAAGCAATGTCGACGAACGATATATATATTTTATTTAATAGAATATTGAGGTAGATAAGATCATAATTCCACCCTGCTTAATAGAACTCTATAAAAATGTTTTATGCCAAATTAACCTGTACCAAACCGATTAACATGAATCCAGCCGCTTGTGCTACAGATCAAAAGAAACACCCAGAGTTATGATTTTTGGAAAAAGGATGGTTCTTTTGGACAGTTAGCTAATTTGAAATTTCATATAGCTTGATATTTTATGGCTACTTGATTAATTTTCTCTACAAAGGAAAAAAAAAACATTTAATACGAAGTAACCTTATTTATTAAGTTGAGATGGGTTGTACATTTATTTTAGCATTGGGAAGTGGTTACAAAGAGATGATAACATAAACACAGATGATCATGTGGTGGGACAAAGACATTAAGCAAGATGCACTAGGCCTTGTAGTAAAGTGGGTTTGGGAGCTTGAAAGTCCTTCGCCCAGCGCTGCTCTTAGCCAAATCAGCCCATTGGTCTCCAATATTTCCGATGATAGTGTATCCACTGTTCAGCAGCTTCCTCCTCTCACTTGACTTGAAGTTGGCTATCTTCGCGTTCGATTCCTTTGGCCTATATATATCACTCGATTCCGTCACACATATGATACGTGCTTTATATGTATGAATACGATTAAGCTACACTTTATTCTTAATTACCTGAATATGACACTTTTCCAGTAAGGGAAGCCAGCAGCCTTGAGATTCTCTAGAGTAACTCCCACCAAGTCTTGGTGTCGCTCGGTGAGTAAAACCGGTTCAATCCCAAGTTCCTGGATGTTTTCGTAAAGATGCAAGCTCTCCGGGAGCACCGGAGCTCCTCCGGCCTCCAACCATTTTCTGTACGTTTCCGGATCGTGCTTCTCTGTCCTGTACAAACAAACAGCAAAACGTAATCAGTTTTACGTTAAACCACAATGTAAACACGTACGGAAACAATATATAGATACGTCTCAAACTATTTTAGACTTGTGAAAATTAGTAGTACAATATAACATATGTGTCTCACTGTCTCTACCCTAGGTATTTTTACAATTAGTGGACTGTAAATTTTTGTAAAATTTCACTAAAAACTATATATATGCATACATACCCGTAACCATATTTGGCGTAAAAGGGAACATTAGAGAGGAGGGTATCGTCTAAGTCAAAGATCCAAACATTGACGGTGTCGTTCTTTAGGGCAATTCCTTTGGCGAAGAAATAAGCTTCTTTGCACACCGTTTTGGAGTCGTCACGGTACTGAGAAGAGGTCAAGTAGTCTTCAACATAGTCTTTGCAATTTGCGGGCACCGTCTCGAAGTTTATGATGTTAGAAGTCTCAACACCGAGATGCCAGCTTCTGCAGTCGGGGTAGTTGATGGAGAGTCGCTGTTTCTCTAAGAGATCAGCTTCGACCTCAAGGATGCTCGTTGATGTGAGCAGTTCGATGAGCCTAGGCACGGGTACCGAAGGCCTGCCTTGGGAGACTGTAGCGGCCAAGAGCAAGATAAGTGAAAGTGAGAAGAGTTTCATTCTTTTTTTGTATGGTATTTGTTTCAATTGTGATGCTGTTTAGGTGATACAAAGGGTGGTATTTATAGGAGGTGAGGTATGGTTACTTAATAATAATGTTACTACCAAACCTACCATGAGCAATGAGGAGAAGATAATTTGTGTGGCTTCGAGTGATGAAAATGTTTGTTGGTCCCATCATATTTAAGAGAATAGATGAGTTTTCCCACTTACACCACTCGTTTTTGGAGCACGTTGTGATCGTGCTAATTAGGGTTTGTCCTTTTAATATATTTTATATACTACCGTTGGCTTTTCATTTTTGCATGCTAGTGAATTTTGAATCTGGGTTGTGTTTTTTTTTGAAGTGGATAATTTTGAATCAGGTTTTCTCTTTGTAGAAATCTACTTACTGTGAACTTATTTCACATTAAAACTAGAAGGAAAAAACTGTGTATGAATATGATGATTTGAGTATAACTGTGTGTTTGCTGGGAGCTTGGATTATCTAGAACAAACTTAACGTTAACTTTTTTTTTTTCCAAAATCTAAAAAGTTGGATAGGCCGATTAAATTTTGAGCTACCACCATTTTTTCCACAACATTACTCGTTGCAAGTGGGGCTAAGTGTAGTTTATGTAATCAGTCACATGGATTAAGCTGCATATATCGCAAATCTCATGGACTAATAGAAAATTAAGCCCATTTCTAGCCCACTAGAAGCTCTAAAGGCTTCAATAACAATTAATTATTCACTTTTGACTTTTGACCAAAGAATTTGCTCCCTCTATAAATAAAAAGCCCTAATATTCTAGTCACATAATCGCCGTCTCTGTTGGATACTGTTAGGGTTCGTTTTTTCTTTTTGTTCCGTGTCTCAACTCTTGCGTTGATATCTTCTGCCAAAATCAGTCTCATACCCATTCGTTCGTACTCTTTCTGTAATTAATTCCGTTTTTTCTAACTGGTTAATGGGAGTAGTGATTCAGGCAGCCTCCTTGTTAAAAAAATAAAAATGACATGTCAGAGGTGTTTAACTGCTCCTACAATGAACTATGCTTCTGCTCTTCAGACGTGCTGAGACATTATGTCTTTGAAGCTGGTCTAGTAGTCTTAAGCACATTCTTTCTTTCCTTCTTTATATAAATCACAAAACCGTTACGATTATATGTGGTCTTCTTCATGTCGAAACTATCTTAACTCTTGCCATAGCCGACTATTATGTTTTTTTTACTAGAGTGTAAGATATGTTCTGTGGCTGGATCATAGAGTGGCTAATACAATTTATAAATCCATGTTTACCAATCTTAATTGAGGAAATTTATAGATGATTTTGACAAGTTTTTAATAAATAAAAACTGGAAAAATCTTCTTAATCCAAAGAGTTTTGCGACTATGTTCTTGGTACGGAGACTAAAGTTGAAACAACTTAGAAAAATGGTCACATATTACAAAATGTGTTTCCTGCTTGTTGTCACATACACGAGAATAACACGTATGTCACAAGGCAACCAAAATCAATTAATTCAAAGAGATGTGACAATATGTGTCAGTTTGAGGGTTTTCGTATCAAAAATAATTTAGATTTACTCTAATCCAAAAGTGAAAAAACATCATTTTATCAATATAAATCTTTTGCAAGATCTAATAATTCGATGGTGATAAGAAATTTTTCGGTTTGCTTAACATGAATCCGAGTTTCTTATATACTCAACAGTGTCACTCATTTGTACTAAGCTAGCTAGCTAGCATTTGGGTTTGCTTTACATAAAATTATAAAAACAATTTTTTTTTTGTTTTACGCAATAATTTGACATGTTGTTATCTAAGCTAGCTAGCTAGCATTTGGTCACCGCTGATATTAATTGAGTACTTGGTTTATAGCAACATTCAATCTTCTAAACATTGTAGAAGACTGACAATAAAATAGCGGAATGGTGAAATGATCTAATAACATAATATAATTTTCATAATCATAAAGCGTAAAAAAATTGATTTCGGTAAATAAATGATGTTTTAATTATTTTATATGTAATTTACTAAATAAAATTTTAAAAATGTGAAAATGTGAAAATATGATAATTATTTTAAATAGTAAAATATAACAGAATCATTTTTTCAAATTATACGTACATGGGAAAAGGTGGTATACTAGTCCTATACCATTCATCACGCTAAAGAGACTTAAACGAATTTTAAGTTGCGTAAGTAGTCAATAGTTACATATACACACACGATTTAAGTGACGTAAAAGAAATATTAGTGCATATTGCATGTTCGTGTCGCCTTCCGAAGTTGATGTTGTTTCCTAAATAACACGCGTTGCTTCATCACACGTCTTTTTCTGATTCTTTAATTAACTTAGCTTAATTACGAAATGGGTAAACATATTTAGCTTACTAATTAATGAACCCTCCCTAGAGGAGTAGAAGATATCCATGCTGCAACTTGCTGGTATATTGTATATGTTCGTGCTTTTGTAAATTTCGTTTTTTGTTTCCCTGAATAATACAGAAATATGATGACTTGATTCACTTTCTTACTAACCATTTTGTCGTCTACGGGCGTTGAAGTGTAAACAAATATATATGTAAAGGGTTAAAAAATGTGTAAAGGGTTAACAGGTTTATTGTATTTATCCTTTTGGTTTTAAAGTTAATAACTTAAAAGGTACTAACCAAGGACACATTCTCTTATTGATATCAAACGTATACCAAAACAATTAAGTAAACTTAGATTTGGCATTACGCTTTAGGATGAGAATAGGTTGGAATTCAAAGAAAACACATGCGAAAGACTTAAAGACAGCGTGATGACAGTTGATCTTACCTTACAAAAACAGAGTTAGTAAAAACAACAACATTAGTTACAACATGTTAATCTTACGAAAGGTGAATTGTATTGCTTTAGATATGATGAGAACGTACATAAGACTGATTATATACGTGGAAATAGATGTGGGAGAAGCTAAGCTGATATCCGCTATATACAAGACAAGACATCACAAAACATAACCATATATCATCAAATATACAAAGAATTTTGTAAAATTTTATGTTACTGTAAAAATAAAATTTATTTGATAATAGTTTAAAAATCAAACGTAAAAGAAACTATAGATTATATAATTGAAGTATATATATTATTTATTTTATAAAGGTTGAAAGGTGCTGAATATTATTGTCTATATTTTTGTAGTGATATATTATTATTTTTTTATAGAAATAAAGTTTATAAGATGTGGATACATATATTTAATGGAAACTACAAAACTCAAGTAAGGAAAAAATTCTAAAGAAAAAGAAAGAAAAGTTGAAAGCACATATTTTGTGGTGTAAAATTTTTAATCTACACTGTCAAAGTATATTCTTTTTTGTAATTTAGGATGTACCTTTAGAGATGAGCATGATTGGTTTAGTACTAATGCCATAGAGATATTTTTTTGCTGTGGACAGCTTCGACAGCTAGTACATATCTAAGTACATTTAGGCAAATGGGAAAGTTTTTTACATTTAAGTTCATTATATATATATGGAAGCAAAAGATACGATGAAAGAAATCATTGAAATTGAGTTTGAACATAAAGAAAAAGAAAAGAGAGAGAAAAAGAGGGAGAAAGAGAGAGGAAATGGAGTGGAGGACATGGTACTTGGACGCGATTCTTGTGCCCTTAGCTCTTGTGATGATGCTTTGTTACCACATCTACTTGTGCGTCATGGTTCGAACCCAACCCTTCTCCACCGTCCTCGGCATCAACACTCGCGGCCGCAAGATCTGGATTTCTGCTATGATCAAGGTTTTATATCCATCTCATTTCTAGCTTGTTCTTATAAAAAAATATAGAAAAATTATACAAACTTATGGTATCGTCGTCGATCGTAGTGAGATTTTTGGTATGAGGATTAGCTTCGATGGTATGGAAATTAGTTTTGCTTTGTCTGAAATCACATAGTAAATTTAATTAATTATATGCGATAATTATGATTGGATAATAATAAATATGTAGAAGATTGATTATTTTTGTTGTTTAATTTGTCAGGAGAATCAGAAAACGAACATATTGACCGTAAATTTAATTAATTATATGCGATATTTATGATTGGATAATAAATATGTAGAAGATTGATTATTTTTGTTGTTTAATTTGTCAGGAGAATCAGAAAACGAACATATTGACCGTTCAAACACTGCGTAACATAGAAATGGGAGCTACACTGATGGCTACGACCTGCGTGCTCCTCTGCGCCGGTCTAGCCGCAGTTATAAGCAGCACTTACAGCATCAAGAAGCCCATAAACGACGCCGTGTATGGTGCACATGGAGATATCGCCCTAGCCGTCAAATACGTAACGATTCTCGCAATCTTCATCTTCTCCTTCTTCTCACACTCTCTCTCCATCCGTTTCCTCAACCAAGTCGGCATTCTCGCTAACATCCCTAACTTAGACCCTAATCCTTCTGGTGACTTGTTCCTCACGTCTGAGTACGTCGGCGAGTTGTTCGAAAGAGCCCTCTTGCTCAACACGGTGGGTAACAGGTTGTTCTACGCCGGACTTTCTTTGATGCTATGGATCTTTGGTCCCATCCTCGTGTTCTTGACCGTTTTGGTGATGGTTCTTGCTCTTCATCACCTCGATTTCGTGCCGCGCAGCAAACGTAAAGAGAGACAACGTAAAGTGGATTGTCGTCGCGCCTCTGAGCTTCCGAATGGTGGTGATGAGGATGGTGCATGACGACAGTAATTTATTAGTGCATGATGATAGTAATCGTATGGTTTGTTGATAATTTAGAGAGTCTCCAAATTTGCGGCCTTGGTTTGTACTTTGTACACCATGGGCCATTGTTCTACTATCATTTAGGTCGTATCCGTAATTTCGTACAGTATAAATAAAAGCCTGAAACACACTTTTTGTTGAAATAAGATTTTATATTCCGTTTTGTCAACAGAAAGAAAATTATAAATAAATACACTATAATATCTAGAATGCATTTGAGTACTAAGAAACTCGGATTCATGATGTAAAGCAAACCGAAAATTTACAGAGTGTATGTATATTAAATCAGGCATCGTAATATAACGTGGTGGCTTTTAAACGTCACTCACTTATTCAGATTAAGAATAATTATTCCTAATGGAGATTTACAGAGAGTGATGAGTGTACTCTCCTTGTTTAAAACGACAACGGAATCATAATAAAAAGGATAAAACCAAAAACTAAACGATCAGGGAACTTCCTGTACGTCATTGAGTTCGATTTCTGCGGCGTTTCTTCCCGGTTCTTGTTCCCGCCACAGCTGAATGACTCGATCTAAAACTATGTAGCGAATGAAGAGAGAGAGAGATGAGGACAATGATGCAAACGGTAATGGCAATCGTCACATACTTCTCATTCTGGTTGGGGATCACCCGAGCATTTGTAAAGTGTTTTCCTTTTGATGCCTCAAGTAAGTCTTTTCTATTTTGTAAGAAGTCGTAGTTGTAGTGTCTTTGTCATCTATTTGTGTTCGTTTAATTTTGTTTGACTTTAAACTTTATTTGAATTTACTCACCTAAATTAAAATAAAATAAATTATTGTTATTTAGAAATAAACAATAAATTTATACATAAAAATAATAAAAAGAATAGAGTTGTTAAAAATTTTGTATTACAAAAATAAGTATAACATAAGCAAATTATAAGCAAAATATATGCAAAATATATGCAAAACATAAGTAAAACATAATAAATACGATAATAGTATTATGTATTGTAATATATATTAAGGGTGTGTTATTGAATCTTGTATTTAAAATAAACTGAAATTAATTAAAATTCAGTGTTATTCAAGTATTGATTCTAAATTCAAATCCGGTTTTATTAGATATCTTAATTGTAATTTATAATTAAAATATTTTTAAATTTAGTGTTATTTAATCAAGATTTCAAATACTTTTTTAAATTCTAGTGACACCAAAACTATATTACGCATCGATAAATTGTTAACTTTGACTTACATTATAACATAGTATAATATAATATGGTAACATTATAACTTGGTAACTTTGACTTAAACTCTAATATGGTATATATAATACATTATACCATATTTCATTAGAACATTATACTTAAAACTGTAACATCATTATCGCGGTTTTACAGTCGATAACATCATTATCGTATGGATTGTTGATAATTTGGAGAGTTTCCAATTTTGCGGCCTTGGTTTGTACTTTGTACACCATGGGCCATTGTTCTATTATTTAGGTCGTATCCGTAATTTCGTACAGTATAAATAAAAGTCTGAAATACAGTTTTTGTTGGAATAAGATTTTATATTCCGTTTTGTCAACAGAAAGAAAATTACAAATACATACACTAGAATATTATAGTGCCATTTAGTTAGATATTTTCAAACATTCATAATTAATGATATTAGTACTTTTTTGTATTTGTCTATTTTCTGTTCTTAATTATGCCATTTTTATTTGAATTTAAATCAACTTTACCTAAATTTCAAATGAAAAAAAAGAAAAAAATTGAGACCTAACCATATGAGGTGAGCAAAACGGCAAAATATTATTTTTCGGTTTTAATTGGGTTTTGCCCAGCTTCAGCTGATGAAACGAAGTATATGCCCTACTCTCTAAATTCAACCACTAGAAATCTAGAATGCTATTAACATTAGAGGTGACCAAATGCTATTGCAATAAGTTTGGCATGATCACTCATTAGATTAGAGTTCTGAGTGACTCAGTAGTTTGATAAAAGCGGCCAAGTCACCAAATGCTAGCTAGCTAGCTTAGATAACAACAACATGTGAAGTTATTGCATAAAACAAAAAAACTTGTTTTTATGTAAAGTAAACCCAAATGCTAATCATCGCTAGTAAGAAGGTATCTCCACTTTGACTACAATCTTCTTTTTACGTTGGATCAACTCAGTGATTATAGTTTCATAGCTTCGAATAAAAACTAGTATTAAGATATCTTTTTTATTAGGGTTTCTGCCTTTATGAACAATTCCCATAAATATGAAATAATGAGTAAATTTAAGTTGTATCCATCATTTTTTTGTTATGAAAAATTGTCCCCAATATCAAAACTATAATTAGTAAATTAATAGTCCACTAGGTTCGAATGTTCTAGTAAATGAAAAAAAAAATAAAGCATATTTAAAATACTTTTGGATTCTATTTTCGGATCCAAGTAACTTTTGATTTCTTAAAGACACATTTCCCAGTTTGTTACTTTTTATTGTTTTGTTTGTGAAATAGTTTAGCTTTTTAAAGGGAGTGCAGATCAAAAGAAAAGAAAAGTTGGGTTTACACCCAAAAGTTAAATCAATTAACATTAGAGAAATAAAAGTATTTTCTGATGCTGGAGAAAAGAAGCGTCTTTAAATCTGCTTTCCAAAAGCATACGACGAAAAGTAAGAGAACACAAAAGCATGAAAGAAAGGGAGTAAGCATATTGTGTTCAAAGGCGGACCTACATGTAAGGAAGGGGTTTCAAATGACACCCCTAAAATTATAGAAATATTTGATTTGTAAGAATAATACACAATAATTAAACAACTTGGTGGTAAAAAATCCTCTTAATGACCCCCAAACATGAGTTCAATCCCCTTCCATGACACCCTATTTATATTTTGACCCGGTTAAATTTGGTTCTAGGTCCGCCACTGATTTTGTTGTTTAGTGACCAGATAATTCCTAGGTGATGAATCATACAGAAAATCTGTTTTTTTATTTTGCGTTTTTACAGTATGATGTTCTTACGTTTCTATCATCAATATTATGTTGTTTTTTTCTGTATTCTGGACCTTGTGGTGATGAATAATGATAAATCATTTTCTACAACATGATTTTCTTACAATTCTATCATTCATATTTCATATTATTATTTATTAATCAAGTTCTTCTGTATGAATTTTAAAATATGATTCCGCATACATTATAAAATGATTGTCTTACAATTCTATCATTCATATTTCATATTATTATTTATTAATCAAGTTCTTCAGTATGAATTTTAAAATATGATTCCGCATACATTATGAACGTGGGAGAGATATCAAGAACAATACTTATTCGTTTGTTAATATTATTGGGTAAAAAAAAAAATTTGTTTCCATAGTTCCATCATTCGACATGCCATTGTTGCACTAATATTCATCTAATATACCAATCACTAACCGTATATTTTGGTTAATTGTTAAATCTAATTCACCAGTATCTTAATCTTAAACTAGCTAGTCGTTCATAACTTCATGTTCACCTTAAGATACCATTTTATTGAAAAGGTCTAGTTAAATATTAATGTTATCATTGGCATATAATTAGTACCTTAATCTTCTAGACAACTGTATACGTACAAAGGATAATGAAATAAATACAGAGCGTAAGATCTCTCTCTGGCACTGCTTTTATACTCTCTTTTGTTATTGTTGTCATTAAAAGAAGAAAAAGTTGGAAAATGAAGACGTTGCATTGACAAAGCAAATTTTGGTTTTGCTTAGCCATTAAGAAGCCTTTTATAACTTTAGTAAGAGAGAGAGTGTTATATAAAGAAGATGTCTATCACAACTTACTCTTCCCCTCCTCTTTTTTTTCCCACCATTATTTCTTCTTCTTGTGTGTTCACATAGAAAAAAATGGATAATCACACAGCTAAAGACATTGGTGTGAAGAGAAGTGCTTCTGAGTTGGCTCTTGAAGAGTATCTCACTAAGTTCTTGTCTTCTTCTGCTTTATCCAGACAAGATTGTCTTTTTGACACAAGCCCTCTAGACCCTTCTTTTGATCTCATGAACCGGGTTAGTCTTTTGGTTTCTTCCTTCAGTTGTCTATGTTGTTCATCGTTGTTACTTGCGTCAAACGTCAAGATCTATATGCTGTAGTAACAATCTTGTTTTTATTTTTGGGTTTCAGGAATACACGTGTGAGTTCAGAGATAGTCTTTTGTTCTCTGAGAGCTTGATTCCTCCTGGACTTTTTCTTGATGCACAGTCCTCAATCTGCGGTATGTGCTGGTCTCTTTTGATTTGACTCCATGTATAAGTGTTTGATATTAATGTGTGGCTCTTATCTGCAAAGAGAATCTGTCAGCTGATAGTCCAGTGTCAGCCAATAAGCCTGAGGAGAGAGGAGGAGCTCGGAGATCTTCTCATGATCACTCTGATGAAGAAGATGCAGAGACAGAAGCTGGCCAATCTGAAATGAACAATGATCCCAATGATCTAAAACGTATTAGAAGGTATGTTGTTGTTGTTGCATACCGATAAAAATTTAGCAGTGTAACACTGGAAGAGGGATTCAGATCACCATTTTTTGTTTTTTACTTTCTTCCTTGATGTGAACTCAGGAAGTATTCAAACAGGGAATCAGCAAAGCGGTCAAGGAAAAGGAAGCAAGAACACTTGGAAGATCTTGAAACTCAGGTAAGGTTTGATGCTCTTTTTTTTATGGGATTCAAGAGTTAATGTTTTGATGATGACCTTATACATTCTTGAAGGTTGATTCTCTGAAAGGAGAGAACACAACGTTGTACAAGCAGCTCATAGATGCAACACATCAGTTCCGTAGTGCTGGAACAAATAACAGAGTTCTCAAATCAGATGTTGAAACTCTCAGAGTCAAGGTATAATAGATCACTTGATCTTTCTCAATTTGCGAAAGTGCGCTGATTTAAACAACTTACAGGTGAAGCTAGCAGAAGATTTGGTAGCTAGAGGGTCCCTCACAAGCAGCTTGAATCAGCTTCTGCAAACTCATCTAAGTCCACCACCACAGTCCATCAACAGTCTGCACTACAGAGGAAATACCTCACCCGCCATTACAGTCCACAGCGACCAATCTATGTTCCCTGGAATCACACTGTCTGGACAGAACTCAAGCCCTGGACTTGGTAATGTATCCAGTGAAGCTGTGAGCTGCGTCTCTGATATGTGGCCATAAGTCTCTCTTTTCAATATGTAATGATCACTCAGCAAAATTCCTGTTTGTGTTTCATTATAGAACTAGAACCATGTAATGAAAGCGACATGTTCGTTAAATAAACTCAAGTTTAGTTAACAAGATTCACGTTCCAAGAATCTTCTTTCGTTCCTTCATTCATATACATCAAGTTAGAAAGAATGCAAACTACTGAGGATTGGTGTATAAGATATACTCTATTGCTCAAAATACTGCAAATGGTACACTGAAGATTGGTGTATAGATGTCTAGGATGTATAAAACAATACATTACATTCCTATAAGAGAATTGCTCGAATCAGATCCTTGAGCATACAGACAAGCAAAAAATAACATTGATCATTACACTTTTGACTTTACTTTCCAGCAAAGTTTCTTTGAGGCATGTATGTTGTAATATAAGCAGGCAAAACTTACATATAAAACCAAACCTTAGTTGATAAGAGGAGCACCCATCTCCAAATCTGGACCCATAGCACTTGACATTGAGAAGTCCTTAGGCAATGGGATATTTAACTCTGAGCAAACCAACTTGACAACGCTAGCAGTAACACCTCCTAGAGACATCCTGTTCAGTGTTATCGCAATTGAAAATCTGTTCTTGATGTCACAGAAGCCTGTTGATCCTCCCATTCCTGAATGTCCGAAGCCAGCCAGAGACCCATCTGGTGCATAGACACGCTTAAAACCAAGTCCAAACTTCCCATCAGGGACTACTAAGCCACTGTAATCTCCAGCACCCATAAAAGCATCATGGATCCTCGGGTTGCTAAAAATATTGCGAATATCATCTTGATGATCATCGCTGCTTATCTCAGTTTTGCCAGCAGAACTACTAGTATCATTGACTAGCCTAGCTAAACTCTCTGCACTTGACTCTCTGCCACGACCAGCTTTCGTAAACTGCTTCTCTTCATAAAGTCTCTTCTCATGATCTTTTGGTTTAAGCTTCTCTGTAGCTGCTGCAATGTCTTTACCCTTTTTCTTTTTCATTGTATCATTTGGAGATGAGAACTTTGGGACATGAGGGTGGCTGCCAAGTGGTGGCTGAGATAGAGAGGAATGTGGAGGTGGCACTAAGCCGCCATCTGCTAAGGTTGCATAGTACCGTGCAAGGGCACGAGCCGAGACATGTCCGTTAGCCGCAGGGATAATGGCTCTGCGCACGTTCAATGTGTTGAACAAGACTGGCAAGCTGGTTGCCATTTGTAAGATCTTCTCAGGCTGAAATGTTGAAGGAAGCTCAGGCTGATTGGCAATGGACGAAAGATTGCTCAGTTCTTCGGTGTCCACGGTCAATGTCGCAAGCCGAGATTCCACGCCTATCATCAAGAAGATGTTAGATCATTCTTGATAAAAATAGTAGCCTAGTCTATAGTGTTTGTTATATTACCTGGTGGAATTCCAATGTACAGCTCTCCATCAAGCTTTAAGGGTTTTATAATGGATTCTTCAAGAATCTCCTGGAGTTTCTTTCCAGAAGCATGCTGTTCAAGATTGATTAGAGCCTTGCATGAGTTTTAAGCTTAAACACACAGGTTAACGATGAATGTTTCTGATTAGTTTACCTCGAGGATTCCACCACAAAGCCATCCAAAGGTGAGATAGTGGTAAAGCTGCTGAGTACCAGGCTGTGTTTCAGGAGATGAAATAGCAATCCGTTTCAAACATTCATCCCAGTCACAGATAAGCAGAGGATTTTCTCCTACAGGGTCAAAGGCATTTTGCAGTCCAGATGTGTGGTTAAGCACATGATGGACCTGAAACACAAAAACCGAGTGAGTGAGATGAAAGTTAGGTGACAGTATTACTGTATTAGCTCCTTATATGTACCTTTATGGACTCTTTTCCATTTGATCCGAACCCTGGCCATATATCTCCCACAGTCTGGTCGAAGTTCAGCTTTCTGTCATCATTAAACTACTAAACGTTACTAAAAATATGACTACGCTTGAGTTTTGCAAAATTGACACATGAAAACATTTTGTAAGCTTATATAATGTTGTTAATCACCTTTGGTCGACAAGCCAATGTATCATTCCGGCAGTGACACCTTTCGTCACAGAGAAGACGGGAAACAAGCTATCAGGTTGAACAGGACGAGGGTCGTATCTTCCAAGCACTCCAGCAGCAGTGTCAATAATGACTTTCCCATCTTTGTAGGCACATACCTACAATAAACATGGCAGCGTTCAAGCAAATGCTGAAACGAACGAACGAAAAAGCTGTCTACAAGCCAAACGGTAAAAGAGCGTTTTGCCAACCTGAATTCCAAGTATTTTCTGGATACTCCCAAGCTCAACGAGCAGCTTCCTCAGTTTGGACTCTACATCAGAATGGATTGGCGAGTCATGTATCCAATGAGCATCCACAGTTGGTCCTCGACTGATACTCCTGCAAAACCATATTATGGTTATGTCACAAGGAGATGAGATGATAAAATGAGCTGCAAAATTTGTAGAAGACTTACCCCAACAGAACAGATTCGGCAAATGGTCTCATAATATCCAGATAAACAATCTGAACATTCATAGTGGATGAAAGTCCTAAATATATAGTAAAGTACTGTGAATTAGGAAAACTCCTTTGATGTATGTAATGAGGTTAAAGTAGTATGATTCAGAAACCACACCTCTGAGTAGATTAATGACCCTTGCAAAAATAACAATATCACCCGGAAATGCATCTATCTGCATCAAAAGGTTTCATTTAGATATAGATATGGTCACTAAAGGCATATATATATACACTTGAAAGAGAAACTTATGCTTACCGGATTGAAGCGTTTAACTTCTTTTGGGGTAAGCTGCATCTTCTCCTGTATAACTTTCATATTTTGCTTTCTCTGATCGTTTAAGGTTTTCATTGTTTTCTAGAAAGAGAGGAAATCTGTAAGAGCGGATCCACTAAAAGTTACCACAGAAGAGAAAGCAATGGTAAGGGTAAAACAGAAGTAGATTTTACTTACAAGAGCTTCGTCTGATGGAGTTGAAGATCGGAAGAAGAGACTTGACACACTCATTGCCTGATCTGGCAGATCAAGCCGGAGCTTCAGTCCCATTTCTGCAAAGGCAGACAAAAGCGCCACTTGGTCTCCCTGTGACATTAAGCAGTTAAGATCCAAACTATGGCCGGTGAGAAATAGAGAGATGTGCACACTAAAATATCACAAACCTCTGCAGATGCAAGAAACATCTTGGCTAGTGCTTGCTTCAAGGGGTGTGAGAGTTTCTTTGTAAGGCCAAAATCAAGCAAAATAGGACGATGTGGTGCTTCCTTACTAACAAGAAAGTTTCCTGCAAAACAGAGTCGAATTATATTTCTGCTAGATGAAAACTATATTTCTAAGCAAGGTTACAAAATAATAAAGAGTGTCTAGGATCATTACCTGGATGAGGGTCGCCATTGAAAAATCCATCAACATATATCTGATGAGCATAAGCACGAGTGATCTCTTCAACGATCTTTTGTTTATCCACACCAAAAGCATCTAAAGCTTCTATATCATTCAAACGAATTCCATCCATGTACTCAAGAATCAGTACACTCTCAGACGACTGTCATTTAAAGAAACAAAGAAGGTATCAGACATAAGTATCAGTAATTAAATAAAGAAGGAACAGTAAGTTGTGATGCTGCATTTAGGTGTACGCTGAATATCTGAGACTATATGTGTTATACAGTAGCTACATTGGTGTACCGTAGTCTTAAAATCTGCATATGAAATTTCTCAATCTGCACACTTAAGATTAGGACAAGAGCACAAGAGACAAGAACCTGAATTATATCCGGAATTAAGACATTAACCCGATTGTCACTTCTAACTTCATCGTTTGTCTTCTTGCATCCAAGATTCTTGGATACGATTCTAGTGTTCTCTACATATTGAGAAACAGAACAAAAAAGGAGGGAAGACTAAGGAAATGCACTTCTCAGGGACAAATGCTGAGACCAGGAAAATATTTTTCAATGACACTGAAATCTGCATACCAGCCTCAATATTGAAGTCTAGTTCTCTAGGAGCTTCCTTGCACCATTCATCAATCATAGGGTTAAAATCGTACTGTGGTTCTGCCCAAGCAATCCAATCAACGATGGACTTTGCATTCTTCAAGTCCTGTTAAGAAATAGATAGTTGAAAAAATATAGCACCAACTCTGTTCATCTCAAAAGCCTTCAAAAACGAAAACTAAGATCAAACCTCCAAAATAATCGCTCTAATGCCATGATGTTGAACTTTGACAACCACATCCTGGCCATTGGCTAGCGTTGCACGATGCACCTGTGCTATCTACAAAAACAGAGAACTTCACTATCAACAAAAATGGCATACGAATTTCTAGCAATCCCTCGCTCGAACGGATTTCAGAATCTTACCGAAGCAGTTGCTAAAGGTTCTTTATCAAAATAGGTGAACAGAACTTCCATTGAATCCCCCAGTTCTCTTTCAATGGTTCGACAAACCTGAGAAAAAAATAAGGTACATTTAAAAGCTTAGTCTATCAACGAGGAAACCATACATTATAAAGAAAAAGCAGTCACATTACAGACTACATTTGCAACTTAGAAAGAATAACCAACCTCCTGCAACGGACGAGGAGGGAGCGAGTCCTGTAACTGCCTGAGAAGAGTTATATAAGCCTGAGGAAGAACATCGGCACGTGTCGACAGATACTGTCCTAATTTAACCCAGAGTCCTTCCAATTCCACAATTAAATTCAAAACTCGCTTGGCATTACGATCATGAGCTTTATCCCACAAAGCAGGAATTTTGGACTTCTTTATCCACTTCTCTCTTTGCTGGACACCCTTCACTCACATAACACAACAAAAGGTTGTAACTTTTGAAATAAATAAAAAACACCAAGAGGAGAAGAACATAAAAACAGATTAAAAAGCTTTACCTTGTAATCGAGGTAAATGATGATAGCTACTGAGAAGACTTTCACTCGTCTTTTGTAAATGTTTCCCATACCCATTGATACAAACTTACGCCAAACTCTCTGTATATTCGCAAAGAGTCTTACGAAAAACGACACGACACAATTCAACGCTACTGATCCCCACCGTTTATTCTACAAGAATCAGATCAAAAGAGATTCTTTTTCAGTTATACAAGATCTTGAGAATGAGAAATCTGATGCAAACAGATTCTGATTAATCGGGATCAGAGAAATGTATAGATTTGGAAGCTAAAATTTACCTGGAGAGAACCAGAATTGTCTCCGTGAAATCGCGAATTCCGCATAAATAAACAAATAAATAAAGCAGACGTGCGAATTAGAAGAAAACTCAGCGTTGAATTATCTTTTTTGGAAAAATCTGAAGAAGCTTTTTTGGTAGGTGACTGCCGAACGTAAGAATCCGTCTAGAAAGATGAGACAAAAGATCTCCGAAAACGCGTCATGCGTTTTTTTGTCTGAACGAAACGAAAAGTAAACCCCCGCGAAGCAATGAATCTATACCGCAGATTCCTATGGGACCCACTCATCTCTTTTAGAATAATCATATCTGATTCTTTCTCTAGGGCTTTTTTATTTCAACACATGACGGGCCCATAAGCCCACGTTTGTGATCCTAAATGGGCCACGTAACTTGCTTAGTTCAAGCCTACGCTCACCTAATCCATACCAATCACGGAAGCTGCGTTTAGTAACCAACCCCGTCCACATGTAAGCCACACATGGCACATGAATTTCTGATTAATAAATCATATAAACACTAATCAGATTTATAAATTAGATAATTACAGTTATGACATACATACCATTTAAATTAACATGTAACCATTAACTTAAAATGTAACCATTCTTTAGTGCAATGTGCAACAATGCTTTTTTTATCTTTAAATATGATATGGTGTAGTTATATTTATTAAGTGATTAATAATTATCATGATAAATTAACCAAGTGTCTCATATAAAAAGGTAGCTAATAACTTAGGATTATTTGGTGAAAGAAACATGGTTTCATCAAATCCACTTCTTGTTCTTCTTCTTTTTACTCTACTTTATCATAACTCTAGCCTTGAAGATCTCTTGAGTGACCAACCAAATGGCTTCTACTTACCTTTCGAATCAAATCTCTACGTTGAGATCACCATTGGATCCCCAACAAAAACCTTCAACCTCAAGCTAGACTCTTCCACACATCTCACATTCCTCGAATGCGATCCTTGCGACGATAACCACAAATGCTACGACAGAAAATCCTCCAACACCTTCTCTCCAATCTCCTGCAACAACTCCTCTCTCTGTCCTCTCTCCTCCAACACCACCAATCCTTACAATGCAACAACAAGAACAGAAACATCTCTCTCTCTTCTCTGCACTCCTTCCAATTTCTGCCGCTACGACGTCTCTTCTTTCAGCGCCGGCTACCTCGTTTCCGACACTCTTCAGCTGACTTCCTCGATCACCGACCAAGAAAACTCTCTATCTGTTGTTCACGGGTTTGTGTTCGGCTGCGGGACTAGTAACGGTGTCCTGCCGGAAGATGACGGAGGTGGCGTCGACGGGAGAGTTAGTCTAACGGCTCATCGTTTCTCGCTCCTCTCTCAGCTTCGAGTCACCAGATTTTCCCACTGTTTATGGCCTTCCTCCGCAGGATCGCGTAACTACTTACGTCTCGGATCAGTGGCTGCGTACGGCGGCGATATGATGTTGGTTCCGATGTTAAACATGACTGAGAGCAACTCTTACTCGTATCACCTAGCTATCTTTGGGATCAGTCTTGGGCAACAGAGGTATAAATATATCTCTCATTTGATATCTTAAATATTGTCTTAAAAAATAACGTAGCTAACATAGATAACGAAACATTTGACATAATTTACGATATAACTTAACAAGGTCGACGCCATTACAATAGGGTTTCTATTATAAATAATTTTAAGTTTAGTATGCCCCATTTTTTTTTTCAAATAAAACCCACAACTTTTAACGTGTTAAACAACCTTTTGAATTATTTGTGAAAATAGTTTATAACAAAATAGCAAAAAAAAAAAAAAAAAAACATAGAAACGCAAAACGGATAAGGTGGCATTTGAAACAAGTTTTTTTTTACTTTGCTTAAATGTAAATATCCATTATATTTCTTTTTTTTCATCACGAATTTTTATTTTTAAATAGATTGAGAGGCAACGAGACTAGTACAATAACAATAGATATTGGAACGTACTATACGAGTCTAGAGACATCACTCTACGAGGAGTTGAAAGAGGAGCTCATGACGCAGATTGGACCAACGGTTGCTTACAAAGTGAACGAACTAATGTGTTTCACAACCGAGGTCGGCGTAGAGATAGATTCATTGCCTAAGCTCACTCTCCATTTCCAAGGATTCAATTACACAGTCTCAAATAGAGGACTTTATCTCCGAGACAGCCCATCTTCTCTCTGCATTGCTTTGGTAAGATCGTCCGTGGAAGAAGGGGAAAGGAATGTGCTTGGAGCGTCAGGACTTATTGACTATGCAGTTGGATATGAGACTTCAGAGAGGATGCTTGCTTTTCAACAAAAGGATTGTTTGGTCGATTTCGTTGATGGTATGTAGTTAAACTTAGTGAGTTTTCATTAGTCTTTTATAAACTAAATAATCGTTTTCTAGATATTGTAATCGATAATGCATGCAATATTCACGCATCATATAAGACAATTTTGGCGATTTCTAAACAAACTTGTGACGCAGGGTGACGTATAAATTGGCACAAAATAAAGAAAAACAAACTTTCGTAAATGTCGAAGTTGAAACTTATAAAAATATATATGGAAGCTCCGAACGACTAATTAATTTCATCTCTCCTTCAATTCGTAACGATTCTCCTTGTACATTAGAACAAAACAAATTGTCAATGTTAGTCAATAATATTTCTAGAATAGGTTGCAGACATGCCATAGAAATGACAAGCTTCAATACATAATTAACAAATTGAAACAACAAATCACACTTCAATATCAAAATGATGAAAAAGTCGTTTCAAATGTTTTTATATATCTTTGCTTTGAAGCTAGCTTAGATATTTGCATGTCCCGACCGACATATATGGAAGGAGATAAGGGCGGTGCATTGTTGGCGGCCGCCATATGCACCTGTAGGTCCGTTTCTGGTTTTTCATTTATTTAACAAGCTATCTCCGCATACAAGCCTACTTAGAAAAAAAATGTTTAAAAATATACAAAGTCGTTTGATGCATGAGCCATACTAATACCCTAACTATCCTGGTTTGTATCAATGTTACTTAAACATGCATTATGTATGTGTATTTTGATAGTTGAGTCTTTTGAGGTCTTTTTATATTGTTACATTTCTATTTTTGAGATACATATATACTGTTTTGAATGTTAATCATAACCATACATCATCGACTAATTAACCCAATCGAATCAACTAGTACTAAAACACCACTTAACGTATGCTCTATTCTTTGAGCAATACGGAAAGGTCACTAGATCCAACGTAATCCAGTCCTTAAAGTCAAATCCTCCCTATAAAGAAAATATTCGGTAATTTTCTGCTTAAAAATGTGAGTTAAGAAAACAACAACAACAACAGCAGAAGTTTTTTACTATGGTTGTTTAAAAGATCAAAAAAAATAGGGCTGCCAATACACCTTACTATATCCACATTAGAATATAGAGATTTAGAAACATGAATATATAAAACAAACACTTTACCGTTTGTATACAATAAATCTGTAAAAGTATATCTCTCAATATCTAATCTATATCTGTAATGTTTCTTTTAATATTCTCCTTTTCATTTTTCTTGATTCTCGTTTAGGATGGAGGCCAATCACCACTAATTGAAATAATTCTTTTGACTTTAATATTCTTTCTAAACAAGTAATAAAAACATTTTATTTGGTTCAAAGTAGAGGGACCAATGCGCGCACCAGCTTATTATATATTCCGTCTTCCTTCCAGGCGGTTCCTTACGAAAAATTAACAGTAGTTTATACCGAATTGTTTTTTTGTTAAAGGGCTTGCTTAGTTTATACCGAATTGTTACTTATGTGTTTGATATTAATTTGTAGGCAATATAATTTTCTAATGTTTTTCACAACTCATCTGCCAGTTGGATTTAAGAAATCGGGTCTTAAGATTATGTAATGGAGTTAGAAATGTTCTTGGAATATTTTTTGTCCGTATCTATATATCTTTGGGACAAAGGTCGGGAAAATATATTGCATAATAAGTTTTCTTCTAAAGATGTTGCATTGTTAACTGGATCTGATTTAACAAGTCACTTAAGCTGATGTTAGTGGTTTTCTCTATGTATTATATACGATGAACGAATTATATAAGGCTTAATGTACCAATTAAGAAATATGTAAAACACCTAATAAGCTAGATTGAGAGAATTAATCGATTTATGTAAAGATTTTGAGAAATGTACAAGATTTTATGAGTGGATGGTGGAAAGGCCGTGCCGTAAGAAAGGCCGAGTCTTTTGACATTATAACATTATTATTGCCTTTATGTTGAGCACTAGAGCCACTTGCTTTAGGAATCTTTAGCTGATGGTCGAATATTTATATCACCATATATGTAAATTCTGTATATAATATTGGACCGGAGACGTTGTATAGTTATATGTCTCTCTTATAAATACTTCCTCCCATTCCACTCTCTAAACCCATCACAAACACTAGTGTGTGCCCAACGGAGTAGAATTGCATGAAGTGGAGTAGAGTATAATACAGCCAAGGATGACTTGCCGGAACATTGTTCACCATGCATATAGATAGTGATGATGAACATATTTCTGGCAAGTTGTCCTTCGGCTACATTTTGCTCTCTTCTACTCATGCAAACTCTCCATGGTATATTATATCTTTTCATTTGTTCAAATGGACGATGTGGCCCGTATAGTTTACTAATGACAAGGCGTTGGTATTTGATCAGAAGTCCAACATCGGTATGATAGTATACGTACTTTCAATTTTTTTGTTAATAATGCTTAATTTTATTTTTGGGATCAGCTTATAGATGGTTTCCTTGTTACGAAATTTCTTATAGACATGATTTCTGCAAAAGGCACATGCATATATTAATTGCTCTATAGACATGTGCACCAAACGGATATGTAGTAGATATGTACATAAACAAGAGGTTTGGCCAATCTTGTTTACATCAACGGTTTCACATCCATGTTTAAGATTTTAATCTAAAAATTTATAATTGTCTTGCAGGTTTGGTGAGCCAAAAGAAAACAAAACCCTTTAGGACAATTTTAACTTTTAAGGGGACGAGCCGGCTTGCATTGACCGTTCTAATATTTACATATGCTTCGAATGGTTACAGCATACAGATCATAGCCGATGGACGCAGATAGTGCAAAAAGACACTGTTGTTTTTGGCATCTTCAGTTCACTCCGAATCTCCGATCCGTACGGCGTAATTGTTCGAACTAATATTGTCAATCATTCGCAGGTTGTTTCTTGGTGATAAAATCAGATGTCATATTATGTAACAATCAAGATCTAAATAAAAGCGATGAAGAAAAGAGAAAAAGAAGCCGAAATTTGTGGAATATGTTGAAATGTGCGTTGTCGGTTTTGGGAATCTAAGGTACTGGCTGGGCCGACAAAAGTAGATATGTAATAAAGATTTTGGTCAGGCAATCATAAATCCAAATCTTTGTGCATTTTAACAAGGACAACTTATCATCACTTTCCTCTTTTAAATTGTCCCAGCTTTTTTGTTACGTGCATTATCATCATGTTCCTATCGGCTATCGTATCCTCTATTTCTTTTCTTTTTTGTTGGTTGGTTAAATAATCTGCTGTATAAAGAACAGGATAAGAAAATAACATAACGCCACCGTTTATAAAGAAAAGAAAAATCCACCCAATTTAAAAGAAAAGTATCATCCTAAATCATCCAGCTCCACCGCAAAATTTGGCTTTATATCGACAAAAAGACTAAATCCATACAATATAGTCGGTCTCAAAAAGAACATTATTTTTTTTACATCGAATATAGTTTGCTAACGAAACTTATAAGAATAAAATGTCAAAAAGACTGGCTGAAAATTATCCAAATATACAAATATGTCACCTGCTAATAGAGAAATAAGTAAAACTCGTCCGTTATTAAAAATGAAGGAAAGTACAGTCGAGAAGAAGAATGCATCTCATCACACACACACGCACATAAACTCATACCACACTCAGCCATTAATTTCAGACTTTCAGTCCATATACTATGTTAAGCAAACAAATATAGGCCATATACCTATGAATTATGATTATATTTAACTTTACGCGTCGACCAATATGCTTACACGTTTGCATTTACGTATGATTCGCTTTTTGCTGAGGACAAACACAAATGACACTCGAGAAGATTCAAGTTGATCGAGACTAGGCCAGTCCAAGGAGAAGCAACTGGCACCCAAAAACATTACAAATGACGACATATAGTAATACTGTTGTATTTGTCGGATCCATCGTCATGGTCTCCATTAAGTAAAAATATATAATTTAATATTCATGAAAAGGTGGTCAATATAAAAATCCAAAGATTTGATTTGGAAAGTGGGGAATTGAGGAAATACACGAGAACGAGAAGGTGGGTGTCTTACCCAAAATGGATAAGGCCATGAAAATATTAATATATTGTTACATATATATATCCCAAAATGTGTAAGCATATATACATATAAGATTAGTCTAATACTATATGAAAAGCTGTGATGGATTGATTCCCCCCCCTTGCGTTACCTTTTGTTTTGCAAGTTGACTACTAGACACGCACTGCCACATATATTATACAGGTAGCTAGGTTACATATGCATGCATAAACATGGAGGCTGGAGCCAAAAGAAAAATGTATTATACTCTTCATAATCAAACATATTTTGGCCATAGTAGCTTATGCTCTTGATTTGATTTTCTCTTGGGGTATGTACTAAATCTCACTTTTGTCTTTCTTGCTTATCCAACATTAATCTCACATTACGTTGTAACTTTAAAATATCGATTTTACCACACAAAAAAAAACTTTTAAATCTCGACATTAATGAACCCTTAACTCTATAATTTTCTCCACTAGGGCCATTCCTTTCAAAAACATATGTACAGTAGTGTAGTTGATTATTAAAAAAAAAATGAAACTGAAGGTCGTTTTAAGCTAATTAAAGTTTGAGCCCGAATATTTTTAAAAAGCCAATTCAAAGTAGTTATGGACTACGGCCCATCACAGGCAAGAACCCTAATTTTCGTCATCTTCCTCAAACGTGCCCAGAACGATTAGCTCAGCTCAAAATTTTGATGACATTTGCAATCTGGATCAGGTATGCAATTCCGATTGTTCGAATATTCCATAATCCTCGAGCTCCTGTTGATATCTAAGACCCGTGTGTAAATCGATGTTTCAGCTAAAATCATCAGCCATTTGCGTATGAATCGTCTCTGTTCACCGAAGTAAGGCATTGTTAAGACTTAAGAGTATAGACGAGAATGTGTGTTCTCTGTTTCTACCGGAGCTTATTCAAAAGCTGTAATTCGCTTCGTATTCGATAAAGTGGAGCAATAAATCAATCGCAATTGTGTTCACGCGAATCTTCCAGATCAGAAAGCCATTTTCCTTCTGCAAGCTTTCGTTTGGCTGTAAATCAATGGCTGTAAGTTTGCATCTTCTCCTCTTACTCAGCTAAATTCGAGTTTATACGAAGTGTTAAAACTTGATCCTTTCGAAAATGCAGCTTCTCATTTCTTGTGGGGAAGTTTCGTCTTCTCAAATCACTGTGCTTCGCTTACTCAACCAGAGCCTTGATTTTGTTAGCGAAAATGTCTCTAGGATCTTTGCTCCTATTTTCACCAACTTAAGGTACTTCATTTGACGATTCCACTATCTCTTGATTCGTTCATTGGTTTCCGTGAGTGCTGATTTTATACTCTATGGATTCGCAGGGACTTTGAAATGCGTCTTTCCTGTGTTGATCGTCCTCAATCCTGTCCTCCCAATCATTCTCACTTGTGCACCGAGAACTGGTTTTCTGATAGAAATGATTATGACCAAAAGGGAGGAGACCCGGAAGCAACTTTTACTGTGCTGGATTCAATCTTGAAAAGCAGTTTGGATCGTCTCGCTTCTTTGAGGTTTATGTTTCACCATAAGTTTTATATCCCTGGAAAATTTTATTTGTGAACTGCTTCTGATGAAATCTACGGCCTTGCTTCTCTTGTAGGGATAGTGTATGTCGGACGAAGAGCTTCAGATACGATGAATGTATAGACATTCACGCCTCTCTGATGAGAGATCTTTGTTTACAAGGGAAGTTAGACGCTGCTCTCTGGCTACGGAAGAAACTGATACAGAGTGGATTTATTCCAGGTTTGGTCACACACAATCATCTTTTGAATGGGTTGTGTAAGTTAGGTAGTATTGAGAAAGCGGATGGGCTTGTGAGAGAGATGTGGGAGATGGGTCCTTCTCCCAACTGCGTCTCTTATAACACCTTTATCAAGGGTCTTTGCAGTGTTAACAATGTAGATAAAGCTCTGTATCTCTTCAGCACTATGAATAAATATGGTATCAAGCCGAATAGAGTGACTTGCAACATAATCGTGCATGCGCTTTGCAAGAAAGGTCTTATGGGAAACACAAAGCTTCTTGAAGAGATTTTAGATAGTAGTAGCCAGGCGAACGCACCTTTGGATATAGTCACATGTACTATTATGATGGATAGTTGTTTTAGGAAAGGAGATGTGGTTCAAGCCCTTGGGATTTGGAAGGAGATGACACAGAGAAATGTCCCTGCTGATTTAGTTGTGTACAATGTCATTCTCCGTGGTTTATGTTCGAGTCGAGAGATGGTAGCTGCGTATGGGTTCTTGTGTGACATGGTGAAGAGAGGAGTGAATCCTGATGTTTTCACTTACAACACTCTCATAAGCGGATTGTGCAAAGAGGGGAAGTTTGATGAGGCCTGTGATATCCATGGTTCCATGCAAAGAGTTGGTGTTGCTCCTGATCAGATCTCATACAAAGTCATCATTCAAGGTCTATGCATACACGGAGATGTGGCCAGAGCCAACGAGTTTCTTTTAAGCATGCTGAAAAGCTCTCTGCTTCCAGAGGTTCTGCTATGGAATGTGGTGATTGATGGTTATGGGAGATATGGAGATACAAGCAGCGCTCTATCTGTTCGAGATTTAATGCTTTCCTACGGTGTTAAACCGAATGTTTACACAAATAATGGTTTGATTCATGGGTATGTGAAAGAAGGAAGGCTCTTTGATGCGTGTCAGTTGAAAGATCAAATGTGGTCTAGCAAAATCTACCCGGATACTACAACCTATAATCTGCTACTTGGTGCTGCTTGTACGTTGGGTCACTTGCGGCTGGCTTTTCAGTTGTATGATGAAATGCTGAAAAATGGATGTCGACCTGATATGATTACTTATACTGAGCTTATTAGAGGGCTTTGTTGGAAAGGTCGGTTGAAGGAGGCCGAAGAGCTTTTGTTGAGAATGCAAGCGTCTGGTATAACATTGGATCATGTTCCATTTTGGATACTTGTGCAGAAATATACCAGATTGCGGCGACTAGACGAGGCGTATATAGTTTACCAAAAGTGGTTGACGACGAGGAACGGAGGAGTGTCTTCTCCAAGCAGTCCAAGTCACATGGATACAGAACAGCAGTAACGTGGTAGTTCAAACAAGAAACAAAGCAAGTTTATCCTTCTGGAAATGCATATTGCCTCTCCGGAAGTTGTTCTGATATGGACACCTGAGCTATGATCAGTTTAGTCCTGATCCATATAGAGAAACTGACGTGAGGGACGACAGAAACTAGATCAAGATATCGGTCTTTTTGAAGTCGCAGAGATTACCAAACGCCACACAAGCCTTTTACATGCGAAGAAACAACAATTGGTAAATCCTCTTTTCCTTTTCTTGGATATCAGTTGATTTGTTTTCTTCGCATCCCTCACAAGTTACATTTACATTCATTCAGGTTTGATGGATCATTTTGGCTTTCGGGGACCAGGTTTCTACCAAACTCCCATTATAGCATCTTGCCTGAAACTTGTAAAGCCTTTCATTACAAGAAAAACGTGAATCTGTCAGTCCCTTTGCATGATTATTGCATTATATTTTGCAACTTCTTCATTTGGAACATAATGATGAAGATTTTTCCATGTACTACAAGTTGCTAATATAATGCTCCATTCTTTTGTCTTTGATACAATAATAACTTCTCTGTAAATACTTTCCCAAAAATTCGATGTTAAAGGAAGAAGCTTGTGTTACACCCAAAAAGAAGAAGAAGCTAGTGTTACAACAATAAGATGTTTCACTACCAAAAGAAAAAAATCAAAATCAAGAAGCATATGCAATGCGTCTGAAAACTGCTCTGAAAGTCTGACCACCATTCCTAGCAACTTTCTGTCCTTCCTCAGTAGCACTGCACAGAAGCTCAACGACAGGATCCGAATCAAGCTCTTCTTGCGTCAGAGGCTCAAACATCGGATGTTTCTCCAAGCAAGACTTCATCCACTCTCCAAGCTCCTCAACGTCAGTGATTGTGTAAATAATCCCACCAGCTCTAAGAACAAAAGCATACTCATCCAGCAAATGGTTGCTAATCACTCTCCTCCTGTAGTTCTTCTCCTTGAAATGTGGATCAGGGAAGAGGAAAAACATCTTCGAGAGCTGTCCTTTCTCAAAATAATTCGGAATGTACTTCATCGAGTTTGTCCTGACCACAGAGATGTTCTCGTACTGTCCCTCCGAGCTTGTTCTCCTCAAGGCTAAGATCCGTTCCTTGACGTATTCTGTCACTTTGTCTCTCAGCTCCATACCGATCATTAGCGTTTCGGGGAAGAGCGTTGCAAGGGAAATGAGAAGGCCACCGAAACCGCATCCGATATCAGCAAACTCAACCTTCTTGGAGGTTTTGCCGTCAGCTTCAACGAATTTGGGGAAGTGAAGTGAGAAGTCGACATGAGCTGGGGATGTCGGGATTGGGAAGTGAGAGTCGCTGAGAGGGTTACTGTGAGCTCTTGCCCTGTAGAATCGCTTCCGAGGAAGACCTGTTGATTTGCTGAATGTTGCTTTCGTCTCACTCTCCATAATCACTGAAAGACAATAATAACAGTGAGCGCAAAATAACAAATCAAAGTTTTTATTCTCCGATACTAAGTTCCCAAGATTTAAGATCGAATCTAGCTTAAACATTGCTAAAGAGAGGAACTTTGAATGAATTGAGACCGAATCTGAAAACCCCAGTAAATGCCTAAACCCTAAAGCTTAATTGTCTAAAGTCTCTGTTCACAGAGAAGATTGAGCGCAAGAGGAAATCAGAGGCACGGATGCAAAGTCACTAGATACACTACGAGCATTCGAAAAAACGAAATTAGCTTATTAGTGGATTACCTGATTCAATCTGCACCTGGAATCAAAATCTCGCGCTCTTCGTTCTTCGCAACTAAACCTCAGAGAGAAAGAAGCAGAGAGAAGAAGATCTTAGCTAGTTAATTAGGGTTCCCATCTTCTAAATGGGCCCAAACCCATAACTTATTCCGGCCCATTACGATCGCAGAGACTACTCTGTTCCGGTCGGTATTTCAGTTAATTCACGCGCGCAATGAAAGTTCTCTCATTCAGTTAACAAGTAAAATAGTAATGCACTTCAGAAAAATCGTGTAATATGATTGTATCTATTTCAAAATTAATATGATCGGGTTCCTCGTAACAGTGCAACTAAAATTACAAACAAAAAGAAGAAACATACACGAATTAAGTTTCTCTAAGGACCATTGTGCTTAGAACGTCTACCACCACTGTGACTCCCTCTGAAACCACCAGGCTTTGACCCTCTAGACGGTTGAGCATTATTACCATGCATCAATGGCACAACTGTGTCCATATACATCAACCTCCCTGGGAAATGTCTCTTCTCTTTCGGAAGCCGGCGAAGCTGCTGCACCCAAAAAGCAACGTATTCTCCTTCTGGATCATAATTCTGTGCCTGAACAAACCAAAACAAACACATGTTCAGTCTCTTCTCATCACTGTTTCTAGATACCGTGTGTAAGAAGTTACTTACTTGTTTTGGGATGCTGAAGTACCGATCTTCTCTAGGATCATTTCCAACTCCTTCAATGGAGAAAACCCAAAAATTTCCATTTCAATCTCATTTCTCAAGGTTGAATTTAGAAACCAAAAGTCACAAACTTGTGTGACTAGTAATACCTGCCCCATAGGTCCAGTTTCCGTAGTTAGAACATGGATCATAATCCAATAGACATGTCTCAAACCATTCCGCTCCCATACGCCAATCCAATCCCATGTCCCGCACAAGAAACGAACAAACAATCTGGAAACAGTAGATTAAACAGACTAATGAATGAAACAACCAATCATCCCATCAAAAGAAAATACCAAAACTAATCATGAATTTCACCTGTCGGCCTCGATTTGACATGAAACCTGTAGTGGATAACTCCTTCATGTTTGCATCTATAAGAGGATACCTATGACATTTTAATGAAAGCTTAACTTTTTGTAGCCTCAAGCATAATTTTTAAAGATGCTTTCATAATGTAAGCTACGGACCCGGTCTTGCCATCTCTCCAAGACTCAAATAGCAACTTATCTTGTCTCCAATTGCCTTGCACATTTCTCGGTCCACCTACCAAGATAATATGCTATTTGAAATTTGAAAAATTCCACTCTTACCACTTTGTTTGGTAAGCATCGTTACCTAGATGGAAGAGAGAGTTGCCACACTTGATTGAAAGGAACCTAAAGTAATCCCTCCATATTAATTCAAACAATACCCTGAAAACATATATATCAATATAAGTTGGGAAGTTAAAACCAAGGACTACAAATAGAGAGAATGTAACAGAGAATCTAACCAGTATGTCGAATTATTTGCTACTCTTTCTCTTTCATATCTTTGAACCTGTCAAGTTTTACAATTTCCACATAAGTGAAAAACTGCTATGTGTTTTGTGACATTGAATAAGTGGTTTGTAAAAAGATCTGACCTCTTCGTAGATAAAATGAGGAGAGATACACCCAAAGGCAAGCCATGGAGAGAATTTGGTTGAATAATCAGGTCCCAACATGCCATTCCTTGTGTCTTTGTACACTTTCAATAGATCCTGGAAGAAAAAACAAAAAACATACAAGGTTATGTACACACACAAACAATGCCATAGTAGACGCAAGAAGAGCTCATTGCCCTCAGGGATTTGATCTTGCCTTCTTCCAAAAGTACTCAAAAACTCTTCCTACTCCTGCTGTTTCACCACCCACGAATCGCATTCCTCTCGTCACCTGTATCAACATACATATAAAGACTTAACCAAAGAACAATGATTTTTTTACTTCCTTTTTTCTCGCTTGTCTCACTAAAAGAGCTTCTCATGGGAAAACTAACCTCTTGTGGCTCAATTCCAAGTTGATCAAGAGTTGGAACATTTCCCCAATCATCAACAGAAGGTATTGGTCCTAGAGAAATTGGAATGCGAGTTGAGCTTCTGATACTACAATTGGCTTCTAGCGTCTGCAAGCAGAGTTTTCAATAAGAAACAAACATCAACAGAAGGTATTTTGGATTTGCATTCCAAATAACAAATCTAAGTTTCTCTTCTGGAATCCAAAAGCTGCTGTGTTAAGTCTCTCATTTACTCAAGAATTATTGCCAAATATGGTATTGTAATATCCTAATGCGTCAAGCGGTAAACAGGAATCAAACCTTACGAAATTGAGTGTAGATATCAGGCAAATCCAAAACATCAAATGGAAGATCATCTTTGTGGTACATTGTGCTTCCCCAAATGAGCTCAAGCTTAGTACCATTCCCAACCCCTTTCAAAGCTTGACTCACAAGTCTTTCAACCTTGAGCTCCTCGCTGCACGTTTCTTTATGAGCAAATACCTGCAAAAACATAAGATTAGAACAAAATAAAATTAAAAAATCCCTTCACAGAGCTTTGAAAGTTTCTTTAATTATCATCAACCGACTTAACTGTATGAGCTCCAAAATCTTTGGCAAGAGAAGGAAGAATGTCTTCAGGTTTACCACTCCGAATAAGAAGATTCAATCCTCTCTTCATCAGATTCTTTCTCAAATCAGCCAAACATTCCATAAGAAAACGACCTCTTAAAGCTGATCATTGCAAAAAGATTGAATGATCAGATCAAACAAATCCATATCTATTCACAAGCAATTGATTTTTGAGATTTGGAACATCGATTACCTCCGGTTTTAGGGAAGTCGAAGAAATGAGTAGTGAGGAAGAGACGAGGATCGAGACAGTAAACAGGCAAAAGGGTATCGGAGGAAGCCCAAGCTCTGTACAATACGTCGTTGTCAAGCACTCTAAGATCGTTCCTAAACCAGACAATCGATATTCCTTTGCCGTTTCTCTTCGCGGAAGAAGAAGAAGAAGGCAATGCGTATCTCTCAAACGTTTTTCCGGCGACGGAGTCCATCTCCGCCTCGTCGAGACCGGGAACACGGTAGATATGGCTGGTCATTTTCGCGGCGGAGCAGAGGAACAGAGGAGAGATGTGCTTCGACTTGGAGAGGCTGAATCTGCGAAGTGGGTATGAGAGAGGAGGATACGCGAGCCACGAAGCCGCCATTGGCGGATGCTCTGTAAAACTGCAACGTCATCTATTTTTTTCGACGAGTTGTGAAGGTGACACGTGGCGCTGGATGGTGAAGCGTGACGTGGCGGATATGTAGCCTTTTGTCTGAATCTGGTGGAGTTGCGTCGTCGTCGTTCTGTAAGAAAATTAGACAAGAATGGACAGATTACTGTAGTCGATAAACGTTGATCACGTGCCTATAAAAATGTTACGTGACATTATGGGTTTCGTTATTTTGGGCCCATAGCCCAAATAAAGATGATGAAAAGTATACATTTTTCCTGCATATTAAACTCACCTACATTTATTTTTATGTATTTTTGTGGGTTTTAAAAATAAAACCACATTACTTTTTAGAAAAATAATAGATATATGATTTTTTCTTAAAATTAATTGAAAGTAGTATTCAAATTTTATGGAAAGGTAGAGTACTTTTTGACAATTTTCAAAACCACAGCATTTTATTTTGTGAAAAAAATGATACAATATATTTTCGTCGGTCTAATTCAAAATTAGGGAGGATTAATTAGCATATAATTTTGGTGCAAATCAGAAATAGTAGAACAATATTCTTCCACTCGAATCTTTAGAATGACATGCCCAAATGTTGTGCGAAACCTAATCATGTAGGAATATTTGCTACATTAGTCATTAGTTATAGTGTCCGAAGGAGTCATGAAACGACAAGTTTATACTTAATTTGTTAATTCTTACATTTATATGCCTTCAATCCTTTATCCATTTTATTTAATAGTTTTACTTTACCATTCGCATGGAATATAAATATAGATAGAAAGGCAAATGTGCTTCTTTATAAATGTTTTCGCATCTCTACGTTTTCAATTAGTTATAGTTCCATCATATCTTATGACTGTATTTTAATATTTTTGCACCGAAGAGAAATTAATAGTGAGCTTAAAATTGCATTCGACCGGTGACGTAGGAGATTGTTGTGTACGTGCACTAATACAGTCATCGATTGGCTGTGCCATAAGCCTAGAATTATATTTATAGATATGTAAAAGTTGTTAATTTGCCTACTGTCGAATAATTAGTTTCTTTTAAAGAATTAACTCAAGCGATAAGAGATTCGCCTCCCATTATTGAATGCGTGATTCTTTTACATTTGTGATTCGTCACTATGTACGTAGTCCCACCATGAGGGGCTATCGCCTATGGTTCTTTTTTTTTTTGGTTACTGATTTGTCGCCTAAAAGGTGAGTAAATTTTTCCAAAATCAAAATAACAAAAGAAATTAGGGTGAGAGTTAATCGGATGACAATGTCTAATCACAAAAAGTGTGCTTATAATTGGTACGTAGAATCGGAAATGATGCTAAAGGAACATTAACCCTTGGATTTAAGATAAAAAATATTGTATGCATAATGACATATGACAATGTGGAAATAATACACTGTTAAAGTAATTAATTGTATCATTTTCTCCAAAAATATAATAATAGTGAATTGTTCAAATGTAATAAGATCAACTTTGAAAACAAATGGAGGGAAGTTGTGTTGTTGTTGATCGTACAGGCCAAATGAAGTATTTCTTATGTTTTCTATGTTTCATTAACATTTCCCAAGAACAAAAAAGTTGGCTCTAACCAAAACTTAACATATCAAAGAAATACATTATTTATCAGAAAAATGTACAATCGAAGAATCAATAGAATAAAAATACCTAACGTAAGATTTCATCAAGTGGTTAAAATCTTTAAAGATTCCTGGAAATCAAATCAGAATTCGATTTTTCTGTTTTTGATGAATAGAAGATTGATGAATATTAGATTCGCCATGTGAATAAGATGACGAATTGTCTTAGGATTTTCATAAAGTTAGGAGAGAAATGACATTTTTCTTCATTAAAATCATAGTTTGTGTAATAAAATACTTTATTTTTAACAGGAGGCCGATAATTTCATATTTGATTTTTGTGGTGTTAATTGACAAATTTCGTTTTAATGCAGATTTTTAGTGTAGTTTTTTTTTTTTTTTAATTGATTAGTGTAGGTTTCATATATATATTTTTTGTAAAAAGGAATCATTTGGGTGGCTATAATTATTGGGATATTGTAGAGGTTAATAGGCCATGAGGCTTTAACCTCTAGAGAATGTGCAAGATAAAAGTTCCACATCGAAAAGTGGGAGGGACCTTGAATAATACAGTAAAACCTCTATAAAACAATAATGTTGGGACTTTGAAATTTTATTATCTTATAGAGTTATTATTTTATCGATAAAACAATAATTATTATTTTATAGAAATATTCTATCAAAAACAAGAAACTTTATAGAATATATTTTTTCACTTTTTTATTCAAATTTTCCTTATACTTTGTTATTTACATATTTCATGCTCAGAAGTTCAAAATCTAGAAGAAATTATGTCTACTGTTCTTAATGGTGAAGATGAAGTTGAAGATGATGAGGAAAGACATGTGCAAGTAGTTAAGCAATTGTGGCTTCGAGAACTCTTCACAACTTTTGGCTGCAATTGAGAATACATCCAGAAATTGTAGATCAATAAGAAAAATTCGAGATGAGCTCCAACGGGAATCCAACTTTCAGAAAAGACAAACTACATTGGAGTCATATTTTACTAAATTGTCTTAGATATATATGCCTTAGTTTTATAATTATTATCTTAGGTTATTGTTGGGACTATATTTTTACATAGGAGTTTCAAAAATATTATTGTCTTATCATCTTATCGCATTATGCTATTTTTTACATTGGCCCGAGTTGGGACCGGAGAAAATTATTGTCTTATAGTGTTTATTGTTTTATCGAGTATTGTTTTATAGAGGTTCTACTGTATATAAGAGACTGAGGCCTCTCCACCTATTGCCAATTGGTTTTAGGTTGGCAATAGGTGGAGAGGCCTCAGTCTCTTATATTATTCAAGGTCACTCCCACTTTTCGATGTGGGACTTTTATCTTGCACACTCTCTAAAGGTTAAGGCCTCATGGCCCATGTTAAGGCCTCATGGCCCATTAACCTCTACAATATCCCAATAATAATTATAACAATTTAATTTGTCACGTCAAAAGAAACACCTTTTTCTCTTGATGTGGTAGACCCTCTCATCACTTACGGTTACGGCTATATAACACACAACTCTCTTCTCTCCAAAACACCAAACCATCCCGTACTCTCTCAGACTCTCTCTCCCTCTCTCTCTCAAAAAGAAGAAGATCATGTCAGGCGTGTGGGTGTTCAAGAACGGAGTGATTAGGCTTGTGGAGAACCCTAACCAGTCAGGAGCCGACACAAACGGGCGAAGGAAAGTGATGGTCTATTTACCGACAGGAGAAGTTGTCTCATCTTATTCGTCGCTTGAGCAGATCCTCCGGAGTCTTGGGTGGGAGAGGTACTTCGGCAGCGGCGACACAGATCTCCTTCAATTCCACAAACGCTCCTCCATAGATCTCATCTCTCTCCCTAGAGATTTCACCAAATTCAACTCCGTTTACATGTACGATATCGTCGTCAAGAACCCTAGTTACTTTCACGTCCGAGACTCCCATTGAATTTTTTTCTTTTTTTTTTCGTTTAATTTATGTTGTGTGTGTTTTGGTAGTGCTTTGTTGGGTTTTTGTTTTGAGTTGCATGTGCATGTTTTATTGGTTGTGGACGTTGAAAGTTATGAAGCTGTGTTTGTAATTGTGGTTTGATGAGATCTGAGATTTAAAGTGTTGGGAACATCTTGATAGGGTTAACATTCATACCAAAAAAAAAACATCTTGGAGAAATCAATCATAACTGGAATTGATTTCATAATTGTTCTCTTCATTTTAGTATGGTCATTCCATTCAATGATAACCGGTAGCATCGGGCACACCATTGTAATTGAGATATATTGGATTTCAAATGCTTTGCTATATTAATCCAAAACTCAAATTTGGTAAACTTTGTTTCCTATTTTTTAAAAATTGACATATTAGTGACGTATTTGATCTATTTGGATATGTTGCTAATATATCTCAAATTCAGAGAAATATCCATGGAAAAAAAAACAAAATCGCATAAAAGTTACACATTATCGTGCGATTGAGTAACGTGACATTTTAGTTGTACCGTATCGGAAACTTACCATCACAAACTCCGATTAATAAGTATTCGTAACCCTTTGATGCCATTAATTTAATATATCTATGTCGATGGAATATTTTGGGGACCCAATGAGGCTTGGTGAATGGTGATATTGTTTTTGTCGATGCATTTTGATTCCATCATTCTTACGGAAGGTAATAGAGTGGCTCCCGGTGTTTAACTTTGAGGTTGTACGTACCAGTGAGCTCTTATGATTGGTCTCCTCATATGTATTCCCATTCCAAAAACAAATAATTAATCGAATTCATATTGTACATCTCTGCATATATCATATATATTTGTTTTAATTCGCTTTCGTGTTAGAGCGTCGAAAAGACATTACGTAAAACTTTTTGCAGGCAATTTGATTGTGTCAGTCTCACAGTGAACACTATACACCGAGTAGCTATACATATAATCTACCACTAGGGTTTCGTAATTTGCTGGTGGAAAAAAATAATTGTAAGTTGTTTTGAATTACTTGATGGAAGGAGAAATAAATGACGCATCATTTACAAGGAATACGATATTTCGAAGAAATTGACGGACATTACAATATAATTCCAGTGACCTGTGCACACTAAAAATTCCAGTGACCATTTTTCTTTAATGTTTGCAAATATAGACATGAATGAGTAGTGACCTAATTTAACCAACTATATATACTTGGATCTGATTCGCAATCCTATCGATCGTCAATCATGAGATTGACGAGGCTTGTCAAAATCATCTCAGACAAACTTAAGCAACAGTCAATAGACCACAGTGGTTCACTTCACGTGAACAAAGCAATGTCAGCTTCTCGACGAACCTACGAGAATCTGAAACGTGTCTAAAAGGCATTGCTTTGACCTTTGAGGAACACTTCCCACGCACAAGGAGCACTGCTCACGTGGTCTGAACACACACACACACAACTACACAAGGCATGCCTATACGTAAATGTGTGAGGGTGCGTCTATATACATAATATATGACAAGTATTCGTACGCTGATGCTAAATCAAAAAAAAAATCAACGGCATTTATTGGTGAGGGACAAGGATTTGTGGAAGGTTCTGATGTATTGTCGACGTGGCATATGGTAGTCCATAAGCTAGGGTTAAGCTAGTACATAGGCCACTTTGAGAAACGATTTTAAGAGACATCACATCTCATTTCTGTCTTCATAATTATAACTGTACTTATTAGACGATTGGACATTTCATTACTAGTAAAACTTTTAGATTTGATTTATACATTTTACATCCGCCAGCAATGCTACATAAGAGTTACATGTCTAGGATGTCCTATGGCTATGAGTGTATATAACTATATATATATATATCACCAAAATGTATAATATTTTCTTTTTTTTTCCTGTTATTTTCACATACTAAAGCATCCATTTGGTTTATAGAATGTGATTATTCTGATACTTATTTTTCCTTTTTGAATATGTTGTAGTGTGCTATGCCTATGTGTAATCGAATCTTACTTGCATCTAATGTAATGTTTAATTACTCTTGAAGAGTGCAATAACAACAGTCTATATGGGAAATAAACCAACTATCGGTTCGAACTTTTAACTGAAATGTTATATCTTTATATACAGGTGGGGGAATCTGTCCACCTGAACTTATTTTCCATTTGTTCCCAATTGTGTATAAGTAAAAAAAAAGAAAAAAACCTTTTTATGTACAGAGAGAAAAGAGAGCAAGATGGTAGAAGCAGAGAGACAAATCACTTTGGTGAAGAAAAACCATTTTAGAAAGAAGAAGCAAGTGGATGTCTCTGCATATTTTCCATCATCATGAAAATGGCTGTGGCTGAGATTCTGCAGAGGTTTTGCAGATAGGACACCAATTCTTCATCCGGAGCCATTGCTGCGCGCAGCTCACGTGGTACATATGTTGGCAAGGCAAAGTCCCTACTTCATCTCCATCAACATACTCCTCCTATACATATTAACACATCAAACCCTCTTTCTTGAGTTTGATCTAATACCTTCAAGCTTACTACCATTGAGAGTAGACTCATAGAAAGAGAGAAGTAATACCTGGCAAATGCTACATTTGACATCATCATCTTTTCTCAGGCAAATGTCACTTGATTCATCTGCTTGACGGTAGATGCTTGACTTGAGGCTTTTCAGCAGCGCTTCCTCACTTAGAGCAGTGCTCACTGTGCCCATTTTCTCCTCCAATGCTAATAGTTCCTGCATCATTTTGTTTTTCCTCAGCATTTTATCAACTTGATCCAAACTACACAACAGGTAAGACTAACTAACCTCATACGACATGTTATCAATGTCAAGCCTCATATCTCTATGCTGATCGTGGAAGCCGCTCACACCATTCAAGAACAGATTGGTCTCTAAAACAACCAATTGCTGCATAGGAAAGAAAGAAGCGTCAGAAGAAAAACTCAAAATGTCAGTAAAAAAAAAACATCTTCGTTTCAAAGTTTTCAAGCTGCTAAATCACCTCGTATGTAAGCTCTTCGTCTTGTCCAATCCTTTCCAGAGCCAACAATACCTGCAACAACGAGAACAAATACTTGAGTTCTGTTATCAAGACGCTGGAATAACATCACAGAACAAAGCTTATGATGACTTACCTCCGCAACACCATTCATGTTGTAACGTCTAAAACCTTCACGGTTCATCAGAGAGCGAGAAAGGCCGGATCCTGAGGGGCTACCAGGCATCATCATGCTACGTAACCTGCCATTACTACTCATTGGCCTACTGTAACTATTCGAAAGAGGACTATTCGAAGCTTGTGCGGATCTCAAAGGATTTAGATCAGCTCGTGTTGCAGGCTGAGGCGCTCTTAGAGTTGCAACCGCTGCTCCAGAGCGCCCTGTTCTTCCATAGAAACCAGTTGTTCTCCTAGTACTACTACTCGAAACAACACTGTTGTCCCTAACACTTGGCAAATTCCTGTTCCTCCTAGACTCAGACATGGTGATGCCATTGCCATTAGTGGAACTTTGATTCTTTACCTCAATCACTGATTTCTCCGTCTTATTATCCCCTCTGCTTGAAGAGCTACTGCTCTCTCCATCAGAGGTTTTCTTTCTAAACATGTTGCCTTTTCTTGTCGGGTTTGGAACAACATCAGACCCGGTTTTGCTCCGTAACTCTCTCAATCTTGCATCTCTGGTGACCAAATCAGGTCTCTGATGTACATTGCTTTTGCCTGTACCTCTGCTTGAGCTTCCTACCTCTGTCACAACTTCTCCAGAGACACTACTATTATCAGAACGAACACTTGTAATGCTTTCTTTCGTCGTCTTTCCACGTGGAAGGGCACGCTGAGTCTCGTCATGAACACTACTACTACTCTCTGAAGAATCTGTGTCTAGAAGAGAAGAGAGTTGTCTCCTTCCAGTGACTTTACAGGCCTTCTTTGTTCCTCCTCCGAATCCACTGATGTTTCGTGATGAGCTCCCGACGATTTCCTTTCCATTCGAAGGAGGTCGTAACGAAGACTGAGTAGGTTTTGTTTTGTGTTCAATCGCAGCTTCCTTGATGGAACTGACACGAGAGCTGCAGCCAATTCTGCTGCAGATAGGGACACTCTTATCATCTTTCTTCTTCATATTCTCATGCAGAACAAAGCCACTTGCTTTCCGAGGCATAATCGGTCCGGATGTTCTTTTACCCCTGAATCCATCCATGCATATAAAGACACTCTTACTCTGCAAAATTACAACAAGCTTATAATTTCAGATAATCTTGATTCCTATATAAGAAACCAATTTTAAGCCTAACGATGATCTTTTAGCCAAAAAGAAAAAGCAGAAAGAAGAAACAGAGAACAAGAGCAGACAAAAAGGGCTTACGAGAAGAACATATAGCCTGATGATCCATAAACATGAGGATGATTCAAAAGCTAATTTAGTGATTGTTAAAAGAAACCAAAAGGGAGAGAAAAGAGGAAAGCTAAAAGAGAAGACGACCATCCAAGAAAAAAAACAGACAAAGGAGGGTCCCATTCGATTTACACGGATTTTCCATAAACACGACCAGTTTCCCCGTGATTCAAGCTTCTCCATTCAAAACAAGACACACCATTTCCATGTCATATTATAAGGAAAGAGGCATATATAGATCATAGATACAATTCCCTCAATCGAATTCAAGAATCAGAACCAAACGAACAAGTTCAAGCCAAGTAAACAAAAGAAAAAAAAATGTAATATCAAATAAAATTTCATCATATTTACATAATCATTTAACGAACTGGAAAAATAATTCTGAAAATGAATCCAAAGGCAAACTCAATAAATAAATCAACAACGAGAAAAGAAAATGATTACCGTAGCGAAAGGAGCGAAAGCAGAGGCGGGAGAGAAAACTATAATTCTGGAAATAATTTTTCCGGACGTATATTTCTTCGTCGAAGAAACGTGTCGTGAGAGAGATGCGAAGGATTATATAATCTTCCGAATCCGTTAATTATAATTTTTTTGTGATTTAAATCGGAGAGGAAGAAGAAGAAATGGCGTACCAAAGGCGAAACAGCGGTCGGAGAGATCGGAGCCGTTGATTTTGGGTGTTGTTTGAGTGAAGGGAGAGATGGACGGCTTAGATATATTACGGAACCACAGGGATTACGAAACGTCGAAACGGCACCTGTTGCAGATTAAGGGTCTCGTGGACGGAGTATAATATAATTTCTTTTCTTTTTGTTTCTACGTGAAAAGTCAAAAACAAAGGGGAGTGTTTTTATGAAACATAGGAATAGGATTAGTAAATGTCCTTTAATTAATAGCTTGCGCAATACTAGTGGAATATTGATGATGTCAAAAAGTGTATTCATGAACATTCGTGTTTTTTCTAAACGTGAGAGGAACGAATTTGGTGAAATTCCAAGAACATCACCATTAGTCTATTACTCCGTATTATCTAACCGTAGGTAATTAACATGTAACCACAAAAAAAAACTACGTGTATAGAGTATAGACCTATGAGAGACTAGATATATTAATACCACTCTTTTTTTTTTCAAAGTAAGAAAATAATATATTTAAATTCATGCATGGTTATAGGCTTAGAAATTGGAAATAATTGTTGAAACGATAATAACATAATTTATACTTTGATCTCGATATCAGAAGGGGTCCATTAATTCTGATAGAAATATAATATGACTATCAAAGGAAAGACGACGTGAGAAGGAGCAAATTAGATCCACATCCATGATAGAAACGAAACCATTAAAATAAACTTCGAAAGAGAATAAACAACTAAATGGTCGAAGACATCTAAGTCATTGGTTTGTTTATTATTAAATTAATAATCGACCTTTCAATATTAAATAAAAGGAATAATAATGGAAGAGGGAGAGGGTTACTGAATGGGCCCAAGTCCAATCGGAAGAATAATGGGCCCACCGCTCTGAAAACGGGAAATCAGAGGGGGAGTGAAGAGCACGCGCCATCACGACCAGACGTGAGAGATTACAAATTTACAACATGTTTATCGTAAAATGTCAACTTGAAGAAGTAAAGTTTTTGGAATCATCCTCGAGCAGGTTTTCTACGTCATACGTCCTTTTCTCACTGTACGTGTTGCGTATATATAAAAATTAATATACATATACAATCGCTCGATCTCTCTCTCCTACTTAACACCGATCGAGAAGCATGCAACACATATATTAATAACTAATTATTCAAAAAATAACATTTGTAAAATGAAGGGTATATATTAGTAGTATATAATCATGATTGCGCTACAAACAATATTTGTTTGATTTTGTATAGATACGATTATACAAACAATTCCCTGGGTCATATGCGACTTTCACATGTGAAGACATGTATGACATCTTTGTAAAGAAAGAAAAAATAAAATGTATACCACGACGGCACGAACTGAAGAACCCTATCGAAGGACAATGGGATTCTAATAAGGGTAATCATATATGTATGTTACTTTGAATAATTTGTTAAAATCGTAAAAAGAGAAAATAGGTTTCAAAGCCTTCTTCACCATCATACTTCATCGTCGTGAACTAGAATTTGTTTTTTTTTTTTTTTTTTTTTTTTTTTTTGACAACGAACTAGAATATGTTTATACGTTGACAACTTGTGTTGATTTTACTAGTAATGCAGATCCAATAATTTGCTTATTTCACAAACCGTTGACAGTGATAATTTCATAGATCTTCTTATAGAGACCCAAAAAGGAACATATGTCTTTGATTTCCTGACTATCATGAGATACATATTGATATATATATATATACAAAACAAACACGCATAGAAGTTTTGTAGTTTTAGCCTGATCTTAAGCAAATGGTTTTTAGTTGAGTTGGGTTTTTAACTTTATTTCTGACTTTTAGTCGGCCTTAGCCTTTACCTAATTTTTGGGCCCATAGCTTCATTATACATAAATACATTCGTTCCATATCATTATCAACTACTCTGTTTGAGTTTATAAGGGGTTTTAGGTTTTTTCATAATAATTAAGGAAGCAACTAAAATACCTCTTATAACCTCATCTTCTATTACTTATTTCAATATTATACCACTAAAAATTTTTCTCCACATTGAATAAGAGAAGGGTAAAAATGTGAAGTAGTGGCAATTTTAGTCTAGATTATCATGAGAGATAATTATTCTGCAACAAATTTTTTTTCCTAAAACCCCTTATAAACTGAAACAGAGAGGGAGTACTATTCTTCTAGCGTGTTTGTATAGAGTAATACTGTAGTTAACTAGCATATAGTAACTCATACAAAGAAAACAAATACAGTATAAGCATAAAGGAATTGAGGTAGCATGTGGGACGACGACGTAGCATTATTGTCCCATTAGTGAGAATAGATTAAACCTGTAACCTACAGTATATGCATTAAACCTTTCTAATAATCCTTAAATAGCCTTTTCTCCATTTATGAAATTATAGTCAGAAAATAATAAATACAGCACATATTAATCTACATGTTGCCGTGAAAAAGAAAACTACACTCATTTGCAGAAGGAATCATCGTTTATGTACTTTTTTTTATTTTACTTCTCAATCAGTTAAGTATGTATTTTGTTACGGTTGAATCAGAGTTTCCACATTAAAACCAAAGAATAATTGACATAACCGATGCCCTTTGCCACGAGAGTTAACATAGATATTTTTTAGTAAAAAAAGAAAGAAAAAAAGAATTGATTGAGAAGGAGAGAGGTGGATGAGCCAAGGAATGAAATGAGTGGGCGACATGTAGATTGATGGTGGAAGGCTGGAAGCGTTCAACAATGGCCTCCATAGAAGTTGAGCAGGCCCATTTCTCTTTCTTTTTATATTTTTATTTAGTTTTAAATTAGTTTCATTACTATTTCTGGTCTGAATTAGTTTTAATTAACTCGGAAGTCGTGATTACGTGGTGTCATTTAATCATGCTAATGACGTGGGGACAATATCTTATACAGACATTGAAACGGTCCAAACCAAAAAGAACAAACAGAGTTGGTGTCCTTTTGTATAAATAGAAAACGGCTAACAAAAAGTCAACGGCTTTCCACAACGACCGGAATCGTTTTATAATGTTAGTTTAGTTTTGATTTTAATTTGTGAGGAGATTGATGGCCTCCACCACCCATGAAATTTCCGAGATTTAAGCTCCGTTTTACAAACACACAAGTAATCGAATCTCATTTTATAGAAACCCTAATTTATTTCTTGGGAGATTTGTTTCCTTGATACACACGTTTCTACGTTTGTTCTTTTCCGCCAAGAAATCTTTGCCCTTTGTTCTTCTCCGTTTTGTTTCCACTTTCTCTCGAGGTAATGGCAACGACACCAAGCACAACAAAGGCAAAGCCGGAGAACCCCAACCTGACCAGAAACAGATCTATCGGTCGAAAACCAAAGCTACCTTCGTCGGCGTCATCAGAAGATGGGTCTGATCAAAAACCAGAGAAGCCTGTGCCAAACTATCTGAAACCAACAATCAGTTCGAGACCGGACCCGGTCAAGTTCGTGAAGAAGAACAACAATAGTCTTGAGGATAACCAGAAGCTTTTGCGTAGAAGATCATTTGATCGACCTCCTTCTTCTTTGACTTCTCCTTCTACTTCTTCTCCGCGTATCCAAAAACCCCTCAACGTCTCTCCTTCTAGCTCACAAGATAGACCAGCGGTTCCTAGAGAGAAGCCTGTCACAACTCTACGCTCTTCGTCTTTCCATGGAACCAGAGGTGTTCCAAGAGGAGGTACTACCGTGAAACCGTCTCCTGTGGGTCCAAAGAAAAGTGGTTTGAGCAGTAGCAGCTCTTCTTTGAAGAGCAGAAAGGAAGATTCTACGAAGGTAGGAGGAACAAAGAAATCATCTGAGAAAGAGATTCCCCTGGATACTGCTTCTTTGTCATCTGCTCAAGAGGATGAAGAGGAGATTCTCAAGGTTGAGAGTGATGTACATGTTGCTGATGAAATAGAAGAACCAAAAGAAGAAAAAGAAAATAAAGAGGTCCAAGTAGAGTTTGTGCAAGCCGATGAATCTGGTGAAGAGAATGAGAGAGGCGGACCAACAACGGTGGCTTTACCTGTAGTAGGGGAAGATTGCATTGCTGTCAACAAAGAAGATGAAAAGGAAGAAGAAGAAAAAGAAAAAACATTGATAAATGAAGATAAAACCGAAGAAATAATTGAGGAAACCAAAGAACAGGATAACAGCCACTACAACAAGGTTGAAGACGAGGAAGAGGTTAAGAAGAAGATTGATGAGGATGAAACTCCGGAGAAAGTTGATATTGACATGAAAGAAGTTGAAAGTGTCGAAGAGGTCACAGAAGAGATAAGAGAAGAAGTGAAAGAAGAACAAGAAGAGAAAGAAGAGGACAAAGAGAAAGAGAAGGCGAAAGAAGAGGAGAAAGAGAAGGAAAAGGTGAAAGAAGAGGAGAAGGAGAAGGTTAAAGAAGAAAAAAAGGAGATGGTTAAAGAAGAAGAGTCAGGAGAAGGAAAGAAGAGAGAAGTAGTGAAAGGGAAAAAAGAATCTCCATCAGCCTACAACGATGTAATAGCAAGTAAGATGCAAGAGAACCCAAGGAAGAACAAGGTTTTGGCTCTTGCTGGAGCTTTTCAAACCGTTATTGACTATGAAACTGCTGCATCTAAGTGATATCACAACAACTACAAGGCAGAATTATCACACACACAAAAACAACAACAAGAATGCATCTTTAACTTTTCCATGCTAATCTTTCTTTCTGTCTAATTATCATGTGCCTTTGTTATAATTTTCGTCTCGTGAATTGTATGCTTTTCGAGTGAACAAAGTTACACGCACCTAATCATACGTTTTGAATGGACTGGATGCATTGGTGTATATTATATTCAGTGACTTGTAGACTAGCTATATATCTACTTTTAACTCCGATTGAATTTGCTACCTATACGAAGCAAATTAAAACCTAATGGTTTAAAGGAGGTAGAATAAAATATGATTACAATATCAGTCACATAAGAAGGATAATTGATTGATGGTTACATTACATCCATAGTGAAGCTTTTGTTGTGGTTCAAAAAAATCCCACGTGGAAGAAGGGTCATCAGATAGTTGCCATGTACAGGGGCTTACGGTTAAATTGTGACTTTATCACTATTATAAATGACTCTTTCTCAAAAACAATCTCTAATGGTTTCTCTAATAATCTCTAATGATTTTAGTAAAAAAAAAATCCAGCACAAACAGTTCACAACTTTAATTGTTGCGGAATGTTATCTTTAATTCGAAAATTTGTCTCCAAGTTCAAAGTGACTTGAAATATACTAGTATGAAATAAAAAGCCCTTCTTGTATTGTTAAATATAGCGGTATTTTGTTAGGAATTAAAAAGTAAATAGCCTAATAGAGAGTATTAAATATAGTATATTAGTATATGCTACTCAACCTACTAATCTATTTTACCCACATAATATTTGTGACACAAAATGGTTATGATCTAGATGGATACAAGTGTTTGGTTCCTTTCCAATGCGGAAGTTTGTCCCACGCACATGAGAGTTCCTATCAACTTTGACATTTTATTGTAAGAAAAAAAAAACACAAATTGCAAGACAAATTTAGTGACATTTGAATGACACGTGTTCGTCAAGTCCATAGCCTCTTCTTCTTCTTTTTCCCAACAGTTGTCGGGAAGAGAAGATATCAAATGAGCGATTGTGACAGAAAAAAAATAAAGACAAAAGAAGACCAAAAAGAAGAGGTTGCACGTCTTGTTTCTCAACAACATTTATTTTCCCAAGTCCTCAACAAATTACATTTTTTTTGTTTGTTCTATTATTAGAAAGTTCTGATTTTCTTTAAAGTTTCTCTAATTCTGAAATCAGTTTTTGATAGTAGCTTACTAGCTTTTGACGGGTCTACGTATTATAAGTAACTCAAATTCTAATTCAGTTTGGATCTGTTAACACCAAAATAACATTTTTTCAACTAAAAACAACATATGAAATATTTATTCTAAAGATGCTAAAATCTTCGTAATAATCTTGTACCAAAAGTTAAAGATGCACTCGACTGCGAGTGTTGTTCGTTCGTATCTCCCACTCGAATAATTAATGGTTTTTGGACTGTATGTTCTACCGAATTCATGTTAAAACAATATTGCACGCATTATTGTTAATAAACATAGTATCATTTTACGATTCTACGGTTCTTATTAAAACTTTAACACTGTAACTACTCCATCTTTATAAAATCTTGATTCATTTGCATAGATCAATGGCATGAATTCATTTTTGTTCAACAATAGTAATCTTCAAGCACCAGGCACCAAAAAACTAAAAATCTACAAGCACCATTTGTAGACTTGAATATGTTCACTTCTCAAGACAATATCCAAAAAAATAGTATTGACTTGACATTTTAAATGAAGATTAAGAGAATCGATAACGAGATTGAGGATATGCTAAAAGGACAAGAAACAGATAAGCTAAAAGAAAGGAACAAACACTAACGTAGTTGATTACTTTTTCTCCAGTCGATAATTTATAATTTGTCTCCCGAATTAAACGAAAAAAAAAAAAGAAACATTAATTCGCGCGAACGAAATAAAATTATATTTTAAGAGAACCAAAAAAAAAACTATGAACAAAGAAAAAATCATGATTGCATTATTGATCATCGTCTTCTTCCTGCAGATCTGAGAGCGCAAAACAACTCCGAGACTTGAATGCTCTGTTCTTGAACGACGGTTTCCTCGCAACAACTCCTCTCGCTGCTCTCGCTCCTCTCTCTTCGTCGCTCGAAGTTGATTTGTTCTCACCAAACCCAGATTTCAGATCCTCATCGTCTTCCTCGTCATCATCATCATCCTCATCTTCGTTTACTGGTAACAGAGGCATCGATTTAGGGTTCTGCCACGAATAAAACGACCTTCTCGCCAGTTTGTTACAGATCTGTAATCTTCTTCTCTTGTTCAATGGATTCTCTTGCTTCGGCACTTCTTTCACACTCCCGATCTCTCCTAAATTCCCAAACGATTTCGATTTCCCTTTGTAATGATTCGATAATCCTCTCCTGCAAATTAATTAATTTAATTTATTCTCCATTTTTATTCAGATGCCATTTTTAGTAAGGAAATAAACTTACTTGCTGGGGAGAGAATCTTCGAGGGAGCTCATTGAAGCCAATCCTCGAAGCCCTAATTCCTTAGACGAAACGTCGTCGTTGTCTTCTTCGCTTTCCTCATCCTCGCTGTCTCCCGGCGTTCCGATCGAAGACGAACTTTCCGACGAGTAATCCGCCGTCTGTCCGGACCAGATTCCGCTTCCGGGACGACTCAGACCTCCTCCTCCTCCTCCTCCTCCGTCTTCGTTCGTTGCCTCACCGGAGGAGGAGGAAGAAGAAGCTTTCAAATTCGCCGGTAGATCGGTTCCGTATTCCGATACCTCGATTGAGAAAGTAGGTCCTGCAATCACCTCCATCACCGTGTATCTCCAGATCACAAACCAGACAAAACTTCCTTACCGATTTGGTCGGAAATCACGGGTTAAACTCCTCACTTCTGGGTTTCTGTCTCATCAACCGTACAGGGATCCGATCCTCAAATCACAGACTTCAGAGAATAGTAGAAATCGCCATGGCAGACAATAGAGAGAGAGAGAGAGAGAGAGAAGGGATAAGGTTTTTATTTATTTTAAAAAATTAATTGAAGGAAAGTCGATAAGGACGATAATTGGATAAAATAGTTATATATCTATCTTTTTGGGAGATTAAAATATAAGCATTCGCGTATGCCTATGCGTGATTTCGGACAGTAACAACTGCTAATTATCGCTTCTCCCCAAGTCTTTTTTGATTCTCAGTTCTGTATATTAAAATCCGTGTTCACAAAGTTTCTAATTTGGAAAATATTTGGAAAGTCTTTTCACAAGATATAATTTGGAAACTTTATAATATTCTTGAGCAAAAGGATGTGTATGTTTTAGGGTTGTAATAATGTTACGAGTCGACTTTAACATAAACGAGAATGAAATAATCTATACTTGCCATCTCTACATGTGTCCTACCATAGATTCGTATATTCTCTTTTGTTCGGTGTATATATTTGTAAGTATAACTAGCATATACGTAGGAGACTGTTACTATATATATGCGTAGTATATATATTCTTCTTCTTTTTTTGGGTGAGGATATGGATATGTGGATATATAGATATTCTTTTTACCATATTCCATTAGCAAGAAAAAGAAGAAAAAAACAAGCAAAAATTAAATAAAAAGTTTATACTGATCCAAAATTAAAAATAATTAACAGATTACCAAACGCCTGTTATTAAACCCAGTCTGGGAGCTTTAGCTCCCGGGGATTCACCAAAAAAAAAACCCAGTGAGTGAACGTTTGCTAAAGAGTGGTCTGATTCTGATAACCACAAAAATTTCACTAGAGTAGCTTCACAAGTTTACAATCGCTGGTCATAAATTAGGTCAAGTAACACATCCTCCATTTGGAATGTTCAAAATCCTTTTAGACAAGGGACGATTTGTAACAATTTACTCGGAATGACGAAAAAAAAAAACATAAAACTTACGAGTTACGAGTATGGATTTCACAAATAATAACATTTTCACGTTTGTACATCTCGCGATTCGCATGTCTAACAACTATCACTCTTCACTTAACAACAATGGAAATAGATAGAAATACTCAACTGCTCCAGATTCGTGTAACCTGTCTATCAACCTTGCATGCAAAGTATATATGTTCTATGAAGAAATCTGACGTTTTTTCTCGTTTAAAGAAAGTCTGATTACTACACATTTGTTTTTCACTAGACTCAGATATTTATTTTTTCACCTGACATCTCATACATTGGCGGGTGTTACTTCATACTGGCATTATACATTGTACAATATTTAGATCTGAAACTTGTGTAGGATCAGTGTTAAGAGTAGATTTAGACATTTAGATTATAAATGTCAAAAGTCAAAAACTATTATTCAGAAATTGCAACAAACGAAATGCATTTTGTAACCGGAAAATAAAATGAATGACGTTACGGCAACAAAAGATTAGTTCCTATTTTGATGTAAATATCTGCATTGGGGTTTGATATAATATGGTATAAGATTCATATATTAATAGGAATATTCCTTTCCTTTTATCTTAGTTGAGTTGTGACCCACTCACCCAATCTACAATTTGTTATAAGAATATTAGACGAAAGTTCCAGCAGAAATAGAACTCATATGTATGTGACTAGAGATTGCAGTAACACTGTGCACGGGATTATCATATTTTTTTGACAAAATAGTACATTAATTTCTTAACTCCGATTTATAAAAATCATAGAAAATTTAAAATATTAGTATTTATTTAGTAACACATTCGTGAAGAAAGACTTAAACGAAAGGGATATTGAGCAAATTGCAAATATTTATCGAATTTACAAGTAGGTAGATCACTAGAAAGTAGAAACAATACAGGATGATAATAATCAAATTAAAAGGTTACATTTCGAAGAGAAAAAAACGTGGTTAGTATTAGTTCAAACTTAAAAATCATAAGTAAAGGTCAAAGCAGGGGGACCAATGGGATGAGGCTGAGGTCTGGACTCTGGAGAAACAGCATCTAATCTTATCTTATCTGTTTTTTTTTCTTTTTATCTAAACTAATCTTATCTGTTTTTTTCTTAATACTTAAATCTTAACATTTGCTCTTCTCGGTGGCAGAGAATCACTCTCAGATGTCCACACCCATCTCTCTCTTTATTATCTTATCTTTTTAGTTTCATTTTTTAATTTTCGGAACCTAATGTTTTTGTTAGTTTTTTATTTTTTTATTAACAAGAGAAAAAGTGTATTGGTTTGGTTGGCTAAACAGCTTGAACTTTATAGAAAGGTTAATTATCATGTTTCCACCCACAATCTCAGGTTTTGAACAATACAAAACAAACCATTCAGACACAAGTTTCTTGGCATTTTCCTTACATACACGGTATACACTAGTTTTTGAGGAAAAACTGTTTACTTTTATATGCGAATATTTATTTTTGTTTTGGCCAAGACTTTTATATGTGATTTTGACTCCACCCATCTGCCAAAAGTCGAAAAAATTGGACACACAAATAAAACGGCGTTTGTGACGAACCAGATACTGAGGCAAGGTTCCGAAGCTAGCTAGCTGCTATGGTTGTGGCCTAGTTTTTGTCTTTCCGTATCATAAAAGAGAAATTGTGTGTGTTTCTCAAAAGTGAGATAACTTGATCCATCCTAAGATCATTTTTCTTCCAATCATGTAATTCTAGAAAGATGATATAAACTATAATCGTAACTCGTTTGTATCAGTTTCGGATTTAGTATGGAAAATATCAATACATTATTCATATAATTAAATTTTTTATTGATTCAAAAGTACGATCATTATCAAAGTCTACGCGTCACATAACACGAAATCTCACTGTCCAACAACCCTAATGACAACACCAGGTTGAGGCTCAACAAGCAGCTTATAGTTTGGAGAGTGTTGATATGTCGGAGACAGAGTGAAACTAAACTTTGACACAATAAGTGACACAAGCACTTTGATTTCCATCATAGCAAAGTTTTTGCCTAAACATTGTCTTGGTCCGAGGCCAAACGGGATGTATAACTGAGGGTATTTGCAAGCTTTAGAGATTCCTTCACTAAACCTCTCTGGCTTGAACTCGTTTGCGTCTGCTCCCCAGATCTCAGGGTCACGGTGTAAGGTAGGAATGAGAGTCCAAATGCACACTCCTTTTGGCACCACAAGGTTTCCGAGTCTTATATCTGCGGATGCTTCTCTCATCACTAGAGGTGCTGGTGGGTATAGTCTCATTGTTTCTTGGACTACCATTGTCACCTATTTTTTCTCTTACAAGAAAAAATGTTAGACCTAATAAAAGCTTAATATAATACATAAAAATTTTGTATTGTTCAAAATTCCCTAACATATTTAGAAATGAAACGAAATATACAAAAATAATTTACCGTTTTGAGGTTGGGAATGGATTCTTCATCGGGAATGCCATTCTTGCAAGAACTCAAGATTTCATCCCGAATTCGATTCTGCCAGGTAGGGTTGAGAGCGAGGAACATAAGGCACCAAGACACTGAGACTGCGGTTGATTCATGGCCGGCAAAATAGATGTTCTTGCAATTATCCACCACAAAACGTCTATAAGCTGACTTGTCCCACAAGTTTCCATCGCAGCTACGCATCGCCCCCGCGAGTATCAACTGCATTACATCCTTCTTGTCACCTTCCACGCATTCCATTTCTCTTTCCTTTACCGTTTCCCAAATTGATGAGTCCAGTTTCTTCTCGAGCTCATCAATATTCACATCACCATGCTTCTTACTCCCAAACACCATATCACTTGCCACCATATACATATATATACTCAGTAACTCAGTACGTAATAATTACTTTTGCATGGATTAAAGAAGAAGAAAATGTATTAACGACGAGACTCACGTGAAGCCATTGAATCTGAAGAGGACGCTGCGTCTAGTGATGGCAATCAAAAGATCCCTAATCATAGAGAATATCGTTTTGCCTTTGGAAAAAGAGCTCCCAAAGCAAGCTCTAGCAATAATATCACCTGTGACATCCTTAAGGTCTTCGTCTACTCTTATGTCACACCCCATTTCTCCTCCTTTTTTCACCATCTCTTTGAGAGAATATAGAAGTATTCTGTCTAGATATTCGACAATCTTGTAAATCAGTTTTATGTATCCCACAATATGTGGAACCGTTTGTAACAACTAAGGCTATATATAGCCAACGTAAATACAAGATCCCTCAAGGGGAAATTCATCAACTTTCATGGTATCAGAGCTTTAACGCTCATGAACCTTTTTCTTCTACATCTCTTCTTCTTTTCTCTTCTCTTCTCTTCTCTTTTCTTCATTTTCATTGCTTTTCGTTTTCAATGGCTGAAAATCCTGAAAATCCTGCAGCCGTAGAAAGAGCATTTGGTGTCACCAACATCAAATCTCACATTCCTCTCATTCTCGATTTCGATGACCACAACTATGATGCTTGGAGAGAACTATTTCTCACTCACTGCTTGGCGTTTGATGTGCTTGGTCACCTTGATGGCACTCTGCTTCCAAATGGTGATAACGATGTACCATGGAAAAAACGTGATGGATTGGTGAAACTTTGGCTCTACGGCACACTCACTCCACCGTTGTTTCGATCCTCGTTTGCAACGGGAGGTATGGCGCGAGATATCTGGACCCGAATTGAGAATCAATTTCGAAACAACAAGGAGGCAAGAGCGATTCAGCTAGACAATGAGCTCCGAACTACTGAAATTGGAGATCAAACAATTCAACAATACTGCCAAACGCTGAAATCATTGTCGGATCGTCTTGCGAATGTGGAGGCTCCTGTCACAGAAAGAAATCTGGTAATGTACCTCCTCAATGGCTTAAACGAGAAATACGACTACATTACTAATGTAATCAAGCATAAGGAGCCATTCCCAAGTTTCGAATCTGCCAAATCCATGCTGGAAATGGAAGAATCAAGACTGAAGAAGGCGCATCGGCCTGCGGCAACACACACAGACCACTCTTCTTCATCAACAGCTCTCTCTGTCTCAGCTCCACAGTCTCAGATGAATGATCAATCCCCACGACATACCCAGCCGCACCAGAAGTTCAACAACTATCGTGGAAAAGGGAAGAACAATTATCGTGGAAGAGGTCGTAACAATTATCAATATCAGTCTCGACCTAGTTTCCCTTATTGGGCTCCACAGAATAATTGGCCAGGCCCATTCCCTCCATGGCCAAATCAGTTCCCACATTGGAACCCATATTCTCCAATGCCCATGTATCGTGGATCTGCACCTTATCCGATGACTCCATCTGCTCCACAGGCGAATCTGGTCGAGATCAAGCCAACAGAGCTTCCCCAAGCTCATACTACATCAACTTTGTTCGATCCATCTGGTGCAGGAGCGGATTGGTATATGGATACTGGAGCTACTGCCCATCTGTCGGCATCTGCAGGTATTCTAAACTCTAATCTTAATCATAACATCAAGCACTCAGTAATCGTTGGTAATGGATCAGAAATTTCTGTCAAATCGATTGGTTCTTCTTCCCTTCAAACCAATACTCGTCCTTTATCCCTTTCAAATGTCCTTGTTGTTCCAAAAATTGTCAAAAATCTGATTTCTGTTCGACAATTTACAAGAGACAATTGGTGTACTGTTGAATTTGATCCATTTGGTTTTTCTGTGAAGGACCTTCAAACTCGGAAACCTCTGCTCCGATGTGAAAGCTCGGGCGATCTTTATCCTCTTCCAGCTTCTCTCAATAAGCCTCCATCTTCTTCACATTCTACAGCTCTTCTTGCTTTTTCCCCATCGCTATGGCACAAACGTTTAGACCATACAAATAATATTGTTCTCCGTTCAGTTTTAAATTCCTATTCTCTGCCATGTAATAAGGACAAGTTTCCTCTTGCTTGTGAGCCATGTATTTTGAGTAAACAGATCAAACTTCCTTTTTATCGTTCTTCTTCTGAAATAACAAAGCCTTTTGAAATAATACATTCCGATGTTTGGACATCTCCAATACCAAGCATCAGTGGGATTAAGTACTATGTTTTATTTCTTGACCATTATTCTCAATTTCTTTGGGTCTATCCTCTAAGACGAAAAAGTGATGTTTTTTCCAAATTTATTCACTTCATGGCTTATGTTAAAAATCAGTTCAACACCCATATCCAATCTTTTCAATGTGATAATGGAGGAGAGTTTAACAACACTCAATTCCAGAATTACTTTGACTCTAATGGGATTGTTTTTCGTTTCTCTTGTCCTCATACTTCCCAACAAAATGGCAAATCTGAACGGATGATAAGAACAATTAACAACGTAATTCGAGCTCTCCTTTTTCAGGCTCAACTTTCACCGTTGTATTGGGTCGAAGCTCTTAATGTGGCTGTTCACATCTTAAATATCCTCCCATCTTCCTCAGTTCAAAATCAGATTCCCTTCAATATTTTGTTCAACAAACGTCCAACATATGATCACCTCCGTGTGTTTGGATGTTTGTGTTTCCCAAATCTAAACCACTCAAATCTTCATAAGTTGGCCCCACGCTCAACTCCATGTTTATTTCTCGGATATCCATCACAGCATCGAGGCTATAGATGTCTAGATCTCAAAACAAACAAGATCATTATCTCTAGACATGTATATTTCGATGAAGAAACATTTCCAGCAGCTGTCAAACTTCAAAATTCAGACTCTGCATATAGTTTCTTAAACTCCAGTGATGAATCCTCCCCTTTGTTTAAATCAATTCTTCAAACACCGCTCCTTCCTTCCCCTACAAATACGATTCCAAATCCTTCACCTTCGCTTCCTAATCCAGAAATCCAGCCTCAGTCACAAGCTCCCCAAGCTCAACCTCATCACACTATGACGACAAGGAGTAAGGCTGGAATCCGAAAACCACAGAAAGTCTTGTCCCTTCTCGCCAAAACAAAATCTCCACTTCCAAAAAGCTATATTCAAGCTCTTTCTGATCCAAATTGGACACATTCGATGACTGATGAGTATGATGCTATGATTAAGACTAAGAGTTGGAATCTTGTACCACGGCCACCAAATGTTAATATTGTGAGATCTATGTGGTTGTATACTCATAAACATGATGCAGATGGTGCTCTAACACGTCACAAGTCGAGATTAGTAGCCAATGGGAAATCGCAGGAAGCTGGAGTTGACTTTACGGAGACATTCAGTCATAAAACCGGCAACGATACGTACGGTCCTGAACATAGGCGTTGCTCGTGAGTGGCCGATACATCAATTGGATGTAAAGAATGCATTTTTGCATGGAGACCTCGATGAAACGGTGTACATGCACCAGCCTCCTGGATTTGTTGACAAAAGTTTTCCTAATTATGTTTGCAAATTGCAGAGACCGATTTATGGCTTGAAACAATCCCCAAGAGCTTGGAATTCAAGATTTGCAAAGTTTATAAACAAGTTGGGCTTTGTTACGAGCAGAGCAGATGCTTCTCTGTTTGTTTACAGAAATGGAAGTGAATTAGCATACATCCTACTCTATGTCGATGACATACTCATGACTGCTTCATCGACATCACTGTTGCAGAAGATAATAGACTCACTGAAGACTGAATTTCCAATGACCGACATGGGCAAGGTGCGTCATTTCCTTGGTGTTAAGGCAGAATATAATGACAAGGGATTATTCTTGAGCCAAACAACCTATGCTCGTGATATCATTAGAAGAGCAGGGATGGAAGAATGCAAACCATGTGCGACCCCGGTTGATTTGAAGTCGAAGCTGTCAAACCAGATTGGAGAACCAGTGAAAGATCCAACGGCTTATAGGAGCCTAGCAGGAGCTCTTCAGTACTTAACGTTTACACGGCCAGAGATATCTTATGCAGTTCACCAAGTTTGTTTATATATGCATGATCCACGACAGCCACACTTGCAAGCTCTCCGACGCATTATCAGATATCTCAAAGGCACTCTCTCTCATGGTCTGCAACTCGTTAAAGGACAGATTGATCAGCTGACGGCTTATTCAGATGCAGACTGGGGTGGATGTCTGGATACAAGAAGATCAACGTCAGGGTATTGTGTGTTTCTTGGACCAAACCTCGTATCTTGGTCTGCAAAAAGACAACCGACGATCTCACGGTCAAGTTCGGAAGCTGAGTACAAAGGTGTTGCAAATACAGTGGCAGAGTTGTGTTGGATAAGAAATCTTATGCTTGAGCTTCACTGCAGCATTACGAAAGCTTCCATTGTCTACTGTGACAACATCAGTTCGGTGTATCTTGCCTCTAATCCCGTCAAGCATCAGAGAACCAAGCATATTGAGTTGGATATACATTTTGTGCGTGAAAAAGTGGCTATTGGAGAGGTAAGAGTTATACATGTTCCTTCTTCACTTCAATATGCAGATATATTCACAGATATTTGACAATCTTGTAAATCAGTTTTATGTATCCCACAATATGTGGAACCGTTTGTAACAACTAAGGCTATATATAGCCAACGTAAATACAAGATCCCTCAAGGGAAAATTCATCAACTTTCACTCTTCCCATTTGCTCAACATTGGCATTGCAGATTCCACCATCAAACCAACCATTCCCTTCACCATTCCCAAGAATCACTCAAATCAATATATAAATGTTTCCAATATTCATATGCTTAATCCAGCAAAGTGAAACTAAAGAGAGACTAGCGGTTTCACTAAACTCGTATAGTCGATGCTAATCTTAAAAGATTAGAAAAAAGGTTAGGAGTAGACCTTGATTTTGTCGTGGGTAAACTCATGGACAATGATACGACGTTGATTAGCCCAGTGAGGCCCATTAGAAGCCATAATGCCACTGCCAAGAATGGGCTTAAGGCGTTTGGCAATGTGAGTGATTCTGCCAAGGTTAAGTGTGTTGGTTTGGCTAAGCTCCTTCACCATTTCCGGTTGGTTTATGTAAAGGTGCTGCTTCAGCCCCGTCGAGTATGTGTACATCCTCCCTTCAAATTTTTGTTACAAATAATTACTCAAAGAAATTACAGATAAAATAGTTGGTAAGAAACCAAACCAAAAATCTATCTTAGCACACAACTTTAGCGGCTCATCAATTTTTTTAAAGTAAATATGTACGTGGACGGTATTTCTCTAATTAATTTATATGCTGGCTTAAATAACACACGTATATGCTAACTATAATATTTTCTGAGCTATATATCCTTTTTTGGATCTAATACATACTGTATGTGTTGTCTTTTATCAGTTTATGGGATAAATTGTTACCCAGTAATGGATTTTCTTCCTGTAAGGCTGTAACGTTCGGTCAATGAATAAAAAAAGATAGATAGTTGAGAAAGATGTATTGTAAAGTAAAACCAAAAAAAGAAAGATGTATTGTAAAGCTGTCTTTTTGTGTGTGCAAGTGAAAAACGTTCGCATATGACACATACCTTACAATTCGGGTGGACCCTACTGTTAAGAGCATCAATTTTCGTGCTTATAGTAAAAAAGTTTTATGAAATGTACAGGAAATGCCACGTTTCTTGCGAATTTGCAAGTGCTATGCATTGGACATGCACTGGCTAAGAAAATGGCTTTCTAAGATTTTTCTAAATGCCATAGACTTATCTACACACACATATATATATATATATATATATATATATATACGCATATGTATTAAACGATGTGAGATTCGAAAACAAAAGCAAAAAAATGTACCAAAATTTATCTAGTACCGATGTTATGCTACTATTTGGATCTAAAGCGATAAAAATGGATGTCACTGATAAAAGATTAAAGAAGAAAAAAATTCGAAAACGTACCGTATTGTTTTCGCCAATGTTCGAAGTAGGGAAAGAGAGAAGAAGCGTAGTCATGAGAAATGATGTTATCGCCGGAATAGTGTTTAGCTGCCTCTGACTGGATTCTCTGCATCTCCGATTCATTGCCGCTAAAGATCGACGGTGAAGGACCCTTCACGCCTTGCATCCGTAGACTTCTCCGCATCCTCCACTGCTCCACCACCGCTCTACCGTACACATGATATCCTACGCCGACGATTCCTACAAGAATCATACACCAAATTGCATTCACTGACTCCACAGTCAAACTCTCCATTTTATTTTATTTCAATTTGTTTTTTTTGTCTTCCTTACTCTTCTCTCCTTTAGCCATAAGCCATATATAGCCAACTGTATTCCTTGTGAGCAAATAAGTCCAAACATATATTTCTGTTAAATAACACTAATTAAAGGATATCACACTAATTAAATAATAAATTTGGAAATTGTTTTGTAAGAGATAAGATATACAGTACAGAAAGAAAAACATACTACAAAAGGCATGTTTTTCCAAAAACGAAAGACTTCATCACGAATACGAGTCTGCCAGGAAGGGTTGAGAGCAAGGAGCATAATACACCAGGAGACAGCAATCGCACTGGTCTCATGGCCGGCGAAATAGATGCTCTTATAATTGTCCACTACGAAACTTTTGTAAGATGATGTCTTGTCTTCCAAGCTACCTTCGCAATTACTCATAGCTCCTTCAAGTATCAATTGCATTAGATCTTTCTTGTTTTCTCCCACGCATTATTTTTCTCTCCCTTTTCTCTCTCTTTGGCAGTATCAGTTGTATGTTCAAACAATACCAAAACACATTATTCATATAACTAAAGATTTTTTAATGATTCAAAAGTACCATCATTATCAAAGATTCAAAGTCAACATAACACGAAATCTCACTGTCCAACAACCCTAATGACAACACCAGGTTGAGGCTCAACAAGCAGCTTATAGTTTGGAGAGTGTTGATATGTCGGAGACAGAGTGAAACTAAACTTTGACACAATAAGTGACACAAGCACTTTGATTTCCATCATAGCAAAGTTTTTGCCTAAACATTGTCTTGGTCCGAGGCCAAACGGGATGTATAACTGAGGGTATTTGCAAGCTTTAGAGATTCCTTCACTAAACCTCTCTGGCTTGAACTCGTTTGCGTCTGCTCCCCAGATCTCAGGGTCACGGTGTAAGGTAGGAATGAGAGTCCAAATGCACACTCCTTTTGGCACCACAAGGTTTCCGAGTCTTATATCTGCGGATGCTTCTCTCATCACTAGAGGTGCTGGTGGGTATAGTCTCATTGTTTCTTGGACTACCATTGTCACCTATTTTTTCTCTTACAAGAAAAAATGTTAGACCTAATAAAAGCTTAATATAATACATAAAAATTTTGTATTGTTCAAAATTCCCTAACATATTTAGAAATGAAACGAAATATACAAAAATAATTTACCGTTTTGAGGTTGGGAATGGATTCTTCATCGGGAATGCCATTCTTGCAAGAACTCAAGATTTCATCCCGAATTCGATTCTGCCAGGTAGGGTTGAGAGCGAGGAACATAAGGCACCAAGACACTGAGACTGCGGTTGATTCATGGCCGGCAAAATAGATGTTCTTGCAATTATCCACCACAAAACGTCTATAAGCTGACTTGTCCCACAAGTTTCCATCGCAGCTACGCATCGCCCCCGCGAGTATCAACTGCATTACATCCTTCTTGTCACCTTCCACGCATTCCATTTCTCTTTCCTTTACCGTTTCCCAAATTGATGAGTCCAGTTTCTTCTCGAGCTCATCAATATTCACATCACCATGTTTCTTACTCCCAAACACCATCTCACTTGCCACCACATACATACATATATATACTTAGTAATAATTATTTTTGCATGGATTAGAGAAGAAGAAAATGTATTAACGATGAGACTCACGTGAAGCCATTGAATCTGAAGAGGACGCTGCGTCTAGTAATGGCAATCAAAAGATCCCTAATCATGGAGAATATCGTTTTGCCTTTGGAAAAAGAGCTCCCAAAGCAAGCTCTAGCAATGACATCGGCCGTGACATCCTTAAGGTCTTCGTCTACTCTTATGTCACACCCCATTTCTCCTCCTTTTTTCACCATCTCTTCCCATTTGCTCAACATTGGCATTGCAGATTCCACCATTAAACCAACCATTCCCTTCATCATTCACAAGAATCACTCGAATCAATATATAAAGTTTTCCAATATTCATATGCTTAATCCATAAAAGCGAAAATAAAGAGAGACTAGCAGTTTCACTAAACTCGAACATTCGATGCTAATCTTAAAAGAGTAAAAAAAGGTTAGGACCTTGATTTTGTCGTGGGTAAACTCATGGGCGATGATACGACGTTGATTAGCCCAGTGAGGTCCATTAGAGGTGATAATGCCACTGCCAAGAATGGGTTTAAGGCGTTTGGTAATGTGAGTGATTCTGCCAAGTTTAAGTGTGTTGGTTTGGCTAAGCTCCTTAACCATTTCCGGGTGGTTTATGTAAAGGTGCTGCTTTAGCCCCGTCGAGTATGTGTACATCCTCCCTTCAATATTGTTAATATCATTTTTTTGTTACAAATAAATTACTCGAAAAATTACAAATAAAATAGTTGATTGGTAAGAAACCAAACCAAATTCTAACTTGGCACAACTTTAGCCTCAACAACTTTTGTTTTTTGTATTAAAATGTATAAAGTAAAAATGTACGTGGACCCTATTTCTTTAATTGATTTATATGTTGGCTTATATAATGCACATATATGATAACTATAATATTTGCTGAGCTATTTATCCTTTTTTGGATCTAATATATACTGTATGTCAGTATGTGTTGTCTTTTATGGGATAAAATTTTGACCCAGTAATGGATTTCCTTCCTGTAACGTTCGGTCAATGAATGATAATAGATTAGATAGTTGAGTTGTTCAAAAATAAAATAAAAGATAGATAGTTGAGAAAGATGTATTGTAAATCTGTCTTTTTGTGTGTGCAAGTGAAAAACGTTCGCATTGTAACACATACCTATAATTCGGGTGGACCCTACGGTTAAGAGTATCAATTTTCGTGCTTATAGTAAAAAAGGTTTTATGTAATGTACGAGGAAAAGCCACGTTTCTTGCGAATTGCAAGTGCTATGCATTGGACATGCACTGGCTGCGAAAGAAAATGGTTTTCTAAGGATTTTTCTAATTGCCATAGACTATATCTACACACATACATATGCATTTGTATTAAACGATGTCAGATTCGAAGACAACAGCAAAAAAAATTATGTCACTATTCGGATCCAAAGCGAAAAAAATGATATAAGAAAAAATTCGAAAACGAACCGTATTGTTTTCGCCAGTGTTCGAAGTAGGGAAAGAGAGAAGAAGAGTAGTCATGAGAAATGATGTTATCGCCGGAGTAGTGTTTAGCTGCCTCTGACTGAATTCTCTGCATCTCCGACTCATTGCCGTTAAAGATCGACGGTGGAGGACCCTTCACGCCTTGCATCCTTAGACTTCTCCGCATCCTCCACTGCTCCACCACCGCTCTACCGTACACATGATATCCTACGCCGACGATTCCTACAAGAATTATACACCAAATCGCATTCATTGCCTCCACAGTCAAACTCTCCATTTTTTTGTTTTGACTATTCAATTTTTTTTTTTTCCCTTACTCTTCTCTCCTTTAGCCAAAAGCCATATATAGCCAACCGGATTCCTTCTGAGCAAATAAGTCCAATCAGATATTTTTGTTAAATTACTATTCATTTAAGGGATATTACACTAATTAAACAATAAATTTGCAAAAAAAAAATTAAGAGATAAGATGTACACTACAGGAAGAAAAACATACTACAAAAGGCATGCCAATCAAACAGTTCTTGTTCGTATCGCCAACAAACAATTTAGATTTTCATTGGGCTTATATTTGAAAGTCCAACATGATCTACTAAAGAGTAACACAGTTCTTTTCTATACATTTAAATATCGATAAACCTTTTATTTAAGAGAAACACAAGTTAACAATTATATTTTTTTCCACAATATGTTGGTAAGCCTACCTTTATTTACAAAAAGTTGACAAATTGAAAAAAAAAAAGCACACACACACACTATTACTATTACAACAATAAGATATTATCATATTACAAAGGAGTAAAACTTAAAATCGTCATAAGCTAGACACCATATATTATACCACCTTAATTTCGAATAACCCTAATGACAACACCATGTTGAGGCTCTACAAGCATTCTAAACACTGGAGAGTGTTGATATGTGGGAGACAGAGTAAAACTAAACCTTGACACAATAAGTGATACAAGAACCTTGAGCTCCATCATACCAAAGTTTTTCCCTAAACACAACCTTGTCCCTAAGCCGAATGGGACGAAAGACTGAGGGTATTTACATGCTTTAGAGACTCCTTCGCTGAATCTCTCTGGCTTGAACTCATTCGCGTCAGCTCCCCATATCTCGGGGTCTCTGTGCAATGTAGGGATCAATGTCCAAATGCACACTCCCTTTGGCACCACGAGGCTTCCGAGTTTTGTGTCTTCAAGGGCTTCTCTTGACACGAATGCTGCTGGTGGGTATAGCCTCAACGTTTCTTGGATAACCATCGTCACCTATATGCAAGAGATGTTAATTAGATTCTGAAATTGGAGGTCTAGCTAGAGACTTGATGTGGGAGGCAAAGCTGGAATATTAGGTACCGTTTTAAGGTTGGAAATAGAGTCTGCGTCGGGAATACCATCTTTACAGAAACGAAATACTTCATCACGAATCCGAGTTTGCCAAGAAGGGTTTAGGGCAAGGAGCATAAGACACCAGGAGACAGCAATCGCACTGGTCTCATGGCCAGCGAAATAGATGCTCTTACAATTGTCCACTACGAAACTTTTGTAAGATGATGTCTTGTCCTCCAAGCTACCTTCGCAATTACTCATAGCTCCTTCAAGTATCAATTGCATTAGATCCTTCTTGTGATCTCCCACGCATTCCCTTTCTCTCTCTTTGACGGTTTCCCATATCAAAGACTCTACATGCTTCTCTAGCTCTTCAATCTTCCCGTTCCCATGCTTCTTGGTCCCGAACACAATATCACTTTGCATATACGTAACACATAATATTCAACATTAACTTTACATTCCCTTTATTTTATATAGAAATGGTTTTGAATACACTTACGTGAAGCCATTGAGGCCGAAGAGGAAGTTGTGGTGAGTGATAGCCTTTTGAAGACATCTAAGCTTAGAGAAGATCTCTTTGCCTTTGGAGAAAGAGCTCCCAAAGCAAGCTCTAGAGATGACATCAGCAGAGACAGCTCTTAGGTCTTCGTCGACTCTTATGTCACACACCATTCCTCCTTCTATTTTCACCATCTCTTCCCATTTGCTAAGCATTGGCATCGCAGAATTTACCATCAAACCAACCATTCCCTTGACTTTGTTAAGAAAGAACTCAGGGGCGATGATACGGCGTTGATGGGCCCAGTGAGGCCCATTTGAGGTGATGACGCCACGGCCAAGAATGGACTTAAGGCGTTTTGTGACGTAGGAGACTTTGCCAAGGTTAAGAGTGTTGGCTTGATTAAGCTCTTTCACTACCTCCGGGTGGTTCATGTATAAGTGTTGCTTCACCCCCGTCGAGTACGTGTACACTCTCCCTTCATTATCATCATCATTATTATTATTTACAATAAAAACAAATGTAGCCAACATATTAGTTAGATATTGTATGGTGGTGATAAATTATATAACCGACCCACGCGTGCAAGCGAAGTGCCAACCTTTTTTGTATTATTTTTTTTTTATAAAGAAACTTTTTGTATTTAACAAATTATATTCAAACTAATAATTACTAGTACTATAGAAAAAAAGGAATCGAAACAATCATTGAGAAGGAATCATATAATATAAGCTGCTAGCTTTTGATCAATTAAGTAGACCCGATCACACATGACAACCTTATTGGTTTCTCTAAACTAATGGGAAAAGTCAGATATTCATAATTTCTTTAACTCTGCGGCGCTGTCAATCTATGCATATGTTTCGTTACATAAACGCAAGTATGTATAGCCTTACATACACACATGTATATCTATATATACACACAAGATTTAGTCTACATTCGAACGGATTGAGAGAAGAGAAAAAGTTTTGACCACTGCAAATAGAGCGTGAAGAGATATCAGTTTGTTTTGTTTCCTTCATTAATCCAAGAAATAGAGATGTCTAACTCTAGTCCAGAACGGACCAATCCCGCCTTGTGTGCTACGACAATTTATAAATCTATAAAATATTAGGTGATTAGAGAGCATACCGTATTGTTTTCGCCAATGGTCGAGATATGGAAAGAGAGAAGAAGTGTAGTCATGGGCGATGATATTATCACCGGAGTAGTTTTTAGAGTTAATCATTGTTTGTGATTGAATTTTTTGCATCTCCGGGACGTTTCCACGAAATAGCGACGGCGGAGGACCCTTCACGCCTTGCATCTTGAGCCTCCTCCGCATCCTCCATTGCTCCGCCATCGCTTTACCGTACACACGAAACCCTAAACCTAACACTCCTATGACTAATATCCACCAAATGGTCTTGGCCATCTGTACCATCGAACTCTCCATTTTCTTGTTCTTTCTTTTTTTCGTTTTAAATGCCTGTTGCTTTAGAACTCACGACTATACTTTTCTTGCTCTTCTTTGGCTATATATATAGTAAACCAAGACCACTTTATTTTTGACCAAAAGAGGTCTTAAAACTACAATAATATGATAGATACGTATATATGTATATGTAATGATGAGGAGTACTTTACTTTTGATAAATAATTGTAGTATTAATAAGTGTAGCCCATATGTCTACTACCTATATAGACTATACATTTAATTTGGCTCTCGGTCCATTCACTAACATACATACGCATAGGGTTGGGATCAAGTAGAGAGAGTACTTTGCTTTTTCAGGCAAATGTTCAAATAATTAACGGTCCGTTATGGATATGTGGTACATATATCTCTAATCAGTGACGTACGTAGAACATGATAAAATATGGAATCTCGTGCATTATCTCTTGGTCCCTCTTAGTCTGTGTCTGTTGTAATTAATGTGGAGGGTACAATTGTTTTTTGCAAATAAAAAATAAGGAAAGAGTTGGGATAATGATCGAATCTATATGTAGGTATAAAAAAATCAATTTTTAAATCCCCATAACTATATCTAAAGTAAGTTTTTTGGGAGAAAATTTAACACATAGTTAATAGTTTGCATTCAGTAAACCATAACATTATGTTTGTCATATTTTACAAAAGAGAATCGCTGTTTTTGGTCAACTTTAATACAGCTATGGCAAGAACTATCTTTACGTGTTTATAAATTCTAGGGATGTTTAATTAAAAACCAGTAAGAATTTTAAGTCAACTTTAACAATTTTTTTTTTAAGTCAAACTATTTTGGTTGAATTAGTTCATTTAGAAAAAGTCATAGATGGTCAGATAGTAATGTACAAATAATGAAAGAGCCAACCAGTTTATCGTGGTATAGTTGTTGCCATAGCTGTATGCCTGTGTCAAAGCTGACAAAAGTTGTATCTTAGTAAAATTTCACAGAATAATGTTATGAATTACTCAATACAAAAACTTTCTTAACTTAGGTAAGATAAAAAAAATTCTTTATTATTTTGAGAGATTTACTCGTTAGTTTCCTTTTAAAAAAAATTAATATATATAGTATAAAGTTTAAACGTAAAACCTGAAAAGTAAGTATTCAAAAAAACATTCATTTGTTTCATGATTATTATTGTAATTTTTCACATATAACAAAACTTCAGGTTGCTTCTTTAGTTGCATATTATTTGGGGTCTTGCGAATAATTATGTAATCATATATAATGTGTGTGTGACTAGGTACATATTACACTAATTGAAGATATCAACTAGAGGGACGGGTCTAGTAGCATCACGTTTCTGGAACATAATGTGATTATCGGAAAGTACAAACTCATTTATGTCAAACTGGTTGGTGACGAACGTGATCGTTATTGCAATTTGATTTCGCAAAAGACTCGTTTGATTGTGTATTCTGGTTTTATGTGTTCAATACAAAATAGCCCCGACAAAAAGAGACATTCTATATCTTATTTTTTCTAATAATTTTTTTTTTATTATCAAACGAGGTACGTAAGATGTCTATCTTTTCTTTATAGGTTATTTATGGAACAATATCCAGATTATTAATAATAAGAATATATAAAATACGCGTACGAGTTGCATGAGGTAAATACTCTTGTTAATTAAGTAGAGTAACGCGGAAATGATCGATGCAAGGAGCCGAGGATGTTGACTTTTCGTGTGCCAATTTTGTTGTCAGCAAAGTTTTTGTGTAAAATAAAATATGGTGATGCAATCTGATGGCGACTGAAACATTAACTAACTAGAAGCTTTCAAATTGTAGTGGAACTAGTTAGCGGTCCAGTGGTATGGTCGACGTCCTGCTTTGAATTATCTGATTTTTAATATTTAGATGCAACTTTTGGATATCAAGGTCCCTCAATCTAACCTCATAGCAAAAAAAAAAAGGTCCCTTTAACCTACGAGTTGAGGCCTCTAGAGTTGCATATGCATGTTTGGTTTAGTCCAATAACATTTCCATGTTTATACATTTTCCTTCAAATCTTTGACTTAAACTTCAATTAGCAAATTTGATTGGATATCTTTACGCTAATTATTATATCTTATCATGGATTTTAAGAGTCAATCATATAGAAAATATTGACATTGAAAGTAAGTTCATAACCATTGAGAATATAAAATTAATCTAGCTACTATTATTCAAACGTCAAGTAAATTAGTCGCTGAGATGATGCATCGACGTAACTTGCAAAAATGAGTAGGCACCTATCTTATTCATACACGTATTCATAACACAAAACATTTTATCTATATATATATATATAAAATGAAAGTTTAAAACTAGAGAAAGAGTACTAGGAGAAACTACTAAAATATAATATAAAAAGTGATTAATTCGAAGTACAAGGGTGATAATACAAGGGACAAAGGGAAGTTGATGTACGTTCAATGAACATTGGAAAGAAGAGATCGATTTCTTTCTCTCTACTACGATGTTGACACTCCACCCAATTTTGCTATATATCTGTGAAAAAAAACAATTATGGTGAACTGATAAGTACTTGGCATAAATATTTCTGCTTTGTCACTAATTTTTATTCCTTTTCAACAAAAAGTGCTTGTAAAATTTAACAAATATAGTTTTAGCATATGTAATTATGTATTCGTTGGCAAGAGATAAATGATGATATATAATTATATACCAACCTTACCTAGTAGTTATAGATTGAAATTTTTAGCGACAAAGAAAACTAGTAGTATTGACTCACTTTGTCGCTATTAACAACAATTACATGACGGTGAAAATTTGTCGTTATGATCTTTATAATCAAAATAAAATGTAAGCGGTTTTTTGTTTTTCTTTTGTGTTTCGTCACCAGATAACCGAACGTTGGATTTAAACGTATCACCAAAAGAAATACTAATGAAATAGTGATGAAACATATAATACTGGAGTCTTTTTATCCGTCGTACCAATCCATTTCAGTTCTTGTGTTTGCCATCGTACCAAAAACTTGGTTCTTTGATGATTCTGTTTTTTTGAGCCGGGAACATGAACTATAAACTCACAAACACGAATCACATTTGAGGAGTAACAAAATGCTGATATAAAGGCATGCCCTTTGTAACTTGCTAGTTGAGGATTGGCCCATTCAACTTTTTGATTTTCTGTACTTTCTCATGGCCCAAACACAAAACAAAACCATGTTTTATTAGACACATGTATATATTGGTGAAAAGTAAACCTAAGATGGGGAATCGTGATAACTTTTTTTTGGGTGCAATCGTGATCAAACTAACTTGCTAGAATTGATCCGGAGAGTTTTAAGGATTTGTGTCCACATCCAATTAACACTTGCGGATTCTTATCTACTGTATGTCCAAGTACAATTATACACGTTTTCGTCACCGTCCATTTATTCTCACCACTTTTCTTCTTACTATATAGTAAGCGTTTACCATCTTAGTATGGTATATATCCAAAATCAGCTAAACAGTATTTTCCTAGAATTATCACCCTTGTTTCATAAACTAAGTGAGAATTTATAACCCTTTTTTGATGTCACAACACATGGAGATAGCTAGGGACTGCTGGACTGGGGAGGAAAGTCGCACACAAAAAATATAGCTGTTTTAGTTTTTTATTGTCTTCGGCTCCTTTTCCTTTTTTAAAGAGTAATTAATCATCTCTAGTGGATTAGAATACATAATTCACAAAATGAGACTAGATGAAATTTAGACATAGACCATGTCTTTCCAACTAATATTTTCTGCCAATACAGTTGTTGTCCGCTCCATTGAATTATGAGGACCGGGCTTTATTATTATAAAGTCCGTACTATTTGTACTATTTAAAACGATAACCTCCAATAATCAAAATAACAAAACCAAAAATACAAAAAGAAAACCATGGGTACTCTTTTTCTACAGGGTTATACTAATTTAACACCAAATTTATCCCAAATTAATTATTTTGGGAAAGGCTTAACAATTGGAATCCTTATTTTCATTAGTTTCTTTTGAATAAACCTAATGATTAGTTGATTATAAGTAAAAAAGGAGGTATTAATGATGGGTGTAAGTGCTAAAGAAGGAAGTCAACATTTTTAACGAGAGCGTGAGGTAGACGCGCCACCGCCATCTAACCCCATCACCTTCTATCGCTTAGATTCCAGTCCTCAGGATCGCAACGTGTTTTTATTTTTGCTCTTTGCCTCTTTCCGTGAAAGTAGAAAACAAATGTGGAGAAAGAGAGAGTCAGAGAGACGCCATTAGAATAAAATAAAATAAAATGAATCGACTACTCTGTTTCTGTTGAAGCTAAAAGCACATTCCATCTCATTTGAAGTTAATTCGACTTTGTTGCATTCGACCAGCAATCTTCAGATCTGTTCACTCTTCCTTCTCCCCATTTTTCAAGTTCTTGGTGACCGGAGCAGGCAAGGTAAGATTCATTTTGATCAAATTTGACTTGCTTATTCGATTACGTTCTTCTTCTTCAATGCCATTGGCTGACGCATCATTATGATCCAATTTCTTGAACATTGGAAACGTGATCATTATGATGCGTTCATATGCATTATCTGGTTTTCTCTCAACAAATTTCGGTCTTTTTTTTCAAACTCACATACTGATCATTGTTCGTTACTTTTAAACATATCTCTGTATTTTAGAAAGTATACAATTCAAAATCATTTTCATGACTTTTTTTTTTCTTTTTTTTTTTGCATTAGCAGAGCAAAATTTCGGGTGAAGTTTAAGTTCTTGAAGATTGGAGATTTGTTTGGTTATGTGAGCAGTCGTGTGTTAATCGGTGTACTAAAGTAATGTTACTTGCGTGAAAAGAAACTTCGATAAATGGTGTGTGAGATGGAGATTGAAGACATGGACGTCGAAGTCCTGTCCTCAATGTGGCCGGACGATGTCGGAACCGAAACAGACAAACAATTTAACGTCGAGAAACCTGCCGGAGATCAAGACACGTTGAAAGAAGTAACAATCACCGAGAAACCAGCGATTGCTGATCTGAAACGTTTATCAGAGCTCATGGATTCGACTCACCAAGGCTCCTCTCAGCTAACAAATCTTGTGAAACAATGGGAGTACATGCAAGATCACGCGGTTATGCTCCTAAGAGACGAGCTCAAGAGTTTGAGCAGACAGCGAGAAGAAGCTGAGGCTAAAGAGCTTGAGATCATAGAGGAGCATAACTTTGAAAGCAATGGGCATGAAAACGTTTTGGTTTTGGATGACAAGAGCGATTTTCTACGTAGTAGCAGCTTTAGGGAGAGGAAACGAAGCCAAGTGTTTGATAGCGAAAAGATTGAGGTCGATGAAGTGTATGACACGGTAGGGTATTGGAAGCAGAAGGCTTTGCGTCTGGAGAAATTGCTTGAGGCGAGTAGGGAGAGAGAGAGGAGATTGATTGAGAAGTTGAATGAGAGTTTGAAGACAATGGAGAGTCATGCAGCTCCTGTTGAAGAGCTGACTCAGAATCTAAGGAGAGCTGAAGGTTTCTTGCATTTCATTCTTCAGAACGCTCCCATTGTTATGGGTCATCAGGTAGGTCAAAAATCAATCTTTTCTAAATAACTAGGTTCTTGGGTACAATTTTTTACCGACCTGATTCATTGTTTTTGCTACTTTCAGGATAAAGATTTACGCTACTTGTTCATCTACAACAAGTTTCCAAGCCTGAGGGAACAGGTAAAAAAATGTTTTTTTCTTTTTCTTTTCTTGTTATGTTGGATTCTTGATGATTTATACTTGCACAAGAGTCGACAGATTGAGTGTTTGAATCGCTTGTTAATGTTTCAGGACATTTTAGGGAAAACAGACGTTGAGATATTCGATGGAGCTGGGGTTAAAGAGTCTCAAGAATTCAAGAAAGAGGTTCTTGAGAAAGGGATGGCTTCAAAGAGAGAGATCACGTTTGAGACAGAGTTATTTGGATCTAAGACGTTTCTGATTTACGTGGAGCCTGTTTACAACAAACTTGGAGAGAAGATCGGTATAAACTACATGGGGATGGAAGTAACTGATCAAGTAAGGAAACGAGAGAAGATGGGAAAGCTTAGAGAACATAATGCAGTGAGAAATGCAATGGAAACAGAGCTGAACAAGACCATTCACATTACTGGTTCGAGCTGCTTCTTTGCTCATCGTCTTTAGATGATCCTTTTGAAAATCAAACTGAGGGAGAAACTATTTGTTGTTGTTTTTGCAGAGGAGACAATGAGAGCGAAACAAATGCTTGCAACAATGTCTCATGAGATAAGGTCACCATTGTCAGGAGTTGTGGGAATGGCTGAGATACTTTCTACTACAAGACTGGATCAAGAGCAAAGACAGTTGTTGAATGTCATGATTTCTTCTGGAGATTTGGTGCTTCAGCTCATTAATGACATTCTTGATCTCTCCAAGGTCGAATCAGGTTTGAGATCTTGATCCCCTGACTTCTCTAAGCATTTGTACTAGTTTCTTAATTTGTTTCATGCTTTGGTCTTGTCTTATGTTTCAGGTGTAATGAAGTTGGAAGCTACAAAATTTAGACCAAGGGAGGTGGTGAAGCATGTGCTTCAGACAGCAGCAGCATCACTTAAAAAGTCTCTGACATTAGAAGGGAACATCGCAGACGATGTTCCTATAGAAGTAAAATTCACAAATTTTACATTGTTCATATCCTCTAAGAGTTTAGGTTTTGAAATTCTTTTTGATGATATCCAATGACTTCAGGTTGTTGGAGATGTTCTAAGGATTAGGCAGATCCTCACCAACTTGATCAGGTTCTTAACATCCTTATTAATCCTTGTGAAGCTTTCTGAAATATCACATTATATTGAGCTTAGTTTCATAATATCGAATTTGCAGCAATGCTATAAAGTTTACGCATAAAGGGAAAGTAGGGATCAAGCTTGAAGTGATATCAGAACCATTCTTTACGAGTGAGAACATGAATGATAATAAGCCCACTACTCCAAAACAGATATTGAGCAATGAGGAGCAAAATGGTGATCCTGAAACAACGGTCTGGATCTGCTGTGACGTTTATGATACCGGAATTGGAATTCCAGGTGAGTACTTCTGAAGATCATTCAAGAACAATACCATCACAAACCATGTTCTTGTGATTGTTTTAGAGTTAACTCTTGGTCCATGTTTTTTGTTTTTTTTTTTTTTTTTTTTTTTACAGAAAATGCCATACCTTGTCTATTCAAGAAGTACATGCAAGCGAGTGCTGATCACGCTCGCAAATATGGAGGAACTGGTCTTGGCCTCGCCATTTGTAAACAGCTGGTAAAACAAATTCTTGATTTTTTCTCAAATTTCTAAAGAAACTAATTAGTTTCTGATGACAAACATATTTGTTTTGTATATAAGAAGGTTGAGCTAATGGGTGGTAGACTTACCGTGACAAGCCGAGTCAATGAGGGATCAACATTCACCTTCATTTTGCCTTACAAAGTTGCTACACCAAATGATCACTCAGATGATCAAGACGAATTCTCAGACATGTCGGATCATCAACACATAGCAGAGGATACGACCCATGGATATTTCCAGTTTCAACCGCTTCTTCGCTCTCTGTATTCTTCTAGTGAAGGACCTGTCACTGGCCAAAACTTCTTAACTCATAATGTGACGCAATCTAGTTGCATCAAGCTCAATGGTTTTGCTAGTGACCTCTCTCATGCTCTTCCCTCTACCAACATTGCACAAAGCGAAGCTATCTCTAGTTGTAGTTTTGAATCAGCTCACAAGTATCCAAACGGTGAGAGTCTCTATAAGGAATATGAGTCTTGTAGTAGTTCACAAGCAAGCAATGAAGGTGGAGCCTTGGTTATGGAGTCAGAGCCTGCAGTTTCATCTCGTAGGCAAGAGATAGATCCTCATGAAACAACATCTGAGAGGTGTGAAGAATCTTCTAAACCGGATTCAAAGCCCAAGATTCTGCTTGTGGAAGATAATAGGATTAACATAATGGTGTCACAGTCAATGATGAAGCAACTAGGTTATCCCATTGATATTGCTACTAATGGTGTTGAGGCCATACGTGCGCTGCAACGCTCTAACTACGATTTAGTACTCATGGTACACTAATCTTATAGCTTTTCTTCTTTTAGTGTTTTCAAAAGGGTTTTTAACAGATTTGTATCACAGGATGTGTGCATGCCGGTTTTGGATGGTCTTAAAGCTACAAGACTGATTCGTTCTTATGAAGAAAGTGGTAATTGGGAGGCTGCAATAGAAGAGGGAGTAGATCTAGACACACCATCTTCAGAAACATTGCAGAACAGAGAAGTTTGTGTCTGTTCTACAAAGCGGCTGCCAATAGTTGCGGTTAGTAATTTCATCATTAGGCTTTCTTGCAATACACGTATATAGCTTGAAAACTGATCTATATGTTTTTGTTTTGTTTCGTGCAGATGACGGCAAATACATTGTCAGAGAGCTCGGAAGAATGTTATGCAAATGGTATGGATTCGTTTATTTCCAAACCAGTAACCTTGCAGAAATTGAGAGAGTGTTTGGAACAGTACTTGTGCTGAGAGAGGAAATTGTTTTGTATGTAAAATGTGAAGGCCAAGTAGACAAAGTTTTGGTTTTAGTCTTTTTCTGCCTTCGTTTTGCTTACTTTCTAGAGATGATGTATAGTTTTTAAATTAGATATGTAAATTTGTAGAAACGACAATATTTTTTGCTTACCAGCTACCAGCAATATCAATTCACCTCTACAGATTTCCTACATGCATAATACAATTCCTGTAATATTTAGTCAATTTATCATTGTTGCATTTCTTAGTTATCTTGTTTTTGGTATCATATTTTGAGTGGGTTTTCTTTAAATATATGTTCTGTACAAACCAAAGATAAATTTAACAGCTCATATTCTAACTTTTTATATTTTCTTTACTTATCATTTCATATTCTCTTTCTTTTCACATTTTCATACTCGCAACATTATCTTCCATGCATTTCATACTTTTTCCTTTGACACAAATTATGTTCTAGAGCTTTAGCATTCATTGACATAGTGCACATACATATATCTAACACGGCTTAGTGTCGTATTATTCAATTTCGAACAGTGTTTGATGGTATTTGTTACAGAGTATATAAACCACTAGAGTTTGACCCGCGCCCAGCACGGGGAGATGGTTTCTGAATTTGTATTTTTTAATTAAAAATGTATATTTAACTATTTCAAAATTTTATGTGACAGATTTTTTTACCTTGTTAAGGTTTTTATCTTCGTTTATAATGTGGAAATTAAACATTTTAAAAATTATAAACAAATTAAAACATTGATCATATGAGACTATAGATTAAATATGCTAGACTTCAGCAAAATACATAAAACTCAAATGATGTATATTTTATAAGATAAGAAGATAAGAAGTTTTAGGTGTTTACACGGATTAGAACTAACTTTTTTTATTTCTTTTAAAACTAAAACATGTTTTATTATAATTCCAAAACAATCCAACCAATAAAAGATCAATCTTGCAAAATCCAAATTGTCAAAATAACAAAAGTATAAGTAATTTTGTACTGAAAATTGAAACAAATGGAGCAATATTCAAATTTTTGATCAAAATTAAATACATTTATAAAAAATATTATTTTATTTGATTTCATTATACAGTTTAACTAAAAAATCATATAAAATATTTTTAAAAAAAATTACATTTAGATACCTACTCTCCTACTTACATGGTTGCATATCATCTATTTTTTATAATATATTTTTACACCTACACACAACAACATATTGGGAATTTTAATAGTTTTAGTGATTATTTTGTTTTTAAAAATTCAAATCATAGCATATATAGAAAAAGTTTTAGATTTTATTTATTAGATTTTTTGTATTGTGTCAATTTTTTATTTTATAAAATAAAGTTAAACAAAGATGAAAGGAGATATAGAATGATTTAAAAAAAATATAATGATAGCATTAAATTGAATCTCATATTTTCCTTATTTACTAATTTTCGTAATTGTCAATTAAGGAAAGAGAATGATGATTCTTTTATTAATAATTTCATATATGATTAATCTAACTATACATATTTGATTCTCTAACCAAAAATATGAATGCAATGTTTGTAATTAGTCTAGTAAACTAATCCTTATTTTATAAATAACATGAGAAGCTCCTAATGATGACACATCAGCATGACATTCTTGTTAATAACACATCAACTAAAGGTTATTTTTAAAGTGTTTTCTCTTTTAATATATTAGGGATGTTTCCTCACCAATGAGCAACACTGTTTTGTTTTATCAACTGACTTCAGATTTTATAAATGATTAAGCATCCTCCGACTTTATATACGCTTTCTTTTTAATATATTGTATTTTGTGATTGTATAAATTAACAAATTATGTGCAGCACGTAGATACCTAAAGGAATGTATAGAGTATAGACTACTAGACTGATGAAGAGACATGTTCACTAATTATATCTAACAAAAGAATAAAAAACAATATGATAAAAAGAATAATAAAATAAAGAAGACGAAGCAAGATATGGTTCTTGGATGTCTCATAAAAGTCATATAACCAGATCGAAACATCAATATACATACATAAATATGTTCGTATCTAAGTTTGATTCACAATCAGATCTCGAATAATTTTCATGACTTTTGTTATATGAATAAATAAATATGTTCTCTGGCCTCACAGTCACAGTAAACCTATAAGCGTCTCCCATATACGTGGAAGCGAATCTCTCCGGCAGGCACAAATCAATATCTCCTGTCTATCTATCTATGGGTTGCCTTCATCAATCGTTTTCGCATCCACATGTTACAACTATCAATATCGTTATATGTATATATGTGCATAATATTGTCAAAATATGTATGATTGTTTTATATATCATCACGCATATGTTTATGCTTCACGTGAAGGAGTCTTGATCAACAAGAGATGGCCCTTTGGCTTAACCAACAGGTTGTTTACTAAACAAGTAATCAGTGAAAGGAGAGAGTAACTTAAAGATGCCTTTGCGGTGGTGGAAAATAGAATATTTTATACAACAGTTGTTCCTTTTATTCACACGATCTAAGTGGATTATTTGCACATGATTTATAATTTAGACGAATCTATGTTTTCTTTCAAAATATCTTGCTTTTGTAATTTTTTTAGTTTAGTAAAATTAAAGGAATTCTCTGTGGTTCCTACTGGTAAACACTAACAGTAAAAGATAAAGGTGATGGAGAAGTCGGTTTAATTAAAATGGGAGGTTTGATTACTCGAATGGCATTTGGATTTGTGTTGTCACAAAAAAAATTGGTATTTGATTTTGGGTTAAATTTATATTGGATATTAATATATCGAATAATATAATCTCTTTTTAAAAAAGACAAGTAGAAAACAAAAGGTTGGCATGTATATATATCGTACGTATATTTGTAGTATGCATTGATGCCCGTATCAGTATGCTATACATTTTATGTGTAGGTCAATGTACATATGGTATGCACAAATGTGTTTAAATGGGTCCAAGGTTTTGAAAGCGCATGTTCACTTTACTTGCCTAATTCATCGAAGGGAGAAAGATGCGCAAGTTGACAAATCTCTTGTCAAGTTGTCATGTCTCCTCCAACTCCATCTAATTAAATATTCTCATTGCACATTTCATATTAAGCTTTGAAACATGTATACTAAGTTACAAATTAAGATTTGAACTTTGCTCGATAGTAATCTAAAATTTCATTATGATCTAATTCAGTAGAGAAAAAAAAAACATGATCTAATTTCATTACCCATAAGTATGTTTTTAGAAAATTGACATAATCCTGGAGATGGAAAAAGGTATAAACAAGAGCGAATCCATGAGCTTTATGTTCCCACTTAACACATTTATATCCATCATACGGTTTAATATAGTACCATATAAATTTAAAGATTGTACGGGAGAAGATAAATGTAGATAACTAGATATAGTTTATATAAATATTTAAATATTATTCTAACAATTTTAGGGCTTGACTTATGATTTAAAAAATGAAATATTCCCCTCCAACTACGGATGAAAAGAAAATATATGGAATGTTGTTGTGGAATATTAAAAAGTAAATCCATATATAATTTACTGTTAGCGGCAAATCATATCCAAAGAGCACCAATAAAAAGACACATATACCACTGACTTAGCGTAAATATGGCCATGTGAACTGGGTGCTGCCATTGCCTCAACCAAGAGACTTGACGGGAAATTCATGGGCCCGAATAAAACATACACTGGGCCCAGTTAATATTCCATAAGCCAAATAAATCAATTATGATGTTTATTTTTGTCTTTGCCAATGTTTTTTTTACGCCAATATGAATGTATGATGTTGATATCATAACCACAAAGGCCTGAGTTTTTAAGGTGTATTTTCGTTGCAGTGTTCTAAAGATCTAAAATTATTTAAAATTATTTATAACTTGCAAATTCTTACCCAACACTACTCTAACAAAAACTATTGGCTACTAGAACTTTTGTTAGCCTTTTTGATCGATGAACAATTTATTTGGGTAGAATTTTGATTCTCTCCAAGATTTTCCTTACTTTATTCAGTTCAAATGCAACTTCCTAAATGTTACCAAAAGAATGGATTTGGTTTGATGAAAATTTTGGTGCTCACAGGAATTTTACACAGGGATTAATGACCAGAGTAGGTATAAAAATTGCTAACCTCTACTTCCTGGATCTAGAATCCCTCTCTTTTTACCCTGTACTATTTTTCCTACAAAGTATTTGTCTTCACATAAAGAGAAATGTAGTGCAAACTTTCACTGAAAAGTTTGTCATTTTTCTAAAAAAAGCGTACTCCTTGTTTCTCACAATAATATGGGCAATAAACCATTTGATCTTGTTCACATAGATATTTGATACTTGGGATCCCTTTTCCATTTCTAATATCATGATGGTTATGAATATTTCTTAACAATTGTTGATAACCATTCAAAAGCTACAACAATTAGATCTACTTTCTTTGACATAAGTCTAATCTGCTATCGAGAGTCTCTCCATCTTTTGTTGAATTTAAAAAAAAAATTAAGATCAATATTAAGGGGGTTGGATATCCAAAACTCAGTTTCTCACACTTTTACGGTTTTACCAGTCTGAAGGCACTATACCATTAGATTTTAATTTTGACGCTGTGTGAAACTGAATTCATGGAGAAGGGGAAAAATGTTACTTCTTGCCATAAGAACTCAACTCTCAGGCAATGGCAGAAAATTATAAATTAAGATCATATTTTGGAATACTGACCCATTGAGAAGGAACTATACTAATGTGCTATGATCTTCGACCTGAATAAATTATGAAAGTAAGATTCAACAAAATTTGGTTATTTAAATAGAAACAAAAAAAATTACAAAACATGGTATATATCTAAATGCAAAAACACATTATTATCAAAATATCTTCGAACCGGGTGCATGATCGATCAAAGCAACGTAACGTATCATGGAGATTCCGTGACCCACTTACCTTTAAATTTGTTTATAGTATAATTTTTTTCTTTAAAAAAAAAGAAGAAAGAAATGACATGTAACCTCTCTCTGTTTATTTGCCAGCACTATAAATAAACTGTAAGCCACTTCAAGCATATCAAACTAGCTAAACAATTAAAAAAAAGTATTCACCATTTTCAAGAAAAAAAAAAGACAATGAGGGAATTTCCAAGCATAGCAGATCAGAAGATGTCAACAATGGTGACAAGGCATCCGTGGCGTTCGCCGGTGCCATACCTATTCGGTGGTTTGGCCGCCATGCTTGGACTTATCGCCTTTGCTCTCTTGTTGCTCGCCTGCTCCTACTGGACGTTCTCGGGGAGGACAAACGGCGGTGATATCGCCGGAGACGCCGAGAAACAGACGGAGTCGGGTGATAAAGTGGCGGCTAAGGTGTTAGAGGAGAAGATACTTGTGATCATGGCTGGACAAAACAAACCCACCTTCTTGGCTACTCCGGTCGCCGCCAAGACTTCCGTCACAAGAGTGGACTGTGTAAGCAATGGTGAGATTGTTGTAAATACAGAGAACAAAGAAGGGCAAAATGGGGATTCTAAAGTAACAGAAGGGTCGTCATTTTCTTCTGATGAAGAAAACCAGTGACCTCTGTTCTCAAAGAGTGTCTTTTCTTTTGTCTGTTTTTTCGTCCTCTGGTTTTGTCGTTTCTTTTTGTTGGAAATAGTTTTCCTCTGTTTTTTATCGACCTTGAAACAGTAAATCTCCATTAGAGTAGTCAGTGTGAACAAAAGAGTTGAAATAGTTTATAGTTTCTCTGTACTTATGTCGGGGACAGATGAAACTTTATATTTTGCTGTAAGCCAATTTTAAGTATATGAACAAGAAGAATAATAAAAAGTCATGTACCCAATCTCTGGAAAATTGTTGTATAAAAAGAGTTTGGCATAATCAATTTGTCTACTTATATCATATTTCATCATGTAAGAAGTTTAAAGTCACTGCAGCAGCAACTGGTGAAGTTGGTTGACAAAATCATTAGAAATTGCTCGAGTTCAATATGCATACTCGGAGACCATATCTATGAGGGCAGCCTCATGTATTGGTTTGCAACAAGAGTTTAAAAAGTAGATTAGATCTTTCCCATTCCAAACATTGTAACACTTGATGTAACCCACGCTTTTGATCGTATATAATTTTACTTTTATTCAAAACAAAAAAAAAAAAACAAAAAAACTTTCATGTTTGAGTTTGATCAGTTTCAAAGTATAAAGCGATTTTTGATAACGTGTGAGTGAGAACAAAATATAAAAAGAACAAATCTTATGGTGATATGTAAGACTAAGCGACAAACTTTTCCGGAATTTCGCAAGCAATATCGAAGTAGATTCTTCTAGACGAAAATGGTTTAGAGCTCATGGTATTTTGTGTTAAAGACGTTACAAATCCATTTTCTAATAAATTTAAATTTATTACTTAAATAAAAGAATTGTTTAAGCACATAAGGAAATGAAACTTCCAAAGCAACTAAATTTTGAACAATGTGAAAGAAAATATGAGAAAGCTAGAATCTCTCAAGAAGACCGCAAAGCGCTGGTCTTGGTATCAGATTAAATCTACACGGTTAGGAACATATTTCTTTATGATTTATGATGCGAGTATGTTGGTATGATGTATTAAAAATTCTTATGCACCCAAAGAGATCAGAAGTATGGGTTGGTATCAAAGTTGCAATGTGTACGTCCAATCCAGATCAAAGGAACTCCAAGAAAATACCTTGGAATATATTCAACCATATTGTGAAGGAGAAATAATAAACGATCTTACGATTATTCACACTCACCGCACAATCAACAAAATTGTGGGTTGTCTTCGAACACCCAAATCCACTATTTTCACTTTGGTTGTTTAAGCAAAATTTCATTTAAATCTTAGAAAAATGATATTCGAATTTTCAAGTCAACTAGTTTGACCAAAGTACGGTGTACGATCATCAAGCTCGTAAGTTCGTAACTCAGATGTATTGATGACTCAGAGTCCAATGGTTTTCTGTCGTCAGTATGTTTTAATCGGTTGGCGGAAAAGCACATTGAGAAAGAGACGATGACGACATAACATGAACATGTGTCAGTAGATCTACGAAGTCGATTTGGGGCAAAAGTGTACATCAGTTATTGTTGGAACAGTTGTATGAGTTTATAGCTCTATTTGGTTGCAACACTGACGCGGCGATGCGACTCTGCTACATCGTATTTAATGCTTCATTAAATCAAACTCTCTCATTTGTTGAACTCATTAAATATCAACTTTCAGTAATGAACAGAGCTCCACATTTTTCATGATCTGATTCGGACGGTTTCAATATTTATATATTCTTTTCTTTTTAGTTGTTCAATTTATGAGTTTGGTAATTGGTATACGTCGTCCCCGCGAACCACTTTGAACAATTTTCTTAGAGATACGTCTGGATTTTTTTAAAATTGATTATAGCATGGTACTAATTTGAATTACCTTGATACAATTTTGGATAACTATACAGATGTAAAATAAATAATTCTGTGGTAAATCTCCTTATGAATTTTTGAATATGAATATATTAAATTGATACAATCAACAAACATGATGAAAAAAATTACTACTAGTTTATAAGATTTTTTTTTATATGTAGCGTAACTGCGTAATATTTGTTAAGTTTGACTTTTAATTTAGTTTTCAAACATACTGATACTATTGTAACTTTGATGAACTATTTAAGGTGCGTTAGTTTATTTGATGATGGAAATTGGAACATACAGTAATCAGCTTATTTATGGATTGTTGGACATTTTTGGCCATGTTTTAGAAAGTTTGTGTTTTGATAGTGGGCCAATGAGTGAACAATACAATGCAGTATCAACAGGGCTTAACAACTGATACAATTCGGGCCAGTAAAAGGCCAATATTAACCCATTAGTGACCGACATAGCCACCGGCCATTTACTTTATCCACCTCCGTCAGTCACGATATCGTCTGCATTTATGGCTGCTTCTCGTGGTGGTCCTAAGACTCCAAGTACTAGTAGAAAGCATCATCAACCCATGCTTTTTCACAGCTACTCAACTTTTTTTTTTTCATTTCATTTTTTGCAAGATGATCGTATTGTATACGAAACTTTATAACACACTATAAAAATCATTGGCAAATTCGATACGCATTATTTGCTAAAATAATACACCTGTTGCCAAATGTCGACGGTTCAGAACTATGATTACAAGTAGATAAACGAGAAAACATGATTACATTACAAAAAGACAAAACCCCCCATTTTGTGCATTTGTCCGAACTTTCATGCCAAGTATTTTCCTTGTAATGAATTATGTTGTTTGGCTAAGATTTGGCCACGTGTCTCATTTTCATTTGATCTAGATGGATACTCCCATGGCCCACATGGATAGGCTCATGGACACGCTCATGTGAAGCCATCGAGGCACCAACCACAAAGAGAGAGTGACAAAGAGAGACAGAGACGAGAAAGTTAGAGAGAGAGAGAGAGACGAAATAAGAGAAGAGAGAGAGAGATAAATAAAAATGGCGTCTAAGCTCTGCGACTCATGCAAATCTGCGACTGCGGTGTTGTACTGCCGTCCCGACGCGGCGTTTCTGTGCCTGAGCTGCGACTCCAAGGTCCACGCGGCGAACAAGCTGGCGTCGAGACACGCGCGCGTGTGGATGTGCGAAGTGTGCGAGCAAGCCCCAGCTCACGTCACATGCAAAGCTGACGCGGCTGCTCTCTGCGTCACGTGCGACAGAGACATCCACTCAGCCAACCCCTTGGCTCGCCGTCACGAGCGCGTCCCCGTCACGCCTTTCTTCGATTCCGTTTCCGGCGCCGACGGCTCCGCCAAGCACACAGCCGTCAATTTCCTCGACGACTGTTACTTCTCCGATCTAGACGGAAACGCTAGCCGCGAGGAAGAGGAGGAGGAGGCGGCGTCGTGGCTGCTTCCGAATCCGAAGACCACCTTGCTTGCTGCTGCGGCTGAGGCGGTTCCGGGAGATAGCCCGGAGATGAACACCGGTCAACAGTATCTGTTCTCCGATCCGGATCCGTATCTGGATCTGGACTACGGGACTGTTGATCCGAAGGTGGAATCGCAGGAGCAGAACAGCTCCGGCACCGACGGTGTTGTTCCGGTGGAGAATCGGACGATTCGGGTCCCGTCGGTGAGCGAGAACTGCTTTGAATTGGATTTCACCGGAGGATCTAAAGGCTTTACTTACGGTTACAACTGTATCAGTCACAGCGTAAGCCACTTTTTCAACTTTTTCACTAATCAACTGACTAATTTAGATTCTGTTCATAAAACAAGACAACGAGCTCAAAAGAACCAATTTTTTATTCCAAAAAGAAAGTTTAGATCTTCTGCGGTTACGACTTTTAATGACACTTAAATTCTTAATTTAATCGGTACTAATGATTGGCTGACTAAATCTAGTGTTATAGGCTACCAACGTGTGTAATTAATTACCATGATAATCCTGAATTTAAGTATTTAACTATATCTTAGTCAAAGAATCTTTGTCTTATAGAAACATTTACATACTTTCAAACTTTAGCATTTGTCACTTTGATAGTAGTAATTTTAATGGCAAGTCAAAGAGTTGTTTTTGATCCAAAAGGTTGTTGTTATTGCAGGTCTCATCGTCGTCGTTGGAAGTGGGAGTGGTGCCAGATGGCGGCTCCGTGGCGGACGTTTCGTACCCATACGGTGGCGGTGCGACGAGTGGAACCGATCCGGGAACACAGAGAGCTGTGCCACTGACGTCAGCGGAGAGAGAGGCGAGAGTGATGAGGTACAGAGAGAAGAGGAAGAACAGGAAGTTTGAGAAGACGATAAGGTATGCTTCACGGAAAGCTTACGCAGAAATGAGACCGAGGATCAAGGGACGGTTTGCGAAGCGGACGGAGGCCGGCGAGAGCAACGACGTGGTTGGTCATGGCGGTCTCTTTAGCGGGTTTGGACTTGTACCTACATTTTAGAGATTGAGATAAGACTCTAAAAATGGGAGGGCTTTGTTTGATGTTGTTTTAGTAATAAGGTTTTAACGAACTTTTTTCTTTAAGAGTTGTTTTGTTCTTGTTGTTGATCGAGTTTAGTTGTAATGTGGGGAGAGAGAGAGGAGGAGAAGCGAGTTGGTGGTGTTTATATGTAACTTCTTTGTATATATCATGTCATTTTGAACCTGTTTTGTGTATGTAATTTTTCATATCTTCCATTTCATCCGAGGTTTCGGCAAATTTATTGGTTCTTTTTGTCATCAAAAAGTTTATAGATGTCTAATCATGCTTGTTTCTTGACATTTGGGTTTATCATTTTCTCATTAGTTTTGATGATGAATATTTTGAAAGAATAAATCTATTCATTGTCTAGAGGTCTAGTGAAACATCCCATGCCAAGATAAGAGTGACTAGTTTAACAAGTTTAAAAACATTTACAAGATTCGTAAACAGCAAAAGAAAACTTTACATAATGTCGTTAAAACTTCAAACAAAGAGAAAGTATAGTAAAGAAACTTAACATGGACGACACAAATTAGTCGAGGCAAAATCTCAGGACACTAAAAGTAGTTCAGAGTAAATGAAGACGATACATACATTTATCAAATGATCATTCTGAAGTCAGTATTGGCATTTTAGTTAGAGTGGACGCTACTTGCCTTGCTTGTACCGGAATCGCTATGAACTGCGACTGGCTTTCGATTCTTGTCACTACTTGATCCGCTCTGTTGCGAGGAACTTGTGTGTGTTGCTGCAATCTTTTGCTTCTGATTCGCAATGCTATGGTCCAAACTATCGTGCACTGTGATCTTCTCTTCATCAGGTACTTTCGCTGAGCTCTTGGGTTCTGAGTTGCTGTGAATAGCAATTGGCTTTCGATGTTTTTCAACAGCTGATCCGCTCTGTTCCGATGAAGTGGTGTGTGTTGCTGCAATCTTTTGCTTCTGATTCACAATGCTATGGTCCAAACTATCGTGCACTGTGATCTTCTCTTGATCAGGTACTTTGGCTGAGCTCTTGGTCTCTGAGCCGCTGTGAGTAGCGATTGGCATTTGATTCTTTTCGCCGGTTGAACCACTCTGTTCTGAAGAAACGCTGCGTTCTGCTGCTGTAATCGGCATTGACCTTTGGGTCGAACTGATGTGACCTGAGTCGTCGCTTCTAGCTGCGATCGGCTTTTGGTTCTCATCGTTGCGGTCCAAGTCTCTGTGTGCCACGGTGTGATCTTGATTGGTTTGTTTGGTTGAGATGTTTTCGTCTGAGTCATTTCTAACTGCGGTTTGGCCTTGATCTGCTTCCTGCGATGAGCTGGCATGTGTTGAGGATATGTCGGAAGCCTTGTTGCTCTCCAGGAAACGAACGACTACGCATGTGATGTTGTCTGCACTTCCTCTCCGTATTGCTTCTCCCACAAGTTTCTTGGCTGATTCCTCTGGTTCTTCAACCTCTTTCACCACAGCAACCGCTTCCTGCAAGGCCACAAGAGAATGGAATCAAAATTCATATCATCATCATCATTATTTAAGAAGAAGAGCTTAACTCAATTCACAAACCTCATTGGAGAAAACATCCCATAGCCCATCGCTGGCAAGTATCAGAAACTCAAGAGAATCATCAATCTTCTCTTCCTGTAAGTTAAAGACATGACCCTTAATTAAACACAAGCACATGTACATGTACGTGTAGATAGAGTTTTGTATGCAAATCCAAAGTGAAGATGTATATACCTGAATTTCTGGATCAGCAACAACATACTGTTTCAGTAGTCGATCACCGAACGCGCGAGAAACAGCAAGAACTCCTCCAACTCTCCAAGTCCCTATATTCAATTCAGTAAACTTAGGACTATGCGCAGAAACAAAAAGAAGAAGTAAAAAAAGCGGTTTCTTGTTACCTGCCCACATGACAAAACCACCAGCATTCTCAATCCGTTCACGCTCATCACTTTGGTCTGGTTTATGGTCTCTTGACACAGCAAAGGCTACAGAGCACATGATCATTTCACTCAGTAACATTCACATAATAAAATGGTCATGGGAATCATCTGAAAATAGAGGAAAACTGGAGAAAACAACTAACTAAATTACCATTTCCGGCTCTACATATAACAGCTCTGGAGTCTCCAACGTTTGCAACAAGTAAACGATCACCAACGAGGATAGCTGTAGACGCAGTAGAACCAGCATCTCTAGTCTGACTATTTTCTGACTTTAGAAGTTCAGAGTCTGTATGATTATAGGCATCAGCTGGCAAAAAACAAAACAAAGCAAATACGGTGCATAATTTTAGACTAGACAGATCAACAATCATAGGTCGTAGCCAAAAAAAAGTTCTTGGAAGTAAACCTATTGCAGATTTGGTGTCAGAGATGAACTTAGGATGAGTAATAAGATTGCTGAAAAGATGACGTTTCACATACTCAGCTGCTCTTGCTCCTCCATGCCCTGCAAAAGATAAAAGATTATTAGTTTGCTTATGTCACTTGAGACCTTAATGTATAAGTTGTTATTCAGCAAGAATACCATCAAAGACTCCAAATAGACCAACTATTTCTCCGTCGATACCATCGATCCTCGTTTCGAAAAAGTCTTCCATGGATGACCTCTTCCCAGCTGAGCTTGCATATCCATAGCTGAATTTTCCGTTCTGGCTGCAAGTTAAGATAATCGACATTGTGACTTACAAGTTCTAGAATGACTTTTCATTCAAGAAGAGATCAAACAGGGGAAATAAATCCAAGCAAGATGATAACAAATAGACGCGAAAATGATCCATCCTAAGCAGCAACAAAACCAATAATGTGGATAGATAGTTTTCAAATATAGAGCAAGTTGAGATCGGAACAGAGAAATAGAAGTGACCTGAGACCGCCTCCGCTGGCTGGAGCTTCAACAATCCGCATCTTATTCGAATACGATGCCGCCAAGTCCATGTATCCCATTTTTGGTTTTGCACTTCAGATGATTAAAGTTTACAATAATCCAAGCTTGGAAGCTTCAAAAATAATCTGAAATCGCACAAAATGGTTAAACATACATGAATTCAGAAACACGCAGAGATTTCGTCGAGGGTTACGAAATTAAGGGAACCTGGAAATAGAAGTGAGGAAGGTTGGAGAGAAGAGACGAAGATGAGAGGTTTCATTCATGGTGGAAGGAAATAGCGTAAGAAACCAAAAAAGGAAACCAGAAAGCAGCGGTTCGACGTCTTCCGTAAGCAACGGCGTTCAGTATCTTCCGGCGACACCTCCGGGATCACTAGTGCCAATGTTCCTGCTAATTATAGAAAGCTGTATTGACTTGCAAGTCAAATACAGAGACCAATGACAGATCTCCAAAGTGACACGTAGACCGTGAAATTTTTCTTTTGGAAAACAAAAACATCAAATTCGTTTAAATTGGTTACTTCGCCCATAGATGGTGTGTTAAAGAGTCAATTCTATAACCAAACTTTCCAGCAAAATCAGCCAAAAGATGGTGTGTTCTTTTGCGTGTTATAAATTAAGAGAACGTGATATTTGATAAAAAGAAATATGTAGACAAGGAATAAGATAACGTGATTACTAATAATAATCTATTGGCTCTTGTTGTGATGGAGCAGTTTGGAGAAAAGGATCCAACAAGTGTGAGGCACTTTGTGTCCAAAATGTGTAGACAATGCTGAAACAATATCAAAAGCGTAACTGTGAACCTCAGGCTTCCTTGACATCCGAAGCAGCATCGCTGTCCACATTCCAGGTGCAAGCTTCACTGCCTCACTCAGACACTTGAATCCATTGCTCACTCTTTTCATCGTCCCTTCTTCCTGACATTTCAATAAACACTTCTTTCAGATTTTCCATTCAGGGAAAAGTAAAAGGGAAGGAAGGTTTAAGATGATTACTGACCCTGAGATTGATGCTCTGCTTCTTCTTCTTCGTGTTGAGATCAAGAGCCTCTTCTTCCAGGAATATATCAAGCATTCTGATTATGTCCTGTAGAAGGAAGACTCTAACTCTCTGCCCTTTCTCTGATAATATGAACAGTAGCAGATCTTCTGTTGCGGACACTACTGAATGCATGTCGAATGATTTCAGGTCCGATGATTTCTTCAACGTTTTGTCTTCTGGAGACTCTCCAGACGTCGCAGAAGCCTGTTCGGATATCGCTGCAACCTGAAAGATAGAGAGATAGTTAAGCTCATTTCTTCAGAGTACTCAACTTCCCAAAGAGAACAATTTAAATCACATGAAGAGAAGAGTTCTATGACGTACCAGACGTTCAAGCCGATTCCATCTTATTGAACCATCATTACAAATGACAAGTTCTCTCAGTATTTTCCTCATATCTGGGCTTGCATCTGCTAATAGCCTCCCGACAACAAATGGATATGCGCTCTCGATCACTTTGAACTCTGGATCAAGAATCTTAGCTGTGCCTTCTAGTGAACCAAGGGATCTTATGACAAGAGCATAATCTGGAGGAAGCGAAAAGTTGAAATCGTACATAACGTCATATAGTTGCTCCATCACCCCCTGTACAGCAAAGAAGTAAGGATTACGGTGTGCTTTTTCCGACTTGCAAGTTTACTTGGAAAACGTTTAAGCTCATAAGCAATAACACAAAAAATGTTACTTAAGGTTTTGCCACAATCGTATCTTTCAGTGAATGTGTCTGTAGAGTTGAGTGTAATATTCATTACAAGATGAAAAATACCTGGAAATCTTGTGATATTCTGGTACTAGAACCAAATGAAGAACGCAGAGCATTCGAAACTGCTTGTATATCGACCCCCTCAGGCAAAAATCCCAAGGAAAGGAAATCATTTGCCAGACTTAGAGAGTCACGGTTGACAAAATGCACCAGCTGTAATCGCAATAGAACTAATCAAAATCAACAAAGTGACAAAAACACAATTTGTGATTAATTTATTTCGCCATGGTAACAAAAATACGCTGCATGTAATTTATTTTATAAGCAAAATCGAGAAGAGAAGCTAGAAAGACCGCAAGCATAAAAGACAAAGAAAGGCAAGGATAACCAGAAGTACAGCTTACAATTTGAATAAGTCCCACACGGTAATGGCGTGGGATATTCCCCATCATCCCAAAGTCGAAATAAACAAGAGAACCTTCTTTAGTAGCCACAAGGTTTCCTGGATGCGGATCAGCATGAAAGAATCCAACCTCAAGCAGCTGCTTTAACGAACAGGATAAGCCCTGTGAACCAAACAAACCAATTCAAGTTTCTCAGTGGAACATTTTACAGGAACCTAGCCAAACTAAGTCCACACATATGTCTCTGAATCACAAAGTTATATCCATAGATTAAACTGTCACTCAGTGAGGACATTAACCTAGCATAATTAGGCATCCGTTATTTTGTTACCTGATCGATCAAGTCCCTTCTATCAAGAGAAGCCCTTTTCAGTTTAATCTCGTCTGTTAGTTTTATGCCATCGATCCACTCCATTGTAAGCACCGCCGTGCGCGTAAAATTCCAGTATATTTTAGGGACTTTGATGTTCTCTGCTCTATGATTTCTGGACTTATTCCTAGGTCCACCGTTATCATTCATCTGATCATTCCCTGCCAATAATCAAAGATATATTGTATCTGCAATGGTATTTCAGAAAAGAGAGCACATATTAAAACAAGAGAACCTACCTGAATCAAAAGAGTACAAAGAAGCAAATCGCTCTGCATTTTTAGCCTCTCGAATGTAATCTATTTCATCAAACATATGCCTAACCTGTTCATCCAAGAGAGAACATAAACACGTCTGAACAGTATAGGTAAGCAGAAAACTAGTACGAACGTTTCAGATAAATGACTCACCATCTCATTCACTGCTACCAAAAGATCCTTACGGGCTTTCGCAAATCGCTTCAGCTGTCCCCCGATCATATGGAATAAGAGGGCATCACGTGTTAGTGAGAGTGACATTCCAGGTCTCTGAACCTTAACAGCTACCAACTGTCCAGTATGCAGATGAGCTGCAATACTTGAAGGGAAAAATTAAAACATTTAGCTTCTACTGATCATTCGAAATTGAAAACAAAATCCAAGGATAAGAGTAGAGACCAAAAGGATATCTGAAAAAAAGACTACAGTTAACAGGTATCTAACCTTTGTATACCTGGCCCAGAGATGCAGCAGCAACAGGCTTAGGACTGATATCTGCAAAAAGTTTTGACACTGGAGCACCCAGTTGCTCTTCAATACATCGCATGGCAATAATGGTTGGAAATGGAGGAATTTGATCCTATGATCATCAAGAAAATACGTTTTCCAGTTATTCCGGCACAGTATTATGGCTTACTTGAAGAAGAAAAAAGATTACCCACCTGCAGTTTTGACAGCTCCTGACAATAAATAGAGGGTAATATGTCTGGTCTCGTGCTCAGTGCCTGTCCCAGCTGCAACTCGAATAACGAATTATCTTGTGAGGATCCAAAAGAAGAGGAGACTAAATTAGTATATTTAGAGGAGTACTGGAATAAAAAGCGAATAACCAACATGCCTTAATGTAGAAAGGTCCCAAGCTGATAAGAGTCTCACGGAACTGCATCCAAAATGTGAAAGTACCATCAATATTAGCGGCGCCACATATCCAAAAGAGGACTCTTCATTTTTATCTGATTAAATAGGTATTTGCAAACAACACATCATCATAGGACACGAGTTTACAGACCTTGACAGCCCGTTTCCTCATATCCTGAACAACTAGCTGCCAAAAGGCAAGCTTCACTACATGGAACGAAATGATTGCAGCTCTATACAACGCCAAAAAGGGGCCAAAACGATACACTGCAGAAAAACTTTTCGAGCTATAAGCTCCAAGAGCATGTCCAAATTCGGTTTCAAGGGATTCTCTCCGCAACTTTGCATACTCTGCCGTAGGTCTTCCCCCATGAACGCTGGTGAATCCTGTTGAATACCTGTAAACCCGTTCCCAAAAACGATCAGCCCAGTAAAACATTCTGAGGTACTCAATTGGTTGTGTATCCATAAATTATTCAGCATGATCAAGAACTCACATTCTGTGTTGCAAGTGAAATGGAGTAACCCACGTATTATTCTGTCTTGAGAGCTCATTATCCCTTCCTCTCGATATGTAGTTCCCAAGCTTGACGTCGATCGTTTTGTCATCACGAAAAGCTACAACTATAACAACAACCACGTCAAAATAAAATTCTATTTCCAAAGGAAAACAACAAATTTCATCAGCGGCACCATTTTAGCCTAATACATGAGCTGATCTAGTGAAGATAACAGTGAAAAACTTCACTGAAGCTGAGCTTGGGCAACCATGGAATCACAAAGCAAAGAGTAATCAGCACTACAAAACTAATATCCAGGTTTCCAATTAACCCCAACGTCGAAATTTTATGTTTTCGTGATAATCACAATTCTCCCCTCCCGCTACGTCTAGTAAATTAAGTGGATTCAAAATCGTGTTTGTCGAGTTAGAAATCCAGGATTTCAACACGAAAAATCATCCACTGACGCATTTTCTTCCAAATTCGTAGAAATTGTTATCGAAATACCAAAATTGCTATAAAATGCGAGACCGGAGAGGTAAGAAACATGTACTTCTATTGAGCAGCGAGACACGGCGGTGATGGCGGAGAGCAACAACGACATTCCTCATCGGCTAACAGGAAGAAGAAAACGATCTATTCAGTGGAAAAGCGTGCGACAGTCCCATAGTCCGTCCGATTTACCACTCGTAGCTTATTGCGCGGAAACTGTTCGCTATAATGCGCAACCGAGATCGTCTTCGAAGAATGAAAATTTTGAGTATCTCTCCACGTAAGAGCCGAGGAAGCAAGGACAACGTTGCAAGAATTAGTCGCCACGTCCATGACACGTGGCAAATGCGGAGGCAGTCGGCGCTATTGTTACTTGGAGAAATTATCTGGGCCGAATCAGACCCAAGAGGTTAAATCGATTATAGCTTAAGCCCATAGTTTCAACGTAACTGGAGTAAGGATAGTATTGCTCCGTCTTCTAAATAGCATAACAAATTTTTTCAAATCGGAGAAGGATAAATCGACGACTCTTTTCTCTCGCATTAGACTACACAAGTCGTCTCCGGCAGAGAAATTTCGGTGAAGTTTAGAGCAAAATCAATCCGTTTTAGAGGTTCTTCTATCGTCTGCAATGGAGAAGTCTATGGATCTCGTACCGACTTTTGTTGTTTTTCTCGCAGCAGCTCACGTCATCGCCTTGGTAAACTTCACTTCCTCTCTGTTTCGAATTAGGTTTACATGTCTGTAGCCCCGATCGTTGATCTATTTCGAGTTTTTCGATTTGTAGGTTTACTGGATTTACAGATTGGCCTCTGATCGTCAGCCGCAGAGAAAAAAATCGCAATGAGGAAACGTCGGGACATTGATTGGGCTGCGATTCATCGATTGGCGGGTTTGTAGCACCGATCTGATACTGCGTTATCTGCGTTTTCTGATTGTTGGTTTTGATGATTCTGTAGTTTCTTTCACAGATCCTTAGGTAGATCATATAGATCATATATGTTCACCAGATTACTTTTACCTATGCGCTAGCGAGTTTTTCTCTGTGTTGTTTCTGCACTTTGGTGTGTCGATGTGAAATATTTTGTTACATTTCCAATCATTTATTCATTAGCAGTTATGGCTGTGCACTTGACAAAAGTTACAAAACAAAATTTATTCTTTTGCTCAGATTACTGGATATGTTCTTTGTTCTTGGCCCCATCCTCCACTTTCTCAATTGCCATCTTTCTGCAACGTAATAAGGATTAGATTCACTGCAACTAATTTCAGCAGCACCATTGATTAGTTGAGTATGGGTTGGTTTGGAAGAGTCTATTTACTGTCTACGTTTCAGTTTCGATGTTGGCCTCTTGTCTTGTGTATGGTATGAATTTTGTTTCTTAGAGCAGCCTATGCCGGTAATTATTTGACTCGCATTTTCTGAGAGTAGTAAGTCCAAACTTATGGACCTCAAAGAAACTTATGAAAAGCTTTGATGGTAATTGACTTAAGTAAGGAGAGGCAGTGTATAACTGAGTAGTCATGATTCACAAACGGTTTTTGATGGATCAAGGATCAAGGATGGTCATGACTCATTGCATAAAGTAAAAAGAGTAAGAGCAGTAGAGCCTCTTTGGGAGACTTCAAAGAAGATGTGAGAGAGAGGAAGAGCCACTTGGAGTCATTCAGACCACTTGCCTCCCAATCAACGCCTTTAATAATTCAGAACTGAAAAACACCCCAAAATAAAAATGCGAAGTTAACTCAAGTCCTTAATGACTGGAGGAAATTTATCAGACTCCATCACACGAGTAGCTAACCAGAGTGAAGAAGACAAACAGAGTAGCAGCGCAACGAATCGCGAGAACCAAACCGAAAGCTCCGCCGGCGATAATAGTAATTCCAAACCGGCCAGAACCGGATCAGAATCGCCTATACCGGAGTGGATAACCGAGACGATCAATGGTGGATCGCTCCGCCTCGTTGATCTCCATACCGGAACCAACGGCTGGGCTTCGCCTCCCGGCGACGTCTTCTCACTCCGATCCGCTAACTATTTCACCAACAAACAGAAATCTCCCGGCGGAGACTACCTCCTCTTTCCCGCCGGCGTTGACTGGCTCAAATCCAGTACGAAACTCGAGAACGTCCTGGCTCGTCCCGATAACCGTGTAGCTCACGCGCTCAGAGAAGCTCAATCTCGTGGCCAATCCTTAAAGAGCTTCATCTTCGCGGTGAACTACCAAATCCCAGGCGAGCAATACAGCTTGGTGTTCTATTTCGCAACGGAATATCCGATTCCCTCAGATTCGTTGCTCCACCGATTCATCAACGGAGACGACTCGTTCCGTAACAAGAGATTCAAAGTGGTGACCCGAGTCGAGAAAGGTCCCTGGGTAGCTAAAGCCGCGGCGGGGAGCTTCGGAGCGTTCCTTGTGGCTAAGACTGCGAGTTGTAGTTACCACAGAGGATCTAACTACTTGGAGATTGATGTCGACTTAAGCAGCTCGAGGATCATGACGGCGCTTACGCGGCTTGCGTTGAGGTACACTACGAGCCTCACGATCGACATTGGTTTCGTTGTGGAGCCCCAAGCAGAGGATGAGCTGCCGGAGAGGCTGATCGGAGCTGTTAGGATTTGCCAGATGGAGTTATCGTCGGCGTTTGTGGTCGACTCGCAGAAGCTCTGATTGGGTTCGGCGAAAGCAAACGACGACGAAAAGGTTTGAGATTGAACGAGGAAAAAGGCATGTCAACGTTTACCAAAACGCTCTGTGTACCGACTCTGATAAATTAACCGAAAGTTGAAGCCTACGTTACTTATTTTTTTTTATAATCGGCGTTTTAAGTATGGTAATGTAGGGTTCAACCGGCTTTGAAGAATTTGAGGATGATGGGTTGTGGATGACTTGCAACACAATGCATCTCTTTAGCTTTGATATTACATTCTCTGCTCTTTGCCAGCCTACGTTTACAGTTTCCTTTTTGTCTACGTGCTCTTTGGTCACTGATTACATATTTAAAGTGGAACGATTAAGCAACACAATCACATTTTGCCGACACTTAAACTCCACTTTGGGAGACTTGAACTCACCAGGTCACCACATGGTGGAAGGTGCGAGTCTGTAAGAGAGCGGAAGAGTCTCACGAGTCCCGATCAATAAAATAAGTTATCCTTTTTATCGTAATCAGGCGTTGATTCAGAAGTGAAAAGAAAAAAAAGTGCCAAAGTTGTTTCAAGGGTGTTCCGGTAATTTTGTTTGTACAGTAGGCCATTTATCAGACCTACCAGAGAAGAGAAAGAGAGCGATAGCCGATAGGCGAGGAAATAACGAATCACACGCCATGACCCAAACCGAAACCTCCGGCGAAAATAATAATTCCAAACCGGACAGAACCGGATCTATCTCGCCTGTACCGGAGTGGATAACAGAGACGATCAATGGTGGATCGCTCCGCCTCGTTGACCTCCATACCGGAATCAACGGCTGGGCTTCGCCTCCAGGCGACGTCTTCTCTCTCCGGTCCGCCAACTATTTCACCAACAAACAGAAATCTCCCGGCGGAGACTACCTCCTCTCTCCCGCCGGCGTTGACTGGCTCAAGTCCAGTACGAAACTCGAGAACGTCCTCGCTCGTCCCGATAACCGTGTTGCTCACGCGCTCAGAAAAGCCCAGTCTCGCGGCGAGTCCCTGAATAGCTTCATCTTCGCGGTTAGTTTCCATGTGCCAAGCAAGGAACCATACAACTTGGTATACTATTTCGCGACGGAAGAACCGATTCCTTCCGATTCGCTGCTCCACCGATTCATCAACGGAGACGACTCGTTCCGTAACCAGAGATTCAAATTAGTGAGCCGGGTCGAGAAAGGTCCCTGGGTAGTCAAAGCAGCGGCCGGGAACTTCGGCGCGTTCCTTTTGGGTAAGGCTGCCAAGTGTACTTACCATAGAGGATCTAACTATTTGGAGATCGATGTCGATATAAGTAGCTCGGCGATCCTGGCGGCGCTTATACGGCTTGTGCTGGGGTACGTTACAAGCCTGACGGCCGACGTTGGTTTCGTTGTGGAGGCGCAAGCGGCGGATGAGCTGCCGGAGAGACTGATCGGAGCTGTTAGGATCCTTCATATGGAGTTATCGTCTGCGTTTGTGGTCGACGAGCATAAGCCTCAGCAACCGCGCATAATGATGGGCTCGGTGAAAGCTAGCCACGACGACAGCGACGACGAGAAGGTTTGAGATTGAACGATTACTTTGTTTATTCTGTTATTTCGACCCATCATCGTAGGTTTCCTAGTGGTGCGCCATTTGCTAATACTCCACAATCCACATAGTGTGGTATTAGATTTTGATTATGAAACGAACATTCACTTTAATTTATCAACAGTTCACAAACGATTTTGATGGATCAAGGGGATGGTCAAGACTTTAGTTCACACTTCACAAACTGATTGACACTTGAAGTCAAACGATTAAGCAACATTCAGTATAGTCATGTATATATATGCCCAAACCTATAATCACATCCACACATCACATTTTGACCCATTAAACCACTTTGCCTCCTAATCAATAAATAAGTTATTCTTTTTGTCGTAATCAACGTTAATTCAGAATCTGACTATTAAAAAATTGCCAAGTTGTCTCAAGAATACTCCTGTAATTTGGTTCTTCGAGAAGGCAATGGCTCATTTATCAGATCCCACCACACGAGCGAAAAGAAAGAGAGAGGCGAGCCAAAAACGAATCACACGCCATGAACCAAACCGAAAGCTCATCCGGCGATACTAATAATTCCAAACCAGACAGAACCGGATCAGTCTCACCTGTACCGAAGTGGATAACCGAGACGATCAATGGTGGATCGTTCCCCGTCGTTGACCTCCATACCGGAACCGACGGCTGGGCTTCCCCTCCAGGCGACGTCTTCCCACTCCGCTCTGTTAGCTACTTCACCAACAAACAGAAATCTCCCGCCGGAGACTACCTCCTCGCTCCGGCCGGCGTTGACTGGCTCAGATCCAGTACGAAACTCGACAACGTCCTGGCTCGTCCCGATAACCGTGTAGCTCACGCGCTCAGAAAAGCCCAATCTCGCGGCGAGTCCCCAAATAGCTTCATCTTCGCGGTTAATTTCCAGATTCCGAGCAAGGAGCAATACAGCCTGGTGTACTACTTCGCGACGGAAAATCCGATTCCGTCCGATTCTGTCCTCCGCCAGTTAATCGACGGAGACGACTCGTTCCGTGACCGGAGATTCAAAGTGTTGACCCGAGTCGAGAAAGGTCCCTGGGTAGCCAAAGCGGCGGCGGGGAGCTTCGGCGCGTTCGTTGTGGGTAACGTTGTGAGCTGTGGTTACCATAGAGGATCTAACTACTTTGAGATCGATATCGATTTGAGCAGCTCGAGGATCATGGCGACGTTTACGCGGCTTATGTTTGGGTTCATGACGAGCCTAACGCTCGACGTTGGTTTCGTTGTGGAGGCGCGAACGGAGGATGAGCTGCCGGAGAGACTGATCGGAGCTAGTAGGATCTGTCATACGGAGTTATCGTCGGCGTTTGTGGTCGACGAGATGCTCTGCAACCGCCAAAAATGATGGGTTCAGCGAAAGCAAATGACGACGACGACGAGGAGGAGGTTTGATACTGAAAGTGGAAGACTGCCAGGTCAACGTTGACCAAAGTATCAGTCTACCGATCTCGATTTAAATCTGAAATTATTTGATTCATCTCTAATAAAATGTGATAAATCTGTTTTTTTTTTCTGTTATATCGACCCATTTGTTGGTTAGCGTTGCGCCATTTGCTACTAACAAACAAAAGTATTTGAAAGTTAAATCTTCCATAAAATGTTTAGAGTGAATAAACACATGGGACTATATAATAAAATTGTAGTGGCTTCTCTATTCCCCCAAAATCTTGTTCCTGTTTCTGTTGGTAAGTTGGTAAATCAATGCTTCCATTTGGATTGAGTGAATCAATATTGGATCTTTTGAGTTATGAGTACGTTTAGGCAAGATTCTTTTTCTGTTTATTCTGTTATATCGACTCTTTCTCAGTTCGTGTAATAAATCGTACATGTACGAAGGTAGTATTTTGTCCTATTTGAAAGTTAGAATTGCCATATAATTTTTAGAATGAGTTAACATAGGAATAATATAAGATTGCAGTGGCTTCTCTATCTCTTGTTCCTGTTTCTGTTGACAAATCAATGCTTCCATGTGGATTGAGTGTCATTATAGAATCTTTTGATTAGAGAGCATAAAGCGTTGGAAGTGACGCAATCGGCTCTGAAGAATTTGGATGATGATGGGTTTCATGATGTGGATGACTTGGAACATTCTCTGCTCTTTGATACCCTATCTTTAGATGACTTGGAACCTACTCGTTTTTGTCTACTGTTTGTATCTATTATGGCCTTGGAAACAACGATGCTCGTAATAGATAGCTTGTCATCGCAATAAGCTGTGAATTTTTTGAGAGGAGCATCTTGATGTAAAAATACATGAGCTCATGGAAGCAGAAAAGTTTGACCTTCCTCATGCACTTAAGGCCCTAATATTAGCTCTTTCCCCCATTGTTATTGACTTATTGCTTATTTCCATTTTTCTTGAGGTTCTTTAACGCACTTTTTAGCTTAACTCGTTGGATCTTCTCTCAACTCATGCATATATCGAGTTTCCCTTCAACAAGAAAGAGCACATTTCAAGAAAATAGCACTTATACAACCCGGAAATTTATGATATATCAAATTCGTCTGCTACTACTTTTTATACAAACTGAAACCATAGTTAATATTTATATAAATTATCGATAAATAGGTTTCGAAATGACAAACACCCCATCTTCCAAAAATGATAATCATTTTCAAATATTTCATAAGAAAAAACAAATGAGTAAAAGTTGGTGGTTGGTGATAATCTTTTGTCTATTTCAACAAATATATTAATGGGTGACAGCATCCCAAAGATGCTGGAACACAAATGCATCTCTTTTGTTCTGGTATTACATTATACTATGCTCTTTGGAAGCCTATAACCGTTTTCCTAAGCTTGGCAAAGAGCAAGGCACTCTCACTTGGTAACACTTATTGCATTGTACTTATTGATTGCTCAAAATTACTAATTGAATGAATCAATCTATTCCTCGACTATGATTAAAAAGCCATTAAAGACAACTCATGTGGGTCGTGACTTGTGAGAGAGAGAGAGGAAGAGCTACTAATTAGAGTCCTTGAGATTATTTGCCTCCTACTCGATAGAACAAGTGGATCCTTTTTATCGTAACCAAACACTGTTATTAACTAGGAACCGACAAACACACAAAAAACGTGAATTAACTCAAGGCCTTAATGACCAGTGACCACAAGACCAGTGGCCCATTTATCAAACCTTTACCACCCAACAAACCAAACGAAGAGAGAGAGAGAGAGAGCAACGACAAACGCCATGAACCAAACCGAAATCTCCGCCGGCGATAATAACTCCAAACCGGCCAGAACCGGATCAGTCTCGCCAGTACCGGAGTGGATAACCGAGACGGTCAATGGTGGAACGCTCCGCCTCGTTGATCTCCATACCGGAATCAACGGCTGGGCTTCCCCTCCAGGCGACGTCTTCTCTCTGCGCTCCGCAAGCTACTTCACCAACAAACAGAAATCTCCCGGCGGAGACTACCTCCTCTCTCCCGCCGGCGTCGACTGGCTCAAATCCGGTACGAGACTCGAGAACGTGCTGGCTCGTCCCAATAACCGTGTAGCTCACGCGCTCAGAAAAGCCCAGTCTCGCGGCGAGTCCCTGAATAGCTTCATCTTCGCGGTTAATTACCATATTCCAGGCAAGGAGCAATACAACATGGTTCTCTATTTCGCGACGGAAAACCCGATTCCGTCCGATTCCCTCCTCCGCCGATTAATCGACGGAGACGACTCGTTCCGTAACGAGAGACTGAAAGCGCTGATCCGAGTCGAGAAAGGTCCCAGGGTAGTTAAAGCGGCCGCCGGGAGCTTCGGCGCGTGCGTTGTGGGTAAGGCTGCGAGGTGTAGTTACCATAGAGGATCTAACTACTTGGAGATCGGTATCGATTTAGGCAGCTCGAAGATCGTGGCGGCGCTTACGCGGCTTATGTTGGGGTACATTACGACCCTGACGGTCGACATTGGTTACGTTGTGGAGGCGCAAATGGAGGATGAGCTGCCGGAGAGACTCATTGGAGCTTATAGGATCTGCCATCCGGAGTTATCGTCGGCCTTTGTGGTCGACGAGCAGAATGCTCTGCAACCGCGAAGAATGATGGGTTCGGCGAAAGCAAACCACGACGACGACGCCGACGACAAGGTTTGAGATTGAACGAGGAAGACTGCCAGGTCAACGTTGACCAAACAATCTTGGTCTCGATCTGGAAGAATCTGGAAAATATTTGATTAATCTCTATAAAATTTAATAAATGAAATCGAACTTTGTGAAGCCTACGTTACTTTTCTTTTTTTTTCCCTTTATGGTGATCAAGATTCTTTTTTTTTTTTTCTGTTTGTTCAAACCATATTGTCAAAGGTTTGTGTAATTCATACATCTTGATTGGTACGAAAGTATTATTTTGTCATATTTGAAAGTTAGATCTTCCGTATAATTTTAGAGTGAATAAAAAATGAACTGGCTTCTCTGTGTCCCAAATCTTGGACTTGTTTCTGTTGACAAATCAATGCTTCCATGTGGATTATGAGAGAGCAGAAACCGTGGGAAGAAGTGACGCAGTCGCCGTTGAAGAATTTGATGATGATGAGTTTCATGATGCGGATGGCTGGAAACACAGTATGCATCTCGTTAGCTTTGGTATTACATTCTCTGCCCTTTTGGCAGCCTATAGCAGCTCTCCTGAGTGTGGCAAAGAGTAAACACTCTTAGTTCTTGATACTTACTCGTTTCTGTCTAATGTTTGTATCTATGTCCTTAGTCTATGGCTGAAAAATACATGAGGACATAGATACATGAAATACTTGACCTTCCTCATTGTTATTGCTTATTTCCATTTTTCTTGAGGTTCTTCAACGCACTTCGTTGGATCTCCTCTCACCACATATATCAGATTGGGTTTCACTTCAACTAGAAAGAGCATTTTCAAGAAAATAGCACCCATACTGACCGAAAATTTATGATATATCAAATTTGTCTGCTACTACTTTTTATCCAAACTAAAGTCTAAAACCGTAATTAATATTTATATAAAATTATACTTGGACTAATTTTGATAAACAAGTTTCCAAATGACAAACACAACATCTTCCAGAAAAGATAATTATTTTCAAATAAATCATAAGAAAAAAAAAATGAGAAAAAGTTGGTAGTTGGTGATGATAATCTTTTGTCAATTTCTACAAATAAATTAATGGTGACAGCATCCCAAAGATGCTGGGACATAGTGACATACTATTTGCTCATAAACAAATGGATATGGGCTTTTTGGTATTTCAGAATCAGTAGAGAAGTAGTGGTGACAAGATCTATTTTGATCCAACGGTATCCGGACACGTATCTAAAGAGGAGATACTAGGTTAAAAGACCTTGTTCTGTACCTTTGTTGGCCGACTGATCTTGAAAAAGCTTTGATTTTTGTGTTCTTCATGGACGGTTTTGCCCTTTGGACTCAATCAGATCCTTTTACATAGAAAAGGAAAAGAATATGGGAAATGCTGAATTATAGGAGACTGCATATACTTTACGTAAGATTTTAATTACAGATCTACAAATTTACTCTTATGGAGAAAAGTCAAAACTTTACTCAAGAGTATTAATGAAGTAGTAAACGATTAGGTTCGTTGTGACTTTAATGCAAAACTTTAATCAAGTTTTATTACATTTTAGAAATTTGTCTTCTTTTTTTTTTTTCTTTTTTTTTTGGGGTTGAATTTATTGATATTTTGTTCTGATAAAAAGCCTTACAAATTGAATAAATAGTTCCTATTATTGAGGTAAAAATTGAAAAAGACCGGGGAAAAATAGACAGAATGTTCTTGGTAAGAGACAAAAAAAAAAAAAAAAAAGATGTGTGTTTTGTCAAACATTTAGCAGCAACAGCTTGACATCTTCATTTCGTCTCCCTGATCTGAGTTTTATCCTTTTATTTCTTTAATCATTTTATCTTCATCTTCATCTTCTTCTTCTTCAATGGGCATGTGTTGTTCATACGATAGCAAGTCAACGAACCTTCCTCTGTACCAATTTCATTCTTGTTTTTCGAGCTTTTATCCAAACTAAGTTTTGATTCCCAAATCTCTCTGTTCTTTGACTTATTTTCCAAGATTTCAGATGTCACCTTCATCAAAAAACTCCTCTTCAACAAAAGATTAACTTTTTTTTTCTCTTGAGCTAAATCCAATCCAAGATCTGTTTCCCACGGTTTCAGACCAAACCCACATCAAAAGTTTCAACATTTAAGCTCAAAGCGGAGCCAAATCTTTGAAAAAAATGGTAGAGGAAGAGCAAAGCCTTGAAAAAGGCGGATCCGTTCATGTGGTCAAAGGAGAGAGTCATTTCCGTAATGTGGTGTGGGGCCCAGTCCGGTGGCTAAAGATGTTGTCTTCAGAGCTTCACTGGAGCTTTGTCTTCGGTGTGGTCTCACTGTACGGAATAAACCAAGGGCTTGGTGGCTCGTTGGGCCGTGTAGCCACAGAGTATTACATGAAAGATGTTCAAAAGGTTCAACCTTCAGAGTCTCAAGCTCTCACTGCAATCACTAAGATTCCATGGATCATTAAACCTCTTTGGGGCATTCTCACTGATATTCTTCCTATCTTTGGCTTCCACAGACGCCCTTACTTCATTTTAGCCGGTAAAAATTTGGATCAAACTCTCTTTAACTTTCTCTATATAAAGTTTATAAACATATACAGATTGTTGTTTACTGTGTTTTATGCAGGGGTGCTTGGAGTGGTTTCTATGATGTTCATTTCGTTTCACAGTAATTTGCATCTTTACTTGGCTCTGTTGTGGATGACAATATCAAGTGCTGCGATGGCTATAGCGGATGTAACTATTGATGCTTGTACCGCCTACAACAGTATCAAACACCCTTCTCTTGCATCGGATATGCAGAGCTTGTGCAGCTTAAGCTCCTCCATTGGAGCACTTCTTGGTTTCTTCATGAGTGGCATCTTAGTTCATCTTGTTGGCTCCAAGGTTAGTGAATCGTGTGATGATCCCTTTCATTTCATTGCGAATTCCTCTCTAATGTTGTGTTTCGTTTTTCGACATTAGGGAGTGTTTGGTTTGTTGACATTCCCATTCGCTTTAGTATCAGTAGTAGGAGTGGTGTTTAGTGAGCCACATGTTCCTGGTTTCTCTTACAAACAGGTAACAGCTCTGTTCTCTCTGCTTCACTAGCTTCATTACTAACATGAGATTATTGAATCTTTTGTTGTGTCGTTAATTCAGGTGAACCAGAAATTTACAGATGCAGGGAAAGCCATGTGGAGGACAATGAAGTGCTCAGACGTGTGGAGGCCGAGTCTATATATGTACCTTTCACTTGCTGTTAGCTTGAACATTCATGAAGGTCTCTTCTATTGGTTCACTGACTCAAAGGATGGTCCTTTGTTTGCTCAGGTACTCTACACAATCCAGTTCTTGAATTCACCTGAAAATGCGTAACATGTTGAGTTTGTTTTCAGGAAACTGTTGGTTTTATTCTCTCAATTGGCTCAATCGGGTCGATTCTTGGAGCAACGTTGTACCAGCTAGTCCTGAAGGATCATCCGTTCCGTAATCTTTGCTTGTGGACTCAACTTCTCTTTGCCTTGTCAGGAATGCTTGACCTCATTCTTGTGCTACGTCTCAACTTGAAGTTTGGCTTACCTGACTATCTCTTCATAGTAGTGGACGAGATAGTCTCTCAGATGATTGGACGCCTGAAATGGATGCCGTTGCTTGTCCTCACTTCGAAGCTTTGTCCTCACGGAATCGAAGGGACGTTTTTCGCGCTGCTGATGTCGATTGACAATGCAGGACTCATGACATCGTCTTGGCTAGGAGGAGTGTTGTTGCATGTGCTTAAAGTGACTCGTACTGAGTTTGGTAACCTCTGGCTTGCGGTTTTGATCAGGAATGTGATGAGGCTTTCGCCGCTTTTTGTTCTGTTTCTTGTGCCTAAGGGTGACCAGCACACGTTCAAGCTCCCTGATGAGATTATGGGGGAAGATTCGGAGGAAGAAGAGGGAGATGATGAAAAAGAAGGAAGTCGGAACTTGGAGTTGGCATCTCTTGTTCAGTCTGTTGATAGAAGATAGCAGCAACACAGTATTCTCTCGTCATAAGAGTTTGAAGCAAATGCTTCAGTTTTTTCAACAGCTTCTGTGAACTTTACTTGTACTGATTTAAAAGTTCTCTTTTCTTTTAACACATAGTAAGTTTTGTTTTTGGTATAGAAGAAACATCTCTTGTGAAATTGGGGACCTATTTACTTACATATATCTGAAATAGTTCCTTAATGAAAAACATATGAGTTCTGCTGCAGAAGAAACAATAATGATTGGAGGAGTCTCAGAAAACACACAAATACAAGCTGTGTTTGAGTTTAGAAACACAAAAAGGGTTGAAAGCTTTTTTTGGAGCAGCATTTTCAATCATGAAGAGAACACACCATGAGGTGAAGGAACAATCATGATCATAATCATCATCTCATGCCTCGTCTGCTGCGCCAATCCCTGTCTCTCTCTCGGCTTCTATCATGATCGTCACGCTCGTGGCTTGAACTCTTTTCACGTTGATCTCGATCCCTTTTCAAATCATGTTGCCTATCTCTGTCTCTGTGTCTCTCTCTTTCCCTGTCCCGGTCTCTGTCCAAGTCATGATGATCTCTCTCCCTGGTTGATGATTTCCGCGGCGGACTTTGGCTCTGGTTTTCCACACGTTGTCGCTTTTTCGACGATTCTCGAGAATCTTCACGCCTCTCCTTCCGCTCTATTGTTGATTTCTCTGCAGTTAAAAGCACTGTTAAATTTTATATGAAGAGTTGGATCAGAACGAACGTGAATATGGCAATGTTAAGTTACACGTGTGTGTAAGAAACTGAGCTAAAGAACTTGTGGAAAGGGGCTCAAGTATCGCCATTGTTGCATCAGATGGACATGGAACAATTTAATAACCTTTCTCAAAACAGAAGAAGAGTATCTGTCGAGTGTGAAGTTTTAAACTTACGATTTCTGTTGCCATCGTTAGATCCTGACAAGCCATAATCAGCTTCAAGCCTCTTTCGGTTGATTTCTACTTTTCTCTCTATCTCCTCGGAGTTTTTAATCCCCTGTTCCTCAAGAGTTTCACGATACTCGATCAAAGCAACTTCAATGCGTCTAAGCTTTTGTCTGCAGTAACAAAAAAAAACAGAGCAAGGGAGCAGAGTATTGAGTTTCAATTGATGCAACTGAATAAAGCTTCTAGTTAGTTTCTTAGATGTTTGCAAAAATAGATGTACAGATCAAACCTTTGCTCCTCATCCATTTCATTGTCAGGTTGCGCACGGACAAAATCATTAGCCTTGAGATCCTCGTCGTCGGCCTTGAAAGTTATCCCACCAGCATTGTCGCTTCCTGAAGAGTAGCTCTTCTTTTGTTCATCCTCAACTTCGTCATCCTCTCTCGCCCATTTTGAAGCTGGCAAGATGAGGTCATTCTTCTCTTTTCCCACAAAGGGTCTCAGCTGAGGCTGTGGTATTTGTATTGTTGTGGCCAGATTCATAGGCTCTTTCATTTCGACCTCTGCATAGCTGTTCCTGATCTGGTCACGCTCGTTCTTTACTTCTTCCCAAGTTGAATGGTCTTGCGGATACTTCGAAATTTCATCCACTGCTCCATAGCCACGTTGTTTCTCTGTGTCTTCAAGGCTTAGTAGCCGAGCAACCATCACTACTCTACCCCCTACAAGAGACAGTCCATTCTGACGACAGCGTCTCTCAAGCTCAGAAATGGGTAAATCCATCAGCTCTTGCCTTGCAGCGCCTTTGCCTATTGCCAGTGCAGCATCTGGATTGACCTTCCCAGTATCGCTCATATTGTCAGTGTAACCTTTCTTTTCTATTTCAGGTGCATCACCGCAGATAGAGTGAAATGAGGTGACACCAGAGACTCCTGATCGGAGAAACGTTGCACGGAGTCCATATATGTATGCGTCTGAGAAGAGAAACCAATCTGCCCATACCTGTAGCACTTTGAGAACTCGTTCCTGCAAAAAGACAGAATGAATTTACAACAACATTTCATAAGGCAAAGAAAGCCACCAAAAATTGTTTTTTCCCTTTCTGACAGTACCTTTAGAGCCTCAGCAGTAATTCTTCCAGTTATGCTCCGGTACAGATCACTAAAGCTTTCCATTATATCAGGTAGTGTTGCTTCGAACTTGGTTCTGTACGCAGATGCATTTTTAACAGGTGCGCTGCTATTATGAAGAATATCAGACACAAGCATGAGTCTAGCAACTTTGGTTGGAATTGATGTCTCTTTTAGGGTCAGGGACTCCGTCAGAACTTCAACAACCTGTGAAATAAGTACACATATATATTTCAGAGATGAGTAAAGGTTTCTGAATATCTACTTACTAATGAGTAACTCTGTTCAAAGATTCTATGTGTTTAGACAAATATATATTTCAGAGATTCTATTTGCAAATGACCAATCTTTTGATATAAGGGATTAAAACATATGTTGAAGTTTCTGAAGGATATCTATGAGGCATAGGATCATCTGTAAAACTTAATGTACCAATATGATTTCAGAACAAATAATACCTCTCCAGCTGCATCTGCATTATCTAAAGCGAAGCCCATAGCTTCTTTTATTTGTCTCCTTTCTAAAGTTAGAGCACGCAACATGTCCTCGAACTCATCCCTTTGAGGATCGGTCAGAGCCCTCTCGACTTCCCCACGCTGTAGAATTTATCAGCGTTAGGTATATCACAACACCAAAGAACTAGAAAGAAAAATATATATAACTGCAACAAAATAAGATTACCCTGTTTCTTCCCGCTCCATAAGTACTTCCAGAGTCTTTGTCATGCTCACTCTTAGTTACAGGCAGCGGTGGCGGTATCCATCTGCAATAAGAGCAAAAAACCGTGTTCAAACAAGAGAAATGTTTAGGTAAACCCATACAAACACCAGGATCAGTTTCACAGTCGGCAATGTTTAATACCTTCCACTACCAGTTATCATAATATACGGCTCTGTTCTCCACCTATGAAATGGATCACCCTAAATAATGCAAATCATTCATCAGCTTATGACAAAAGCAAAGCTGAAGGAGAATCTAAGATATACTTAGTTACAAAGCAATCAAAATGAACCTGGGCAAGGGAATAAAGTCTCCAGACGTAGTAAGTATGCTCTTTTGAGCCTAGCTCGAACAAGAAGTTAAACAGTGGGTTCCCACGGCCCCTCTCCATGATTGCTTGTTCAAAAGCACATTCACCATCCATAACACAGCCAGCCATTGTATCAATGACATGTCTGAGGTGCTCGTCCTCAGGAGCAACAACAGTGATATCCGGAACATTAGGGGTAAGAACCTGAGAAAGGATTTCAAAAAAAATCAAATTCTGAAACTTCAACGTAATATTTTTGGGCTATAAAGTAATTCACGCACTCCTCGAAAATCTTATCGAACTTCCAAACAACCAATTCAAGCCATGTGGAACCAAGTTTACATACCAGCTCAGAATTCTGGTTTGGAACAGAAGTTATTGGTGGACCCGTCTGACCAGAAAAAATCAAGTTGCAGCCCTGCCAATGAAAAATATATAAAATTTTAAAGTTACAGTAAAAACGGAAAAGAAATACCAATAACAATCAGGGAACATGCCCATTCATAGGATAGTGAATAGAATTACAGAAAAAAAGTATTCTCGAAGAGCAATACAGGATGCATCACAAACCTCCTTACTCCGAATAGCCATATGTCCAGGTGGTGGAGCGGGTAATGCTTGTGATGGCAGAGAAACCGCTTTACCCCATCCAATCTTTAGTTCATAGTCGTACACAATGATCCCTGTAAAATTGGAACTTTTCTTCATAACTTTCTTTTTTTATAGTCACATGCAATCAGGATGCTCAGTTGATACAAGACTCGGTTGACAGGACAGGCTAGCTAACCTTGCATTTCATCTTTTGCAGCTTGTCCATCGGCTCTATTCATGAAAGAAACAAAGCCACAGTTTCTTTGTCGCCTGCGCTCCTCTTCTGATCTTGGCCACATAATCTTGACACTAGCTATGGGCCCAAATCTTCCAAAAGTGCGCAGAAGGAAATTTTCATCAACCTATGAGAGCATAAAGATCGTATCGTAAGATATAAGTCAAGGACGAATAATAGAAAATAACAGAAAAATTCAAGTAAGAAAAGAAAAAAAAAACACCTTTGGGGCCAGATTCCCAACATATAGGTTTGTAGTTTGTGGGTCACCATCGTCAAACGATCCTAGCCTTCCACTGGGATCAAAATCATCAGGTAGCTCATCAAAGCGGCTAGAAGGCTGAAGGCAGAATAAGTTTAGTACAAAAAACAATGCATATATCTCCAAAAAACAATGCATAAATGAGAGCAGAACAACAATGAAGAGAGAGCAAGACTGATAAACTAACCGAGTTATCGCCTTGATGGTCGCGATCCTGGTTTCGTCTTTCCCTCATTTCTTGTTCACGTTTCAACTCCTCCATGAAATGATCTATGTTCCTAGTCTTTCCCTTTTCCCTCTCCTTGGGTCGCTCTTCCTCCCTCTAGAAATATGAAATAAATGAAGTTACAAACTAAACCATTGCTGCTTCAAACGACAAACCCAATTCCTAAAAGAAATACAGTGACAAAAAATACGCTACTGACCTTCCTCTCCGGTTCTTTACCCTTAGATGCCATTGGTGGCGGAAGAAAAGAGGGAACATACCTGCAGAGATTACGTGGATGGTAACTTTCTATATTACAAGAACACACGCATGGATTTTCAACTTATCATGCAATACCCAAGAACAACATTTCCAAGACCCACAGCTTTATATTAATAAAGTATGAAGACCTTAGCGACTATATAGAGATCAAACATGAAAAACACATGATAAAAGGTATTCTATTCAAGCCTTGTAGTAACAGCCATATTCAAAAGTGTATACTTTGATTAAAATCCTTAGCACCGCAAGATTGATCAATCAATAGCAATCAGTTTACCTACTCCCCTTCTTTGAAACTGAACCCCCATCTTTGGACTTTTCACCTGCCATCCGCGAATGCATAGAAAAAAGATCCATACTCTTATTAATGTGTTCTCAACATAATCAAAAGCGTTGCTTTACCATTTGAGTCATCATCAAAAGAAGAACAATGGACACACAAAGAGACTAGTAACATCAGTTAAAGCCGTAGCATTTTCCGAGACTAACCTTCAGAATCAACCTTGGGCTTGTCGCCGGGATTGATAGTGCCACCTCGAACAAAAGTCTTTGTTGAATTGTCCCCTTGGAATGATTCCACAAATTCCTGATACAGACGAGCTGTTTCATCCTCAGCTTTCTGCGATTAGATTGAAAATCTTCAATTATCAATCTCCATAGAACAAATTATACTCGCAATAGCGATATACATTGAAATTTCAGCTCACTAGTTTCATAAAAAAACGAACCTTTTTCCTGGCTTCTTCTTCTTCTCTGTGTTTCTGGAATGGCGTTTTCTTCCGGGTGATGGAGAAGGAGCTCATTTTTCAGCATCCAAATTCTCAGGAGACAAAGGATTCGGGAAGCTTATAGCCGAGCTAAAACCCTTTGCTCGTCGACAACAAAACTAGTTTCGACACTCGAAAATCCGAATTGCGGATTGAGAAAGATCAGATTAGAGAGCTATCGGAGATAATGGATTCTGATTCAGAATTAGGATTCGGGGAATCGAGAAGGGTGACGAACGATCAGGAAGCTAGGGCTTGTGGTGAAACACAGCACGAGCTCAAAACGATACTAAGGGAAAAAAAAAATTAGGATCAACAAATTACATAATTGCAAATTTACCGTCAACTATTTTCAGTCGGTTTTAAGAATTTGTTTTTTGGCTTACCTGATTGGGTAAGTAAATAAAATTTTCAAAACTGTGTAAACATTATAAATTTACACATAAATTAAATTTACCGGTTTACGTATGGCCTTAAGACGCTGACTTTGGCTTTGGCCCTTTAACGGCCCACTTTTGACTGAAATTTGACCGCATCATGATAATGCTGACGTCATTCTCTCCGATTGCGTCAGAAGCGAGCGCCTGCCTCTTCGTTTGCATATTACAAATTAATAAATTTTCAACGAATTGTCAGCCGCCGCCGGAAACCTAACTCTTACCGTTAAACTGCCCGCCGTACGTGTTGTATTTCGACTATTGGAGTCTTCCAATTTTCGATTCTCAGGCTGATTAAGATGGAAGGAGGTGGAGGAAGTAGCGCCGCCGCCGCCGCAGGAGTGGTACCGGAATCAGCTATGGTGGCTGTGAAAGAAACGATGGCGCACCTCGCGGAACTGAAACCGCAGCTTGAGCAGATGCTTTCTTTGGCCGAGCCAGAGGTACTTGCTCATATGCAGCCATTGATGCGAGCTAAGACTGTGCAGTTGCTCGCCGAAGCTACCACAGCAATTTACGATTGTAACCCCCTTTCCTCTTCTTCTTGTTACTATCATTCTGTTTCAATTGAAAGGAAAACTGTGAGATTGAAGTTTGTTCATTTTGCGATAATGTTTTTCAAAAAACTGTGGCTTTGTTTACAGTGAGGCTGAGATGTACTGGAGCTAATCCCGATGATCATCGTGTCAAATCTGAAATTGTATGTATAAATTCAGTGTCTTTGGCTATTTCGTTTCGTTTTGTGATATACTTGTGTCTTGTTAGCTCAGTTGGTGTTTGTATCTTCCTATACATTTGCAAATGCGAATCAATATGCATCTTTGGCTGTTTTATTGATGTTGGTATTGTTTTTTCCAGGAGCGGTTAAACGTGTACAGAGAGAAGTTTCAGCGGTGTTTGGATCGAAGTAAAGGTAAGGAAATTTGATTTTCCGGTGCCTGACTGATTTGTTAGAAAGATTGAAAACTTGTTAGCTCTGACTATTGACAAGTATTTTGGTATGTTAACCTTTTGTTTCTCCGGTTAGAAAACCATTTGTTTCGATTTGAATTGGTGATTGTATTTGTCTCGTGGACAAAAAAACAAGATTTCTGACTTCCTCTCTTCATTGGATGATTGATGCATCCATTAGCCTTCCAAAGTTAAAACTTTGTTCGAAAACGATGCTCTAAATGCAATCCTCTGGGTATCTTTTCGTTGAATGATGCATTCTTCATTAAGGGGACTTGCATTTCTGACCTTTATTTGTTGTGATGTATCTGAGTATCTGTGTTTGTTAGCTTCCTTTTAGTTGTGTATGTTGATTATAACTCCTCCTATAGTTGCAGGATTCTTTATTGCATACACTCATCTTAAATGCAGGGGAGTAGTAGTATTTCAACTTTGTTTACTCAAACTTATGTTTCCATTGGAATGCTTCTCATTGTGTTCTCGCGCCTATTGCATTGTTCTGGCCTTAGCTTGTCTTCACTTTGACTATTTCATCTACCTACGTCCAGTTGCTTCTAAAAGAAAGTGTTAGTTTTCTTTTGTGACACCTTTCAGTCTATTGAAATCGAAGAGACTGATTTGATTGCTATTTTCTGTGGTATCTATAGCTTTTTGCTTTTCCGTTGAATGATTTTTATGACCAAATGGTTTAACATATCAACTTTGTTTTTGACAAGATGCATTTCCATATATAAAACTGATTTGATTTGTATTCATTGATAGCCAATTGCTGAACTTCATATTCTGCCAACACCACAATTTCTTTTTGGATTTTTCCTTTTTGATGAAGATCCATTTGTTCTTATCTACTATCTGAAGTTGGGGGGATTGGTCTCTTATAGTATATGTTTATCAAACTTATATAGAAGATGTTTACTCAATTGGCAACGCTTGTGCGCTGCGTTTTAACCGCCCGTAATCGAATACTAATGGGCCAATTAGTTCTGCTTATTGAATCAGAAAGCATTGATTCCATATGTTAAACTACTAATTCAATTGGTACTGGTTTCATTATTTCATTATCAATTCAATTCTGTCTAACCATTTCTGCCACGAGTCGAGTTTTAACTTGTCTATTTGAAGTTAGGTAGGTTCATCTGTTTAGGAAATTTTGATAGAGACTGATTTGCTACCTCTAATTCAGTGTCTCTCTTTTCAATCGCAGAACCATTACGTCCGACTACCGTCTTAAACCGTCATGCAGCAACCCGTTTCATCGCGCACTCTCTACCTGATCTTACATCAGGTAAGCTTGTATACAGTTTCGGTTCCTACCTTTTCATTTTTCCTTTATAACCATGTTAACTCTCTAACAATCGTCGGCTAAATGAATGTAGCTCAAAAGCAAAACATTAGAGACCTCGGTAAAGGAGAGATGTCAAGGATCAGACATTCGGAAACAAGTGCGAGAAAGAGGAAATTCCAGTCAAGTGAGAAACAGTCTGTTCAGTCTGCTGCAAAGGAATTTCTTGAAAAGGCAGCTCGTGAGCTTAATGGTAACATTGAAAATGGTTTGAAGGGGCCTCTTATGGTGGCGGCAGCTGATGGTTCCGAAGATGTTGAGATTAGTACAGCCTGATTCACCAAATATGTCATGGTAATGTTTCTCTTGGCTAAGTTATAAATGCTCTTCTTATCTCTGACACCTGAGAGCAAATCTCTAGAAATGGCATACCATTTATATAGGGATAATGATAGTGAAATTGAAGTAGATCCAGAAAAAAACAGATACTTTCTTGTAAATGGAAAACTGTTATAAAAAAACAGTTTCATGTGAAAGCTGTCGCCTCTTTATGAGTTGTTCTTTTGACAATTACGTATTTGTCCTGTTAGTATGGTTTTTTTCTTTGAGACATTTTGCCTTAAATGTTTAAAGGATGGGTTAAAGAGGAAGTAGAGTGGTCCGTAGTTGTCTCCTTGAGGCTTTGAAGTTGTTCAGCATCATTTCTGTTCCCGCTTGTGTAAATTGCATCTGTCACTTGCTTGCAAGTTCTCTTTGTTTGTGTAAATCGTTGCATCTGTCACTTGTTTGCAAGTTATCTCTGTTTGTGTAAATCACATTGCACACTTGATTACAAATTCCCAGTTCTTCAACTCTTTTCTATTCTTCATCTTTTTTGCAGCTGCTACTTCTTTTTGGATCGTGTTTGTGGCATTCATCACCATCGGCGTTGTTCTTCTGAGAGAAGTTAGTATTCTCAAGTCTCGACTCATCTGTGATGGTGTATGTTTTTTCGTTTTTTGGACCTTTAGTTAGGGTCGGTGTATGTAGATTGCATTGTGTTAGTAACTGGTTCCACAAGCTCTTAAAGTTCGTCTAATATATTCGGAAATACATTATGGCCAAAAGAATTAACAAAATCCTACGGATAAAAGAATCGAAAGCAGAGAGAAAGAATCTAAACGAAGTCTGGAAAAATCAGAGCAAAACAATGCTCAGTCCAACAAATCCTAAAACCCCAACTCGTCTGGTCAAAGAAGAAGCAGAGCCAGTGACAGGAGGAACAGCTTGAGCTCCCAAAAGAGCTGGAGAAGGTGCCGGTGAAGGAGCAGAGCCGGTGAAGAAACCACCGGTGTGACCACCACGAGAGGACATGACGACAATGTGAAGCTTCTCGCCTTCGACACAGTTGCTTTTGGAGCCGCTGATGAAGAAATAAGGACCAGATCTCTCTAGCTTCACCTTGGTGTCTCCATTGGTGTAATTGGCTGCTGGGTTTGTGGTGTTGCAGTTAATGTACGCTTCTTTTGTCACTTGCAGAACCGAATCCTTTTCTCCATCGTACTTCCACACTGTCACAAACACACTGAATTCAGAAAATTTTGAAGTCAAAAGAAAAGAGCTGATTTTTGGATTTGAATTGGGGGAGAAAAGTCACCGAGAGAATCACCAACGTGAAATCGCAAGCTCTCAGCCCATTTGTTGAGGGAATCAGCAGGTGAAGAAGGGACTTTCCAGGCGGTGGGTTTGCCTCCGACCAGAACCTCTTTGCAACTGCCGAGATCAGCTAACAAGAAGAAGAAGAAGAAGAAAAGAAAGGAAGCTTCAACAAGTACTCTCCGAGCCATTAGAATTAAGCTGTCTATGAGTGAGAGAGTGAGAGTGAGAGAAAGAGATAGATTGTTGTGTCTTATTTGGACTCTGTTGCGAATGATTGGGCATGCATATATAGAGGAAGATGAAACTAGCCGTTGGAAGTGAATTAGTGTTTTGCAGTCCCAACGGTTATTTGAACAGTCATTTCGGATTCCAAGAAATTAGACATAAAATCTTGTCTTGTCTTGTTTGAACAAAAAACAAAAAATCTTGTCCGAACAAAAACCATTTCTTATTAACGGTCGGAGACATAATAAGCCATTAATTGGTAGATAGCGACCTGGTGCCGTAATTAACGAAATAGATTGTTTAGCAGCTAAACACGGATTATTGAAATCATCAGACATAGAAATGATAATTTAGAGTTTAAAGAGAGTATAAATAGAAATGAAAGAATCACATAGCTGTCATCAAGGAAGATAATCCGAAGTGTCAATTGGGAAAATCAAACAGAATACACTCTAAAAAGAAAAGGTTTACATATAAAACCCTTCTTTTGTTACTGTAACCAAAACCAGAGCAAAAACAAGAGGACGACCCTATTGTGCAACAACAAAAGCTTTTAAAAACTTGTGAAAAATCATAAACTATATTACCTTCTTTCTCTTCAATCAAATGTTTTCTGGAATCAATCGATCTTAACCGAGGAATAGATGAGCCTTGTGAACCAGAGACAAGCGTAGAACCCGATTGTTCCGGTCAGCACAAAGAACGCATAAGAAGCGATGAGCATGTACCCGAAGTAGAGCATAGCCGAGACGAGCTTAGTGATCTGAAGCTTCGTGAAGAAATAGAAAGCCGCGTAGAGGAAGAGATACAACGCAGACGAGCCTGATGTGAGGTAAGACCTCCACCACCAAAGGTAGTCCTCGCTGCAAAGCTGGAAGTAGCAGAGTACTACTGTTATCTCGGCGCAAGTAACGATGAGGATTACAAACACGAGGAAGAGGAACCCGAAGATGTAGTAGAACTGGTTGAGCCAGATGGATGTGAGGATGAAGAAGAGCTCAATGAAGACTGCACCAAACGGTAAGATTCCTCCAATGAGGATTGAGAAAACCGGGTTCATGTACCAAGCTTGCTCTGGGATTTGCCTCGGGATTTTGTTGGTTTTCACTGGGTCATCAGCCGCTGGCTTCTTGAAACCGATGTAACCGCCGACAAAGACAAGAGGAACCGAGATGCCAAACCAGAGGAATATCAAGGCGAACATCGTCCCGAAGGGCACTGCACCGGATGACTTCTGTCCCCAGATGAGAGCGTTGAGGACGAAGAAGATGGATGAGACAACTGCAGGGAACAAGAAGGCTGTTCTGAAGGCGATTCTCTTCCACTCTGTTCCTTTGAACATTTTGTAGAGACGTGAGGAGGCGTAACCAGCGAAGAGACCCATGAAGACCCAGAGCAGGAGCATGGCCGTCATCAGACCACCGCGATTGGAAGGGGAGAGAAATCCGAGCATGGCGAAGATCATAGTGACGAGTACCATGCCTAAACACTGGACCCCTGTACCAACGTAGACGCAGAGCAGATCTGAATTGGTTGGAAGCCTGAAAACATCACCATGGACAAGCTTCCATCCTGTCTCTTCTTGAGCTTCTTCTTGAGTCTCCAACTCGTTGTAGCGTGAAATGTCACGGTAAAGAGTCCTCAGCATAATCATTGCCACCATACCAGAGAGGAAGAGGACGATCATCAGAGAGTTGACGATAGAGAACCAGTGAATTTGATTGTCACTCATCAGAAGATAAGCATCCCATCTAGACGCCCACTTCACTTCACTTTCCTGAACAGGCATCAACAAAAAAAGTGAGAATGGGAAGACAATAGCATCTTAGCTACCAGGTGAGAAACTGATTAATCGAACAAGAACTTGCCTGGAAATCAACATCATATGTGAAGATGATTTCCTTCTTATTGTCGACTTCCTGAGGGGTAGCTGAGCTAACAACCAGGCGCTTTGTGTGTGGATCACAGGTAGTCAAACGGGTCTTCTCACTCCATTGTCCCTCGTATTCATGCTTGACGCTACAAAGCAAAGGAAGGACAATTAGTACAGAAAAATTCAAGGGGATTTCCAGGAGTGTCCAATCTAGTAACAAGAAATCCACCTGTATGGTTTGACCTCAAATCCCACAATCCTTGCAGCATCGGTTTGAATATCTCTGTGAAACCGGACGGTGAATGACAAGTGATTGTGCATAAAGTACTTTTGTTCTTTGCTCTGTAAATCAAAAGGAAAGCTTAGACAATCATACTATCACATGAAATGCAAATAGTGAACAATCCAAACCTACTTACCCCTTCATACTGGCCTTTAAGACCGACATGATAGCCGAGCTGATACACAACAGACGGAGCACCCTGGTCAAGTCTTTCGATTGGAACCACTAGAGGAAGGTTATCGAGGATCCTAACACACACAAACAAGCACATTATGAGAAAAATAACAGAGGCAGAACAAAGCTATTCCTTAAAAAAAGTCAGAGAAAAGGTCATACATGTTGACCCGGTACTCATCATCAATCTTCTCTTTGAATTCCTTGGCAGTCTTTGCATCAAGCGTGATACGGCAGAGAACATTGCACATTTGTGCCTCCCGCATTTTAAACTGCATTATTCCAACATTCCAAATCTCAATTTTTTGTCACCAGAAATGAATGATAACAACCCAAGTATCGACTGTGATCATTTCCAAGCAAAACAGAGACAAACCGAATAAGGTGCATTCTCGATCCGGTCACCACGAAGCACTTCTCCAAGATTTTCAGTACTGTCCACTATCTTCTTAGGGCGGCAGAAAGGAAGAGAGTAATACGAGTATGGAAGCTGAGTCTTTATGGAAGTCAACTTGTTTACTTTCACCTTCAGCTCATCGCCCTGCAGATAAGTAGAGACCAGAAAAGAACATCAACACTCATCATTTCAGCTTGGAGGTTACTAGCCACCTAGAAGATTACAAATTGCTAGGATTCTAATAAAACATGCATGCAAAAGTTCACAGAGATTTGCATTAATTTGCGATAGCACCTCGTAACTTTGATTTTGAATAATGAGAAGCGAATCATGACAAAGAGCTAACTAAGAGAATGAAAGAGAAAAAGCAGGAAAATTTGCAATGGCTAATACTATTCCCGAAGAGGAAATATCGATGAAGTTCTATTGGAAATGCGACATTACGCAGATCACGAAACCTATGAAGTAAATGAGGAAGCTAAATTCGTGCCTCAATCGTCAAAATTATACAAATCAATCTCGAGAAATGTCAAAAACAAAATGTCGGTGAATCGGCACTACGATTCCAAAACCAGATCCGAGAGATCCAAATCAGATCCCAAGGAATCAGATGAGGAATCGAGACGTTACCTTTTCGAAATCCTGAGGAGCGACGCCAGGGAGGTAGAAAGAGTGAGCACCATGGATGAAGAGCAGAAGAACCACGGCAATCACAGATCCGAAAATTTGTCTTCTTCTAGAGCTGCTCCGGAACTCCATAGCCATGGCGATTCCACGGAAGATGAAGAAGAAAGTGAAGCAGATCTGGGGAGCTAGAAGAAGCTAACGGTTTGTGAGTATTTTTGAATTGTCTCTGCGAGACGGAGAGAAGAAGCAAAGCAAGTATGATGATGATAGATCCTGGTTTCTCTCTCCGTTATTGCTTCGTTTCTGTAACATCACTCTGATCCTTTATATCCCGCCACGTGTCTCTCGTGGAAAATGCTGCTACTGTACAGTTTTAACCCGTCGAGAGCTTAATGGGCCACATTTCTCAGCCCATATACACTATAATTTATGCTATTGATCAATCCAAAATATCACCGGTTAACTTTACATTAAAATGTCTTTAATGAACCATATTTACCTAAGACGTTAAGCAAACCAAAAGATGTTAGTTTATGATCTAATTGATGTATTTTGTTTAATTAAAAAACGTTACAATAATATTTATATCAATCAGTCACTATATATTAGATACAGAAATCATGACGATGAGAAATCAAAACAAGAAACAAAAGTAAAGTGTATTTTGAAGAGAAAAGAATGGAGATTAAGGCATTTTTCGTGGGATTACTCTTAGTCACCATTTTGATATCATCTGCTAATCCTAGTTTAGCAACAAAAAATTACGACGAACCCTTGGTGGATCCTGACACCGATTTATCTAAGCAGCTTGCAAGTTGGCCTACTTCAGGTGAATACAATAAAGATATGTTAAGCAAAGAATCAGTGAAATACATGGAATTCGTTGAATATTGCGCTGAGAAAATGGGAATTAAGTGTAATGAAGAAGTGCTGGAAGGGATTCTTCAAAACAAAGCTGTTTCGAAAAATTGCTGCAAGAAAGTAGTGGAACTCGAGTTAGATTGTCACCTGGCAATTACAGATATAGTCTTCAAGTTGTACAAACTCAAACGTTTTGCTCCCAAGAGTCTTTCCAGGAGTTACAAAGTTTGGAACAGATGTTCTGCTCAAATTGTATCTCCCGTGCCATTTTCTGGTTAAAAAAGTATGTTAACTATAATAAAAAACCAAATTCATGTTATTAACATGAAATTATTTTGATATAAAAACCATATTCAAAAAAAAAAAATTAAAGTGCATCAAAAAGATTATGTGGTCAAATGCAAAATATGATTAAGAAACGAGTAAATATTCCCATTTACTTACAAATTTATTATAGGTGATGTGTAACAGTAGAAAACAGAAAAGTGCATTGACCTTTGAAGATCACAAGTTTATAACTATCCGTTAAAGAAAGTTCGGTCGGTCCTCGAAAGTCGAAACTGTTAATGGATTCTCATATGATCTTGTTGAGTAATAATGTATACATAAGGGGGAAAATATCAATTTGATACTATACCCTATATGCATGTATCTAGCTATATATATATACATGTGATATCTCATATTTGTACACTACCACTACGATCTCTGCTGCTTTTGTATCTTGAAAACTACAATTATCATAAAAGAATGAGTAAATCCACCTTGTTTGCTGTCTTTCTCATCCTTATCCTAGGTTTGTTTGATATTTGCAATCTCTAAATCCATAAGACCATGTATTTATTTTTATTTTATTGTATTTTGCTGCCATAAAGACTGAGAGTTTATGTTTAATGTTTTAATGATAATTTTGTAGGGATGATTGTTAAAGAGATTCAAGGGTTTGGATATTGTCATAAGTATTTATCGGAAACAGATTGTGGTGCGGGTTCATGCAACGCTCTGTGCCGACAACAATTCTTGGATGGAACTGGCAAGTGCCTTCACTTACGTGACGGACGGCTTGGATGCCTCTGCTTTTATTCTTGCGGTTCTTGAATTTTCTTTTCACTTTGTTTTTCTTTACTATAGAAATTCTTGTCAAGTATAATAAGAATATAAGATAAAGAATAATTGAAGAGAAAAGAAAAAATCTTACGTTGTAGTTTAATATTAAGAGGATGTGAAATGTGATCCGAACTGAACGAGCTAAACCAGTCCAAAAAAAAAAATGAAACCTCAATCCTTAAAAAAAGGAGTTACAAAGTTTAGAGTATAAAAACCAAATTCATGTTTTTTGACGAACTAAAAACAAAAACAAATTAAACTGCATCAAAAAGATTATGTACTCAAATGCAAACTCTGATTAAGAAACTAGTAAATATTTCCAACAACTTTAGGTGATGTAAAACAGTAGAAGACAGAAATGTGCATTGACTTCTGAAGATCATATCTATCCGTAAAAGAATATTCGGTCGGTCCTCAAAAACCATTAATGGATTCTCATATGATCTCTTGACGATGTATACAGTGCTGATTCCATATCTGGCACTTCACTAGAAAGAAGATGAGGAGAGAACTACTTCTATACGCCGTCGTTTTGGCTCTAGCTTGCCTCTCCCTGCCACGTGTCGTCGAATCTTCGGCTCGATGCAAAGCTTGGCTGGTTCAGTCCATCCCCACGGACATGCCTGAGCTTCCTCGCGTCTCTGGCGTACTTTCTACAGGTTACTCAATATTACTCTCTGTTTTCTTCCCTAAAAACTTTGCCAATTGAGTGAAAAGCTCTAAAATTTCTGGATTCGAAAGTGAAAGATTTCCTGCAAGAATCATTTTGTTGCTTGTGATCAGAAAAAGTTTGGATTTTTCTTTTGGTAGTTTCAAAATTGATCTTGTTGAGCCTTGTTTTCTCTGTTTTATTGCTCTGTTTTTGCTTCCCGGTAAAAAGTTTGGTAATTTAGTTAGGCTATTAGAAAGAAAATATCTGTATTTTTGTTTGAGACTTTGAGGGGGAATGTTTGGTGTGCAGGGGATGTGTTTCAGTGGCTTGCAAACAATTCAACAAAATCACTAGACATCATTGCACAGTACTGGCAACTTCTTGCTAAACCAAAAGATCCTCGCTCAGGCGAATTCGGTTATTCAGATTCAGAGTTGCAGCAATTTGGTGCTCATCTTGGTTCTCTAGTTTACAAATCCATTGATAACGCTGCTAATCGCAATGTTAATATCAGGTATATTAGTCCATGAACAATTGTTAGAGTTTGTGTGGAAAAGTATAAAGCTTTTAGGATTTGAATGATAACTGTTTCTGCATTTAGGCTATTGTCTCATTCAGGACTATACCCATACTATACCAAAGAACCATCTGATCTTGCTAATGGAAGACCAAACGTGAAGAATGTGACTTTGTTACTAAGCAAATGGTGGGGCTCAGGAATTGTTCATGCCAAGGTCTGGATTTCGGATGATCGTGACGTCTATATCGGATCTGCTAACAATGACTGGAAATCTCTTACTCAGGTATGTCTGAATATACATTAGATTCACGTAGAAAGTACATTGGCTGCGATAAAGAAAGCTGTTTAGGGTTTTGAGTCATTTTGATAGGTGAAGGAAGTTGGGATTTACTTGAGTGGGTGTTCAAGAATTGCTAGAAAGGTCAAAACTTATTTCAATAACTTGTGGAGATTGTCCACTCTTGATTCTTCAATACACACAAGAAATGTATCAGATCAACAATGGCTGATCAATAGAACTGTTCCTTGTTGGTCTCATTTCATACCTAACAAAGCAAGATGCAGGTAATGTTATTGGGAACTGACACTTTCTTCTTTACTTGACACTGATTGTCTTAGAGGAAAGACATTTTTTGGCTCTTTACAGGTCACCTCTTCCAAGTTACATAGAGACACCTAATGTGTCTCCAGGCTATCCTTCACTATCTGATCCTGAGATGTTAAGAGTCGAAATCGAAACTCTCCCTAGAAACCATTCTTGTCAAGAACCGCAACCGAGCTATCTATCTTTTGCACCACCAGAGGTGGATAAAAAAAACAAATTTTAGAGCATTTTCAAACAATCTTTGAACCGTTAATGATATGATCTTTGGCTTTCTCAAATATGTAGCTGCTGTTTGGAAAGTACCAGTCTGATGAACAAGGATGGGTAGATACAATTAAATCTGTAGTGGAAGGAGGAACGGTGAGGATCAATACAATGGATTGGCTAGGTCAGTCTCAGTACACTACTCCTAAGGTTTACTGGTCTTCCCTTTCTTCTGCGGTCTCCGAGGTACTTACCATATTCTTGATGATCTTACTCTACTAAAATGCAAGAATGTGAAATACAATACATTGGCATCGCAGGTCGTTTTCGCCAAGAAAGCCAAAGTGAAGATCTTAGTAGCATATTGGGGTCATTTCATTGAAGCCACTGATGGATACTTGAGGTCGCTGCTTTACTCAAATGTTCTTTGCTCTTCTTCTTCTTCTTCTGTGCAAAGCAAATGTTTGGGACAAGTGGAGATTAGATACTACATGGTTCCTGGTTTTAACAAGACAGGGCCTGCGGTTATAAACGGGACTAAAACAGGAAACTTGTATCCAGCTTACTCGAGGGTGAATCATGGGAAGTACGTAGTCAGCGACATGAGAGCTCACATAGGAACAAGTAATCTCGTTTGGGATTACTTCTTTACGACAAGTGGTGTGAGCTTTGGAACTTACAAGATGGAGATTGTGTTGAAGCTTCAGGAGATCTTTGATGCTGATTGGAACTCTCCATATGTAGTTCCTGTTCAAGAGCTTGGACAAGATATGTTTATTTAATTCCTCTTGCAAAGAATTTCTTTGTTTTAAACGTAAAGGTAGATTCATACAAAGTAGCATTATTCTTCAAGAATGTCTTTTTTTTCCTAAGCTAAACATACAAAGTGTTTAGTGACCATTAATGTTTGGCTCCTACAATTCCGATCTTGTTCGTTGTGCATAACTAATTAATGTTTTTTTTCTTATTATTTGTTTTTTTTTGTATATTTCCTTGTGGATGTGATCTCTTTTCTGATATTTCCTATGATCATTTCACCATCGTGTGTGTGTATGTATATATATTTACGATCTTTCTATTGGTTTTTGATTTGTTTATCCAAAGATATTACAGAACCTATAAATAAATAAAAGGTCTCTGCTTTATTTCTCGAAAGATGCACAAGTGTCAAATAAATACAGGTATAATCCGAAATTTCTGAGTCTTGACTTTTAAGTGAAGTTTCAGTGATTAAGCAGGGTGGTGAAGCGGTTGGTCATCAAAGGCGAGGTAGTGATCGGTGCGGCGGCGGAGTGGGAAGGCAAAGACCGGACAGCTGTCGTGATCGCTGAGGCTAGACCCATCAGCACGAAGATGAATTCTTCGAGTATTCTCAGTGTCTTTCTCACCATCGAAACTTTGTGTGTTTCTCTATTGCCGAAGTTTCAAGAAGAGAGAGCAAGAGAGAGCGAGAGAGAGAGAGAGGCGTGTGATAGTTTTGTGCTGACTTGTGATCATGGGAGAGAAGTAGAAAGAAAACGCTATGCGTTGAAAGACTTTTCCCTTCTCTGTCCCTCTTGATCAAATCCCAATTTTCTTGCTTTCCTCACACTTCTCTTCAGCCGCCTCACACTTTCTCTTATGCCGCCATCATCACCTACATCATCTACAACCATTAAAGGAGGCAGGGCCGGCCCATACTGTTTTGCCGCCTAAAGCCAAATTTGTTTTTTGAGCCCACTAAAAATGGGTATTTTTTAAAAAGCAAGAAAAGTGTGGGCACCGAGCTTCGAAGACAATCCCTGATGGTCATAATGGAGAGTCATAACCACTACACTACCACAAATTCTCTGTAACTTGGCGCCCCAAATTGTATATGATCTCGTGGCGCCTAAAGCACCTGCTTTACTGGCCTTAGGTCAGGGATGGCCCTGAAAGGAGGTGTCCCACATCGGATGGGTAAGTAGTTAGATAGTGCCACTGATTGCCGATTCATCCGTATTTCATTTGTTATATTATATATGTCAATGTCCCTTTAATTTGTCTCACACCACACACACACACCGATTTAGGACATTGTAGTACCAATTGGACCGATCCGGTGTACTACTACTACCTAGCCATCGAAAGGGAGAAAAGGTCCTGAGTTCGAGCACTAGCTAATCTGCGCATTTACTCACTTTTCCAGAATGTTTGAATTTACGCAATACTATTGCAACGATAGTCAAACAACTGGACTCGTCGAAGTTTCATATTAAATCTTCTAATAAGTAGATTAAAATAGCTTTTTTTTTGTCGTCTCGTTGTTCTTTGAAATATTATTCTTTTATTATTTGACTTTGGAATACAAGGAAAGGTGGGTCGTTTTGGACTCTCTACGACACGAACACGTGCCTGTTCTTCTCAAACTATCCTCCAATTAATGTTTAAGTTTTGTCCGTTACCTTTTTCTCTATATATCACGCAATCTAATTTTACCGTATCCACTTGTCCAATAAGTTTATGTCATTAATTTGTGCGAAGCTAAAACTCAAACCTGCAAATGGTGATAACTGATAAGTAACAACAGTACAACTGTACAAATAAAATTATTTCGGATATCTGTCCTGCTCAAAAACTAACGTTTCTTTATTTTATTTTTTTTTTGGTTTGAAACGTTTCTTTATTTATTTCTGAAAATAAATTGTTAGCTGTAATTTTATGAAAATATTCATATGCATACAGCATACTATATCTCAATTTGTTAACAGAAGAAAAATATCTCTAGAAGTTCTTGTCATTTACATCAACACATGTACTGAAAACGACAAAGAATGTCTCTTATTTTAAACGCAAAGGTAGATTCAGACTAAGTAGCATAATTTTTCAAGAATGTTTTTTTTACTGAGCTAAACGTACAAGTGTTTAGTGACCATTACATCATTTAATTGATCTCAATTGTTACAGTAGTTTCTCCAAGTGATCATTCTGATATGATACCTTAAATTATAATTTAAAAATTTATCTTCTAAATGTTTTTTTCCTTCTAATTAATTAACCAAGTCCAAAATGCGAGCCTATATATACGTGTGTTTATAGTGAACAAGAACAATAAATTTTTCCCTTTGTTAATACTTCCTCATCTCTTGACTCGTTTAAATACGGATATAAAGCATCCACGAACACGATCATTGTAGTGCAAATGTGGTGGTCTCTACTTGGGGATATATAATATCTAAAGAAATGTTGAAAGAAGCATTTTGTGTAGGAATTTGGTTGGAGTAGGGCCGAAGGAAGGTCGTTGGAGTTGCAAAGAAAATACATATATAGATTGAAACCCATGAATTGAGGTGTCCCATATTAGATGGATAAACAGTTAGGTAGTGCCACTGATTGCCTTCATCCTTATTTCATTGGTCATATATGTCACTGTCCCTTTGTCTCACACCGCACACCCACCGATGTAGGATATTGTAGTACCAATTGGACCTATCCGGTGTACTACTACCAAGCCATCCAAAGGGAGAAGAGTTGGGAAGGTCCTGAGCTCGAGCACTAGTGAAGGAGAGTGAACTAGTTTAACTGTTTAATATAGTTTTTAGTCTTCCATCTAAGAATAAATCATGGGTCTAGACCTGAATCTTCGTGGTTAGAAAAAAAGAAGATATTTGTGGAGCAGTTTAATATAGGTTTGTTCGGACTACAAAAACGAGATATTTTGTTGTTTGTTTCCCTTTTTGCGTTTTGCTTTAAAAAATATTAGAAATAGGTTTTGTTTCAATTTTGCTATGTGATGTCATAATTAACCGTTTCTAGATTAGATGGCTCTATTAGATGACTTTAAATATTTTAATCATGTATTATTAGCAGACAGAGTTGATTTGTGGGTTTAGGGTTTAGTTTACAAGTAATAATATCTTTGTTTGGTTATGATACTTGTGGAGTTGATTCCTTGTTTCATTGGTTTAACAGTGTTTTAGATATTTATAAATTGAACAATGTTGGCTGAAAACAACCTATTATTTGGAATTTTTGATAGAGTTTGGTGGCCCAGTGATAACGTTGGTTCATCAGATTCCCTCCATTTAAAGGTATAGCTCGACTTGCATTCCATGCATCAGAGGCTAAATAATGCACGATTCATAGGACCTACAAACATTATCTTTCTCCTTTTCTTTTTGTTTTTATATCGATCTTTCTATGTACTCATTTAACTTTCTATTTGTAATTTAAGCCTTGCATGCATAGACATATACATGACGATTCTTACACGATAGGGTTAAACTCTTTTGAGTCATCTATAATTTTGATATGTATGGTATCAGGATTTGATTATTGTACCTCCGAAGATGTACAATAACATGTTATGTGTTTCCGCATGCGATCGATATCCTGAATAACTTTTGGTTTTGGGGGTTATAAGAAACCGTTAATTTTGTTTACAAATCCAACACAGATTAGTCAGTATACTTGCATAAGACATTGTAGAATTTTTGTAGCAACCTGAATTTCTAGTTTATATTCTGTTTAACCAAGAAGGTATTGTACATATATAATACATTTGTACTCAATTTCAACGCAGCAGAGGCATATGATATGTGATGATATGTCTACTACTTATAATTTGCTCCTACTCACTTTTCCGGAATATTTGAATTACGCGATGCTAATGCAACGACAATTAAACGTCTTGACTTGCTCGTCGAAGTTTCATGTATCGGAATAAGTAAATTAAAAATGATTTTTGTCGTCTCTTCGTTCTTTGAAATTACTCGAATCCAAGGAAAGGTGGGTCGTTTTGGACTCTCTGCGACAGGTACACGTGCCTGTTCTTCTCAAGCCATCTTCCAATTATATGTTTAAGTTTTGTCCGTTACTGTTTCTCCATCACGCAAGCTAACTTTACCGTATCCACTTGTCCAGTAACTATATATGTCATTAATTTTGTGAGAATCTAAACTCAAACATACAAATGGTATAACATGTTAGTAAGTAGTAATCTTCACATTTTACCCAAAAAAAATGTTATAGTAGTAACAGTATATAAAATATATGTCCTGGTCAAACGTACGTTTTTTATCTTCTGAAAATAATAAATTTATTAGTTGTAATATTTATGTATATATATTCATTTGCAGGGCAACATATAACTGTGTATAAAAATATCCCAGCCTCGTTCAACAGACAAACTTTCTTTATGAAGTTCTTGTTATTTACGTTAATACATGTGCTGAAAAAGACAAAATGTCACTGATGATGATACTAGATATTTCGGTATATGTTTTACGTTAATACGATGTTTACACGAATACTTCACATAAAAGTATTTATATAAATGTTTTAGTGTATTCTTTGTAGATATTTTTCTTTTTTTACGTATCTGTTTATTAATTTTCTCATGTTACAATCATCTAATGTATTATTTTCTATGAAATGACATATATATATATATATATATGGATGAAGCCAGAAACAAAATATACAATAGTACAAATATCGATTTTGTTTCATGTAATTCTTACTATTTTTTCTCAGCTTTTTCTATTTCCAATTTTTGAATATCTTACAGTTTATTGATAAATATTGGCTTGAAAATTTTATTAAAGATCAGGACAAATCAGATAATGTCACATGTTTTGGCCTACATTCCGACAACAGTCACCAAAAGAGCCGCTCTATGATTCTGTCACAGTAAGCATATTTGTTGCTTCAATTTCTCCCATTAACCCGTAATCCGATATTTCTCGCTTGTTGGAAACCTAATTCTATACGTTTTATTCTAACATAATTCTGAATTAATTAACATTAACTCAAGAGAAATTTTGTTGGATTCCTTTATTTATATATATCAGATCCCAAAGGATTTCTGTACACACGATTTACAAAACTTCTATTTAAAGGTGCTTAATACATTTTACAAAAAGTTCCCGAATCTAAACAACCATTAACAAAAATCAACAGTTTCCACATTACTATCATCATATTCTCTCACAGTCACTACCAAAGCTTCCATCGCTAATATAGTTATCATTATTATGATTTATAATATTAATATTATTATTAATCGTAGTAATACTATTATTATTATTGTCGCCGTGCCACGACCACACGATGTCCGTCAACGCCGGCCTGACTTGTTCTTCGTATAACCTATTGTACTCCAGAGTGTCTCCCGCCGATTTGCAGAACTCCACGAGCGCCACCTCCGGCGCCACCTCGAACACCTCCGCCGTCACCGAGATCGGTCCTTTCCTCCCCTCCGTTTTCCCCTGCATCTTCACCTTGCAATCCTTCGTCTTCTTCACCTTCATATCAATCTCCTTCCCGATCCCTTCGATCTTCGCCATTATCTCCGACGCCGACCACCGCGACGTGAACATCGACCTCAGCTTCCTCTTGCTCTCGAACATGCTCGACAGATCGAATCCCGACGACATCGACGAGATGAATTCGAACGCGTTGTAGAATTTCGGCGAGATCGGCGACTCCTCGCCGTCGTCTCCGTCGTCTATCCTCTGATGATCCTCGTCGTAATCGGGAGAATTGATCGGCTCGTCGAGCTTGAAAGCGATCGGAGGCTTGAATCCTTTCCGAAACCACGGCGTGCGCATAATCGCCGCGATCGAGATCCGTCTCTCGGGATCGACGACGAGAAGCTTCGAAATCAGCCTCCTCGCCTCCGGGGAAATCCACGGCGGAAACTCGAACTCCGATTTGAAAATCTTCCGATACATGTTCATCAGATTCTCATCCTGAAACGGCAGAAATCCGGCGAGAAGCACGTACAGAATCACGCCGCACGACCAGATATCCGCCTTAGCGCCGTCGTATCCCTTCTTCCGAAGAACCTCCGGCGCCACGTAAGCCGGCGTACCGCACTGCGTGTGCAACAATCCGTCCTGGAGAAGCTGCTCCGGCAACGCCGAGAGTCCGAAATCGGAGACCTTGAGGTCTCCGTTCTCGTCCACGAGGAGATTCTCCGGTTTCAGATCCCGATGAGAAACGCCTCTGCTGTGACAGAAATCAACGGCTGAGATCAGCTGCTGGAAATATTTCCGCGCTGCGTCTTCTTTAAGCTTTCCTTTGACGACTTTGGCGAAAAGCTCGCCGCCTCTGACGAACTCCATGATGAAGAAGATCTTCTTCTTCGTCGCCATGACTTCTTTCAGCTCGACGATGTTGGGGTGACGAACGAGCCTCATGATGGAGATCTCTCGCTTGATTTGATCCATCATGCCTTCTCTCTTCATGACGTGGTCTTTGTTGATGATTTTGATGGCGACGCTCTCGCCGCCGATGATCTCCTTGCCGTAGTAGACTTTAGCGAAGGTTCCTTTGCCTAGTAGCCTCCCAATCTCGTATTTCCCGAACAGAACTCGCCGTTCTTCCTCCATTCTTTCAGTTGAAACGTAGAAAGAAAAGAAAATGGTAAGTAAGTGAGTGAGTGAGTGGGAGAGAGAAGATTTAGGAGTTAGGAAAAGGAGAAGCTGTTGAGGGAAGAAGAATCCATGAGAATATACCATCGCTACAGAAGTAGGATGATTCCATGTTTTCAAAAGCAGCAAAAAGGAATGAATATGAGAGAAAGATGAGAGAAGAGTGGTGATGAAGGAGATAGCGGTTTGAGAAAGGTCCCTTGGAAATATATTCAGTGTGTGGGGTGTGAGTTTTTAAGAGATTCCTTACACGAAAGAGACTCTCGAATCGACTAGTGCCGCGGTTTTAGAGATGCAAATTGTATTAGGGAGGGACCATTGTTTTTTCTCTATATACATGTCTAATTGAATTATTTTAGTTTTTTTTAACAACTGTGGATTTACATTGTTGAATATATTTAATCATCATGAACATATCTGTTGTACTTTGAAATTAATGTATTAAATGCTAATGACTAAACTTATTGATGTTTGAGTTTTGGCTTTTTTCATAAAATGTGAACAAAAGTTGTAACTTCCCTGATTTGTTTAAGGGAAAATGTTAGCTTTCCTCGTTTTTTTTTCACCCTATCATCTGAGCCTGCTTACATGGGTGGGCAGATGATGCAATCGTCTGGAGCCTACCTTAAATTTGATTGATTGTTGATTTAAAATACCATTTTCAATTACAGTTGTACAAATTTATCAATATTGATATATACTAAAAGGGGTCATAAGTGTTGTAAAAACTTAGTATATTTTTTGTCTTCTCCTAGATCCCCCCATCATATATTCAAAATTTATAACTTACGTTTGTTCTACGTTTCTTATGTTCACTGAAGAATCTATCGAAACAAAACAATGATAAGAACGCTACGTCTTGGTCTTATGACTCCCCTCGACTTGTTATCCGTAATTCCACTGATATTATTTTATTCATCTCTTCCATATGTGCTCCCCTCGACTTATTAAATTGGACCAGTTGGTACGTACCGTGGTGATGGAATTGGATTGAAACTGTTTTCTGTATAAATTTCACAAGTTTTTTTATGAAGTAGACTAGTGGTAGTGTAGATAGCAAACAAACTTATGTAACAGACAAAATATATATAGAAAAATATCGAAGCGCGGAAAATCGTTATCAAGCCTAAAAAATGTTCTAATGAGGTAGAAAATTAGTATGCCCCATCTATTGAGATACATGTGAATGTAATCTAACGGTTTTCGTTAAAAATAAAAATACAGCTATGCACAATTTTAAATATTCTGTTAGCTATGTATATATTTAGTTAATTAGCAAAATTTTAATCCGTTCATAAATCTATATCGGATTTCAAAAGACAATATATAAATTTCTGTGTAACAATGGTCCAAAGATTTTGGTAAAAGAGATTAGTGTTTTTGACTGAAATTTCGAATAAAAACAAATAATGATGACCCAATGGTAGCATTTTGTTTGTAGCTATAGTTGGAGAAGATATTTTCTGGGCTGAATAATTTTTAATATTGTCATTGGCTCCTACCAACATTTTTAAAAACTTAGTACACAATTAATGAGTATATAATATGCGTCTACATAATAAAGTTTTCATGTCGACGGCAAAGGACAAGATATGCAAGTCAATTTCGTCATGTAGCTTTGGATCTTTGTTTTTTTAGGCTAAATAATTGATATGGTGATGTTGATTGATTATTAAAGCTGTAAACACGATTAGTACAACCCTATGATTTGGTTTGAATTAGCTGGTTTATTTCACTAAATCTTTTTTTTTATACTGTATATTCATATCAAACAAATAGATTAATTTCGAAAGAAGACATATTGATATCAAGAAGCAAAGCTAACGGCTCCTGTTTATAATAAAAAAATGTTCCATAAGCTGTTTTACCTCAAAGCTCAGGCACAAAACTCTGTAAATCTCTTCAAGGTAATCCTTCAGTAATACTTTGTGTCAACGAGTGTATAATACAAATACACAATAGTTCAAATATTGAAGCAAACAAGAGATTAGATAAACTAGCTCAAAGAGTTTAACGTGTTCCATTATTCTCAGTTTAGAATCTTCAAGAGACTTTCCCTAAGAACCTTTGTTTGAGGTATGACTGAAAAGTTTAATCAAACCATACTATACAGACTGTATAGACTACTGAGCATCCAAACAATGCATGAGCTTCACTAACTTACTGCCTTGGATTTTCCTTTACAGAAGGAATGCCGAATCTCTCCTTGTAGCCACATGGTAAAAGCAGCACTTTATATTAGTAAAAACCACCTAACGACGACAATCGAAGTACTTGAAATTCAGGGGAACCATATAGGCAAGCTATTGTAAGTTTATAACTCTGTAAACACTAACAGGAGAAGCATATATTTGATGGAAACACAAAACATGAAAATGTGTTTGGTTAAAGCCCAATGGGCCTATTAGTGAAATTGCTGTCCAAAAAAGAAGAAAGAATGTGATAGACAAGAATTATGTCTTGGACAACAATTTCAGTGTGATAGACAAGAGCACTATAGAGGAACTGTTGGAGCTAATAACTGTTTCCTCTACGACAAATTTCAGCAAATAGATTTCGACTGAAAAGTGACTAAAAATTTCAAACGCTAAAAATGTCAGACTTTTCATATCACAGATTAGCAACATCAACATGTTGTTAAAATGTGTCATTCGAAACATGTTACACGTTGAACCCCTGTCATAGACCAGCGACTATAAAACTAAGTCATACACTCATACTCGTTTAATTACAACCACACCAGTATTCAAAGTTTCTAACGAACACACATCGTTTAATTACAATCACACCAAGAAGAAATTTCATGGGTGTTTCGTTAATGTTGAAAAATCCTAGCATTTATTAGTTCGTGGGGACATCTGTATCATTGTTTGGTTTGCAAAATAAACTTATCATGTATCAAGAATTCCATGCAACCTTATCCTTGAAAACGATGATGACAGAATTTACGATTTGATATTTTGATTGATAAAGACTGCTGTTTAATTAGAAAAACCAAAATTGACGAAGACCCCGAAAGACTATTTATAAAATAATTGTATGCATACACACTGAAATATTGGTGAGCTCAAATGACGACAAAAAAGCCGAGCTCAGTTGTAAATTTCTCAGGTGGGCACTCTTACGTTGTACACCGTCTCACTGCCAAATACTGTATAAATATGAAACTCCCACCGACTGATTTGTCACACAATCAATACAAGTACCAAAAAAAAGAAGAAAAGAACAATCGTCTCTCTCTCTTTTCTCCATCTTTATCTTTTAATCAAATCTTCTGCACAAAGTTTAACACTTGAAGGTACAATCATTAACGACCTCGGTCTCTCTATTTATGTTCATGTTTCAATATGATAGAAGAAATTATTTTCCTTTTATATAGTTGTTTTCTTGACATTTTCGAATACTGCATCTATTTTTTCGAATAATCGAATACTGCAAGGAAATTTAGAAAGCTTTAATCAGAGTGATTCTTAATTTGGTGGTTTTAGTTTGCGCGGTTCTGTATTTTCCATTTACTTAACAAGTTATTATTCACTTAATACCGACAAAAAACAAAAATCACCTACTTAACATGGTACTTTATATATAAACCATCCTTCTTTTGTGTAGGAAGCAAAATGATATTGTGGTATATCATTGTTGCAATCGTCTTCTTTGCATATACAGTCACTGCAAAGAACATGCGAAAGCCAAAGAAGAATCTACCTCCTGGACCACCACGACTTCCTTTAATTGGGAACTTGCACCAATTGGGATCTCATCCTCATCGTTCCATGTTCAAACTATCTCAAAAGTATGGATCTTTAATGTCCCTCAAGTTTGGAAACGTGTCTACCGTCGTGGCATCAACTCCAGAGACGGTGAAGGAAGTCTTGAAAACATTCGACGCAGAGTGTTGTTCACGACCTTACATGACGTATCCTGCAAGGATCACATACAATTTAAACGATCTTGCTTTTTCTCCTTATAGCAAATATTGGAGGGAAGTACGAAAGATGACGGTTGTTGAGCTCTACACGGCTAAAAGGGTAAAATCATTTGGACATGTAAGAGAAGAAGAAGTTTCTTCCTTAGTGGATTTCATCAAAGACTCTGCTTCATTGGAGAACCCGGTTAACTTGAGCGACAAGTTATTGAACTTGTCAGCAAGTGTGATATGTAAAGTTGGATTTGGGATAACTCTCAAAGGAAGTAAACTTGAGAGTAGCTATGAGGAGGTGATGAAAGGAACCATGGAGGTGTTGGGGAGTTTTGCAGCAGCTGATTACTTCCCGGTTATCGGTAAATTCATTGATAGGATCACTGGGTTGCATAGCAAATGTGAAAATGTTTTCAAAGCAATAGATTCCTTTTTCGATCAAGCTATAAAGCATCACCTAGAAGATAAGAGTCTTAAAGATGATATCATTGCCTTGCTCCTCAAGATGGAAAGGGGAGAGACTGGACTTGGAGAGTATCAACTTAGTCGAAACCACACCAAAGGAGTTCTTCTGGTAAGTAATGTATATCTCTCAATCAATAACTTGATTTTTTCACATTTTGGATAAATTTAAAATCTTGTGTTATGGATTATCACAGAATGTTCTTATTGCTGGAGTAGACACTTCTGGCCACACAATAACATGGGTGATGGCATATTTGATTGCAAACCCAAGAGTTCTAAGGAAAGTGCAAGCCGAGGTGAGAGAAGTGATAAAGAACAAAGATGATATCACAGAAGAAGATATCGAGCGACTCGAGTATCTAAGAATGGTGATTAAAGAAACACTTAGGTTAAACCCACTTGTGCCACTTCTCATTCCAAGAGAAGCTTCAAAAGATGTAAAGATCGGAGGTTATGACATTCCAGAGAGAACATGGATCCATGTCAACATTTGGGCTGTCCATAGGAATCCAGATGTTTGGAAAGATCCAGAATCTTTCATACCTGAGAGGTTTATGGATAATGAGATTGACTATAAGGGTCTAAACTTTGAGCTGTTGCCATTTGGTAGCGGAAGGAGAATGTGCCCTGGTATGGGTATGGGTATGGCTTTGGTACACTTGGCTCTTATCAATCTTCTTTACCGTTTTGATTGGAAGCTTCCTGATGGAATGAAGGTAGAAGATGTTGATTTTGAAGAATCATATGGACTTGTCTCTCCTATGAAAGTTCCACTTCAACTTATCCCGGTTCTTACCCAATGGACTTGATTTCACTTTATATTTCCAGAGTTCAAATGTAACCTTTGTTACTATCAATAATGTTTTTTTTTTTTTTTTTTTTTTTTTTAACTTTACTATCAATAAGGAAGTTTTTTTATGCTAATGTGACTATCAATAAGGAAGTTGTTTTTGATGAATCCATCGTTTAGCATATTTTTCCGGTAACCACAACTTTTTGTGACGACTGTTATTACCTATTCGAACTAGTCAAATAAGTTAATGAAACCTTAAGAGCAGAAGAATTAAAAACTATGATTTAATTTCTCCTTCTTTTCTTCTCAATGTACTGAGTCTGAGATCAATCACAGGATCACTCTTAAGTCTTAACTGATCTATCAAGGTTAAATATAACATAGCGATCGAGTCACAAGTGTCACTGGAATTTTTTTTTTTTTTTTTAAACCATGAAAGACTTCGTTAAAAATTGCAGATTAGCTTCGACTAGTGATTAAAATACGTATCCTTAACAGTTTTTAAACCCTTTCGTGGGCCATCATACTCGTCTAATTAATTACAACCACGCCAATCAAACGAAAACGTATCACCTTATCTTGAAAAAATCTAGCAGTATATATTCCTTTGTGGGGACATCTCTATTATTGTTTGATTTACAAAATGAACTTATCATGAAAGAATTCCATGCAACCACATCCTTGCATCAATGATGACAACAACAAGAGACAAATATCTTATGAACAAATATTCTCTCTTTAGGAACGACTTCACGTAATAATCATATAAAACATACAATAAATAATACTTCAAATTCATCTCTTGCTCTCACTCCAATTTCGTCAATCAAATCTTCTGCACAAAGTTTAAGACTTGAAGGTAGTCTTATCATACGTGCTCGGTCTCTCCACCTATGTTTATGAATAGATTAGGGTTCTTACTGCTGTGTTTCATAAGCTGTATTACCTCAATTCTCAGGCACAAAACTCTGTAAATCTCTTCAAGGTAATACTTTTTGTCAAGGAGTGTATAATATAAATACACAAGAGTTCAAATATTGAAGCTAACAAGAGATTAGATAAAATAGCTCAAAGAGTTTTACGTGTTCCATTATTCTCAGTTTAGGATCTTCAAGAGATCTACCTAAGAACCTTTGTTTGAGGTATGACTGAAAATTTTCATCAAACCATACTACAGAGTACAAGAGTACAGTTCTGTATTTTCCATTTACTTAACAATTTCTTTTTGGGGGTTACTTTATATATAAACTATCCTTTTTTGTGTGTGTAGGAAGCAAAATGATATTGTGGTATATCATTGTTGCGATCGTCTTCTTTGCATATACAGTCACTGCAAAGAACATGCGAAAGACAGAGAAGAATCTACCTCCTGGACCACCACGACTTCCTTTAATTGGGAACTTGCACCAATTGGGATCTCATCCTCATCGTTCCATGTTCAAACTATCCGAAAAGTATGGATCTTTGATGTCCCTCAAGTTTGGAAACGTGTCTACCGTTGTGGCGTCAACTCCAGAGACGGTGAAGGAAGTCTTGAAAACATTCGACGCAGAGTGTTGTTCACGACCTTACCTGACGTATCCTGCAAGGATCACATACAATTTAAACGATCTTGCTTATTCTCCCTATAGCAAATATTGGAGGGAAGTACGAAAAATGACGGTTGTTGAGCTCTACACGGCTAAAAGGGTAAAATCATTTGGACATGTAAGACAAGAAGAAGTTGCTTCCTTAGTTGATTTCATCAAGGACTCTGCTTCATTGGAGAACCAGGTTAACTTGAGCGACAAGTTATCGAACTTGTCAGCAAGTGTGATATGTAAAGTTGGATTTGGGATAACTCTCAAAAGAAGTAAACTTGAGAGTAGTTACGAGGAGGTGATGAAAGGAACCATGGAGGTGTTGGGGAGTTTTGCAGCAGCCGATTACTTCCCATTTGTCGGTAAATTTATTGATAGGATCACAGGGTTACATAGAAAATGTGAAAAGGCTTTCAAAGCAATAGATTCATTTTTCGATCAAGCTATAAAGCATCACCTAGAAGATGAGAGTCTTAAAGATGATATCATTGCGTTGCTTCTCAAGATGGAAAGGGGAGAGACTGGACTTGGAGAGTATCAACTTACTCGAAACCACACCAAAGGAATTCTTCTGGTAAGTAATGGAAACCTTGCAATCAATAACTTCATTCTTTACATGTTGGATAAAGTTGAAGTCATATCTTATTTTGATTGTTACAGAATGTTCTTATTGGTGGAGTAGACACTTCTGGCCACACAATAACATGGGTGATGACACATCTGATTACAAACCCAAGAGTTATGAAGAAAGTGCAAGCCGAGGTGAGAGAGGTGATCAATGACAAAGATGACATAACAGAAGAAGATATAGAACGACTCGAGTATCTCAAAATGGTGATTAAGGAAACACTTAGGATAACCCCACTTGTGCCACTTCTCATTCCAAGAGAGGCTTCAAAAGATGTAAAGATCGGAGGTTATGACATTCCAGAGAGAACATGGATCCATGTCAACATTTGGGCTGTTCATAGGAATCCAGATGTTTGGAAAGATCCAGAAGCTTTCATACCAGAGAGGTTTAAGGATAGAGAGGTTGACCATAAAGGTCTAAGCTTTGAGTTGTTGCCATTTGGTAGCGGAAGGAGAATGTGCCCTGGTATGGGTATGGGTATGGCTTTGGTACACTTGGTTCTTATCAATCTTCTTTACCGTTTCGACTGGAAGCTCCCTGAAGGAATGGAGGTGGAAGATGTTGATTTTGAGGAATCATATGGACTTGTCTCTCCTAAGAAAGTTCCACTTCAACTTATCCCGGTTCTTACCCAGTGGACTTGATTTCACTTTATAACCTTTATTACTATCAATAAGGAAGTTTTATTTTTTTATTTTTATAAAGAATAATAAAGAAGTTGTTTGATGAATGATGAATCTATCGTTTAGCACATTTTCTCCGGTAACCACAACTTTTTTGTGACCGTTACTACCTGTTCGCACTAGAATCTTGAAGAGAAGAACTAAAAAAAGTATGAATAAATTTCTCTTTCTTATCTTCTCAATGTACTGATCAATCACAGTCTCTCTTAAGTCTTAACTATCAAGGTTAAATATAACATAGCGAGTAACGAGTGTTACTGGAATTTGTTATTTAAAAAACCATGAAAGACTTCGCTAAAAATAAGCCTTATCTTGAAAAAATCTAGCAGTATTCCTTTGTGGGGACATCTGTATTATTGCTTGGTTTACAAAATAAACTTATCGTGAAAGAATTTCGTCCACATCCTTGCATCGACAATGACAACAAGAGAAAAAAAATCTTACGAGCAAATTGATAAAGACTGCTCTTTAAATATCAAGATCGATGAAGACTGGATATTATAGACAAGTGTATCTCTCCTTACTCTTTAGGAACGACTTCACGTAATAACTATCTTATAAAAAATACAATAATTAATACTTCACATTCATCTCTTGCTCTCACTCCATTTTCGTCAATCAGATCTTCTGCATAAAGTTTAAGACCTTAAGGTAATCTTACCTTACGTGCTCGGTCTCTCCACCGATGTATATGATTCTCTATTATCGAATTATAAACTCAAATTATAAAGGCCGTAAAAAAAAAAAACTCAAATTATAAAGAAAAATTATCTATTTGTTTTCTCGGCTTATTCGCATGTAGCATCTATACCTTGATAGTGTAAGGAAATTTAGAAATTTTTCTTGTGTTGCCCTTACGGCAGAGTGATGCTTTGGTGGTTTTTGATTTCCGCAGCTCTATATTTTTCAACCACTTTAACATGCTAATTTGGTTAATGATCCACTTAACATGCTTTTTAGGGGGTTAATCATCCACTTAATATGCTATTTAGATTTCTCTTAAGATTATTAAATAATTAACTTGAGCTGTCTAAAACTTAATCGACTTTATATATAGACTATCCCTTTTTGTATATCTTTTTCTGTAGGAAGCAAAATGATATTGTGGTATACAATTGTTGCGATCGTCTTCTTTACGTCTATACTCATTGCGAAGAACACAAGAAAGACGAAGAAGAATCTACCTCCTGGCCCACCAAGATTTCCTATAATTGGCAACTTGCACCAATTGGGAACCAAACCTCATCGTTCCATGTTCAAGTTATCTGAAAAATATGGATCTCTTATGTCCCTCAAGTTTGGAAATGTGTCTACCGTTGTGGCGTCAGCACCGGAGACAGTGAAAGAAGTCTTGAAAACCTTCGACATTGATTGTTGTTCACGACCTTACATGACTTACGGTGCAAGACTTTCATACAATTTAAAGGATCTTGGCTTCTCTCCCTATAGCAACTATTGGAAGGAAGTAAGAAAGCTGACAGTCGTTGAACTCTACACCGCGAAAAGGGTACAATCTTTTCGACATATTAGAGAAGAAGAAGTTGCCTCCTTCGTGGATTTCATCAAGGAATCTGCTTCGTTGGAGAACCCGGTTAACTTCAACCACAAGTTACTGAAATTGTCAGCAAGTGTGATTTGTAGGCTAGGGTTTGGTATAAGTCTCAAAGGGAGTAAACTTGAGAATACTTTTGAGGAAGTGGTTCATGGAGTCATGGAGGTTGTGGGGAGCTTCGCAGCGGCGGATTACTTCCCGGTCATTGGTGGAATCATCGATAGGATCACAGGTTTACATGGCAAATGTGAGAAGGTTTTCAAAGCAATGGATTCGTTTTTTGATGAAGCTATAAAGCATCACCTAGAAGACGAGAGTATTAAAGATGATATCATTGACTTGCTCCTCAAGATGGAAAGGGGAGAGATTGGACTTGGAGAGATTCAGTTTACTCGAGACAACACCAAAGGAATTCTTCTTGTAAGTACTGAAAAAAAACATCTCAACTCAAAACTCAAACTCTTTTCTCTAATGTCTTGCTTTCTTGTTTATATATTACAGAATGTTCTTGTCGCTGGAATAGACTCTTCTGCCGAAACTGTGACATGGGTGATGACACATTTGATTGCAAACCCAAGAGTTATGAAGAAAGCACAAGCCGAGGTGAGAGAAGTGATCCAAAACAAAGACCATATCACAGAAGTCGATATAGAACGACTTGAGTATCTCAAAATGGTGGTTAAAGAAGCGTTTAGGATAAACCCCATTGTGCCACTTCTAGTTCCAAGAGAAGCTATAAAAGATGTAAAGATCGGAGGCTATGCCATTCCAAAGAAAACATGGATCTATATCAACATATGGGCTATTCACAGGAATCCAAACGTTTGGGAAAATCCAGAAGCTTTCATACCAGAGAGGTTTTTGGATAATGAGATTGACTATAAAGGTCTAAACTTTGAGTTGTTGCCGTTTGGTAGCGGAAGGAGAATGTGCCCTGGCCTAGGAATGGGTATGGCTTTGGTGCACTTGACTCTTATCAATCTTCTTTACCGATTCGACTGGAAGCTTCCTGATGGAATGGAGGCAGAAGATGTTGATCTTGAAGAATCACATGGACTTGCCTGTCCTAAGAAAGTTCCACTTCAACTTATCCCGGTCCTTACCCAATGGACTTAGCTTTTATAATATATTTTCATAGTTCCAAATGTAATCTTTAGACGTATTTTGAAGGTTTTTGTTATCACAATTGTAGTTTGATAAAAAAAAAAAAAGAAAAAAAATTGTAGTTTGATGAATCCATCGTCTATAGCATTTTCTTTCGTAGCACTTACTACAAAGTACAAACTACAAAATCCAAAAAAATGTAAATCGGAATATAAAAACATATCTGGGCCACTGAAAGGCCCATTAGGCCCATAATTGGATATGGCCTGAAAATACTCAAAATTGCTTCTCCATTTATCAGACCCGAGATTTGACGGGAAGCTAAACAAATTCAGAGCAGAGAGAACTTGGTAAGAGAAGAAGAGCAAGAGGAGAGAGAGAGAGAGAGAGAGAGAGAGAGAGAGAGAGAGAGAGAGAGAGAGAGAGAGAGAGAGAGAGTTGAATCGAGAGAGGAAGAACAATGGATGCAGAGCGAATCGATGAGTTCGTTATGGTGTACTTGAAGAAGAAGGGTTTCGATTCCGCTGCTAAAGACCTTCAATTAGCTCTTCACCACAACAATGGTAGCAGCTTCAATTCTATCGACTATCCTAACGATCCTGAGCTCACCAAGCTCATTCGCTCCTTTTCCCAGTAATTTCTCTTCCTTCCTCATTGTCTCTGGTTTCTGTGTTTAATTCCGAATTTCATCTCGATTCCGGGGAATTTTAGTGTGTGTGTGTGTGTGTGAATTTTGAAACCGTTAAAAGCAAAAATTATTCATTTTGGAAACGTTTCTGAGCATCGACCGATAAATAGTAAGGTACACTCTCTGGGTGAAACTGTTGCGGAACCATTCTATCAATTTCTCTGTCAAATTTTTAGTTTATGAATACATTCCAGTGAGCTCTCTGATTCCTTTTTTTGTTGACGAAGAAATTAGGGCTTGTTTTTGTTTATGCCGTATAAATGAGCAGTTTTTGTTCTTATTTGCATTTTCATCTGAAAGATTCCGAATTTGCTCATGTAGATCAGATGATCACCCAACTCAGTACCGTGAGTCTTACAGCAAACTAAGATCATGGGCATATAACTCACTGGATCTATACAAGGTCAGCATTTTTTTTTTGTTACCTTTGCCGTTTTTTGTTTTAGCCTCATTTTGGTATGAACATGGATTAAACTGACGAGCTGCTTCGGATTTTTGTAGCATGAATTGCTCCGAGTGATGTATCCGGTGTTTATTCATTGTTACATGGATCTGGTGGGGAAAGGGCACACTCAAGAAGGTACTTATCAAAATACAATTTTGAGTGTTTTTGTAGCTTAGGTTTATGATTTCTGGAAACAGCGACAGTTTACTCTACTTGTTTTCCAGCGAGGGCCTTCTTTAACAGTTTCCGCAAAGATCATGAAATGATAAACTTACGGGATCTTCAGAAGCTGGAAGGTGTTCTTACTCCATCTCATCTAGAGGTTTAAGCTAACCTTATATGGTCGTATAATGGTGATCATGGATTTTTTTGTCTGTTTATCAACTGTCTTATGACCTTGGTTCTTATCAGGAGATGGAGTTTGCTCGTGCTCTTAGACAAAGCAAGGTCAACATCAAAATTTGTCAGGTAAACTTGACTGAAACAGGAAAATGCGTTAAGGTTTCTGGTCCGGTTAGCTGAATTCGATGACTGCAGACCTCTAATATGCTTACTGAATGTTGCAGTATTCATACGATCTGTTGCTTCAGTATCTACATAGGACAGAATCTACTTTAATGCTTGGTATCATTAACGAGCACATCAATTTCCAAGGTAAATTGTGTTTCTTTCTCATTCATATACAATAATATATAGCAAATTTTTTAGTAGAAGACTGAATCCACGGTTGGTCATGTATCATTTGTTGCAGTATACTCGGGACAGCCTATTTCTGGATCTGATGACATAGAGGCTGTCACTATTGTTGGGAGTTTTCAGGAGCCAGCTAATCACATCAATCAAAAAGAAATACAGTGGGGAGTACGTACTTTTCCTAAAGCTTCTTCTACTCTTTTACCTGTTGATGTCTTATCCCAGGGAAGGATATAATATTTTTGCAAATTCATTAGCTACGTATGCATTTTTCTTTCATAGTTGCTTGAAGACTCTCTAGACGATCGCCTTGAGAAGGGAGGTCTGCTATCTGATTCTGAAAAGGGACAGGGAGAGAGTAAAGATGGGGATATGGATGATAGTAAGGTGATACGTAGCTTCAACTTATATCAGTGATTTCTGAACTGGAACTCCCATATTTACTAGTCAATTGATCTGTCTACAGAAAAGATCCATTGAAGTTGGAAAGCAAGGCTCTTCCTTAAAAAAGTTGAAGAAGGACAAGGCAGGAAGTGCAACAGCAAAAGTTGCACGTCAGGAGACCAGCACTGTGCCACTGGCGCCACGTGTAAAAGCAGAACTTGCCTTGCCAGTAATGTACTTTCGATTCCCTTACCCATTTTTTGTGTTACGATGTCGTGAAAAAGTAATGGACATGTGATACCTATGGGTGTGATGCATGATTGATTGAAAGAGAATTAGATATAGTAGCTGTCAAAGACTTAACCTCCTTGAATTTAATATTAAGTATTTTTCCGTCTCCATTTTTTCTACGTCAGGTCTACGGACGTAGAGGAATCCATGCTTGAAGACCTGAGAAACCGTGTGCAGTTGAGTAGTGTCGCAATGCCATCTGTCAGCTTTTATACATTTGTGAATACTCATAACGGGTAATGTCCACCTCTCCTCCTGATGTTTAATTACTTATTTGCAACTTGTTGCTCACTCATTTATCGCCCCCCAGGTTAAATTGTGCATCTATATCTCATGATGGATCTTTGGTTGCTGGTGGGTTCTCAGATTCATCAATAAAGGTATCTTATTCTTGAATGGCTGGTTTATATTTCCTTTTTCTTGTTTTCGTCCTCTCCTAAATGATGCCTAAGTGACGTTTATGGTGTTCAGGTCTGGGACATGGCGAAATTAGGACAAGCTGGTATGTGTGCGAAACAAATAATTTTAATAGTGTAATTAGTAATGATATTTTGTATTTGCATGAGAAGCTATAGTCACTAAGCTGTCTGGTTCCAGGTTCTTTGCAAGGTGAAAATGACACTAATGATCAAATCGGTGGACCAAATGGCAGAAGAAATTATACATTATTGCTCGGTCACTCAGGGCCAGTTTACTCGGCTACTTTCAGTCCTCCTGGAGATTTTGTTTTATCTTCTTCTGCAGATACAACAAGTATGTATCATCACTATGCATATCCTTATACTTGCTCATTAGTTAAGACTTTTCTTAGTTGCTAATCATGTATTCATAAGTGCAGTACGACTATGGAGCACAAAACTGAATGCCAATCTCGTGTGCTACAAGGGTCATAATTACCCTGTGTGGGATGTCCAGGTATAACCGTTCAAATTTATACATGTTTTTCTTACATAATTTATGGTGGACGGACATGTATATATACTCGTTTCATGGTGCAGTTTAGCCCTTTTGGGCATTACTTTGCAAGTTGTTCTCATGATCGTACTGCACGGATTTGGTCAATGGACCGTGTACAACCTCTGCGGATAATGGCAGGGCATCTCTCTGATGTTGATGTGAGTGTCTCCATCATCGTCATCGTTTGATTTGTTAATTCATGCATGGATTACTTAACTATTTGGTTCGACATTAACACAGTTGAGTGAGTTGAATTGTCATTTGGATAACTATTGATGGACCTGTTTATGTATTGGTTTCAGTGTGTACAGTGGCATCCCAATTGTAACTACATTGCAACCGGTTCTAGTGATAAGACGGTCAGACTCTGGGATGTCCAAACAGGGGAATGTGTGCGCATATTCATTGGGCACAGAAGTATGGTTTTGTCATTGGCGATGTCACCAGATGGGAGATATATGGCCTCCGGTGATGAAGATGGCACCATAATGATGTGGGACCTCTCAACAGCTAGGTGTATCACACCTCTCATGGGACATAATTCATGTGTCTGGAGTCTCTCTTACAGGTGAGAGATGGAGTCAAGAAACAACAATTAGTTTTCTCTGATTATTCAGCCGAGTATCACTTTTGGTTGATGAAGAGGCTAACCTGTTTTTATTACCAAGTGAAACCATGAACTCTGATAATCCAAGGACTAACTACAGTTTACTACTAACCTGTTTTCGTGTTTCAGCGGTGAGGGCTCTCTTCTGGCTTCTGGATCTGCGGACTGCACAGTGAAACTGTGGGACGTCACCTCAAGTACCAAATTGACAAAGGCCGAGGAAAAGTGAGTTTGCTATTTCCAAAGCGTTATCATTGTTGTCCTTGAATAGTAGTTTTTTTGTGTGTTAAACGGTTATCATTTGTTGTTGATCAGAAATGGGAACTCAAACAGACTGCGCTCGCTCAGGACTTTTCCCACCAAGTCCACACCAGTTCACGCTCTCCGGGTAAGTAATAATACCTTTCGTGGCATTACAAAGCTTGTTTGTTGATCAAGCATACGCTAAAAACTCGCTTTTCTACACATGCAGTTTTCTCGGAGAAATCTGTTGTTTGCTGCAGGAGCGCTCTCCAAACCCGAAAGCTGATCAATCCAATGGAACGGGCATCTCAGAGATTGCTCCTTTTACAATCTTAGAAGCTGTGCTGTAAATCAGAAGAAATCAGGTGTAGAATAGTCCTCTTTGATACTCTCTTAACAATATCTCCAAAGCTTGCTTAATTGTTTGTGGCTTTGGTTTATCTTTCCTAAATATCCAAAGATGTTGTGATTCTCTCAGTAGACTACTACTGCCTATTTATGCAACCAATCCAGGAATTGTTGCTGCGTAGGATTGCCCAAAATTACCCTTTTGACTGTCATCACACATTGTTCTCTCTTCAATACAGAAACTATATCAGTTTGTACGACAAATTTCATCAGCTCTCTCTTTTAATTTTTGTTTGTGTTTTGGTCTATAAATGTTACGACCGCTTGAGCTAACGCCACTAGAACATCGTGAAAGTCTCCCATCTTTATCAAGGTATGCTTGAGCTCTCATCGACTCTATCAATTTATAACCTCCTGCAGAGTATCAGATGGCTTCAATGGCCTTCTCTACGGCATGATCAGAACCAGTGAAGATGACTCATTCCCCTCCGAGTGGCCTGCTTTCTCCATGCACTTGGACGAGCTCATATACAGTATATACTTCTTGGATGTAGGTTACATTTTATTATCATTATGAAATACAGGTAGAGGTAAGAAAATCTATTAGAAACAGACACACTACAACATTTAGGATAAAAGAAATCGACATATACATTATAAACTTCAAAATGTACTTCTGTGCGATTCAACTTTACATATACATTTTAGTAATCGTCATGAATATGAAACAAAACCTAAAACCCAAAAGAAGAAAAAGAGAAAAAACAAACTTATCTTACAAGTTCAAAGTTTCTAAGGAAAAAAAAGTGTTGTAAGAACTCAAAAACTAAAGAAATTCCATCCAAGGTTTTTGAAAAACTAAAATCTACACCAAAAACTAACTAAATATTAGCGTTTGCCTTTGTCATCATCATCTAGAGGCCGAAATAGTCGTGAGAATATTCCGGAGGCATCTGGTCATCAAAATGTGGCTTTGTCATAGACTCCAAGTTGGATCCAGGGACGGTTCCAGTGTCGGCGGCATCTACCCAAGTGGTGTCGTGGATACTGGAACGTTTCCTCGGCTTACCCTGCCTCTCGTAATACTTTTGTGCATGGCTTGCGACTTGCGTTGCGGTTCTTGTCCTCACGAAATCCCTCGATATCCTCTTCCAGTCTCCTTTCCCATACTTCTCTAATCCCTCCAGAAACGATCTGAAAACATATCATTTTATCAACCAAACGTCCCATAACCAATACGTACCCGCAGTGGCGGAGCTAGGATTTTTTTTTACAAGGGTCATAACAAAAAAAATTGTTATAAAAAAGAGTTAAATGTATAAAAAAATTTTTGTCAAAGGGGTCACTAGAGGTTCGAACTTGAGTTCAGGGTCATTACCCATAAATATATCCTATTCCACCTACGTTCGTTTGTTATAAAATCAATCATTTAAATCGAATTAACAATCTGAAGACGCTAACTAGCAAAGTCATTATCAACCAAGATCATTTAAAATCAGCATTATGTTAAAAGCAACCCCTTATATATTTGGCAAAAACGTGATCCTAATATTTTCCTTTTTATCAAGCAAAAATTCAATGCTTACTAACAAAACCCTAAAATCATCATTCTAACAAACCCTAGATCATCATTCTATCAAAATCTCTAGTTTTATTTTCTACTAAGTTTCTATCTACATCATTCTAAGTTCTCATCAGTATTCTAACAAATCCGTAAAATGAGTTTCACATTAAACGGAACGGAATGGAAGTTTGTTAACACTTAACAACCTAACTAACAAAACCCTAATTCATCATCCTAGCTTAGCAAGATTCAAGAAAAATGATTCTATAAACGAGATTTAAACTCTTTCCCTCGAAAAGCTCTTAAAATCAATCAGTCTTTTGAGTTTTGACTAACCCGTGTTCTTCTGGTGACCAAGCGACTCCTCTCTTTCTTTCGTTCTCCTTGTTCTTGGATTCGATTTGGGACAACATCTTAGACGACTCCGTCTCTGCCGAATAGTCCACACTAATCTGATCCGATTCGATCAACTCAATATCGTGGACCAAATCTTCGTAGGACATCATCACTTCCGCCACCGGCATTTTCAGATACTCGGCGATCTTCTCCCATCTCTCCGGCGTGTCCTCTGGAAATCTCACCAGAGCTTCCTCAAACCGCTTGTCACCTTCCCTCGACCAAACCATCATCCTCTGCATGCCATTATATATCAAAATCTAAATCAGAGATCTCGAAAGAAACCGCTTCGAGTTGCACTAGGTTAAAGATTAAAACGTATGAACAAAACGGATTTCTACCGTGTACATGGTTTGTAAATCTTGATTAGAACCGGTCGTTGAAGAGTTTTCTTGATCAAACTTCCGATTGACGAACTATTTAACTGCGGCGGAAGATTCTAACAGAATTCACCATTGGTTAACTAATTAATTTTAGGGCTTATTAACGGAGGAGAAAGAGAAAGTAGCTTACCCAACAAGTTATTGAGATGACGAATAGAGAAGGAATTGTCAGAGCTACTGACTGATGAGTTTCAGATAGAAAAGATTTTGCTTTATCCTAAAATACAAAGGAAAGCGGCAGCTAGGTTTTAAACATCTCAGTTTTTATAATCCGAAACTCTAAAGGAAAGCGGCAGCTAGGTTTTTATTTAGATTTTAGATTCTTATAAGTTATAAGTGTTTGGATTCTGATTTTGCAGTAGATTTCATGTGTTTAAAATCACTAAAATAAATAGAAAATTTTTATTAGCAAGAGAATATTATTTTCACCACTGGTGTTTAAATTACCATTGGTTATTTTAAAAAATTAAAATTGTAATACTAAAAAGTATCGTTTTATCTGTTTAAATTACTAAAAAATATCTATTTAAAACTTGATTAACAAAATTAATACTTCGCTATACAAACCCACTAAAAGAATTCATGAAAAATCGACTTGGTTCAGTATCATTAATAAATTCATGAGAAATTTACATTTACATTCATATTCAATACAAAGTGGCACGTGCGTACTTCGACCGTTTGCAAAAGGAATCGAACCATGAGCCTTAACGAGATGACGTACACCATAAACCCCATACTCTCAAGTCTCAACCCTGCGTCACCACAAACGAGCAGAAAAAATGAACACAACAGTTTTAACATAAAAATTTAAAAGATTCCTTTACTAATATGTAAGAGTACCAAAAGACGAATCCAAACTATACATCATTGAGGGAAAATTATGAATAGTTACGCGTCACCATCCGATTTAAGTAAGATCCAATCTTCTGTATCTTCTGACCATGATTGATTGATGTAGACTATATCATATAATATTACGTGGAATGTTAATTCATTGGGCAACCATAATACACTTTGCCAACTCGCATTACCTACAATACTAATCTAACAATATATTGCTAGTACAAGCAACAAGGGGCTCCCCAAATGGAGAATTCGAGATTGTATAAGTTATAAAAAAACTCCACCAAGTATACCTTATCATTCGAGTTTTTTTGTTTTCTTTTTTTGGTAAAAGAAAACATTGAGCGACTTGTAATTGAAAACTCTGAATCAGCTTTCCCATTTCTGTGTCGGCCATTTGTAACGTTGGACCCACCAACTAGATCTCAATTCGCGAACGACAAATATACAAATCTTTAAACGATTAGATATTTTATTCATTACAAGTTTACAAGCTAAAGTATATTCAGTTAACTTTGCTAAATTAATTTAAGCTAAACTGTGAAAATGTTTTGAGTAGTATCCGTACTCCGTAGATTGGTAGGAACTATATCATATACCTAATCAATCGAAGATGTTGAGAGAGTTAAGCCTTTACTCGAGGCTCAAGTGGGTTTGATCTTGCTGACGTGGCTTCCAAAAGAGAAGTTCTAATTGGTGGAGTAAAGTGACCTTTGTCATGCAACCTAGTTGCATTTTCATGATGAGTTTTAGTGGGAAACCAAAATCTATACTGTATTTGACAAATCCACTAAACTCTTTTTATGATAAAGAAGAAGAGCGTGGAGTTTCAAAATCTCTTTTCCTTTAACATCTACACAAAAACAAAAGGGTTGATCTCTCTCATAAAGACAAACTATTCTTTAAGTCACACCATGGTCTACAATTTCTCACTAAAATACAAAATGAAATGGATCATACACACACACATACATATATACGTAATGAAACGGTTACAGCCACAAATCTCTGTAATCAAGTACAGAGTTTTTGAAACGATTTTTCAGAAATGGTTTTATTATTGCATGATATAGAGTGATAAAGAGCAAGAACAAAGTAATATTAAGGAAGAATATAACCAATAATCTTCCTTTTCTTAACATATATAATACAAATGTTTTCTTACTCTCATCATTATATCATCGCATATGTAATTATGCTAAGATTATTTTCATTTGAGGGTTTTACAAGTTGTGCTAAGGATTACTCGGGATGATTTTTAAATTAGACACACTAGTTTTTTTCCAAAAAAAAAATAATAAGTGAAAAGGGAGGAGAACATATACTTTTAACATATATGTTCTAAGCTCTAACCATTTGTCAAGATCAAAATATATTCTTATACTGGAAACACTTGCTTGACTAGCTAATACAAACTTCGAATAACAACGGTTATATACTCTATAGTTAGATAGAGAGATTCGATCCAGCCACAATAGAAGACAAAAGAAAGAAAAGATGAAAGAGAGGCCCACAAGAGCAGCTAAAGGAGACAGAAATGGTCACTTACCTCGTGGAATTACAAAAAGTAGATATAAACTGACCTGAAATAATTTAGATGGGTCAGTTTCCAGAACTCTTTCTTTTTAACATCCTTTTCATTTTATTGTCATTTTCCTCTCCTGTCGTTTCATCAGATGTACCACTTTCGTAACTATTTTGAGAACTGCTTCGTTTTCAATTGCCGTTCCATCAACTCCTTTTTCTCTAAAAACAATTAAAAAAATTCCATATTTAAATAGCAAATACTGCACATACACAATTATTAAGGATTGGGGGTTACCAATTTTCCATCTTCAGTAAATATATTCATGGTGGTTAAACCTTAATAAAACTTAAAACTATTGAACATCAGTAGTTGTTTGAAACAAAAGAAGAAAAAACTTGATGACAACGTAAATGTATGGATTTGGTACGTTACTGAAATTGAAGGTGTTAGGAAGAAGCCAAAAAAGGAAAGGGTCCATGTAAAACGGATATGTATACATGTATGTGTGGATATATAAAGAAGTATTTGGATGGTGGAGTTCCAATCAGATAGCTTTTAAGTGTTTTGTGAGAATGGTGTGACAGCAAACCAAACCTACCTATCGCTCTCATCTTCATAGTACTTTTGTCCACTTATTACAAATAACCTAAGAAAATGTTCTACTGTAGGGTACTGTTTTCTTTCTCTATTCCTTTCTAATACCATCTACTTCTGCTCCCATTCAGAGATATAAGCTCCTTTCATATCTACTACTAATAGAAAGAGAGAAAGAGAGAAGAAATCATCACTCTGAAAAACAATCTGTTGCCTTTTTAGCACTCATGGACGCTTCCAGGGACAAACAACTTCCGTCAGATCCCTCTTGCATCATTTCTCCATATGAAGATACTCTTAACCAGAGCCTCGAACAGAGCATCAGAGAAGAAGAAACAGACGTTCTTGATTCTAGTCAAGAACTGAATCTCATCGACAGCATAGACACGAGTATCGATGTTAGTCAGAGTTATAACGGATCTGCTACATCGGCAGAACAAAAGCTTTTCTCATGCAACTACTGTCAAAGAACCTTCTATAGCTCACAAGCACTTGGTGGTCACCAAAACGCACACAAGAGAGAGAGGACGTTGGCGAAGAGAGGGCAACGGATGGCAGCATCAGCCTCGGCTTTTGGACATCCTTACGGTTTCTCTCCCGTTCCTTTCCATGGACAATACAACAACAGGTCTTTAGGGATTCAAGCGCATTCGATGAGCCACAAGCTAAGTTCATACAACGGATTTGGTGGTCACTATGGCCAGATCAACTGGTCAAGACTTCCACTTGATCAACAACCAGCCGTAGGTAAACTATATGCAATGGAGAATTTTCATCATCATCAACATCAACATCAACAGATGATGATGATGCCTCCTACAGAAACTTCACCATCCACAAACATCGGTAGATCAAACAGCATAGGGCGGATTCTAGTAGGGTCACCGATACTTGAACAATGGCGAGGAGAGGGAGGATTGTTAAGCACTAATCAAGAAGAACAGCAGAAGCTTGACTTGTCCCTCAAGCTATGAGATTGTTTTTGTTGATTCTTGCATTCAGTGTTATTTCTTGTTTTTCATGTGATTGTTATAATCCTTACAGTCTTGTGTGTATATTTTTGTCTAGTCAAGATTTCTAATGTACATCTTTTTCACAATTCTACTTAGTTTTAAATATGTTGGCAATACATAAGTGGATTTCAGATACACACACAAGACACAACAACCGTATAAAGTAATTACAGTTCATAAAATTGAAAGGGAAAATTTGTATAGAGGAAAAAAAAAGAAAAGGGAGAAGAAAAGAGAAGATATTGAGATCTGTGGGAAGATTTGGTTTCATAGTCACAAGAAAAAGGAAACAATATTATAATGTCAAAGTTGGGTTACCTAAAAGTTAGAACAATCATTCTATTTATTTAAAAGTTGCTAACAAGACACTCAAACAGAACAAAACAGATATAAAAAAGAAGACAGTTGCTGTGTAGGATGATGACTGTGACACTAAAAGCAAAGACTAGTAGAAGAAAATTGAAAATATGTCACTAGGCCTAATTAGGTTACAGTAAACAAAGAAAGCATGAAACAGTAAAGTATCCAATGCTTCTCTTTGTTAAAACTTAAAACCCAAACTGGTGTACGTACACTAGACAACAAATTATTCCATATGTTAGAAAAAAAACATTAAAAGCAAGAAAACAATTTTGCTAAAGAGGTTCCTTTCATCACCAGAGACTTTCACGTGTTTTTTCTTCAAATGGTCGAAGCTAATCGAATCAAATAGGGCTCTGTCAAATCTTTATTTTTTTTCACCAGTAAACAGTGGCGAATCTAGGAAACTTTTTAAGTGGGTTAAAAAATATTTTAAGGAGAGTCGAACTTGGGTTATAAGGTGTCAATAGGTAACTTTTACCATTTTTTCTAGTGAACTTTGATGTTTTAGGTACAAATTTTGTTTTTATAACAAAGATAGGGTGTCAACTGACCCCGTATCCACTAACGTGGATTCGCCACTGCCAGTAAACACTTCTAGTCAAAGAAAGATATGTTTGTTTGTTGTATCCACAAAGAAAAACAAAATTGTCAGAATGAACAAAAAGTCACATAGTTTGATGAATAAATCCAAGAAAAAACACAGGTAGACACAAGCACACATCCAAAACATGTAATGTAACAATTAACAATTAAACTTGACGAGCCCTTCGAGTCATCTTCATCTTCTTGTTTAGTTTATTATAGTTGGCCCCAAAATATTTCCAACAAACTCAGACTACTCAGTTACACATGTTCGGCAGCGTAGCCAATAAAGTTTGCAACCATCACCGGAAGAAACCATCACCGGAAGAAGCCACTATAAAACCTAAGCGGCAAGGGAGTTTTGCCGGAGGCGACGTGAGTTCGGGATATCGTTTAAAACGTAAAAAAAAAAAGTGTATATGCTTAGGCCAAAAGGCCCGCAGCTGAAGGCCCAGTGAGTGCCTACGTATGACGCGCGTAATGGGACGTAGAGAATTTGTTTTTTGTTCAATAAAATAAAATTGTAACTCTGTCATCCTTTTTGTTCATTAAAATAATGTACAATCTATTCAGCTTATTGTTTTCCATTTGTATATATTTCATTGATTTTGTAAGCATTTGAAGTTTGAACCTTGTCATTACCGTCTATGATGATGGAAAATACACGCGGCCCATATCGTCATCGCTTTGACCTAATTTTCTTTCATATGGTTATGGACCTTATGGTTTTCAAAGATTAGTATCTGTTTCGTTTTCACTTATTAAATATCTGTTGACTATATATATAAAGAAATGGTCATTTATGAGTCTCTGACTATTGGTGCCAATCATAACAAACAAGAAAAAGGTTGCTAAGCATGGTAATTGACCAAATAATCAGTAGAATATAATACTATTAACTTATAATATCATCAAGAGAAGTTGTCTATAATAATGATATACAATTACACAACATGTTGGTCTACAAAGTCGTTCCACAAATGGCCATATGACTAAATGGCTAAATGGCTAATGAATTGTCGAAGTCACTAAATAAACATAGTTTGTTGACCTTTTAAAAGCCACATTTTAAGAATGAAAAATTACCGAGTATTGAACATACCAAACTCTAAAAGCCACATTTTCTAATGTGATCATATAACTTATCTTTAGAATTCAGTGGAGAAAAATATTATCTTTAGAAGAATAGTAGAATATCAACTTAATAGGTAGGTCTTCTGAGTCTAATGTTCATTCCACTACGGCACTACCTTTATTATTCCTATTTTTTTCGTTGATAAAAATAATTACTTTGTAAGTGTCTGTCTACTATCTGATATTTTTCATCGAATATTCCAATATGTACATGGTTTTATTAACAAAAATCTACAAAAGACGGCTAAATAGTTTGTGAAGAGTCCTTTTATGTATCTAGTGTTAAAGTTCGCCCAATGCCAAGTCCACTTTGCTAGATAAAGGTTTTGTTGATTGTTTTACATGAAAATGTAAGCTTTTTCTTTAAATTTCATTTTTTTTAAACGGAAGTCTGGAACAAGAAAATAACCTAAGCTTAAGTTCCAAAATTATTTCGTACAGTATTCAAATATTTCATAATATTTGCGGATCCGTGAATTATTTATTCCTTGCTATTAGGGTCTAAATATCTTGAAAGAAGACTAAATATTTGAAAAGATATATTTTCATCTACACCATGTTGTACATTGGTTCAATACAATTGGGTTAATCCTTTTAATGTTACATGCTTTTATATGTTTAGATCATATAGTATTCCATGTTTATCCAATTAAATACAAACCAGTTTGGGTAGTCTAATCAGTCTAAAGTTTGGCATGTCCGTGTAATTATGTTGTCAACTTCACGCCCCAACAGCTAGTCATCGGTTTGCTTTGAGCGTACACAAAAGACACAACTCCTGAGACAAGCTCGTGGCTTTGTCGCGATTACTATTTATTTAGTAATATTACATATTTTATCCTCCTCTTCCTTGTTTTATCGCAGAATCTACCACCATCTTCCACGAGTGATCCATTGCGCATCCGTTGACTGGTTTATACAAGGTCGGTCTATTCCATGGCTGCCTATTATATATTATCACAAAGTAGTTCCAAGACTAATTGTTGCAGATGTTTCTTCACGTTAATTATAACTTGAAAAACACTACTAATTCTGTATTGTGTATTCAATATAAAAATTGAAACTATCATGTTAAATATATATATATATTGTCTATTATTAACCATCTCTGATCGATTTGGCTAAAATTCGAGAGGTCATATGGTTTGGCCGCCAAACAGCCATAAACAGCATTATAAATTCTAAATTTTGCCGACAAAATAAAAAGTCTAAAAAAATTATCAAATGAAAAAGAGTCTAAACTATGAAACTGTCCACAGGCGGTCGAATTTTGCTATTATAAATTGAAAAATTCATATGCAACTACTTGCACTATTCTCAGCTCTCAACTCTCAAGTAGTCCTTGTTGGCGTCGTTGACGTGAAAACTCCAATTGATAGTATTGGGGCAAAACGTAAAAAATGCAATTTTAGAGGGCTAAAACCTAAACAAAAAAGGACGAAAGGAAGTAGAAAAGAATGTAGCTTTTAAGAAAGACGCAAAACATCAGAAGCTTCTCTCAGATTGACAGAGAGAAGCAGAAGATCACGAAGAACAAGATTCTTCCTTCTCTCAATTTGTTATTTTCTTCAAATCCTTCGAATTGTTAAGGCTCCTTCCTTCGTCGGTTATAGAAGATGTTGTGTAGAATGGTGGTTGTGACCGGCCGGAAGAAGAAACCCGGTTCTGTTCCGGTCTATCTGAATGTATACGATCTCACACCCATCAATGGCTACGCTTACTGGTTAGGACTTGGGATCTACCACTCCGGCGTTGAAGGTATCACCTTTCTCTTTCCCCATTTCTGAATTTTCTCAGAGTAAATGAAAAATTGAACTTTTCCTCTGAAATTATTGGTGGGTTTTGGTTAAAGCTTACAACTTTTGAACTGGGAGTTGAAATTTGAGAAGAAAATTTAGCTGCTTTGAATGGAGATTTAATTCAGATTTAGCTGTTTCTTTAAAGTAAGAGACTTTTAGTTTGATGTTTGTTGGCATGTTGTAGAAATTGAAATAGACCGGTTTCATTTTCAATAGATTCCAAAACTGGAAACTTTCTTATTACAAATTGGATCAGCTCCTCTGTTTTATACGACTTTTAAATTGAATTGTGAATTATCTTATTAGATAGATATGTCTGTCCAAAAATGTTGTTGACATTTTTGTTTGTTTGCTTCCATTAAAAAAAGGGAACTAAAATTGTTGGATTGATGTTTTCTGTCATCAATTGCTTTGGTTAGTTCATGGAGTTGAATACGGTTTCGGAGCTCACGACAATTCAACCACAGGGATCTTCGAGGTTGAGCCAAAGCAATGTCCAGGTTTCACATTCAGGAAGTCAATTTTGATCGGAAGAACAGATTTGGATCCTGATCAAGTCCGTGCCTTTATGGAGAAACTAGCCGAAGACTACTGCGGAAACACTTACCATCTGATCACAAAGAACTGTAATCACTTCTGCAATGACGTTTGTGTTCAGTTGACAAGAAGATCTATCCCTAGTTGGGTCAATCGTCTTGCTCGCTTCGGTAAGAAGCTTACAAAAACAGATCATTGGCTCTGTTTTTAGTTAAAAAGCTCATAACTTTAGGTTTGTTTTTTTTGCCAATTTAGGTTTGTTCTGCAACTGTGTTCTTCCGGCTGAGCTGAATGAGACAAAGGTGATGCAGGTAAGGTCAAAGGAGGAGAAGATTCCGGAAGCTGAAAAGAAGAAACTCAGGAGCAGATCAAGTAGGTTTCCTCCTAGCCCTTCGTTTTCTTCATCGAGTTCTTTAAGCCGGAGCAGGAGAGGGGAAAGAAGAAGACAGTGTCTTCCTCCATCACCAACTGTGAGTGCTTAGCTCTCTAGTCCTAGTTTAAGACTATACCATCCTACGTTTGTGTTTCGCAGTTCTATTCGGTAGTTATGGTCCCAAGAAGTTGTGCCTAAAACTATAGATTGAACAACAAGTTTCTTGATGGTAATGGTATAAGAGATACTTCAAAGATGTGACATTTTGAACTATGGAAAAAGATGATTATTTTTATTAATTCAAATGAGTAGACAAGTCTTTCAAACAAAGAGGACTAATACAAAAACATAAACCACAAGTCCACAATACAACTTTTTATAAGAATTTAGAACAACTTATTTTGTCTTGGAATAGTACATAGCCAAGTGAGATCAAGTCCATTGGGTAAGGACTGGAATAAGTTGAAGTGGTACCTTCTTAGGACAGACAAGTCCATATGATTCTAGAAGGTCGACATCTTCTGGTTCCATTCCATCTGGAAGCTTCCAGTCGAAACGGTAAAGAAGGTTGATAAGAGCCAAGTGAACCAAAGCTACACCCATAGCCATACCAGGGCACATTCTCCTTCCGCTACCAAACGGCAAGAGATCAAAGTTTAGACCTTTATAGTCAGTCTCATTATTCATAAACCTCTCTGGTATGAAATATTCAGGATCTTTCCAAATGCTTGGATTCATATGAACAGCCCAAATGTTGACATGGATCCATGTTTTCTTTGGAACGTCGTAACCTCCGATCTTGACATCCCTTAAAGCCTCTCTTGGAACTAGAAGTGGCACAAGTGGTGTTATCCTAAAAGCTTCTTTGATCACCATTTTGAGATACTCAAGTCGTTCTATGTCATCTTCTGTGATATGGTCTTTGTTTTGGATCACTTCTCTGATCTCCGCTTGCAGTTTCTTCATCACTCTTGGGTTTTTAATCAAATGTGTCATCACCCATGTCACAGTTTGGGCAGAAGTGTCTATTCCAGCAGAAAGAATATTCTGTAATAAATCATAAAACAAGAATTTAGAGAAATGAGTTTGAATTTTTTAGAAAGGTTTATCATTTTACTTACAAAAAGAATTCCTTTAGTGTGGGTTCGAGTAAGTTGATACTCTCCAAGTCCGATCTCTCCCTTTTCCATCTTGAGGAGCAAGTCAATGATATCATCTTTAATACCCTCATCTTCTAGGTGATGCTTTATAGCTTGGTCGAAAAACGAATCCAGTATCTTAAAAACCTTTTCACATTTGCCATGTAAACCTGTGATTCTATCGATGAGTTTACCAATGACCGGGAAGTAATCAGCTGCTGCAAAACTCCCCAACACCTCAAAAGTTTGCACAATGACTTGGTCAACAGTGTTCTCAAGTTCACTCCCTTTAAGATTTATCCCAAACCCAACCCTACATATCACACTCCCCGACAGTTTCAGTAACTTCTCGTTGAAGTTAACTGGATTCTCCAATGAAGCGGATTCTTTGATGAAATCGACGAAAGAGGCAACTTCTTCTTCTCTTACATGTCGAAACGATTGTACCCTTTTCACCGTGTAGAGTTCAACAACCGTCATCTTTCTTACTTCCCTCCAATATTTGCTATAAGGAGCAAAGACGAGATCGTTTTGATTGTACGTGATTCTTGCAGGATACGTCATGTAAGGTCGTGAACAACAATCTAAATCGAATGTTTTCAAGACTTCCTTTACAGTCTCCGGTGTTGATGCCACAACAGTAGATACACTTCCAAACTTCATTGACATTAGAGCGCCGTACTTTTTGGATAACTCGAACATGGAGCGATGAGGATGCGTTCCCAATTGGTGCAAGTTCCCAATTATAGGAAGTGTCCATGGTCCAGGAGGTAGATTCTTCTTTGTCTTGTCTGACTTTTTCATGTTCTTTGCAATGAGTATGGATGCAAAGAAGACGAATCCAACAATGACATACCACAGACTCATTTTACTCCCTGCCAAAAGAAGTAGAAATAAGGAGTTTAGTTGTTTAGAAAAAAAAAAAAAAAAGAGTTCCTAATTTTTTTTTAAAGGAGTTCAATCATTTATAATTGCCTCAAAGTAAGTAGACTTATTTCTATCGTCGACATATGTGTCAACAACACTCAACAGTACACTTATATACTCTCCTTTTTTCGTCAAAATGTTTTTGTATTTATTTGCGATATTATAATCATCGCTTACAATTTGCTGAAGAACGTAAGGACAAAAATGATACAAACACCATGGATAAGTTGAACTATAACCTCTTTTAGCTAAACTATCAACACACTGGTTGGAAGATCCATGTCGGTAGGAAAACTTAATTGATGAAAACATCATTTTCAATGGCTTGATAGTCTCTATGTACTACACTTGTATACTTTTTAATAACTTATTTATACGTTTCTAAACAAAATTACTTAGTTAATTACAATAATGGAGACTCATAACACTGGCATAAGTCAGGATAAGATTTGACCTACCTAAACTGAATGACTCGAGAATCATTTGGTAGTAAGTAATAACTAAAGATATTTATAAGAGATCAGAAACAGCTAGAGTGAGAGATCCGTAACATTGATTACCTTAAACCTTGTGGCGGAAGAGTTTACACAGAGGAGGAGAAAGAGAGAGAGAGAGAGAAAATTATTGTGGTTATTTTGGGATTCTGATAAGTGACAAAGAGACAAGCAAGAGACGCAAGATATTTGGCAGCGTCGAAACCAAGTATGTGGCTGCGTGGAATGCTTATAGTATCTATTAAAATTGGTGTCCACACATCATCCTGTTTGGATTTTGATGATAAGATTGTAACTTGTAATTAACATACTCTTCTATATCTGTTTTATAATAGTAATTAAGTGCTAATTAAGCTACGAAATTGTTGGATATTCATCATTCCAAAGCAATTATACATTGAACAACAGAGCTTTGCCATGTTTAGTAGAGTATGGGTTAAGTCTGTTTATTCATCCCTTTTAACAAACAAAAAAAAAACGCTTGCCTTGTGGGTTAGGTTAATCCACAGACTGGAGGTAGAATTGCAATTAATTTTTTATTTATTTATTAGAAAGAACACGAAATTTAGGATACGCGTTGGCCGATAACGGACTCAAAAGTGACACAAAACATGTTTGGCCAAACTTGGAAGGAACTGATTGATGAACATTTACATTCATGTATCATTGTATTGGGCCTGTATTGGCATAATTCTTTTAAAAAATATATACGTCAGGACAAATATTCGAGTTAAAATAGATCGTAGGCAGAAGAACTTGTCCTATTCCCAAATTATAAACCATACAAAAAAACTTGTCATGTTCCCATATAATGTATGAACGTAAAGACTGCCCCGTTGCAACTTGCATAGTAGTAGTTTTTTCATCGAAACTGATAAGAAAGAATTTAATGCACATGCGGTATATTAACACACACACACACGCAGCTTATATGAATGTGAAACTACGCTTCTAGAGAGGAAACAGTGAGTTCGCTCACGTATGTGCTTTGAAAATAACTATTGGAATACACGGCAAAATCTATTAGCCTAGTAATTTCTTCCAAGTGTCATTCCCAGCTGTGATTGGTTTGAAACCCTTATTGCAATTGCTTAAATTATGGTTTTGAACCAAACCTCCAGATTTGATTTGAAGCACCTACCATTGAGGGAAAACAACATACCATTAATAAATAAAAACATACTAACCCAAAACAAAACCAAAAAACAACGAGTTCTTGGATGTTTGTGAAAAGGGGTTTCACCACATAAGGCCATGTTTGGTCGTTTTTCAAACCAACACCTTCACATGAGATTCTACATTGCTCAACACCATCATTCTCTTCTCCATTATTGCCTTTGACCACTTTCTTCCTTATTTTTATATTATTTTCTATATATACCTCTAAAATTATTGTATATATATGAACACATTCTCATATTATCTAACTAACTCACAAGATATATTCTTCGGGATAAAAGTTGTGGTAAACTAGTACCAAAAAATAACTAGTTCTCTTGATAGATGTTTTGAGTGTCGTACTCTTGATTGCGTTTACTTTGTAGTTATATGGTATACATATTAGGAAAAACTCCATATGCCAACAAAGTCAGGATGGCCGAGTGGTCTAAGGCGCCAGACTCAAGTTCTGGTCCTCGTAAGAGGGCGTGGGTTCAAACCCCACTCCTGACATTTTAATAGTTTTCCTAATTTTGATACCAACAAAAAAAAACTCCAAAACCAACCCACGTAAAAAACCTAAAATTTAGTATATTACTAAGGGTCTGACTGGTTTAACCGCTGCGGTTGCGGTTGCGGGAGTTTGCGAGTTTGCGGAAGCGGGAGTTTGCGATTAAAAGCTGTTTGTACGACTGGTATAGCAATTCATAGCGGTTGCGTTTGCGGGATATTTTTGACTGGTTAGCCAGCGGGTGCAAGAGCGGTTTAACCAAAAGTTACTAAAATAAAAATAATATATAATTATTCAAAACATTTATAACCATATTAATAATTTTTTTTTTGAAATATATTTTTTGATGAATTTTTAATTTGAAAACTACCCTTTTTTTTTGGTTTTGAAAAATACACTTTTTATATGTAAAATGATTATTCCTAATTTAATAAAAACGAAATTCAAATAAGAAATATAAAATATTAATATTTGATAATAATTTTGTATCATTTTAACATCCTAATTACCTGTTTAGTTTTTTTTAAACAATTTAATAAAAATATAAGATTGTTTATATAAAGTTTAAATGGGGTGAGATTAAAGTTGTTTATGCAAAGTTTCAAAAATATTTAAATTTTTCAAAAGATAAACATTAAAAATGAAAGATATATTTCTCCACTTTTAAATTTTTAATAATTTATAAACTTTAAATATATGTAAAGTTTTAATTTATTTAAAGTTTCATTTGGTTTGAATGTGTATGAGGTTAAGTTGTTTATATAAAGATCCAAAATATTAAAATTTGTTTCAGTTTAACATATACTATATTTATTTGAAAAAAAACTTATTAGTTTATTATTTTTTTAAATTTTCGTTTATAATTTGTAATTATTTATTATTTTTTTGTTTAAATCACGTCAAAACATACTTTTTACATTTTAAAAGTGTATTTTTCAAAACAGAAAAAATTTAGGGTATTTTCGAAATTTTTAAACATAATTATGGTATTTTTCAAAAAAATATACCCTTATTCCAAATTTGGAGATATTATGTTTTTTTTTTTTTTTTTTCAAACCGCAACCGCCCGCAACCGCAAACGCTTGCGGAAAGGAGCTTTTGATTTTCAGCGATATAGAGCGGTACAGAGTGGTATAGAGCGGTTGAAAGCGGTTGTCGTGATTGTTATAAAACGCTAAGAACCGCTACGAACCGCAAACGCTGCGTTTGCGGGTGGTAGCGGGAGAACCAATCATCACCTAACTATAACCGTGACTATTAGTTTTCCTAACAGAGGCAAAATTAATATGCATGGTTCCCGTGGCCTTTGCCACATCCGAACTAGTCTACTATAAATCAAATTAAGGGTTTTACGTGATTCTTGGGTTGATCATTCTCTACATATGTCTTTATTTTGTGACGGGCATACGGTGAAAATGCTGCTAATTTATTTGAATCTTCCACGAACAAACAAAACACATCGAAGTCAATTGTTACTTTTCTACGAGATGATATATAGCGGTATTGCTTGTCACGCAGCTTATTTCAACCCCTGCCCACTCTACAGATAGATTCACCCAACCATTGTCCGCAAACCCCAAAGAGTTTTTGTAAAAATGATTTTGCTTAAATCAACGATTAGTATCATAATATCGCATAAATATAGTTGTTGTATACATATAAATGAGCATAAGAAAGTAATTTCAATCAATTGTTCATTTGCCAATTAATATACATTTTAATCTTATAGTATCTCTTTTTGTATCAAATTACACCAAACAAAAAAAAGAAAAAGAAAAAAAAATCATATTCCGCTTACCGAAGTTCCACTGAATCCTATATCCAACTATCCGAATTCCAATACTGGCTTTTCGTTTGGCCCAAAAATTGTTTCAACACATGTTTTATAGGAAGGTCATACAATCAAGAATCAACTTAACATGTTCAAAGTCAATAATCTCACTTGTTTGTTTCTATCAAATATCTTAAGTGAGACTAATCCACAACTCATACGTTTTACTAAAGAGATGCTTTAGGAACTCAAGAACAAAACATATATATATGTGTCATATGTGTGTTTGTGTGTGCGCAATGCTTTTAGTAATGGTCGTGTGAACAAAATACATTTTCATATAACACGAGATAATTACGAAAATAATATAACAACAATAACGGACAAAAACATTTTCATGTGAATCTGAATCTCTACTTTTTACCCATTTATTCTTTATTTGGTGAGTGTAGTAAAATTTTTATCGGGACAATAGAAAAGGACCTTCCTCAAAGGAAAAAGGGTCACAGAAGTTCAAAGAGGTAATGATGAATGAACTCACAAGCATGCCCATTATTTTAAATCTTACCTTTGCTGCTTCAGAATGCTTTAAGAAAACAGAATAATTAGAATAAAACTACACTTTTATAATTTTCTCTTCTTTATTTATTTGTTCACTTTTTAAAAAAGATTATGGGGACACAAAATCAATATCCGAATAGGTACGTAGAAATAATCATTAGGTTCCATTCGATACCAAAAAAATATCACGTTGAGAATCAACTGTTCTCTTCTCTGCATTGATTTTTCCGGAAATATATACATTAAACCATTAAAACCAAAACAAAATAATATTAATAATGTCACGATGAGAGATATATATCACATTATCAATACAGCAAGACTATTATTTGACAATTTGTGTCCCATATTATGTTTTCTTTGGTTTCTTTTATATGATGTGAACGGACCTCAGAGAGTATGCATTATCACGTAGTCACTTTAATTTCCCGTTGTTACCAGATAAACTGTAATCGCATGAATGCCTACGATATATCAATATCATAATTGTAACATTTATGAAATATTATATATTACAGTTAAATTATTATGAAGATATATAACTCTGATATAGGTGTAAATAAGAAACCGATGAAAAAATTAATAGACAATAGTTTTTGACAATGTGACAAAAAAACGAAGATATACACAAACTTATGCATAATTTGAGTAATTTGTTATACTTGTTTTGATAATAATTATACAGTTTCGACAAATATATCATCTAGAGCATGCAAATAAGGGACAACAAATCTTCGAATCCAAATATTCCTAATGTCAGATCATTGGTGTGCTGCAATTTAGATGCATTGCATGTGTACTGATTATATCACAACGAGCTTAACCTTATTCCACGTCCATATGGTTATTTGGTTTTGTTTTGGCTTGTTGCTAACAACTGATAACGCGTATATGCATGCAAGAAGAATCCACCGATCGGAGTGAAGCAGCTATCGTATTAAAATTATTGTGGCTGATGGGTCTTTGCAATTGTTTGAAAAATGGCGTAGTGTGATTTTATTTTGGGTTTGAGTCGTCTCTTTTGGGTTGGTTTCTGTTATTTTGATTAGTCGTATAGCTAACCATTGTTTTGCTAAATTAATATAAGTGCTGGAAAACTCAAATATCCATCAAATTTCAAAGTTAATATTTTCATGGTCGTCTTAGGCCACAGCTAGGGACACCTTTTTCTACTTAGCAGCAATCCCAAATTAAAAAGAAGAAACAAAAGACAAAGAGAAATATACAATTTTAAAAGGAAAGAAAATTAAGGCCCACCGTTGAAAAATGAGAACATGCATGGAACAAAAACCAAAAGCTAACTCGAATATTTTCAAAACGCCTCCAAACTCTCATCTATCTATCTCTCTTCTTCTGATATCTTTCTTGCCAATGTTGTATCTTTTCACTACATAAAATCCCCACTTATTCACACACGAACACACAACATTTCTATCGTAAATCATGACTCAGGTTTAGGTTTAGTTAAATGGAGAGCAAATGATGCCAAAAAAAATGACAAAGAAATAGATATCATAAACATACTATACATTACATAGCATATGATCGATTGCTCTTGTAGAAACAAGAATCAGTGTTTCTTCCAAAGAAGGCCAATCCAGATCAAATGTCTTGAAATTAGCCTTTTTCTTCTAAGTAGTACTCCTCACTACTACTCTCATAACGACGCCGTTTTTTGTTGAAGGAAAAACTAAAAAGAATAATAATGCTAAAACGACGGAGCCGTTTCTCACAGCGACTGAGTAGGTGAAACAGAGCAAAGCTCAATGGAACCGCAATGAAGCAGCTCCTCGATCATTTGCTCGATGTGATCTTCCTCCAATGGCCTGAAATTCTGTTGCAGATTCGCGTTTCCATCTTCCCACTTGATCTCCGTCGTCGTCATCTCCGTTACTTCTCCCCTGTTATACTCATTTCCGTTCCCCGCCACATTGTTGACAGCGTCAGTGTTCGGTAAGGATAACGGCCGTAATCTCGCGTTATGCGTTTGAACTTGCGTCTGCGTCTCATTTTGCGTCTGCGTCTCATTTTGCGTCTGTTTGGTAAGCTGAAGAGAGGCCATGTAGCATTTGTGGAGTTTAGCGGTGAGGGTGGCTGAAAGGAGCTTGGAAGAGGAAGAAGGAATGGCGTTTGGGTTGTAAGGGAAATTGGTACGAGCTCTCGGGCCACACATTAGCCTCGCCGCCTCGTCGTAGGCTCTTGCCGCATCCTCCGCCGTCTCAAATGTCCCCAACCAGATTCTTGTTTTCCTGAAATAAAATAAACAGTAAAGAAAAATTAGCCAAAACAAGACTACTACAGAACCACCGAGGGTGTTTTGGTAATTTGAGAGAGAGCTTACAAGAGAGGGTGACGGATTTCGGAGACCCAAGAGCCCCAATGCCTCTGTCTCACGCCTCGGAACCGTTGTTGTGGTCGTGCCATTGGAATAGCTAGGGTTCAAGTGAGTGTAGTGTGTCTATCAAGTTTGAGTGTTTTGTGGGAAATGTCTGATAGAAGAAGGGAACGATGGAAGTGAAGGAGCGTTTTTGGCAGAGTGAATGGTGGCTATAAGTACTGTTGGCTTCATGAGAGAGAGAGAGAGATGTTTTTGTTTATGTGTATGTTAAAGATTCTTTGGCAATTAACTGGCAATCAATTTGGTCCTAACTGGGACCCACACCATTTACCAATACGACCCAAAAAATCTCATGGATTTTGTTTGATCATAGACATCAGAGAGCAAGAGAGAGAGAGCAAGACCTATGCTAACTAATTAATAACTTAACACTCTTGTTTTTTTTTTATGTATTCTTAAATTTAACTCATTTTGTTGTATTCGTTGTTGCCGCGACATGGGCAAATGGTTTATCTAATACTCTCACATACTGTATAGTTAAAGTGAATATTAAAAAGCTTCGAAACTATGTGCTCAACTGTAGGATAATATTTTCTATAAAACCTACAATTTACTTTCATATAAGAACAAAACAAAATTAGAGTTTTAAATGTATATTTTCTTAGGACATATATATTCGATGATCTGTTTAGTAAAAAGAATAAAAATTAGTTCTGTCCTAACTCCTAATCTATACATCCTAGGTTATGGGGGGATTTAGTTTAGCTACATTTAACAGCTATAAATTTAGTAACTGTCCTACATATAGCGTATATATGTATGTATGTATGTGTATGTATATCAATTTCTCTATTTTCCAATATTGGTGAACAAGTTGTATCCAAAGAGAGTTTGGCTGCGGTGAAACTTCAAACCCACTGTACCTATTTTCACATGGGTTTGATCATCACAACATGTCTGTCTATCATAGATACTGCCAAATTTGTCTAGATTTTTCCCCAGCTAATTAATAATAACAATAATAATTGGAAAGAAAAAAATTAAATAGTTTGATGACTCTTTCATCACCATTCTTCACCCATGTGAGCCTTCGATAATGACTCAATCAAACACCCAAACTATTTTCGTACATCATCTATTTCATTCATTTTTAAAGGATTTTAAATATTTATGTATTGTGATCATACCCATGATTTCTTAGTGTGCAGTTTACAATATACAGTTTTTATTATTATACTCTTATAGGAATGTCACATTTTAACCAATTCTTCGTCTGTGGGTTTTCATATATATGGATGTTCTTTTGCAGTTTATCCTCTGGTCTAATTAAAGACTTTGTAAAACAAAAATTAGCTGTTTTATTTAAAGAAAAATAAAGTTTATGTTAATTATATTCAGTCGCACGAATATTAAAACTCAGACAATATTATATATAAGTATCCTTTTAGAGTCAATAGTAATTAGAACAAAAGGTGATATATAAGACTATATTGGGGAAAAGAGTGTGCTGTTAGAATGGATCCATCGAAATGACAATTGCCAATATAATTGGGGTCAATCCAGTAACAAATTGTGGACGAATCTTAGACCGCAATTATGACAACAAGAAACACCACTATTATAGGTCATTAACTTTTTTTTAATAATTAATCATTTTAACCCTATCATTAATCATTTTTCACCCTAACAATTAACCAGCTTACGCTTTTCCCGTCGGTATATATTCGAGTTTCATATAAGTTCCAGAAACTAATTTAAATTTTGGTCAAAATTGTCCAGAAAAACAATAAAACGTCGTACTGACTTACATACATGTCATAGTCAAATTTGTGTTGTTGATATATACACCTTTGAAATAATAACACTATTCTGTAACTTTTGTTAACTAGACTTGTCTGATATAATTTCCTTAATTGTATTAAGTGACTATTTGATTTGATACGTGCTTTAATTGTATTGGTCAGTCAAGTAATGAGACAAATCATGTGGAGTGGGAAGCTCTAACAAAAACTGTTTCGGTTAAGTTGCAATATAGCTGATTTTGTTTCTTTGTCACTGTTTTGGCACGTGTGAGTAGTGTGGATGTCCTTCCAAGTTTCAAGCTCCATACTCCTGATTCTGAAAGATTAATCCAAATGCATGAACAAAACTTTTAAATACACGCGTGAAATGAACTCGTATTTGGCAAAGTTTTATCAATTAGATCATTTGCTAATATGACTGAATTGTTCGTTTTTATAGAGCAGAGAGGGTCATCATATGTTTGGTGAATCATTTTACATATCTTAATTGGGTTTTGTCGACTTAGAGAAGGAAAAAACAAGAAAGTCGAACATAAGCAATTAGTTGTTTGGGACTACATACAAAGTTATGGGGAAAATCAGACAAGTATTACGAATAAATAAGTGGGGCCTAGAACGTAAACGCGTGGCATGGGACCTACTACGACATATATAAACATGGGTGATGAAATGGGTTGATCGTGATTCATGTCCTTTTCCTCATTCAGCTGTAAACTATAGTATTACCAAAAAATCAATTTACATTTAATAAACTAGTTAGTTATATGATATTTCCCTTAGAGTAATGATACATTGGTCCCTTTGGGGACATCCGATGACAAAAAAAGAGAGTAATAATACATTTTAGAGGATGGAGAAAAACTTAAATAAGATAATACACATGAGTTTATGTCAATTCAAAAACTAGAAATATAGAAAATGCTAGTCGCTAAATGGAAATAAGAGAAAATGTTGATTATTTGAGCAAATTAAGTGTTCGTTTGTGCTATCTACCTCATTGCTCCAACATTTGATTTTATTGTTCACTGAAATCAGAGAATTTTATCAGAGCATATTGTTTTGTTCATTTAATAGTGACTGTCCTGTCCATGTGAAGAGTGGGATATACTTGCATAACAAATACCAAATCGGTTAGTTTTTTAAAATTTTATATGGGTGTGAATAAGTGTTAGCTAACGGTTTTCATGATCCAGGAGTATAATCAATCATAGCTAACTTTAAGCTAGAACCGTAAAATGTAAATAATACTTATTTTAGTTGAAAGATATAAGTTTTTAGATAAATGTGAAATAATAAGGTGACGTCTATATCAAAGACCGCCATTCTCTCGTCCCATTCCACACTCAGTCACATGCAAAAATGGAGGGTCCATTGAATCCTCAACAAAAGGTCACAATAAAACTAATATTCTATAGAACAAATGTAATCTTAATCATATAAAAACATATGACTATTTTATAATAACGAATGGAGTTTTTATTCAACATGGTCTTTGGAGGATTCAGAGACGTTGTTCCTCAGCTTGCATACACACATGCAGTATATTTTGGTGTTATCTATGCATATTTATGTTCTTGGTACAAGAGAATCTAATCTATTATGTTGACAAATTTTCCATATAATTATTTCGATAACCGGAAAAAAACATTTTATTAGACTTTCAAGTTTGTTTGCCTTTTTGAAAAAAAGACAAAATAATTACATATATTAATAGATTTGTATATCCAGTTTGCTTGCCTTTTTGTGTATTATGTCGGAAGATGAAAAATCTCACAGAAATTCATCTGAATGTTTTTGTGTATCATTATCGTCCTCTTATTTCCAATTCTACCGAATTTGTTTCTACCTAGCGGATCTATCATAAACGTAATTATGTACTTACTGACTTACTGTCAAAACTCTTTACAATTTCAGTTGTATGGTTTGAAATTTGCTAGTAGTTGGCACTAGTTCTTAGATCGTTTTCCGATGAAATAAGATTGCATAGGACTTTTAGGATCAAAAATTATTACTTACGATAACCAATGCAAGAAACAAATCTGCTAAGAGAGCTTTACATGGATCGGGTAGTTGACGCTTAGAAATTACAGGTATAAGATACTTCGTATAGACGAAAATGAAATTCATTTTTCAATACCACTTAACAGAAAATCATTGATTCGTAATATTTAGAATCATATTTCATTTCTACCATTAAAACAAAAAATGTAGCCTTCGTAGACTTTTTCGTAACTCTTACACACACATTAGTGAATTTATCTGGATTGTGGTACAACAATAACACTAGGAAAAAATTTGATCAAAAGCTACGTTTTAAAAAAAGTAGAAGAAGAATTTGGAGAGAAGAAAAGAATTGAATTGGACGCGGTTTTGGAGCAAAGTGAGAGCAAGTGAATGTTACATTTGACTCCAAAAGGAAAGAGACTTTTTGTCATTCCCATCGACCGCACTCCATGGGATCTTTGTTCCCTCCTTATCTCTTCATCCGTTGAACTTCTTTTGTTTCTACACACATTAATACAAAGATGCTTCTATATGTTAGCCACACAAAAAATTCTTTTGATGGTATAGTTGAAAAAAGAAAAATCTAATTCTTTGTACAGTAAAGCATTTCTATTGGATTTTTTTATTTTAAAAATTCAGTTTTCAAATTTTTGTAAATAAGTTATCCAAAAATAGTCTCTGATTGGCGCTTAGACGTTTTTTGAATATTGATTACAAACACTGATTAAATTATGTTTGTGAGACGTGCAATCTTATAAGGTTTAAAATAAATATTATCTTTTTTTATTGTCACATACAGAAATGTTATCTATGTTCCTAGGCCCTAGCTAAACCCATCTCTCGGCTCGTTCCCATGTGCCCTTCCTTTTTTTTTTTTTAATAATATAATTTGCCTAACAACAGCATCAATATACGTTTCTTTGGTTCATTCTGAAACTATTCTTCAAGCTCCAAAATGTATTACAAGCCGCTGAATTTTCATGATCGTTATATATTATTGTTGTGATAATTTTACATAAGAAATGGTAACTATCATCTTTCCTGTAAGACAGTTTTTTCCCGAATAACCATATATTTTGATCCAAAGCATAAACCACCGGTCAGCTAAGACGAAATATCTTGATTTTTATCTCGACGAGATTTTATATTTTTGTAGAAAAGCCTTTAGTTTTTTTTTGTATTTTTCATTAAGATATACTTGTATATTAAGGTATATATACAGTGTATGCAGTATGCCAATACAAGAAAAGGTATACAGTGTATATGGAAGAGGAAATTGGATACAGTAGACCACGTGATGTGAGCTTCGGAACAATGGTGAATCTTTCGATGGTTGAATATGGAAGAAAAAAGTATTGACTTTGTGGTTAGATAGCGTTGTTCTTTCAGTTTTTAAGTTACCATTTTATTTCTTTCTTGTTGCTTTCATCCATATAACAGCACAGTAGCAGGAGCAGCACATACGTCAACATCTAACACATTTCACACACACACACACACACACACATAATTAGTTTCAGACTCCAACTATTGAACAATCCAAGCGTATGCGTATGACGAACGTGATTAGTTTCAGATGGGCCTAGTCCAGTCATTATTTCCACAGAGTCCCCAACAACACAAGTCCGATTCTCTGGTGCTTATGGGCTTCCTCAGTATGTTGCCTCGGGCTTTCGTCTTAGTTAGTTGGGCTTTTCGCGATTGTTTAAGGTGTTATTTCGGGTAATATAATTTTGATCGAATCTTAAATTAGTAAGAAATTGAATAACAAACAGTTTGTATTAAATGACATGTCAAGCTTCGGTCCCACATAATTCTCCCACATCTCCACACGTACTAATATTTTAAATATAACAATTGAATATAATAATATCGAATAATCAAAATCGTATAATAAAAACAAAAATCTCATTATCTCACACTCTCACACCCAATTCTCTTCTCCTCTTTCTCTCCAAGTTGGGATCTTTATTTACCTTTCGCTTTTGTTTCCGGCTTCTTCTCGGTGTTCTCATCACTGTAAAACCTGAATTCGGAGATGGTGACGGCGGCAGATGAATGGACGAGGTCAGCGATGAGAGACGGAGGAGTGGTGGCGGAGCTTTTGGTGAGCCTCAAAGAAGCCAAAGTCGCGAATCCGACTGTAGCGGCTCTCCGGTGGGGAATCCGGCAGCCTCGGTCTCGGTGTCCGAGAAAGGAAGCTGAATCGGCTAAAAACTCGAGATGTAGTCCAAGTACGCCGCTCTCTTGGAGCGGCGGTTGCGGTGGCTCCTCTTCTTCTCCGTCTGCCTACGTCGACGGTTACGAGGCCACGAGTCGTCAAATCAGTGGCTCATTCGCCGTCGGATCTAGATCCAAGGTTCGTGCGTGCGTCTTCTCTCGTATTTTTTCTTCGATTTCAGATTAGCTGATCTGTGGTGGTGGACGACGAGTTGTTCTGTTTTCGATTTTTTTTTCAAATTCTGAAACCACGAATGATTTCAGTTTTGTAAATCCAAGAAAACACAAAAGAGTCTTTCTAAATCCACGAAAGATTTTAAATTTGTAAGTTTTTATTTCAGTTTTCAGTGTTTCTGCTTCTCACTCTGTTTAGATTCGAGACGTCCTTTTTACTTCTGACAGAAAAGCTTACACAGACTCACAGTGTTTGACATAGTTAGGGTATTCTAGTCATTTCAACATGTCGGCTTGTAGACGGGGAAAAAAAGTGTGCGATACGTCGACGTTTTGTTATTTTCCTCGGTGTTGTTTTTAGTTGCAATTATCCGGCGAAATATACGGGCATATTTTGATACTACCCAGTTTCATCGTTCTCTCGTTGGACACTTATTTTAGAGCTCAATTTAGAATATTTGTTTTTTTTAACTGCTTTGTAGAAATTTATGCTGTAGATATTTGTTAAACGTTAGATAGGTTTATTTTGCAAAAAGAAAATATAAATATTAAAATCAGGATCTGGATCTGGTAAGATTTACTATTTTCTGAATGAGCCTTACTGTTTCTTTGATTAATTAATTGGGTTATCTCTAAAGTGGACCCCGTAGTTTTCTTTTTGGCCTTGACTGTGTATATCTGTCTAGTTGGACGATCTTTTGAAGAAAAAACAACAAGATTGATATTGTTAACTAAAATGGCAATGGAGAGATTAGGGAATAGTTTGAGTGAAGTGTGTTTGGAAAGGAGAGTTAGGTTATCAACCTCAGAGACGCGTTATTCTTCCTATTGTTTATGTGATTGTCACATGGGACCCTTTTCTCTCTCAAACATTGAATTTGTGTGAACTGTGGGGACTTCAAACTTTTGTTTCTTGTGACTACTCTTTAACTTTTTTTTCATTTTTCACCATTTATTAAATCGGTTTCTTCGTGTTTTTTTTATATGAAACAGGACATGGCATCGCTCAGATCACCATTCGTCGAGAACAAGAAGAGTTTGAAGAGGATGAAGATGAACACAGAAATGCCTACTTTGCTCTCAGATTGTAATTTGGTAGAGAGTGAGGATTGCAAGGTGGATGATGGCAATTTCCTGCTACCGGATTTGAATGTAATGCCATGTGAGGAAAATGTTGACCACTATTCTTCTTCTTTGGGTGTGGACACAACACTATATGGGATTAGGATGATAAGGTGAGAGGAAGGGAGTGACTCAACTCAACCATAACAAGTGGTTCTGAAGATCTTGTTTGATCAGAGTTAGCTGATCTGATTCCATCTTTGGCTCGGCTTTTGAAAAAGAGTCCGCACAAGCAGGAGCTCCAAAAGACAGAAAAAAAATCTTCTACCGTAGAAGTGCCTCAAGGAAGTTTCTATTTGTGGGGTGGTTTCTATAAAGATCAGATGCAATTTGTAAGATAAAGAAAACAAAGAGAAGAATATGAGTTGTATTGTCTCTTTGTAAAACGAACAAGAAAAGAGTAATTTGTATTGTTTTGTCTATATTAGCACAAGTGGTACTAAAGAGTGTTCTTTGATGACTCGTCAATTATAATATCTTAACAAAATATGGTATATTCATTAGTCTCTTTTCAAGAAGATAACAAAGACAAAGGATTATCACAGACACAGAACCTAAATGTCACTTTCAACAACATTATCCATTTATAACAGGCCACTAAATATCTTAATATAAGGATCCGTTAAAACTTGCATACAGTTCCCACTAATTTACTTTACTCAGAAACAAAACCATGTTTTAGCACTTAATGTGAAATATTCCATAAGAGGCATTCAAAACGTCTTCTACAACATCGGATTGGTCTGCTCATAGCTCCTTTCAGACCTTAGTAGAAAGGAAGAGATCTTACTTCATTTTAGCCTGAAAACTGCAAAATAATCAAACCCTTATGTATGTCCAAACTAGCCCAACAATGTTATTATTTCGACCCACAATAGAAAAGCCTATGGGCTTTATGGCTGAAAACGACCAATTCTTTTTTCCTTTTCCACTTCAACCAACGTTTTACGCAAACAAAAAACATGGCATAGTAAGTATTATAGCTTTTACACGGTAGATAGTCTGCCAAGTAAAATAAAAATTATAGCCTTTATATTGCAAAAATTTACATCTCATGAGTCATGACATTCATTTTTTGAATTTAATACGGTATATCTTTGTACAATGATTTGTGTTCTAAAGCGATACGAGTGACAAGAGCAACAAAGCCCAATTACCTACGACCAACTGTGGCACCAAGTTATGCCTACGACCCAAATCAAATGACGCACCATTATTTGACGACTAATTTAAAGTATTATCTTTTTGAGTTATCGATTAAAGTATCAATACAACGTCACTTAGGATAATATATAGTACTAATCTTAATTAGCTACAAGCCTACTAAGGATAATTTAGATTGGATTTGTAGTCTTGAACTTGATTAGTACACTAATACATATTTTTGTCCTTGCGTACAATTCATTTATAATTTTTACAACATCTATCCGTTTTCATGCTTCACATATTTTGAACCGAATCAAGAATGCTTATTAGCTATCAACTTTTGGTTTCCAAATCCTGATTTTTCTTATCTTTTCCTAAGAACCTAGTTACATTCCTAGTACTACTCAAAACCATATATTATGAGATTGAGACCGTAACATATGGTTTTTTTTCTGGCACTTTCAGCTTCAAGATTTATGGGTGGCAGTCTCATAAAAGGGGTTTTAAACCAGCTGGATATCTTTCAGCAAAAGTTTATTGCTTAGTTTCTTTCTGATTTTGGGTGGATAAGATGGCCTAAGATACTTAAATGTGTCGAATTCATAACAAAAGTAAGCAAGCAATGTAAGTGTGGTATGGCCAAAGGCAGAAGCATTGAGAATGAAAGAAGAGGAGAGTGGAGGAGTGGTCCATTACAGAATTGAATATTTATGGAAAATACTGACTTCTCTTTGCTTTTCTCTATTTTTGGTGGTCCACTTTCATGGAGAAACAGTCTAATTTGGGGGGGTTTTAACTTGAGGAGCATACACTATGTCTTATTCCTCTTGACTTCTATATACTGCTTTTAACTCTCAACACTCTTTTCACATTCCTCAACGTTACATGTTTCTATGACTTCTACTGGTTACAACATTTAAGATCAATAGCTTTTGTTCCTCTTTCTGACTCCATAATTTTCACTGATTTTGAAAGAGAATTATTTTTAGTTTCATTTCATGTGGAACTACTTCATGACTTATGTGCGATACGCTTCATCAAAGTCCGTTGTTATTTCGGCTTAATTAGCTCGGACTTAAAAAAAGTTATCACAAGAGCCGGCCAAGAAGGTTTGTAGGCCCCAGACTGGACATTTTTTTGTTCATTATGTATATCTCTATTTTATTTTGTATAAAATAATACAGTGATCAAGTACGTAGAACCATATGTATATACGTTGTATTTAACTTTTTGGAAACAACCAAAATACTAGAAAGGTGGAATCAAAATATCAAGGGATTTCAAATCGATTAAAATTATGGTTTTGTTAATTTTAACAATAGTAGTGTTTATATTTTAGCGCTAAATTCCACTTCAAATAAACTTTCTTATTGTATCTTGTCGGCAATATATGCTTGTGTACGAATGAGCATTGAGTATTATATGCTTTTGTGAAGTATATATAGATGTATGTTGTCATAACGTATACTATTTGGCAATGAATAAAGAGCAACACGAGTAATGAGACTTGACTTTGACAAAAGATATATGAGTGTCTACTCTGTGTGTATGGTCTATCAAATTAAAGTAATGCTTTCTGATCAGTACAGATTATCAACAAGGTTTAGTGAAATTATTTTGTCAATTAGCTAAACTTCGTTTCCATCTCTACCCCACAATTTTAATCAACCCCCTTTGACAAAATCCCTTAGGCTCCTCCAGTGTCGGCAAATAATTGATCATATCTCTATACGTATCATTTTCTTACATTTTAACACATAACATACGTACAGACTAATTTAAGAACTTGTACATATAGTCTTTAATAGAGGAAGTGGCTTGTGAAACTTAGGCATGCTAGTTTCCATATATGGATGAAGCATTGTGATGGTGTTTGTTTCTAAAATTGTTTTCTACATATAAGTGGTGCCGATGGTAACATCACTCGGGAAGCTTGAACATGACAAGAAAAAACACTACAACTAAATCCAAGAAGAAGACTCCTAGATGATAACGAGAGTAAGAGTTGTCCATTCACTAACCTTTTTACCAATGCATATTCAGGAACAACATTTGAGAGAGTGGACTGCATATAATAACCCCACCAAACCACATTTTAACCATACCCCCGTAACATACGTGACCTGGGAATATCATCTCTAAAGAGAAGCATGTAAGAATTGAATTGTACCACCTTTGATGATAAAGATGGTAAGAAGTAGGAAGCACCAACTGAGTTAGGAGATTCATATACAACGTGAGATCTCTATGAGGCTGAGGTACATGATACTGAGGAAGTTGTTTATGATTTGAGTGAGGAGACTCTACTTGACATGAATCAATTTCTAAGGTTAACTTGATCTTCTACTCTAATATGTTAATACCTCATGAACATCCTAGGATCATAATCTAGGTCCTAGGATATTGTCTTAATACAATATCTTTCACAGGCACAATTAAGGTCATGCGCTATATTTATATAATGAACTGCAACATGTTCAAATTTTAAATCGTAAAAACTCGAGTAGACAGATTCCACGAATAAATTAATTAATAAACTAAATTGTCTCTATTATTTGGTATCATCTACAGCTTTTACTGTTGCATAGTAAGTAAAATAGTATGTTACAGAAAGCATAGATATTATTTTCCCCTTTTGCTTTTAAACTATTGTCGAAATTAAAATATTATTTTATCTACTTTGTCAAATTAGCAACCGATTATTTCTCCCAATTTTTATTATTCGTTAATGCCTTGTGATGAGAAACTGTGGCCTGTAGCCTGTGGGGGTGTGTGCAGCTTTAAAGAAAAGGAAAGAAGAGATCAAAAGGTTGTGAAAATGACACACTTCCATTAAAAGAGTACAACGACTTGCAACTTATATAAGCCTCTCTCCGTTACGATGATCCAAAGGCAAAGCATTTTATTGTTTAGTCGCCGACCTTATTAGTCCCTTATTACATACATCGCTTATTGATCATTGGAATGCATCATGCGTTCTGGATAAACGGTAACAACACCATCCACCAATCTCACGTTTGCCATAACATATATAAATCGAATATTATGATTAACTAAGAGCTTGAAAATATCAGTATGAGTAAATTTTACACCCGAGCGGTTAAAATAGTACGTAGCAGACAAATCTTTTGACAATTAACGGAATAGTGATAATTGATAAATCAGATAGGTGTGTACTGGTGAGCTAGACTGAAAAGGGGTTTGTCGCTCGTACAGACATAAAATGAATTTATTTTTAAAGTTAACACGACAACATATTATAAGCATAGACACATAGTACGTAGTTCTATCTATTACATCAAGATATAAACTTATACAAATCGATTAACATTTAAGTTGAATATTTAAAAGTATTCGTAGTGAATTAGAACAAAATCTCGTTATGTAACAAATACGGAATTGCAGCAAACCACAAAATTACAAAATTTAGATCTATAGTATTTTCCTTTTTGTTGCTATTTCAACAAACAAACAAACCACGAAGTTACAAAATGTAGATCTGTAGTATTCTTGTTTTTTGTTGGTTGGAGTTGTAATTCGATTTTTAATATGAACCGAACACGAAATACTCAACATTTTTCAACATATTACCAATAGATTTTTCATATAAACAAAAAATTATAAAAAAAATTTTGAAGGTAATGATATCATGGATTACCTTTTTGTCAGATATGGTAGATAATAAATTTGAAATCTTTCACAGAAATGTTTTTTTGTCAGACCCGAAATTGATTTTACCTTAAAGGAATAAAATGGTATTTTCGTTTTTGTTTTTCTAATTAAGAAGTTTTGTGGGAAGTAGGCAGGGGACCATTTGGCGATAGGTAAACAGTTGGCTATTTAAACACCTTTCTCACCCCTCACCTGTCACCAACAATTGGACCCCACGCGCTATGTGGTCCCCACTTATTTGTGTTTTTATCCTTTAAATATAAAATTTCTTTTCGCTAAAACGTTTTTGAATTTTTATTAATACTTTTTTTTAGGCTATGTGTTGGGGTTAAATCTGTCCATTCACTTTCGTTAAGCCGGCGGCTGTCAGCCTAAGTTCTGAAAAAAATCTAGGACTGGTCCCCACGTTTTATTTTATTTCTAATTTTGCATTTATAATTTTTGTTTGTCGTATCTATCATTTTTCTTCGGGAAATAATTAATTTTTAAAACTCATCTTTTTCTTTATTCGGGGTTGCATCAATCCACATGTACGGTTAGGATTCTCTTATCCCGAACGCATGCTATTGCTTTGGAGGGGACCATATGTGGTCCAGACTACCTCGTCTCGACGCGTGTCCTCTGTTTTTTGGCCCGCGAGTAGCGACGTGATTTATGGTCCCCCTTTTCTCATTTCTTCACCACCGGCTATTTCCGGTTCATTGCTTTATCCCAACAGGTTTTATTATCTCTTCCGTCGCCGTTAATTAGAGGGAAACTAGCATTAATCATTTTTATTCTTCGTTTTCATATTAAAAAAATGGCCTAAAAACACCCCTAAATTGCAATAAATATGGTCAAACTGTATGCATCTTTTTAAAAAGTATGTTGACGCAACATTTTAAAAAGTTGAGGTTGTGTGACTTCGTCACGCTCCTCGTAGTGACGTGGAAAGCACGCTCCAACATTTACGGGGGTTGGCTACGTATGGCCTCGCTTAGTTTTGTGATTGCTTACTATTTATTGAGTATAGTATATGATTTGTTAGTTTTTCTGTCACTATCTTTTGTATCCAAAGAACTTAAATAAACCTTAAGTATGAGTCACTTGTAGAATATTCAGTGGATAATTGAGAGTTTTTAGTTATTTAAACTTTTGAAAAAACGAAAAAATCAAAGCTAGAGAACACAAAGTCGAACGATAGAATCTCTTTCGAATAGAACCAAAAAAAAAGGCAGAAGAGAGAGATACGCATGCATGAAAGGGTGGTGGAGCGGGATTGCAGGAGACACATCAAAGAGAAAATCAGAGCACTCGAAGCCGACGCCAAAAACGTTAGTCGTGGTCAAGAAAATACTTCTTCCTCAGGCCTTAGTTTTTAGATTTGGAAGATTATAATGCTTTGTATTACAAAGATGTTACATAAAAAATACTAATAAAGTAATCAACATACGAATACATCAAGGAACTACTCCATATATCTCTTGTTTTTCATTTCCTCATGTAATTACTAAATCAATAGAAATAAAGCACATGTTACCAAAAAGAAAACTGTTGATTACACCAATGATCTTGTTCTAATTAACTACTACCTTCTTTTTGCTACAAGTAGAAGACACATTAAAATTTTAGTAATCAACTGTATAGTACGTATGTATAATATTCACGAGGGTCGTGCATGTTTCAATTTAGAGTTTCACACGTGTGGTTAGGGACAACCTCGGCCTTTTTAGTTGAGTAAGACATGTGGCTCGACCTTTACAACCATTTTGAATCAAATAATTTTATTTGCGGAATCATTGGACCAATATTGGTGAACACATTTAAGTTGCTGCTTGAAATTATGTTATCAAGTAGAAAATATGATTTTGATGACATAATATATAGATCATATAGTATCCAAAACATAAATGATTTAAAGGGAAAAAAGATATAGTACAACTACTAACAAAAAAAAGAAAGAAAGGGAGATAGTAACAACTGTTAAATTTGTTCTAGTGTTTTAAATTTTACTATTCAATTATTCGTTGTTGTTGTTCGTCGCTATCGCTAATGATAGAGAAAACAAGTACTTAAAGTTTATAAATTAAAAGGTGAAGGCGTGAAGCAAAAAAAGAAGAGTATATTATGGTCCAGCAGTAAAATATGAGGGTGAGACGCACGCGCTTCTTAATCTTAGATACGTTGCGTCTGGAAACACAACACGTAGCAACTCTTTTATAAAGGAAATACATTTATTATTCTCAACAGTATAAATTAAAAACACAGTCGAGAGGGGGCAACGACCTTGCTTCGCCGTCCGATCTCAATGAAACCAGTCGCCACTAACAATGGACGACTCAGATTAGTCCATGACGACCTACTTTTCTTTTATTATCTTTTTGTCGTGACCTAATCTTTCTATTTTTTCATTAGTCACTAATTTTTGGGTTTATTTTTAGTCTCTATGTGGACCACCGTGATTGGAAAAGAAGAAACCCTTCTTTTTGTTGGTAAAAAACATTTTTGTCAACCATAACTAAACTTATTTCTCAAACGCAACGTAATTGTACTGAGACAATTAAATACTTTTTGCCCGAAATATTTAAAAGGTTAAATTTTGATGTGTGTGTTTTTTCTTCCTGTCACTAGAAGAAAGTTATCAAAAAAGTTAAAACATAATCGGTTGAACTAAATTAAGAGTACGAGGTTACATTAATTTTAGTTACATGTTTGGTTTTTTCTGAATGAGTTTTTTTCTGAAGTTATTTTTAATATGGTAAAAACCTAATTTAACGTGAAAATATTTTCATGCAAAGGTAATACCCAATATATCTGTCGTCGAATAGGTTTCAAAATACTTTATGTACTTCATTTACATGATTAACAAACAAAAATTAATGTATGAGAATAAAACCAAAAGAAATAATCATATGAGAGAAATTGTCTTATTGTACAAGAAAAATAAAATTCCATATTTGCCAAATAATTACTCTGAAAAACAAAAAAAAAGAAAGAATAAATATCGGAATAAATGGTCATCTCTCGTCCGTCTCGATCTCTCAGCTCTGTGCAGTCTGCAGACACCCACATATATATACTCAGAGATACATACACACACATACACATACACATACAAATACACCACAACCATTTTTTCTGTCCCTTTTTCGATTAAATAAAGAGAAAAATATACAAAAAGTCTCTGTGGATTGATATAATTGAAACATGAAACAATCGTCATAGAAGCAGAGATTCACCTTCTCCCCCTTTCTTTATCTTTCCCTCTCACAAACAGGAAAATTCGAAAAAAAAAAACAAAAAAAAGCCAAAAAACATCGAAACGATGGCGTTTCACCACAATCACCTCTCTCAGGACCTCTCCTTCAATCATTTCACCGACCAACACCAACCTCCTCCTCCGCCGCCTCCGCCACCGCAGCAGCAACAACAGCAACAGCAACATTTCCAGGAAGCACCGCCTCCTAACTGGCTTAACACGGCTCTTCTCCGCTCCGACAACAATTTCCTTAACCTCCACACAGCCACCGCCAACACCACCGCCGCAAGCAGCTCCGATTCTCCTTCCTCCGCCGCAGCCGCCGCCGCTAATCAGTGGCTATCCCGTTCCTCCTCCTCCTTCCTCCAACGAACCGGCAGCAACAACAACAACGCCGCCTCCGGTGCAGCCGTTGTCGGAGACGTCATCGACGACGTTACAGGAGGAGCGGAGCCGATGATCGGCGGAGAGATGAAGAGCGGCGATAACAAGCACGACGGAGGAGCTGCAGCGGCGGAGGGCGTGGTGAGCTGGCAGAATGCGAGGCACAAGGCGGAGATCCTCTCGCATCCGCTCTACGAGCAGCTCTTGTCGGCGCACGTCGCGTGTCTAAGGATCGCAACGCCGGTGGACCAATTGCCGAGGATTGACGCCCAGCTTGCGCAGTCGCAGCACGTCGTCGCTAAATACTCCGCTTTAGGCGCCGGCCAAGGACTCGTCGGCGACGACAAGGAGCTTGACCAGTTCATGGTACCGTTTCTTACCATCTTCTTCACAGATTTCTGTGAAAGTATACATTTTTATCTCTAGCTTGTTTGTTCTTATAGTTTCAAATTGAAGAATTTTTGTTTAGAATAGTTTCAAATATTTTTAGAGAAGAAAAGGCTTGTGCTTTCTAGTTTCTTCACTGTCTCGATTTACGATTTCGATTAAGCTCTTTCATGAGTTGAAATCTTGGTTCGTTTTTGGGGATAAACAATGGCGAAGCTTAAAGTCCCGGAATTTTACAATATCTAGACTGGTGGGACCAGGAAATAAAAAAAAGAGAGCTTATGATATACAGTAATAATGGTGATGGTTTAAGAAAAAAGGAAAATTTGAAACATTAATCGTAGTTACAGAGACGGTCGTCATCTGGAATTTATGTAAGGGTGTTAAATGTTACCGGATACATTTAAAGGTTTCAAATTTAATTTTCCGTCTTTCGATGAGCTTTTCCAAATCTCTTTGTTGTCAATGTATGTATAATTTCAATTCATTTGTTGTGCAGACGCATTATGTGCTGCTTCTGTGTTCTTTCAAAGAGCAATTGCAACAACACGTGCGTGTTCATGCGATGGAAGCTGTGATGGCTTGCTGGGAGATTGAGCAGTCTCTTCAGAGCTTAACAGGTGAGGATTGTTCATATCTCATCATTAATTAGCATTTGGTTTAGAATCTTGTGATTTTGTAGTGTTACAATGACAATTGACAAACGATGTGTTTTGTTGGTGAGATAGGAGTGTCTCCCGGTGAAGGCATGGGAGCAACAATGTCGGATGATGAAGATGAGCAAGTAGAGAGCGATGCTAATATGTACGATGGTGGCTTAGATGTCTTGGGTTTTGGTCCTCTGATTCCTACTGAGAGCGAGAGATCTTTAATGGAACGAGTTAGACAAGAACTCAAACATGAACTCAAACAGGTAATAACCAAAACTCAATCAAGAACTTGTTCTTTTCTGATTTTGGTTTTTACATGAATGATGTTACCAATGTAGAATCTTTGTTTGTTTGGTGTGAGAAGGGTTACAAGGAGAAGATAGTGGACATAAGAGAGGAGATACTGAGGAAGAGAAGAGCTGGGAAGTTACCAGGAGACACAACCTCTGTTCTCAAAGCATGGTGGCAATCTCATTCCAAATGGCCTTATCCTACTGTGAGCTCTCTCTCTCTCTCTCTCTCTCTCTCTCTCTCTCTCTCTCTCTCTCATCCTAATTCTCTTTCTTAACTTGAAGCCTCCAAGTAATTAGAGTGAGCATATCATTTATTGGTTTGCAGGAGGAAGATAAGGCGAGGTTGGTGCAAGAGACAGGTTTGCAGCTAAAGCAGATAAACAATTGGTTCATCAATCAGAGAAAGAGGAACTGGCACAGCAATCCATCTTCTTCCACTGTCTTGAAGAACAAACGCAAAAGGTATTACACTAATTATATTTTCTTAAAAATATAACCGAATGACTCACTTATGGATTCGACTCAAAAGTCTGAAACTTCTGTTTGGATGAAAGCAATGCAGGTGACAATAGTGGAAGAGAGCGTTTCACGTAACAAATATATGAAGTGAATTGGGAGCTGGATTGGATGGGATTTGAAGCAGCAGGGTTTAGGGGTTAAGGTTGAGAAAAAGAAGAAGTTGGGGCTATACAGAGAGGGGACAGTATTAGAAAGTAACTTTTTGTGCAATTACATCATAGTACGTAGCTTGGTTATGTGATGCCCATATATTTTTATTTTTTATTAGTAGTACACAAACCAAACAAAAAAATATGAAAAAGGAGGTTCAGGCTTTTGTTTAACGGTATTGGTTTGTCTGCATGAGTTTTATTATGAACCATCAGATAATTCATCATCATAATATCTTGTGAATAAGATAGTGAGCCGAGAGTAGATGCACAATTTTATAATTGTTTTTTCCCCTTCAATACAGTGGCTTTGAATGATATACAAAAAAAAATGTGATAATTATTTTTTCATCCACACTGTTTATGGTTGTGTTGTGTTTGTTCCGCAATGATCCACATTTATTCCTTTCAATCCGTTTATTTTGTACCGTGTCACCATTCGAACAAGTATCGACCCCAAGTGTATTGGCTCCATAAGTGAGTACACAAGACAGGACAAAACAAAACATACCCCATCTTAGATAACTACTGTAACTTGTTGGGTACTTTTGTTATTTAATGTTCTGAAACGTGTTGGTTTTGTAATCGTTATCCTTATCTTTTTATCACATTTGTGATTGAGACTCACACAAGATCCAGGAAAGATTTCGACAAGATTTTTATATCGGGCACGGGGTGTTTGTGCACCAATTGAATGCTGAAATATGTACATATAAACAAATGATTGTGGCGGCATACACTGAAGATAGCCAAAGTGCAAAGACGAGAACAACGTGTTCAAAGTTAAAGGAAGTTCAGCTCTAATTGGTCATATCTTGTTGGTGAAGATTCTCTTAAATTCTTGAAAAAATCGATGAAAACATCATCTTCATGCTATTGTGTCAGAGGAAGTTCAAAGTTAAACCATGGTGGATTTTCTGTTTAAGTTGAATCAACACTGAAAACAGATTTAGTAATTTCAAATGAATTTGGACAGTTTAGACTTTAGAGCATATGTATATATGTAACACATTTCCCCATTTTACAAGTCTTTGAGACGAAAAAGAATCAATGCGACCAGGCTATGGATCGAGAGTTATGAGTTATAGCGATGTGACGATAAGAATCATAAGATATCATATCCCCCGCCACCCCGACAAGCTTTATCTTTGATTTCATATACATAATTGTCTATTATGATTATGATTAGTACCTAGAATCAAGAATCTTGCATTTGCTTCTTTTTTTCTTAGCTTCATTTGTATCCAATTTGCTTGTTATGATAACTCTTAACATATTCTTGTGTATTACTATATTAGTAGTTCATAAACCTTAAAATGTTACTTATCCTTTATACGAAGGGTTGTATTTCGTTGAGAATCTTGAATCTGAAAATTATCTTGGTGTGATGTGAACCTAATCATGACAAAGATGTTGTTCTGCATCAAGAATGGAGGCAAGTGATGGATCAAGAGATTAAAATCCTCGAGGCTAATGAGACATGGACCTTGGAGATACTAGAATATGTTAAATGGATTTAAGCTAATGCAGATTGAAGCAGTGGGATTTATAAGTAACAAGGGGAAGATATTAAATAGACACTTGCGCTCGTGGCCAAAAAGGTCTATGATTCTCATTCTAGTAGTTCAAGTTTTGAGTGTTTATTATCCAAATTGTGCGTTTATAATTTATACACACCAACTTAAATATAAATATTTAGTTTTATGTGTATCTTTCCACCCAAAAAAAAAAAAGATATCTGTGTATCTTAGCTAGATAAGTACAAGCGAGTATTTGGGATAACCAAGTAAAATAAGTACAAGTTATAATTAAAATACGGAAACTATTATAACCCCTTTGTATTAACATAAATGACACGGTCAAATATAAAAAATTACAAAAAGAGGTAAAAAACTAAAAATATCACACTTTTATCACAAGCGGAGCCACAAACCTCTCCGGCGAAGGATTTTCACCGCCGTCATCAAAATTAAGACTGTAGTTTTTGAGATCGTAAGTGAAATCTACATCCCTCTTCATCTTCTTCCTCCCATTGCTAAAACTTCTTATAAAGTTTTTCCACTTTGGTCCCGCAATTTTCTCAGAAACCTCCTTCAGCCCCTTCAGTTTCCTGCTCCCCCAGTTTTCTTCCTGCAAACTACCGCTCCAGCCACCGTCACCTCCTCTCCGCCACCGGTTTACACTGAAACTACGGAAATACCCACAACCGCAAAACGCCGCCGTTTCTTCGTAATCATCTGAGAGTAGATTCTCTTGATCTGTGGCCATTGATAAGAACAGAGGAGAGCGTTTGTTCTCTTTGAGAGTAGAAATGGTAAAAGAAGAGTCTTGAACAATAATTATTAGACGGATATATATACGGAACTGAGTGAGATTGGGCCACGTGGCGTCTCGACCGTTGGATGATGTACTGGTGGGGTCTCTCATTGGACTGTTATTTTCGCAAAGCGTGACAGTGATGTGAGAGGAGCAAAATGGTTTCGCTGGCTAATCATGAAAGACAGCTGTGAAGGCGGGAGCGAAACGGTTGCTTTCTTTTTATTTTTGTTTCTTCTTTTGTCTTTAAGGATAATTATGAAATGATTTATTGATAATATTTTTTTGAGTATATGAAGATTGCGTTATCTGAAAAGTGAAAGTTGTCTACAATTATTTATTCTATGAATGTGAGTGTCTGGTGATTATTTTTAAAACAGTGTATGATTTGTATTAGAGCTAGATTAGTACCTGAAACAAAAATATCAACAAAGTTCAAACCTGACTTTACATATGAATATGATTTTGAAATGAATATTTTGGAGATTGGTGCTTTGAACTTGGAGATAAACTTTCATAAGAAAATATATTTTCTTGACGATGTACACTGAAAACTGACTAAAGTCCTTCAAATTATTATAATCGCGTCAGGTATTGTTTGGTAAAAAGTGGTTTTTGATTTGATGTTATCTAATGTTTCAGAATTTTTATCAGTATTAAATTGAAAGTAACCATTCAATAACTATATAATTGTTCAACAACACCCGGTTTTAATAGTGTATTTTAAAATCGACTATGAAAGAATTGTAGTCTATGAGTTGATTCAAAGGTATTGAGTTTTATCATCTAATAAAGTACATAATACTCTACTTCATACTATTGGTTTACTTTGAACAAAAAAAATATACTATTGGTTTAGAAGTTGTTAAGAAGCTAGAGCAGCTAATAAGAATGATAACCACTAGTAAGTAAGAAGAGTGATAATATTAATAAGTAAGACAAAAAAATATAGGTTAGCACTTAGCAGGCTGGCCAATGATGATTAGCCGTTGGGTTAAAAGGCAAAAGTAATGTGGATATTTGTTAAGCCAACCAAGTCGCAATTTTAAAATTGCTGTCCATGTTTGTCCAACCTTAGCTATAACGATGACTCACTAATCAGTAACCACCATACTTAATCATTATGTTTTTGTCCCTACCAACGTCATAGACTCATAACAAAGATTGCACTATGATTATTTTTCTGATCAAATATATACTCAACCTAATCTTGAGTAAGTGGATCTTGTTAATTTAGATGTAGCAAAAGAAAAGCTCATACAAAACTTGACTAAACCACTATTAGTTTGAGAAATTGTGGTATTCTAAAAAGAATATAATTTTAAAGCCTGTGATAAATTTTGATAAACGAGTAATGTCCATCACAGCTCCGAAATATAAATCACACGATAATAATGACAATATGCATAGACGTACGCCTTAATTTGTTCAAAAGTGTGCGTAGATCAAATTATTTTTGAATACTCTAAGTCTCCAACACATACCTTCAACAACAATTAAACCAATATATTTCTATACGAAATCAACGGTCACTTTATTGATAAAAGGAACTGGTCGGTTTCTATGCTTGACAAGTAAGCTTGACTACATATTGAAGCCCCGAAATATCTCCATATAAAAGGAATTCGAAGAACTATCCTTTGCAAGATAATCACTACAAGCATTTGCCTCATTAAGAATAAAACGAAAACTAGGATGAATGTTTCACTCAATTATGTTTAAAAGAAAGTTGGTACCAAATGCAACCTCAGGCCTTCTCGATCTCCGGATGCATCGATCAAAATCAAAGAAGTAACTGGCTCTTGGTAATGTATCGTCTAATTCCATTTGGACTTAGAGAAATATGATATTGCACCGTACATTCAACTTAAAGATTGAGTTTTTAAAAAATATTTATTAGCAATGGTTGTGAGTTCATAACTTCATATATCAACTTAATAATACTAACAATAATTTGTTGTCAAAAAGAAAAATACTAGTAATAATTATACTATGGGTATCAGTAGAGTAGGCCTCTTCACTTTCCCAGGTATTTGTAAACTCAATTTTTGCTTATGTGTAATTCATACTAAGCATTGTTTTCTTTACATCAAACAAGATAATACGACAAGGATTCCGTAATAGACCAATTAAAATTGATTTCAACCAAAAAAGAAACGAATGAACTAAAGCCGGTTTGGGTTACTACTCGAACCAAAGCAAAAAAATTAGACTAAACGATGTTGGGGCCCACTCGAAAGCGGGACCCTCCAAAAATAGGCGTATGCCACTTGGTGTGGAGAGCACACGGTATTCTTTAGTAAAAGGCGAAAGAATAGTTCGCTTTGTGCTCACCACATGGCTGCGTGGTTTGGTAAAAAGTAACGAGACCTGTATTTATAGCGCTACTTCCGCTGCTAACAACTCCCATCTTTCCGATGTGGGACTCTCGAACTTAGTAGACCAAAAAAAAAAGCGCTGCTGATTTAAACCTCTTCGTGGACTTTAATGGGCCTATTATAAGCTTAGGAGTGAAAGCCTATAACTACTGATCCTCACCTCACGAAATCACTAACGAAGCTCATAAATGATAAATCTAACCAAAGGTTTAACAGCAAAGATTTGTTTGAAATGTTTCCAAATACTAGCAAAGATTTTATTATAAATGAAAAAAATCTATATAAAATGAATTCATAGCTTTCTGTTATGAAGATTTTGCTTCTTAAAAAAGATTTAACACAATCGTATATATTACCTAATTAAGTACATAGAAATAAATTCTTGTTTTGAAAAATCTCTCTATATGAGAAAAGGGAATAATACAAAATGGTTTAATAATATTAATAACTATATAAAAATTATTACTTCGCAAAAATATAACTACACATTTGGCACTTACAAAAATGAAAGAATGAAAAGGACCCCATATTCAACCATAAAGGGTGTAATATATTATATATAGCCGTCTAAATTGTGTAAATTGAGCTAGTCTTGTTCAATGTTGAATGTATTATTTTAAAATCCCCGAAAAATAAAGATTGTGTAACTAAAGTAACTTTCTTGGAAATGGGCTGACATTTATAATTACTCGTTTTTGTGAAGAAGTTTCTCTGAAAGAGAGAAAGTCTTCTAAAAGCTAAACATTTCGACGACTATATATAAGTAACCACAACATAAAATAAAAATAAAACAATAGACAAAAGACGCCACTGAATCCTCTTGTGAATCTTTCACAAAATCTCTCGAAAATCGGTGAAAACCAAAACCACCAAAATCCTTAAGATCCTAGAGAAGAGATGTACAAGGTTGCAAGAGCGTCAGAGTATTTGGCGATCACCGGTGCCGGGATCGAAGACATCAAGCTCGCCAAGAAGTCATGGGTGTTCCCATGGCAATCCTGCACAGTCTTCGACGTTTCTCCGGTCAACTACACCTTCAAGGTCCAGGCCATGAGCGCCGAGAAGCTCCCTTTCGTTCTCCCCGCCGTCTTCACCATCGGCCCTCGCGTCGAGGACTCCGAAGCCCTGATCCTCTACGCTAGGCTGATCTCTCCTCACGACAAAGAATCCAATCACGTCAATGAGCTCGTCGAAGGTGTCATCGAAGGAGAGACTCGTGTCCTCGCTGCTTCCATGACCATGGAAGAGATCTTCAAAGGTAACCACAGTCATTTCATACAATTTGGTTAAAGAGTCTTTGATTAGGTTAAGATAAATGTTAGTTTTAGAGATTAATCACGTTTTGTATTTTTTTATAGTTATTGTATATAGGGAAATGACTTTTCAAAAACGTGAAAACATGAAAATTTGATGAATCGGGTGAATGGTAATGGTACAAAATAGAGGAATCACGTTTTCAAAATGTAAAAATGTGAATAAGCTACATACCATTCAAGCCCATTTTGTGTTGTCTGCTAAATACATTTGGCTGAAAGAGTTTTTTTTTTTTTTTTAATTTATGGAATTGAAGGGACAAAGGAGTTTAAGAAGGAAGTGTTTGACAAGGTACAACTAGAGCTAGACCAGTTCGGTCTGATAATCTACAACGCCAACGTGAAGCAGCTCGTTGACGTGCCTGGACATGAATACTTCTCTTACTTGGGCCAGAAAACGCAAATGGAAGCAGCCAATCAAGCGAGGATCGATGTGTCCGAGGCCAAGATGAAAGGAGAGATCGGTGCTAAAGAAAGAAACGGTCTTACTTTGCAGAACGCAGCGAAGATCGACGCGGAGTCGAAGATCATAATGATGCAGAGGCAAGGAGAAGGGACTAAAGAGGAGATCAAAGTCAAGACTGAGATCAAAGTGTTTGAGAATCAGAAAGAAGCTGACGTGGCTAAAGCCAATGCTGAGCTGGCGATGAAGAAAGCTGCTTGGACTAAAGATGCTCAGGTTGCTGAAGTTGAAGCAACCAAAGCAGTGGCTTTGAGAGAAGCTGAGCTTCAGACTCAGGTCGAGAAAATGAATGCCTTGACTCGCACGGAGAAGCTTAAAGCTGAGTTTCTTAGCAAAGCTAGTGTTGAGTATGAAACAAAGGTTCAAGAAGCGAATTGGGAGTTGTATAACAAGCAGAAGCAAGCAGAGGCGGTTCTATACGAGAAGCAGAAGGAAGCAGAAGCGCAGAGAGCTGCAGCAGACGCAGCGTTTTACTCAAAGCAGAAAGAAGCAGACGGACTCGTTGCTTTAGCCGGTGCTCAAGGGACTTATCTGAGGACACTCTTAGACGCTCTTCAGAATGATTACTCTGCGCTTAGAGACTTCTTGATGATTGAGAATGGAGCTTATTTGGAGATCGCTAAGACTAATGCGATTGCGGTTAGAGACTTGCAGCCCAAGATTAGCGTTTGGAACCATGGTGGAGAACAGGGGATTAGTGGTGGTAGTGGGAATGCTTTGAAGGATATAGCTGGACTTTACAAGATGTTGCCTCCGGTTCTTGATACGGTTTATGAACAGACCGGGATGCAGCCACCGGCTTGGATCGGTACTCTAAACAAGTAACGCTGAGGTCTGGATAGTGGGCATGGTTTGGTCGTTTACTTGTGGTTGAAGATACATCCGTTTTATCTCTATTTTATTTATAACTCAGGGTTTTACTTTTCTTTTCTTGTGACAATGTGATTTATTATTATTTAATACCATGAAGAAATTTGGCATTTTGTCAAGTGTTTGAGTTGTGTTATTTTAATTTATTTTCATCATAGATATTAAATAAAAAAATGAAGTTATTCGAGCATTTGTTGTTAGTAAGAGAGACTAGTACTGGATTGGACAAGTGAAGTATAATTGTTTGAAAAGTTATATATATTACAAGAACAAACGACAACGTATTTTGGAGAGAAATGAGCAACATAATAGATTAGATATCTACTCACAATAAACTGTTTCTTTCTCTCTTTCTATGAACCCCAGTTTGGAATGTTAGCCGTGGCTTCGTTCACCATCTTCACTAATGTTACCTGCCAATATATCAATGAAGAAAAAACTGAGCTGTGTTTGTAACCAATCATATGTGGGGATGTTACAGTGTAAACCATAGGTAATGTGTTTTCAGGAGATGAAGGCAGGGCATGTAAAAACATACCACACTCTGTGGAACACCAGGTGGAGGCATTGTAAGGTTCCTTGGTGGTGGCGAGCTATCATATGATCTTTTGTCAAATCTCCATTCCCCTTTTTTCCCATAAGTTAACTTACCCTGAAATCACCAGTCATTCATTCTTTAACACACACACTCTCTAATCACTATCAAATCATGAATCATGCCAAATCTCAATAATCAAATCTTCTGCTGTTCTCAAAATCATAATCAGGAGTTGATATCTTACCTTCATATCAAAGTCACATCCATAAGTGTAGTGTATGATGTACTTGTCACCAACATCTGTATCCCATGGAGGCTGAAAATTCATTACCACACAAACACAACTCCATCATCACTTTTAGTTATTGCATCACAAGGTTCAGGGCCAATACTATCTGTCTCCTTATAGGATGTTACCTGAATCATGAAGTCTTTGTGTAGAACATTGCTAACACCATGCAGTGCAGATGAGACAGCATAAGCATACCTATACCACCACAAAAAGATAACAAAAGTCACTGTCAAAGTCTACTCTTTCGACAGTCTAAACTCTAAACAACACAATCAATACTTCTCAAAAGATATATTACATTTCAAGAACCCATCCAAAAGATTTGTCTGCTTCAGGATCCTTCTTCATAGCCAAAGAAACATTCATCCAAGTCGGAGCAATCTTCTTCAAAGCTTCCTAACAAAACCATCAAATCTAAAATCTTTAGAGAGACCTGATCTCCTTTACTAATATGCAACAACAACAAGTTCAGAAGAAGATAAAAAAAAAAAAAAACAGACCTTTCCAACAATGACAGGAGAGTTTCCAATCGGATCAATATTGGTGACAGGTCCTTTCTCTTCAGGATAATACTTCCTCAACACTTTCTCATACTTTTTCGGTTCGATGTAGAAGAAAGGAAACGCGGCTCCAAACCCATCTTTAGCTAGGTTTGGTATAGGTTTCACAATCAAGTGGTCAGGCTCTGACATCAGAATATAACTACACACACAACCAAAAACAACATTTCAGTTACAAAAAATCTTCCCTTTTCATTAGCAACAAAAAGTGTAAAAATCAAAGCTTTTTCTCACTCTTCTTTAATGTCTGTTTGTTGAAGCCATTGCACAAACGCCCATGGCCTGTTTAGTACTACATAACCCTGCGATTTCAAAATCTCACTCAAAATCAATTTTTGATTTTGTGAAATGAAACAAAAATTCAATTTTGAAATTCGATGGATTTCATTTTACCTGATCCACCCCAGCGGGTAAAGGCTGAGCAACGAAAGTGGGAATCTCATCCATGTAATTGTCGGGTTTACCGGAATGCAAGATCCGGGTATACCCGCCCATTTCGGAGCCGGGTCCGGCGGAAGCCTGGATCTTTTTGAACCAGTAGTACATGACTCTGCATTGCCACGTGTTGTAGACGGAGTCAGACGCCGTCACGGCTATGTGGAAGAGTCTGGTGTTCCTCTTCTCGGGGACTCGGATTCTGGATCCGCCGCCGCGAGGCAATTCGATGACTGGGTCAACGGAGAATTCGGAGGAGGAAGAGGATCGGCCGGGGAAGCCTTGCTTGAGAGGAGCATTGGCGGAGATGATGATGTTGTATGTGATTAGAGCGACGGAGAGGGTTATGAGAAGTGGGTAAAACAGAGTTCCACTGCAACCCATTTTGACAGATGCAGATGGAGATGGAGATGTGGAAGAAAACAGAGTTTTTTCAAAGTCGTCTTCTTCTTCTCGTATCGTCTTCTTCTCTACTAGAGTTGGTGATAAGAAAATATATATATTTTTTGGTTTTTGGTTTATCTGCTTACCTTTCTTACTATTTTGACTGTTGTGAAATTGCGGTTTATGCCGATTATTTCCTATATACTGAAATTAACAAGTTGGATTAAGGGGTTTTTTACTTTAGATATTCTTGAGCGGTTTTAGGCGATCCTACAAAATTGACTGTTATGTTAATCCAATTATAGTTTAAGATGTAGTTTTCGAATATCTAAATTTTAACTTTTAGTGTTATAAATTGTAAGTAGGGGGTCCCCCTTACAAGCTATAGCTACTTTAGAAAGTTGGTATATCTAAATTTTTAACTATTAACGTTATCATATGGTTGTAAAATTTGGTACATTGTTCTGATATGAACTGAACTGATGTCAAATTCTCATTTATTATCAAAATACACATTTGAATGGTCTTTTTTTAGCACTCCTTTTTAAATGAATGTTTATATCCAATTTTCCATTTATGATAGTTTTCAGTATTTTAGTTAGTATTTAAATCCTAACTTAAAATTGCTTAAAATTGTTTAAATCCGATTAAACATTTTAAACGCCGACTCGCTCTACCCGGTTAAGCGCCTAGCAATCGGTCGGTTCGATTCAATTCAGTTAAAATGCTTTCTCTCTCAAATTTTCACTCTCCAGTCTCCACACAAGCAAAAACATTTTCGAAAATGGCGTCTCTGTGCCTCTCTCTCCACCAAACCCTAAACCCCTCGGCGGCTCCCAGAGCAAGACCACTCACCCTCTCCTTCCCCAGATCCACCACCATCTCTCTCCGCCCCTCAACCAAACGCGCCGCCACAGTAACGACTCGCGCCTCCTACACCCCAACACCGGCAATAGAACGCGTGATTTCAATCGCCTCATACGCGCTTCCTTTCTTCAATTCGCTCCAATACGGTCGATTCCTGTTCGCGCAGTACCCTAGGCTTGGACTCCTCGTCGAGCCGATCTTCCCAATCCTGAACCTCTACAGATCGGTGCCTTACGCGAGCTTCGTGGCCTTCTTCGGGCTGTACCTGGGAGTGGTGAGGAACACGAGCTTCAGCAGATACGTCAGGTTCAACGCGATGCAGGCGGTGACGCTCGATGTGCTTCTGGCGGTTCCGGTGTTGCTGACAAGGATACTGGATCCGGGTCAAGGAGGTGGCTTTGGGGTGAAGGCGACGATGTGGGGCCACACTGGCGTCTTCGTCTTCAGCTTCATGTGCTTTGTGTATGGAGTCGTTAGCTGCTTAGTCGGAAAAACTCCTTACATCCCCTTCGTCGCCGATGCCGCCGGAAGACAACTGTAAAACGTTCCTACTACAGTAGTTTCATGAGTGTTTCTTCTTCATATAGAGAGTTGATCCAATGTAATTTATCGCAGCCGGTTTATGAATCGAAATTTTCATTTCAGTTACCATTAACGAGTTTACGTTGAGCATTTTTGCTATAGAGAAATTCCGGGGAAAATAAACTTATAATTTAAAAGAAAAATGGACATGTTTTTGGGTGATACCACCAAAACCATTGAAATGTGAACCATCTCTGCAATGCACAAGCTGAGTATAATAAATTACCAAAAGAAGCAAAAAAGAACGAAAAACTATCATCATTCTTCAAAAAGTGTGCTTCCACTCTTTTCTTTTTGCGCCAACTATCTCTCACTCTCTCTGCACATAACATTACCACAACTTAATTAAGATATGTAAACGTAAACCAAAGGTTATCTCTTACTATCGTTAGTGACTTGTTCATATTTACCTTCTGACGTTTTGAATCTGGATGCGATGGTGGTTCACGTCTCCGGCTTGAATTCCCTCGCTCCACTCCTTCCTCCCCCTGCATCTCAAATTTATCCACAAAATTTATTATCAAATTATACAACCTTAAAGCAAAAAAGGTGACACAATGGAGATAAACAAGTACCTCTCTTGAAGATGCTTGTCTACGGCTGTTGCTGCCTCTGCCGGCAGCTTCATCTGAGCTTGAGGAAGGCACGTTTTGAGATATTAAAGGCATGATCTGCTGAAGGACACTTGATAGGAAATTCCCTTCATCCGTCGTCCCACTTGCCGGCTCTGCTTGTGCATTTGCAACTGCTTCGTTTGTCTCTGTGGATGCTGCTGCGGTAGACGGGTTTGCTGCAACCTGAGGCTCGCGGGTCCCCACTTGAACTTGTTCTCGACGAGATAAGGGCCTCAAGAACTGATTGATTCTGTTCCTTAACTCAGACAAACCTCCACCGCCTGCAGCAGAACTGCTATCACCTACATTGTTCAAAGTCAGAGAAGCAAAGGTTTATGACATAGGTAACACAACGTCTAAGCCAAAACAGTAAAGGGAAGCATTCAAATCGAACATAATATAAGATAGCCCAGTAAAGATAAGTTGTGTGTGGAAGTCAAGTTAAAACTACCTTCTCTTGCGGGAGTACTAGCGCTCTGTGGCTGCCTAGAGGAATCAGCAGCAGGCTGATGTACACCATCCAATCCAGAAGCGGTACGTTCACCAAGAGATACCTGCTGATATCTAGCCATAACGGGTATGACTAAAGCCACAGGATTTCGAGGAGGTTCAGATGGTCCTCTCATTGAGGGGACAGACTCGGTAACGCCGCTGGGCGCAGAAGGGGTCGACTGTCCAGGAGCTTGTTGTGTAGTTACTTCTTCTCTCTGGTTGGCCCCACTAGAGGGAACCCAAGATCCTAGCATAACATATCACCAAGATGAATACAGATACAAATATATACAAAAAAATGGAACTTAATCTGAAGATTTTCAATTGTGTATGAATAGTACCTGTGCGTATTCTTATCTCAATATTTCTAGGGGCAGAGGCAAGAGCCTGTGAAACTCCTCCTTGTCCAATAGTCCCCAGCCGAGAGGAGTGGGACTACAGGAATTAGAATGGCAGACACAAAGGTAAGTGTTAAAGAAGACAAGTGGACACGCTAGTAAAGAAGAGAGGAAAACTGAGAGACATACCGGTAAGGGATTTCGCCCTGTAGGAGATATGAACACTGCAGGCCCAGTATTCACAACAGCATCATCCTGACATTTAACATAAACAAGAGTTTTATAGATGTATGAGGATATATCATATTCCGTGAAAAAGTATATATGCAAGCTTAATGCATCAAACTGTAGGAAAAGTATACTCACTGGTGTTTGTCCCAAATGGAGCATCATGGCGGCACGGCCAAGCTCCAGAAGAGAAATTCCTACATTCTCCAAGAGTGCTCCAGATCGAAGCATGTTTGACTCGTACGACCTTCGGGTTGCTGGATCTGTCACATTTACTTGATCCACGAGCTGGCTTGTGAGATTCTGTATAAGGGAGATACAAACCACGAAAACGGTTATTCTTGTTTAAGTGGCATTCTCAAAAGACTGCATAAGACAAGACGAGAGTAAGAGAGCATACGGATATACAATCAGCTACTTCACCGGTCAACAATTGCCTTGCCGATTCCAGCACGCCAACCAAATGAGATGGTCTTGGGATCCGACTCTCGCCAGTAGTAGAACCAGGAGCTTGCACATTGCCCGTTGAGTTTCCAGAATCTTGCACGTTATTAGCATTGCTACCTGCAAAAATCATAGTACTACCATCAGACTCTAGAGATTGGATCTCAACACAGAACCGAACATTTCGAAATGAGGCCTAACCATTAGCAGCAAATTCTTGTCTCAGATGAGTCAGATACTCAGATAAGGTTGTCAACGAATCTGGAATCGCCTGCAACGGCAAAAGAATAGCATTCTCATGAACAAAAACATGACGAGCCTTCTCGCAAAAATTACATAACAAATCATGGAAACAAGAGAGCACGTACTGCTTGTTGAGTAGACGATTGGTCCTCAGCATTTGGTGTGACAGATCGTCCTCCAGATGAATCTCTTGCAGCACTAGGAGCAGAACTCCGAGACAGCCTCTCCTGGCAAATAGAAAAGAACTCGCTTACATACAAAACCGATTTTTATAGAAACCCACAGGAATTATAGGAAATTACCATAGCATCAAGCCCTTCAATACCACCTTCTGCATTAGAGATCCCAAGTGAACCCAGAACAGCTGAAACAATCTGCTAAACATGGTGAAAAAGATCACATTTAATCCAACTCACTAAGATGGAAACAGATCAAACAGATCAAAGAGGGCATACATGTCCAAGACCAAAATCTGAAAAATCTCCTTGCTCAGCAATGTTGAAGGATCCAACTACAACTCGTGATCGTTGACTGCCCTGGCTCTCACCAGCACTCAAAGCAGGATCAGCCGCTAAAAAACAAGTTCCCAACTTAGCATGCAGAAATAGAATCTCAAGAAAATCAATGGCAAATGCAAAACTATAGTGATATAGAATTACAAAGATGCAATTACTAGTTGAAACAAACCTGCATTACTAGTTGAACTCTCTGATAATGGTGGAATGGGTTGTCTAACAACCAAATGCAGAGTGTGGCCATCTTCAACATCTAAGATGGACCCGTTAAAGAATTTTATCCAGAAAAAAGAGACGGAACTAACAGGATATCATACGACACTAAAGTTGTATTAACAAACAAGCAAGTCAAAACCAAGGGTTTCACAACTGAAACGAAATCTCTAAGAAAGAACACAAGGATACGATAGGCTGATAGGAGTTGATCATCCTTCATAACTTTTCCTCGACATATCAAGCGCTGTTGTTCTGTAACAACGCCAGTAACGGTAGCAATTTGCTCCTTCAACGCGGGAACAGGGACCTGAAATGAAAAAAAGGAAAAACAGAAAGCATTGGTTATAATTATATAGGCCACAGATAAACAAGCGAGAACTAAAATAAGGTATTAGCTCCACGAGTTTTAATCAAAGCAGTGGTATTATAGATCAGTGACTTCATAATGCAACACATGGATGCAATCATGCAACGAAAGACATACATTACAGGTAGTATGCTCAAGCTGAGAAGAAGATGAAGACAAAATGAATCATCAAAAGAAATGTCTTACGAAGTTTATCTTACACATTTGTCTACACGCAAGGTGTACATTTGAGAATCCAGAGTCTTGATGTTTATCTCAACCATAGCACTGGCACATTGAGATGCCTCGATCTCATGGACCATAACTTCATCTTTGCCATTGTGTCCCATCCTTAACAAAAAGCCTTTAACAACCTGGAAACAAAAAAAAAACGTTTCAACTTCCATTTAGCTATGTGAGCTGAAATTAAGCCTAAACAAAGCATATAAAGCTCAACACTTTTCTGAAACTTTTGAAGAAACTATTCATCCCCTCAGAAATTCATCCAATTTCTTACAAGAAAAAAAAAACTTCTCTGGACGAAGAAATCTTAAGATGGCATAAACCGAAATAGATTAGCCACAGAAGAAATTCAATAGAAAAACAAATTTTTCATTACTTTATAAGAACGAAGAATTCTGGAAAAGATGTGATCATCAATAAACACGCTGCGCAAGCTCAACTTCGAGAAGTATTAAAAAAAATATATAGCTAAAAACAATACATTTAATCGCTACTTGCTGCAAAATTGAATCAAGCAGCAGTCAAGTTCTAAGCTTTTCGGTGATTTTCAGAAAACAGAGAGAGTCGATCTAAAGCCCTAGGGAAACGAACAGCAAGCGGTGGCAATAAGAAGACCAGAAAAAGGAAAATAATAAAACGGAGAAGGAATCGGAACCTAGGAAATTGATCGGAGCTGAGGAGAATCGAAAGCAGCTGAGGAAGACAGGAAGGAGATTTGGGTGGATTCTTTAACCCTAAGAGACTTAGAGAGTCCCTTGGAGGCTCGAAAGACGACGATTCCGCGGCGAGGACAGTGAGCGTTTTGTCTCAAATCCGCCTTTTCTTCTGCTTTATATCACGTCACGTGAGTAAATTTTAAAAAGTACATATATTTGCTTCATTTTCATTTTTTTTTTATGGCAACTATGCTTAATTTGCTTGAATTATCATTAATCACTAACAAATAAAGTTTGATCTTTTTTCTTCAGAATGTGAGATTTTGTTTTAGTTCAAAGGAGAATATGAATAGAAGTAGTAACTTTTGATTTGGCACATTAGTAAAAAATTCTAATTATTTGACAAAATCTCGCGGGAAGTCTACTAATTTGTCGACGCGTGGTATAATAAAATATTAGTCTTACAATATAAATATAAATAAAACATTTCTATATTTATTATTCAAAGTCTTAAATAGTATATAACTTAATTTCATATTTCAAAATGTCAAAAATATTTAATAGTCAACAATTTTACCCTAGTAATTTGTCGACGCGTGGTACAATAAAAATGATAGTCTTACATATGTAAATATAAATAAAAAAATTTCTATATTTAATATTCAAAATCTCAAAAAAAATATGTAACTTATATTTTTTATTTTTCAAATGTCTAAAATATCTTATAGTCAACATTTTTTTTAGAATAACTTTCGATATCCAGAAAAAGGGTTTATCGGTGGGATGCACCTCTTATATAGATTAGTCTGAACCCTTTTAAAAATTTGGGATTTACCCTTAATTATCACAACATTCTTATGGGTAAAGAAATAGTATATAATTGCTATACGAAAATGGGGTAAACCAGGGAAAATAACTAAGCTGATACAAACGAGTCAGTCAATCCGGTCAAGCCGATCAGATTACATTTGGGCCGGTCTAGTCTGGGCCTAGTTTATGTCAAAGTGGGATTTTTAGGCTAATTCGAAGAAAATTTATGGCCCACGAAAAGATACTAAAGTATCTTAACAGTTAACCGTTAACACCTTTGAGTCCCAATTCCCAAAACATGTAATAAATTTTATGTCTTGCTGGTTTTATATTGGTAAATAAAAAATGAAACAAACAGTAGTGGAGATGTGATAATTTTCAAAAATGCTTTAATCTCCAGTTCTTGTAGTCTACAATAAATAAAGAGATTATTACAAAGGCAATTTGTCATATATTTTGGGATGTGCTCTGAAACTATTCGTTGGAACGAAAAACTGGTCAGAAGTCAGAACAGTACTCAGCCATCAAGCCAAAGGTTTAGAAGGGAGGGATAACAATATATTAATATTCATCTAAATATTACGACATGCGACTAAATCAAAATGAGGCTTTGTTAATAAAAAGGTATGATTATGTTACAAATTCTAAATTGGAGGTAAAGATGATATTATTGGGGGATTGCGAATTTCGATGAATAAGTTAATGCGGAAATGATTAGACGCCCGAGAGCGGAGGCTTTGGGTTTCAACTAATCAAATAATTGGGCGCACCTAATTGGCTTTTTAGGCTTAGCTGGAGTCTATTGTCCACTTATTAAGTTATCATTGATTATTCGTATTCTTAATTAACCAAAGCTATATGTAATCAAATTTCAATTCAAATAATTTTATAGTTCATAATATGGTTTTAGATGCTTTGATCATGTCGCGTTAAACACTTCCTAAACTCCAGATAATCACATGACCCATGTTAGAACTTGACACCATTGTTTGTCGGAATTGTTCGTTCACCTTGCAAGAAAAAAACACAAAAATAAAAACTAATTTTTTACTTGTCGTGACGTGTATACGTGTGTGTGTCTTGATGGGTTTCATACGTGTCATAATAGTTAGGCCAATGCTTAAAAGATTTGCTTGTCCCTCAATACTTGCCCAACATGACACAACATTGTGTTGCGCTTAGTGACTACTATCATTATTAATTAGCCTAATTTATAGTCTAACTGAATTTAGTATATTCGTTCGGAATTAACTGTATCCGTTACGATCGGTGCAGTGAACCGCATTTATAATTTAATTGACGTTAAATAAATGTCGACACTTTCAATAATTGAAAGTATTTTTTTGGATGCGGTTGGGCGCGAATCTCCTCTTTAATTACCAACAGGACATGCAGCCTCAACAGAGGACTGGAAAGAACAATTTGTGACAACTTTAAAATTTCGCAGAAAATATTATACTTATATCAACAAGAAAAAAGAGTTCAAGATATATTGGTTTCTTAAAGAATTGAAACACGAAAGGGAAATAAAAGAATAGTTTTTGGCTTTTTGCTATCCAATTAAACATGGCACCAGGCTAATGACGGGTAACAACTAACAAAACTGGCAGTAAAAAGATGGCTGCAAAATTAACCGCTACTCTGGATTGTATTATTGACGAAAAACAAAAAGAACGAAAGTGTTAAGAAGAATAATTATCCACAGCATTCTACCATGTTCTTACCGTCTTACAATTACTATTTTAGCCATTATTTTATTAATTTCCTTCTACTATATATAGGTGTGCTCCGTGACCTATTGTAACATAAGTTGAATAGAAAGAATATATTGAATACTCTCTCCACCTCCATAAACAAAATATAATTTCTCTCACCTCATCTCCCTCTCACAAAGAAACTCAACTCTATACTCTCTCTTTCCTTCACGTAACCTATCTCATCTCCTTCTCTCATATACAATTTTAGTTTATAGTTTATTTATAACACGTTATCAGCACGAACTGCTCTTATATTCTGTCTATTCAATTTTATTGATATGCCGGGATGCTAGGTTGTACCTACTCCGAGCAAATGATCATATGGTAGACTATGTCACCTTAGATCATATAAGAGTTGATGGTAAAAACCTCCTCTTGGAGTTGAGACTTTGCCTCCTCCTGAATATTTACTTTTCTGTAATTTACTTTTTCGCTATTTACTTTTTGCCATTTAAATTCCTGCTATTTACTTTTTGCAATTTAAATTCAGCACCTTAATTTTTACTAAATTCATGCTGTTATAATGCTCAAATTTTTATTACGCAAATTTGAATTTAATTGAATTTTAATTAATGAATGGTATATGATCTATGCAGATATCATGTCAAATTTGGCTAAGCTCGAAATTTCCGCCCTTGATATTTCTGGAAACAATTATATGACATGGGCAATAGGTGCAAAAATGCATCTAAAAGGAAATGGGCTTCTTGATGCCATTGACAAGTCGAAAAAGACATCCGATGAGAAAAAGGCGAAAGCCATGATCTTTTACTTCATCACATCCACGATGGTTTAAAAGATGAATACATCACTAAAGAAGATCCTGCGGATCTTTGGCAATCTTTGAAAGAAAGATTTGACCATCAAAAATATATAGATTTGCCCAAAGCCAAATACCAGTGGCTACACCTCCGATTTCAGGACTATAAAAGTGTTGTTGAATATAATTCTGCTATGTTCAGAATAATTTCCAAATGGTGCTATGTGGAGAAAATGTGAGCGATTATGATATGATTGAAAAAACGCTCTCCACATTTCACCCTGGAAATATAGTCCTGCAACAACAATATCGGGCAAATGGCTATACTCGTTATTCAAAATTGATGGAAGTTCTCCTTGTTGCAGAACAGAATAACGAGCTTGTGATGATGAACCATCAGACTCGTCCCACTGGAGCTGCTCCATTCCCAGAAGCGAATGTAGCATCGTCCAGCCAAAATAATGGACGAGGACGTGGACGTGGATATGGTCGAAACCGAGGTCGTGGCCGTGGCCGTGGACGTGGTCGGGGACAAGGAAAAGAGTACCGTCCCGACGAGTCCAACAATGAAAGGAATATAAAAGATCTCGAGCAAATGATTACGGCCGAGATTCTAAAAAGCAAAAAGAAAGTGTTTGCTACAGATGCGGCATGAAAAATCACTGGGAGCGTACTTGTCGTACACCCAGACACTTAGCCGATCTATACCGGGAATCACAAAAAGCAAAGGAGAAAGAAAGTGAGACTAACTTCATCTCCAATGAACCCGGTCCTTCCTTTCACGGCCTAAACGATGATACTCATCTTGATGTTTCAGATTTTCTGGTTGACTCCGAAGAGATCAACGGAAAAACAGACGACTAAAAGGACATGATATACATAGTTATCTTCCTGAATAAGATAACCTAAAAGTTTGATCTTTTTGTTGTAAAATAGTTTTTAATGTGGTATTTTGTATCTTGTGATATAAGCTTTGTATTGTTTAATACTTATTAATGCATCTTTGTTAAATCCAGAAATGACGAAATTTGAGACTCGTGATGGAGATATGTGTCTTGCAGACAGTGCTACAACGCACACAATACTCAAAGATAAAAGATATTTCTCCGGTCTCAAAATTAAAG